CTTCAGGGCCAATGGTTTCCTGCTAAAGCTGAACTAGAGGCAGACTTCCCAGATTGGAAGTTTGACTACAGTCTCACTGGCTGGAGCAATAGCCAGATTGCCTTGAAGTGTCACGGGCGGGACAGGCTGATAGTCCAATGGCAGTTGTATTCGTGCTAAGCTACAATCTGGGCTCTATTCCGTCAGGTACGGGCAGGCTTGATTGTCAAGACGTAGCTCGAGGAGCTACGAACAGATCTCGCGGCAGCGAGGTGCAGAATCTTCAACCCACAAGGGCCCATGCTTTCCACATGCCGGGTTCCACCCATGGGTCCTGGCAGGCACGGCGCAATCGCCGTGACATGAAGTGGCTAAAAGAGGTGTATCTGCCACAAACCAAGCCTCAAGGTGACGAGTGGAGGCTACTGGTCCTCGACGAGCATTCCAGTCATACAACCGGCGACTTCATGGCTACAGCTCGGCTAAACAAGGTTCAGTTGGTCTATCTGCCTGCTCACACCTCTGTGAGGATACGCGCACAACCAACCCACTCAGCTATGTCGTATCTCCCTGAAAAAGGGTGTCGAATCGCAAGTCGCTCCGACTTTGCAATCCTGTGGGTTATATGTGGGTCACAGCGCAGCTGCCCCACACTGCACTCTGACAACCTCCCACAAAACTCAGCCTCTCGACCGCAGTGTTTTCTCAGCTCTGAAAAACTACTTACGGCAAGTTACCAAGGCCCTGGCAAGCTTCACAGCATCGGCTGCCGTGAACAAGCGACGGTTCCTCTATTGCTATAGGGATGCATCTAGGCTTGGAATGTCTGCTAGGAATATTATCTCTGGGTTTAGGAACACCGGTATTTGGCCGCTGGATCCATCCAAAGTGCTGGAAGATTGCGAGGCAGTCCTGGAAAGTCAGGCTCTTCCTGCACGGCCGGAAACACCACCCCCTAAGCCTACGACTGAGTTCTGGACACCTCAGAAGAGCCAGGACATCCGTATGCACCAGCAGGGTGTAAGGGAAGGCATGGAAGCTGGTGGACGGCTGACAAGGACTCTGTTGGCCAAGGCAGGCAAGGCCCTAGATGCTAAGAACGCTGAGATTGCATCTTTAAAAGCCCAGGTTGACCACTTGACGAAGGAATTGGAGGCTTACGAGCCACAGGGCCGTAAGAAGGTAAAAGAGAATGCCAATGATAAATTTGCGAGGATCGAGGATATTATTCAGGCAAAGGAGGATTCGATGAAGTCCCCGATGAAGAAAAGGAGGAAGACGCGACAGAACAGCCACGCAGTCGAGGAGGCCGAGGCGATAATTGTGTGTAGTTTAGAGACTATTCGCCGGGCCGAAGAGGAGTAGAACCATCAGATTTGTGGGTAGATTGCTTGCAAATTGGATCAGCTAGATGTCTTTATTATGGTGGTGATGGTGGTGCCAAAATTCCATTGTGGGGTCGATTCCGCTGTTGGGTCCACACGTCTAACCCCCAAATCCATCATTGATTGCAGTGACTGTCCCTTATTACTACCTTAGGTAACATGAGCCATCAGTCACACAAACCCGCAAAGATATCGGGGCGCTCGCAACTTTGACATCCCCTGCACCCGTGGAACCGGAGGCTCTGTTGGGGTTACATGCCCTGTGTCTTCCACAGTCCTCTCCTGGCCTGGCCGGACATGTTTGTTCTCTTCCCTTGCTCTTCTTTTGCTCTTCTCTCTCGTGGCTACCAGACAGTAATCACCTTACGCAATGTGACGTTGACCAGCATGGTGCGCTTGTACACACGTCACCCTTGGGCTGGTGGTACTCACGACCCAAGACAGGCAGAACACGCTTAGCTACACATTGGAACACAATGGAGGTAAACCTGGTCATTGGGACCGCCGCGAATCCAGTGCCCTGGCCACTGGGACACCATCTCTGATTTCTACCGTGTTCTGGATCTGTGAGAATCAAGCGGCCCCGCCTGTATCCGGACATTGAGGTTGAGTCACATCTCCTAGCACCAGACGGCGGGCGGGGGCGCGGCGAGGAAATGCCGATGGCTAGTCGGCGCTCCGAGCGAAGTCATTGTGGCTGCAGCGGGCGCGCCGGCCCAGCTCTCTACGTTTCACCACTGATGTGAGCTGCCGGCGGCGGGCCAAGCCTAAATCTCACGGACATCCGCTAACAGGATCTGATTGGGACCCTCTGGGGACGCGGGAACCGACAGGCGGGGCCGGCACGACAATGAAACTGTGATACGGCGGGTGAAGCCGTGTCTAGACTTGAGCAGGTCGAGTCGTCGCCAGGACATGAGCCCAACAGAAGCAAGGCGCCCAGGTCGAGTTCCAAGCTCAGGGCTGACAGTGACACCAGATCAAACCAGTGGAAGGTCGAATCCCGATGGGACGGGGTTCCTTTGTCGTGGGTTCTGCGGAAGCAATAATGATTTGGGCAGCTTAAACCGGCGACGAACCGCGTAACGCGAAGCATAATTCCGGCAAGACGACCGATTCCCTGGAATTGCGTACCGCGCTTTGCGGGCGATTGGGAGTGGGCTCTGTTCTGGTCCGTGGTCAGTGTTCTGCGTTGCGGCGGCATCTCTTTACCCCATCTGGCAGCGCGCATCGTCCTACACATCAGAGGCGTTGCAGAGATAGCGTGGGACTCGAGATGCTGTAGCCGACACAGCGGCGTTTCCGAGATTATGGGTCCAGATAGAGATGTGTGTGATGAGGTGGTTGTACGGTGTTGATTGCTCCTCTCCGTCTGCTGAGTGCTCATTGCTTGTGCTTCCAGTTCCAAGGTTGGCTGGGGTGCGACTTGCGGCTGTGATCACGGCTCTCGGGTAGAAAACCTGCGGCGTAGCGGGGTAGTTACAGTATAAGCGATGGCTGAAGTCTCATGCCGAGACCAGAATGGAAGGTATATCCAGAGCTGGCTGCTTGATTTGGAAGGGCACAGTGTGATGGCTATCCGAAATGGGATCGATATTGGATGCAGAGTGAGGAACAAGCGGGATAGCTTATGTGGGGTGCCAGACAGCTCCGCCCGAGACCCGGTTATTAGTAGCCCATGTTCCTATCATGCTCCGAGCTTCGAGCACCAAGCCGGGAGAGCTTCGTTTTGCGGGCACCCGCTTCCCTCCACCAACAAAAGGAAGTTCGAGATTGTTGAGACGAACAGCAGCAACTTTTCCCCAGCCTCTTCTGCGTTTCTTCTGAGTATCCCAGTGTGCTAATCCGCCACAGTCCTCTGGCATTGCGGTCAGGGAAGAGCACAACGGGTTTTGTATGATATCCCTGTGATGGATCGATCCCGTCTCTCTCCAATCACCCACCTGCTGTCCTATCAGAAAACCACACATTACCATGCCGGATGGTACCAATTGGTTTATAAGTTCGAACTTATCCTGAGCACTGGGAGATCGACAAGCGCGGAGGAGAGGGCGCGACACCCCAAGAGCACCCCTTGCTACTTCGACAAGCAACACATCGCAGACCAACCTCCCTGGACGTGGGGGAGCATAACGTCTCAGCCTGTTAGTGGTATAGATATGGCAGAAGGTTACGGCTTCCTCCACCGTTCTTCAAACGAAGAACCACAGCCACAAGCAGTGATGGGTGAGTTCACTACCCTATCTTCCTAATATGGTTTAGTGTGTCGCACTCCTTGCTGGCAAAAAATCCAGAGTCATAAGGGCCCTTGCTAGGAAGAGCGAGGCATTCTATGCCCTCCTGTCCAGCTGTTTATTATTAAGGAACACAGCGAATCGGGCAGGAATGCTGGAATGGGCCTTCACAGTACAAGCGGGAACCTATGTCCTGACAACTCAACACACCAGACGTTCCTCGAAAAATCAACCCGACCCAAACGAATGATCCGGCTATTCCCATGGTTTCCTGGCTCCCCATCCACCCACAAGCATTTCAGCCTCGTGGGTGGCTCTCTGGCCTCATCCTGCTTGGCCATTGCTTTTGCGGCAGCCCGAGCTTCTCGGGACTGCGATACGTCATACCATCGTCCTCCGGTGGCTTACCCGCAAAGGCCCGGTCCGAGCGCAGGACACCGCCCGATGTGATGTACACGTACCTCTTACTGCGCGCTTCTTTACGGTCCAAGCCCTGCATTATTACCAAACCATTGCTGATGGGAGTTGCGGGGATTTGTTAATGGGTGGGTGCTTCAAGCCCCTTCCTGAGTTCGTCTATGGGAGGGCTGTGTCGGCACCCCTTGCGCCGACTGGCATTGGCATTTCTCCTACCAAGGCGTTCCTCGAAGGTCTTCCCCATCCCCGGCATTTGTTTATGCCCTTCCCCCTCCGATCGTCGATCGCCCGTGGCGTTCGGACCAAAGCCGACGGGATCGCCCCACGCAGTGTGTTCGATGCATGCCGCATGTATTATTACCTTAGCCCACTCCCCCGGCTCCACAACCACGTTGACTGTTTACAAGCTCACCAGCTCACTTTCCATTCTGTTCTTCTGTTTGATTTCATTTACCACTTTTAGCTCTATTATACCGCCACTTCGCTCGTCCTCAGCACCTCTCTATACGCATCACCCACCATGTGGTTGATGAAACGGTCCAGAATGGACAACCACGCAGAGCTGCCCGAGAACCGCACGCAACAACTCCCAATTCAGCATATTGCCAACTTCTCATATCCTCGTACCGATTTCGTTCACCTATACCACCGAATCCCGTCAGATGCTCGGGACTCCCGCGGACCTGAGTCCTCACCTCCACCGATGGTGGAAGATCACGGATCGGATATGTCGGCAGATGATGACTCCCAGTATCTTGCCACAGGACCGGACTTCTGGGACTCGCGGCACGCAAGGGAGCATGAGGCGAGGAAACCAGACTATCCGGCACTTATCAAGCCCCCCCCTGGAACTCAATCTTCAAAACCTGCAATAACCCAGGAGAACCCACGCATGAGTGACCCGTCGAGCTGGGGAAGTCAAAGCAGCCCGGTAATTCGGCCTGCAGCGGTTGGGTCTTTCTCGGATAAAGAGGCCCATGTCCCACAGCCTCCGCCAAAAGTATCCTACTCCTTGTTTCCTCCACCTTGCCCTGCTCAGAGGCGGCCTCCCGTGCGTTCACAGATCCCTTCGGTCCCACGGCAGTCGAGGCTGGAACCTTCGCCGCATTCTCTTGATTTCCCGCCAACACCCAATTCACGCAGCGCCATTGCAGACGGGAAAGGCAACGCAATCTCATCATTCGGGCCAGGCTCGCCGCAAACTGCCACGCCTCGTTCTGCACATGGCGGCTCCATCGCAGCAAGCTCGTCCAACTCAATACCGCTGCTTCTCCGCAGTCCTGGACCAACTCCTCCAGATTCTCCTGGCGGCACATCGTCCTCTTTCGAGGCACCCAGGTCTTCTGATGCTCCGAGGTACCCCGTAAGACTCAGAACATCCTCTCCCTCACAGCGCGAATTTCCATTATCCAAGAATGCAACTCGATCCACGCCATCACTTGCCAGCCACGCCAAGGCTCATCAGCAAGGTCATGCGCCAGACGCTCATGACAAACCGCTCACCCGAGCAGATCTCTATGCCCGGCCTCTCCCGCCACTGCCCACGGAGCCGCCTCCTCCACTTGTTTCCCCACCGCATGTCTCCGTCTTCGAACCCGACTCGGACGACGAGGACGAGGAATTAGATTCCCGGCCAGGCAGCGGTGACTCCAAAAACTTTGCCCGTCGGTTCATGCACGGGTTAGTACATCACCACTACCACCACGACAAGAAGGGGAAAGGGCTGTTGCCGGATCACAAGCGCAGCGTGAGCGACGAGGGCCCGTCCTCGTCTTTAGAGGACAGAAACTGCGGCAGTAGCATGAGCGGCATCTACCGCACTATCAACGTTGCAAGACACCGGCGTGGCGGAGCCGTCGAAGCTGCTTCTGCGGCGAGGTGTGCTGTCAGTATGGACTTGCCCAGGGACGTCGCGGGCAATCATCAGGATCAGCAGACTGCGGAAGGCCCGGAGAGACACGGGAGGTTTTGGGCCGCCAAGGAGAGTGGGGAGATGCTGTTGGGGAAGATACTCATGAGGAAGGGTTGAATACGCCTGTTTCTGAGTGCTTGCCACTCATTACATCTTCTTTTCTTTTGTTTCCCCTCCATCTGTCCTCTTCATCTCGCTCTTTTTCCACTTTCCTGGACTGTCTAGGCTGGTTATTTTGTTTCAAGGCGCGGGAACCGCAGGGTTGGAAGAAGTTCCGGCAACGTCCTCCTCTCTTCTGTTCAACCCCTTCTACGGGACTTTCCTATGTTTCTCTTTTCCGTACTCTTTACGCTTTCTCTTTCCGCTGCAGGTTGGCTTATCATGACGCTGGTCGGGGAAATGGGGATCAATCATAATCATGACGGGATGAAATCCATATGAGGGGATGCCGGATTATGGTATACGGGTGGACGGTAGGTTTTGCTCTCATGGTTTTGGTTGAGCCTAGGAAGGAAGGTCTCGGTCTTTTTTGGGTGTTATTTGGCATTTCAGTGTTAACTACGGGATGGTATAATGAGCTGGTTGCCTGGGGTGTATGGTTGGCCAAACTGGGACTGTAATCACTTGTACCTGTATGCGCGCGTCTTCTCTATCTCGAATACCGAGAATTGCCGGCTTACGAAGAACTTGGTGGCCGTCTCCGGGCTCCTGCTCTCTGATGATGGACATCACGTATTGTGCTCGTACAGTTTTCAAGGCAAGTAGGGATGGAGAGATCGGCGAGCTCAAGTAGGATTGGAGGGAGTCTGGCGCTGAAGTCTGACCACCATCTCAGCCGCGAGTAGCTGGTGTGCTTGCCGATGATGAGAGGAAAGGGATACTCCGTAGTGACCTATTCATTCTCCTGGTTGTCTTACTTTTTTATCACCTTGATACTTGTTCGAGTGCAATCATCAGATGCCAGCCCGCTCCAAAAACATTCAGGGCGTTATCTCGAGCAACTCATGGTTTCGATGTAGATACATAACCACTCTATGTCTCCCTCATAAACCTTAACGTTTGGACACTCGCTTTCCCCTTAACAAAATGAACACATTAATTAGCCTGTAAGGAGTACCATTGGGAATACGTTCCGTCTCTCTGTGCAAACTCTCTGGAAACCAGAACCGCAAATTCGCCGTCGCTATGCTTGCCAAGAACCATAAACAGGAATAGGGAGAAGAAAATATGAGATGACCAAATTCCACAGCCTGTCTCACTCATCATTACATCATCACATCATGCATCGCATCTTAATACTGAAACCCCCATTCACACTCACAGAAGAGGCCTCCGAATCTGACTCTTCCTCACTCTCCTCTTCTCGGTAAACCTTTTCACCCTCCTCACCCCCAGTTCGCCGCCACCCATACCACCCGTCTCCCCAAACCCAAACACCCACCAGCTCTGCATCCCGGCCGGCGACCCGCTCCCGAACCCCAACTTCCCGGCCATCTCCTGCCGGCTCACACACCGCTTAAAAGCCGGCTCCTCCCTGATCTCGGAGTTCACCAGATACCCCACCACCTCAGCCAGGCAGGTAACAGCATGTGGCATCCGGAATGCCTTGCGCCGGGGGAACAGGACCGCCAAGCCGACCACATACAGCACCAGCAGTCCCAACAAGATCCCATACGCCGGCATGTTTACAAACATGCGCACCTCCTGCTCCTCCCACCCATCGGCTGACGACGACCCACCACCACCATCATCCGTCGCCGCCGGAGCGACAGTCAGCGCCATGAAACTGGCCCCGGCCAGCACAGGAATGAGCACAAAGAGCCCCGAGAGAAGCGAGACGACGGCGACGCGCCAATGCCCGTTCCGCAGCGCCCGCAGCGTGCACTCGCCCCAGGGGCCGCAGGCGGCGTAGTCTGCGAGCAGGGAACTCTCGGCATCGGCACCCCTTACTTGGTCAGAGGAGAGCGCGGCCCAGGGCTGCAATACGCGCAGGTGGGTGTCGAGCGGCTGGAAGGAGAGGAAGGCAATAGTCCCGAGCAGGGCGGGAAGGAAGCTGTAGAGGAAGTCGGCCGGGGAGAAAGCGCCCGGCTGCGGGGCGGAGGACAGCTTCGGGGGGAAGCCCGCTGCGATGCGGGTTGCGGGGAGAAAGGTGGCGATGAAAATGGCGAGGAGGAGGATGGTCCCTGTGAGGGTGTGCCAAAGGAGCTGGGAAGTGCGCAAGGGGAAGGGGAGGTAGCGGTTCCGCTGGTGTGTGGATTCGATGTCGTGGTGGGCAGGGTCGGTGTCCGGGAGGGCGGCCTGGTCGTGCTTTTCGTCAAGGCGCTGCATGCGCTGGCCGGCGGTGAGGTCGGGGACGGGGATCAGGTTGGTCTCGTCCATCGGGCTGCCGAGGGTGTGCCAAAAGCCGTGCCGGCCGTCTTTCCAAGTCCAGTAGCACAGTCTGTCCGCCGTGCGGCGGCGTAGGGCGAATCGGATGCCGTCTCGCGAGCGTGCCAGCTGGGTCCCCCGGTAATCTTCGGCTGTGTTTGTCTCTGAAACCAGAGAGGCGATGTCGGCGAGAGACCTGGGGTCCCAGATGAGCCCAGTGGTCTCGAGGGTGGCCCAGTACCGCCAGACCAGGACGGTGGAGATCAGCAGCGCGAGATACAGCGCCACAAGCGTCCAGGCAACACCCTGGACCGTTGCCCATGTCCAGATGCCATCCACCAGAATGACGGTAAACAGCGAGCTCTGTAGGGAAAGCGTGAAGTTCATCAGCCATGTGACGAGAACTGGGACCCAGACGTTCCACGGCCCAACCAGTCGCGGCCACAGAAACGAAGGATATAGCTCCTGAAACAAGGCGCCTTCCCTCTCAGCAGGTATTTTAGACGCTAACCGAACAAAAGGCAGCATGCGGAACACGGTTGTGACCAAAAACTGGGCGTAGAGGAGGATGCCAGCAGCCATGAGCTGGGGTAGGAGGCGGAAGAGGAAGTAGCGGCCGCCATAAATGGTCTCCCACTCTCGCAGCCCTTGATGGAGATGGGAGTAGACGGCGCTCAGGATCAAGGCGGCGATCATGAGGACGCATACTGCCATGAAGCCAAACAGGGCTGGTGCTCGCAGAGGCCATGGGCGGAAGGTCAGCGGCGGTAAGGCGGCACCGTTGGTAAGAAGATCCTCGGTTTCAACGGGCATCCACTCGTGTGGTTGAGGAGGCCGTGGTCCCTTCTTGAGTAAGCTCTCGGCGAGAGAGTGGGCCGACTCTCGAGGGCCGGGAATGTAGGGGAGCGGGAAATGGTGCTGCTGTGCTTGGAGCCGAGCAGCCTCAGCAGGAGCAGGAGGATGAACAACCGCAGGGCGAGGCGGCAGAGAAACCGGTCTGCGAGAATGTTGATGGTTCGGTCCGGGTTGATAAGAGTGTCGATGCTGCCCGGGACCAAGCACGGTCCCTGAGCTGCCAGAAGGGGCGGCGGTTGAGTAGCCCGTGTCCCGGTCGCGGGTGAGAGCCTCAATGGCGTACTGGATGAACGGGGTGTTGTCAACGCCTGGGGTGATTACGCCGTCGAGGCGGGCCAGTTCGTCGCGGAAGTCGGTGACCATGGCGGCACTCATCGAAACCTCCCAGCCTGGTTGTTGGTAGGGAGCCAAAGGGGGAATATCAGAAACGCGGCAGTAAGGGCCCTCGATAACGACCGGGCGACCATGCGGCCGGGCTACGGGTGGCGGACCAAAGACACCGTCTTGACTGTCGAAGTCAAGTTCCGATGAAGCAGTGGGAGTCAGAGGAGATGGAGAGTAGGGTGCCGCAGTTTGGTGCGATGTCTGCGTTTGCAGTCTCAGTTTCGGAGGATGTTGCAGATGTGGCCCTTGCGAGTGGTCCACATGGTCATCAAGGTCGAGACTGTGAGAGTTGTGAGAGGTCATGCTGGGGCCTCCCTCGTTGCGACGGGCCAGCGCAGGAACAGGAACCGGAACCACTTGGCCAATTGCCCATACAAAATTCAGGACGCAAACCGATGATGCATGATGATGCAGGGGAAACAATGCATATCAAGGAATGAGATGTTGAGCATCGAATTTGGAGAGGTTGGGCAGTGGCTGATGGGCAATGATTCTGGTGGTTGGGCAACCAGCCACCGCTTTACGGTCACCCATCACACATCACCGAAACTGAGCCCAGGCCAGGCGACGGTTTTGTTCAGGGTTGGTGATTACTAACAAGCAAGGGATTCGCCCAAGTGCTGTGACTGTCCTGCCTTGTTGCATTGAATTTGCAAAGTCATCCGTCCTGCTGCCCATCGATTTGGGAGGGTGGTTGGGCAAAGGAAGGTGACTAGACTTAGAAGAGCGGTGACGGCAACGATGATCCAGGGAGCTCTCTCCGAGCCTTCCAAAGGGCCAACCAAGTCCAGGGGGAGCCACTTGAAGGCACTCGGACCACCACCCCACGAGAGCCCCAAACTTTGGAAGTCCCACAATTCAGGACCCAGTCCTGCAGGGCTGAACCAAAACGCACAGAGCAAGACAGAGTACCGCTCTAGTCAGTCTGTTAGTGTAGCCAAAATAATGTATGTAAAAAACATTCTCTCGACTAACTTACCCGTCCTAACAGATTTCTCCATTGAGGTACACTTGAGTGGCTTGCGCAGGGAAGCTCGCACGAGTCCGATGGGACCACCATGGGGTTCTTGACTTTGACTTTCACGCTGTGACTGCCTTATGGATGGAATTCATAGCAAACAGCAAGACTACGAGGGCGCAATGAAAGTGCTCCATGTACATAGAAGGCGGAGCTTCCAGAATCGAGATACCGCCCTCCTTCCTTGGGACATCCATGGAGACTGTTGTGAAGGTTCCAATCGTAGACTTTCATGTACAAGTACTTCACGGTGGCCCATAGGCGACGCCGTCTCATTCTGGTTCTGCGGCGGTTGAAGAAGCACCTGTTGTTGTCCACTCCACCAACACGAGGTAGTACGATGACAAATGCGGGGAATTTGCGCCATGGCATCATTAGCTCTCACGGGCCTATCTGAAACAGCCCTCGGCGCGACAGCACACCAACAACCCACTCAACAACTCCTTAGGCAAGGCAGAGAGCTAGCATCTGAATCTGCTGCCCACCTAGTAGTCAACCAGCTTAAGCCTCCCACGGACCGCCTCCCCAAGCTGCTCGGCTCTGACCAGTCCCATGAGCACACAATCGCCCAAGAAGAAGTAGGCCCTGTCCTGAGCATATGTGAGGTAATCAAAGTCCTCCTCGAGCGGCTCAGCCTCCCCATTCTCCGCCGTCTCTCCAGCCTCCTCGACACCGTTCACCGCTCCATTCCCCTCGGCACCATCACCACCGTCAACCTGATCGACTTCCTTCTCAACCCCCGGAACCTTAGCTTGCACAATCCCCCACGCAACCCACTGCGCGCTATTCGCCGTCCGCCACAGCCTCGTCTCCTCCATCAGCGCCGCGATCTTGCGCTCCGCCTCCTCCTCCCGCTTGCGCTCCGCTTCCTTCCACCCGCCCGGCGGCACCCGGGCGTCCAGCATAAACTCGACGATGGAGCTCGTTGACGGGGTTGCGTGCAGCCCGGTACTACCTGGGGCCCCGCCATCCCTCTTCCCTGCGGGAGGTGTCGAGGTCGGCGTCGCGGCCGGGGTCGTGGCGGGGGAGGAGGAAGACAGGTCACCGAACGGGAACTGCGGGCGGTGCTCGACATACGCCTTGATGAACCTGTACTGCTGGTCCGGGGTTGGGTAGAGGGACGTGTCGCAGGCGTAGGGCCGGGCCGGGTCGTGGTAGTTGTATGCCCACTCGGAGAAGTGGTTTGCGAATTCCAGCCCAGGCGGGTTGGCGGCGGCGTACTCAAAGTCAATAACGACGAGCTGTTTGTGCTCGTTGGCCGGCTGGAGGAGGGGGGATTTCTCGTCGTCCGGGCGGACGCGGAGGATGTTGCCGTATTGTGTCTTGAGAAGAGCTCTGGAGTTAGGGAAGCGGTTGATGAGAAGGGAGATTGGGGAAGGGCTTACATCGCTATGTGCAAAGACAAGCTTGTCTCGGATCTTGTTCGAGCCACCGTAGTAGGCTTCCAGGTGCCGGCGGTATTTCTCTACAAGGCTCTTGAAGACGGGCCACTGCACGCCGCAAACGAAGCCGCGAGTTTTCCACACGCCGCCTGGAAGGCTCTGAGGTTTCGAAAGAACCCGCCTATCGAGGAACAGCACCGTCTTCTCCACCTGGCTGAGCCACTTGTCCCAATTCTTCCACACGCCAGGGCCCTGATCCCTCTCCTCACTGAGCAGCTCGATCCCATCATGTAGCTCACGCATGCGTTTGGCAATTTGCCTGGACGTGTCTGGGTCCCGCATGCTGGACGGGGTCAGCGGGGTAGCGTTCAGGTACTGCTCGAACCTGCCATTGAGAAAGGTGCCAAGGAGGCGAGGGCCGATCTTCTTCCTAGCGAGCCGCCTCAGCACATCGAGCTCGTTCTTTCTGTCGATCAGATGCTCCACTTGGGGCCCATAGATTCTCAGTAACACCTTGGTGGGCTGTTTCTTGCCGGGCTCCCGGGGTAACAGTGACTCGGGAGGTGGCGTGACCACGTAGACAGCGTTGGTCAAGGCCCCACTGAGGCGCTGGACCGAGATACTCTCGCCGCTGTCGAGCGGCACCCGCCTCCAGCCCTTGAGCCGCAAGGTATGGGCCAGACGGATGATTTCGTTCTTGAATGAGAGCCAGTTCTGCTTGTCCTTCTCTTCCTTGCGGCTGGAGATGGAGGCAGAGTCGTCCGCGCCGGATTTGCCGCCCGTGTAGGCCAGTGTCTTTGAGTTGTCAAGGACGACCTCACAGCTGGGAACCACGACGTCGCCATCGAACCACTCGGTATCGGACGAGGCGGTCCGGCTGAGGTTCCTGCTTGACCTCTTTCGGTGCTTCCGCCCAAGGCGTGGGCCAAGCTGTGACACAGAATTTAGACCCATGGCGGCCATGCTGCTGTCCAAAATCGTCTGCAGCCTTTCCAGGGACACTTCGCTCGAGTCAGATTCGACGGAATCGGCCCGCGCTCTGCCTGGCACCGGGGCCGGAACACTAACATGGCGGTTGGGCGGTGATCTCCGCCGTCCGGTGAGCTTTCGAGATTTTTTGTTCTGCCGCTTGACCTTCTCCCGCTCCAACCAGTCCGCCACCTGGCTCAGAAGGCGTTCGGTAGCCAGGTCTAGCCTATGACGGTGATTGGGATGAGGCGGTTGGTTCAGAATATCTTCTATCGATCCCGAGAGCGCTGCAGGCGTTGAGTCGAGGCCGCTCTCCATGCTGACTTGGCTCAGAGACCTTAAAGGCGGGGTGGACAGAGGGGGTCGTCCGCTGAGTCGCTTGGCGACACCAGCTGAGAATTGCTTCTTAACCTGCGGGTCATCAGAAGGCGAGGGCTCCGGCTCGGCAATCTGAACAGCTGCCACGGATCAATACGGATTCTGGCGATGAACTAAGAGGGGAGTTGGACAGGCCAGGAGGGGACGGACGGGTCGTCTGTTGTGACCGACACATGGACAGCGTCTCGAATACCACAGCGGCAGTCTGAATGAATGAGACAATGTTCCTGCGATCCTCCCTTGACAGTGATAGGGAAACAGGGTTGAAAAGAAAACGACCAACCTTTGACTGTAGCATTGAACGGGAAACCCGACATTCTCTCGCTCTCGCTGTCGGATTTCAGGGCGGAGCGCCTCGGTTGGCTTGAAGTTCCCGGGGAGGGCGCAGACATGGTGGCGGCGCAAGCAGGATGTGCACGGCAGATGCCTTCTTTCTTGCAGATCGAGTTTGCTACAGAATGATAGGCGCAAGATAACAACAGAGGTCAGGCGGGCAGCGCAGTGCCCGATTCCAACTTTCGGTATCTAGTCCGCGTGATCGAGTTCCCTACAAAGGAATAAAGGACTTGACCTCCCTTGCTAAATAACCGAAAGCCGTGCTGGCTGGAGCGCGGAGTGGTAGAGAAGCTCGCCGTCTGAATGTTCGAGAGTTGAAGTAAAATATGGCACGTGAAAAAGGCTAAAGACAGCAGAAAATTTGAAGCAACTCCCTGAGTTGCTCAAAATGGCAGGTATCGGTGAAGCTGGTCTGGTGGGTACGGCAGCGGGAACAGATCAGAGGGGTCGGGGTCGCATCACCAGGATCTTGGCCCGTGCCCAGCCATGACGTCGGCGACTCCCGCTCTCTCCCGTCCTGGTTCCGATTTCTCGCCCCTGTCTTGGTGCCGCTATGAGGCATGAGCCTGGGCGAGGAAAGAACTTGAAGTATGAAGAAAACAATAGGGCAATTGCAAATACAAGCGAGTTATTGGAAACGAAAGGTGAAATAAGGCTGATTTGAAGCACTGTGTCCTCACCTGATGTTCTGCCTCGTTAATCCCATTGCATAGGTTTGCTTCGTAACCCTTTGCTGGCATCAGGCCACGCCATACACACCATACGAGGGTAGAAGGAGGTACCTCGCTAACTTCCAGCACTATAAGCGACCCGAGGGGTCGGAACTCCATGCGTCTCGGCCCCTGGATGCCAAACAGGATAAAGGCAAGGTCCGTGAGCGATGCGAAGGTCCACCATGGCCACCTATACAGCAACAACAAGCGGAGATATGGTACATTTGTGATACAGCTCGCCTATCTTTTATGTCAGCTCGTCTTCAACTTTCCCCTCCAGTCCTTCATGTGGTCCAGGATGATCTTGGCTCCTTGGTCAGGTGAGTGCTGCCGGCCCAGTGCCTCAACAAAATCCCCCTCAGGATCCATTAGATAGAAGTAGATGCTGTGGTCTACCAGATAGTCCTGCCCCGGCTTCACCTCGGTCGGCGTGCTGAAGTAGACGCGGTAAGCCTTGCACATGGCCTTGATCTGGTCATATGTGCCCGTCAGGCCGACAAACTTGGGGTGGAATTCGACGAGGTACTCCTTCAGCTCCTTGGGGCCGTCGCGGGCAGGGTCGCACGTCACAAAGACTGGTGTCATTGCACCGGGGCGCTGCTCCTCGACCAGGTCGAACATCCTTGCCATCTTGTCCAGCTCCTCGGGGCAAATATCGGGGCAGTGAGTGAAGCCGAAGTAAACCTAGAACGAGAGAGAGTTAGCCGAACATGCATGGGTGTAAATACTAATCTCCTGCTGCAACACGTACCAGGGAGTACCGCCCCTTGAGGTCCCGCTCCGTCACCTTGGTCCCATTTTGGTCCATGAGCTCAAACGGCCCGCCCACCTTGGGCCTGCCTACGCCCTTAGTCGACTCCGCTATCCTCTTTCGCTGCATCCTGGTCTTTTCGTTCTCGAAATACCACACGAGGCCGGCGCCGGTGAGCACAAAGAGGAGACCAGCCTTCCAAGAAAAGGGCTGCCAGGACAGAAATTAGCCGTAGTCAGACGGACCCAACCATTGCGTGACGCATACCCCTGATCTGTAGCGACTCTTTGCCTCCTCGACAGTGTTGTACTTAAACCTCCGCTGCACCAATGGCTGGTAGGGCTGGGACTGGAGTCTCGCAGGGCTCGGGGCCGTCGGTCGCTTGGCTGGAGGGGTGCTAGCCGTCGACAGGAGTCGGGTACATTGTGTCGTTGCTGGCGCCGCCCTCGGCATCGCCTTGATAACGGTGCGGGCTGTCGCCGCTGGTGGTGGCATTTCGTCAACAGGCGCCGGTGCGTGTGTTGAAATTGTATTCGTATGAGCGAGACTTTAGTTCAAGCTCGATTAGAAGCTCGCGACCGAAATCGCCTGATTGGCGCTTATCGGCCGACGTTCGCTAAGTGCATGCCAAGCAAGATGTTTACCTACAAGCTGAGTCTGTGGCTTTATGCATGTACTCACCTCAAACCCGCTTCATTCACTCATTCTCCAATTTCACATGAGCTTTGACGCGTCGGAACATCAGACCAAAGGGAAACACTCTTATGCCTGGATTAGTGAGCTAGATCGGCCATGCACCCCCGGATATTCACAGGACAGTGGGTACCGGCCCGGCTCTCGCATGGATGATGGCCTCCCAGTTTTCGACTTCTTTTTTCTCTCTGAATCCCGACTTGGCTGCCACTTCCCCGGACCGCAGCCAGCCACAGCAAGTCCCTCCCCCAACCACAGCCGAGGGACACAGTCGGCCTCCTCCCAACATGCCTCACTCAGAAAGAAGCGCAGCTGCCCCCAGCAGCGACAGCATCGACCACGGCGTGGCTGACGAAGGAAGTATCACTGGCAACACCAACAACTCGGCACCGAAGATGGCACCCTCCAGAAAGAAAAGGGGCACTGCTGCCGCTGTAAAGGCCCCTACGAAACGCGCTCGTCCTGGCACCGGCTCCAAGAAAACCAAGGGGGGAGGGAGTAAAAAGGCCAAGACGGATGCCCCGGCCAAGCAGCCCAACGCCGCTGATGTCGCCGATGGCGATGGCAACTCGAGCGAGTCGGACAACGGCCCCTACTGCCTGTGCCGGGGACCCGACGACCACCGCTTCATGATTGCGTGCGACCGCTGCGAGGACTGGTTCCACGGCGAGTGCATCGGTATGGACAAGCACACGGGCGAGAATCTGGTGCAAAAGTACATCTGCCCAAACTGCACTGACGGCGGCCGGTACACGACTCGCTACAAGAAGATGTGCTCCCTCACCGGCTGCTCTAACCCAGCCCGCGTCTACGACTCGGCCCGGCCGAGCATCTTTTGCTCGTCCGAGCATTGTCAGACATGGTGGGAGCAGCTGATCGCGACCCTGCCCCGATCCAAAGCCGCCTCCGCCACCGACTACCTCACCCAAGAAGAATTCATGGGTCTCTTAGACGCTCCCCGCCCACGCTCCTCCCAGGACGACGACGCCGCCGCCGCGTGGCGCCTAGGCAGACCGCCCTTCGAAACGCCGCCAAACTTCTGGGACCTACCCAGCTCCTCCTCTGCCCTCACGCCCGAGGAACAGTCCTTCCTGACCGAGTCTGCCTCGGCGCGCTACCAGCTCGGCGAGGAGATCGTCCTGTGCAAGAAGATGCTCCAGCTGGTCGAGATGGCGCTCAAGCAGCGCGAGGAGGCCATCGCAGCAGGCAAGGGCAGCGCGAAGGACCTGTGCGGATACGACAACCGCCTCGACACGGTCGGCGCGACCCACCAGTTTGCCCTCTTCCTCCAGACTCCGCACGGCGAATCCATCTTCAAAGCCGGCCGCTTATTAGACCCCTGTGCGCTCAACGCTACCAAATCCAATAACGGCACCAGCGACGGCGCAAATCGTGATGAGGAAGAACAACCATCACAACAACAGCCGCCGGGGAACACCACCAACAGCAGCAGTAATATCGCCAGCGACCCGGACTTCCCGACAATGTGCGCCAAGAAGAAGTGCAAGCCGCACAGCGGGTGGAGCGCCCTGCTGACCAAGACGGTGCGGCACGACATGAAGGAGCTGGCGGCGCAGGCCAAGGAGATGCTCGACGCCGAGCAGCGCGTGCGGGACGGCGCCGCGGGGCGGTTCCGGCGGCAGATGAGAGAGGGGAACGGGGTGATGGTAGTCCGTGATGGTTGGGATGGAGATGGGGATGGCGTTGGAATGGATGTTGATGGGTGACGACACCTAATTTGATATAAAGAATTGCAGCAGTCCGAGGAGGTGGACAAGTTGGGAAATAGAATGGGGAAAGAGAGATTGGTTTGATTATGGTCAGAATAACTTTGTAATGGAACGGGGACCTTGAGTGTGATACCGGCGGATGGGAACATGGGCTTCAAGGAGTTCGAGGAGGTGAGGTCTTGTAAGAGATGATACTGGATATGATGATTCACTTACTCCTCATCAGGGTTTATTGAGAAGCCGACGGGAGCGTCTTGGGTCTGAACTCAAACTCATCAGAAATCTATAATACACTCGTGTCTAACTGATAGCCGCCATCCAGCTCCGTACTTTTTTCATGAAACTGAAAACGCAACTTGACTCAGGGCCATCATCGCTGCAATGTCAGGACTGAAACTCGAAGATAGAGTCAAAACCAGCCGAGCCAACGCCCAACATCGAAAAACGGAGCTGAACCGGAGTTGTGGGTATAAGAACGCAAAAGGGGGACACTCATGACGAACCCTTCGTAACAGCGTAACGTAACTCGTGACGTGTGTAAGCAGAAAACCAATAAAGACAAATACAAAAGCCCCTTCCAGCTGGGTAAATAAATAATGAAGACCAAGCCAGGCTTCCCACCTGGCCTTCACAGGTGAGGCTGGAGGATACAAAAAGAGAAGTCGACCGGCCGCGAGGCCAATTTCCGTCTTGTTCCGGCCGCGAGGCCCATCCTGTCTTGTTCTGAGACGTCAGCGTCAGTGCCGAGTCTGAATCGCCTGTTATTAAATATGTCGTTCAAATCGTTTCGTCGTGTGAGTGGCCTTGTGCCGTCCGGCTATCATGAGGTTTGACCCGATGGTCCAGCGGTGCTGTTGGTTCCCGCTCTAGAGCAACCAAGAGAGCAACGGCGGCGATCCCTATCCGCCGCGAGATTTCGTTCATGCCCAGTTTCAGTGGGGGAATCTGGGTTTTGCCGACTCAGATGCAGGTTGCTCGTCTGCTTAGCTGGCCGCCACGCCGGTTGTGTATCGTCCTCCCTTTGCGAGGGATAGCCTAGCCATCCGCCACCTCTCACGCAGGGCCGGAGTCATCTCTTTTGTTCGTTATTCTGGCGCGTCCCGTCAGGCCCGTCGCTTCCCGGAGCCGCTCGTATGCCCATGGCTGCGGCGGGACGATTGCCCCGGCCGCTCGCGCCTCGATGAGCTGCCGCCACCGCCGGACCGTTCCACTTCACGCTCCAGCTCTTCGGCTCTCTGGCGAAAGCCGCGCACGATCTCGCGAATTTGGCCGATGCGGTCAAAATCCAATTCGAGTTCGTCGATCTGCGCCATGATCTCATGGTACCGCGCAATCTCGGCGTCGGCGTTGTCGATGAGGTTGCCTGCGCGGTCATAGACGCTGAGGGTGACGATCTGCGACTGCTCCATTAGGTACTCGAGTCGTTGCTGGATCGACTGCATTACCCGGTCGAAGTGGCGGCCGAGCGCGGTCAACGACGAGCTGTCCATCAGTAGCAACCCCTGGGATGAAGCCCTGCTTGCGGCGCGTGACGAGGTCGACCCCGCTGCCGCCGCCGCCACTGCTTGCTGGCCATGTTGTAACAACTGGATCTGGTCCTCTGTTAACCCGAGCTCCGTGTCTGGCACTGCATTGGCGTTCGGGGCTGCTTGCTGAGACGACGACATGGTGGTCGCTACTACGAAGATCTACGGCTCCAATACCGGCTAGCTGCCAGCACTGCGGTGTAGTCTAACAATGGCGCCTTCGGTATGGACCTTCTCGCTTCGTTGCCGATCGATATGGTGCGGCCACCAGTACGGTAGGGGCCCTCTGAAAGGTCGCTCGACAGCTGCTGGGCGAAAACCTGTGGTGTCCAAGTTGCTCTTGACTGTAACCACGAATGTTTACGGTGCACCGCCTGGACAGCCAGCCCTATTGTCTCCCGCCCAGTCGAACGGAGCACCGTGTTACGGAAGCGCGTGGGCACGACTGCGAAGTATGCGGTGGTTGGACTCGAAGACCCGGATGCCCGATTGCTGGGGGAAGTGAACGCGACACCTGAAGCTGGAGCGTCGGCGACGTTTTGGGCTTGTACGGCGTCATGGTTCCGCGAGCAGTGCCAGTCACTGCGTCGATGCCATAACAGCTTCGCCGGTCGGCAAGTGCGCGAAGATATTGTACGGGATTCTGGGACAGGCGAAGCGCTGAAACAAGCGACGGAGAGCGCGAAAGACGTGGTATTTCGAATGCGATAGATGGTCGAGAATACGTCCGGGTCCCAGTCAACCTTTCCTACTCTGGTGATACACACCCAATGAAGCTGCCCGCAGCCAAGCGTCTCATTCATCTAGGTGTCACGTTGTGTGCACTCCACCGTCAGTAACCTGTCGCGACAACGCATCCGTGTGCCGGAGTGTCTGGGATCTGAGGTTCTTTTGTCGGACGCCGTTTCTCAGCGTACCCAAGACATTGCGGCATTCGGCTGGGGTGTGCTGAAGAAAGTCGGCTGTTTCGAAGCCGCCCGGCAACGGTTTATGTGTTGGGTAATTGAGGATCCCTGACTTTTGGCGGCACACTACGCCCAATTGGGACGGTTACCTGGGCAGCGACGGGTTTGTTGACATTCGATTCCAGGATTCTGGCTCCGGACAGGATCAGTGCAACCAACGACCTTCTCCAACTGAGACTTACCCCTTCACCAATTGCAACCTTTTCAGCAACCACCCGTACTCAGGCGATACTAACATTTGCTTGCCAACCCGTCAGCGTTTGCTTATGGAGTTCGCCATCGTGCATTGAGACGCCCACCCCCCAGCTGCACTTCAAGCGTTGCCACCATGTCGGAAAGCGACAAGTACGAAGTGTTAGAAAAGATCGGTACGCATCTGCATGTTTGACATCTGCTGCACTCAGCAGGGCCGTTCGGTGCGCGCTGACACCGTCCCTTCCAGGCCATGGCTCCTTCGGCGTCATCCGAAAAGTCCGTCGCAAGGCCGACGGCATGATCCTCTGCCGGAAAGAGATCAGCTACCTCAAAATGTCCCAGAAGGAGCGCGAGCAGCTCCATGCTGAATTTCAAATTCTGTCGACCCTACGCCATCCAAATATTGTCGGCTACTACCACCGCGAGCATCTCAAAGCTACTCAAGATCTGCATCTCTACATGGAATACTGCGGAAACGGAGACCTGGGCCGTGTTATCCGGAACTTGGCAGAAAAGAACCAATATGCCGAGGAGTCATTTGTCTGGAGTATCTTCTCCCAGCTCGTGACGGCGCTCTACCGTTGTCACTATGGCGTCGACCCTCCCGAGGTAGGCAAGGCCGTGCTGGGGCTGGGGTCAACAGCGAGGCCGAAGCCGCCGACGGGGGGCATGACCATTTTACACCGCGACCTCAAACCCGAAAATGGTGGGTAATTGTCCCAGGCCAACTGCTACCACACGTGTCTAACTGTCGCAGTGTTCCTCGGCGAGGACAACTCCGTGAAGCTGGGCGACTTCGGCCTTTCCAAGGTGATGCAGTCGCACGATTTTGCCTCTACATACGTGGGAACTCCTTTCTACATGTCGCCCGAAATCTGTGCCGCCGAGAAGTACACACTAAAATCCGACATCTGGTCATTGGGCTGTATCATCTACGAGCTCTGCACACGGGAGCCGCCATTCAACGCCAAAACCCACTTTCAGCTGGTCCAGAGAATCAAGGAGGGGAAGATTGCACCACTGCCGGCCATCTACTCGGCAGAGCTCTTCGGCGTTATCAAGGATTGCCTGCGAGTGAACCCGGACAGGAGACCGGATACCGCAATGCTGCTCAATATGCCCGTCGTCCGGCTGATGCGCAAGGAAAGGGAGGTGGTTGAGTTTAGCAAGATCCTCAAAGCGAAGGAGGAGTCGCTTAACAGGCGTATCCGGGAGCTCGACCTGAAGCTGAGCGCACTTGACCAAGATAAGGCAACCATGCGCCAGGAAATCGACGCGTCGCTCCGGAGGGAATGGGAGGTCAAAGCTCGGCTTGAAATCGACAGGCTTGTCGCGTTGGAGATTGAACAGCTGCAGAGGAAGTTTGAGAGCGAGGTTCAACTGCGCGTGGACATGGAGCTACAGGTTAGGAAAGACGAAGAGGGGCGGCAAGATCTGTCGTCTTCCATATCCAAATCCGACTATCCCCACTCGTCAATAGGGAGCAACGAGGGCGGCGAGCTTTCCTCGGCGACAGACATTTCGGAGCTCTCTGTGGACTCGCCCGATGCGTCGATGCACCCTCTCAAAAAGACAGCTCGCACGCCCTTCGCCAGAGCCCAGACAATGTTCGCCATGGCCCCTGCGGGGACGCCGATGGACATCGAGATGGCCTCGCCGTCACCTATCACTATCGCATCACTATCGCTTTCTCCTCGCCGCAATGCTGGGACTAAGCCTCCATTGCTTAACCCAGGGAACATCTTTGCTGTCGATCAGCTGGGGCGAGATGCTCGGTGGGAACCCGCCCAAGACTCCGACTCGGAATTCGAAGACGACATCCAGCTTCCATCGCCAACCCGAATGATCAAGTCCAGCAAAAACCCTTTTAACCCCAAAGGACGGCCGCAACTACATGCCCAGAAGTCGATGCCAGTCCACCGCTTGCAATCTAAGCAATCGCAGGCGCTCCAGGGCAAGACAATCCCCGTCGCTTCCTCCACTCCTAATCTGCAAACTGCTGTTAGAACTACCGGTAGCAACGGCGCGCTGCAGGACCGTAGCAACAGCCCCAGTCGCCGCCTGAGCAAGATCCCGTCAGCCGCCAATCTCAAATCCAACAGCGGTGGCAGCGACGGTTTCTCGGCACCCCTCAACCTCAATCGCAAGCCCTCAATGGGCAAGAAAGACGGCAGCAGTGACCTCCAACAACAATCGCAAGCATCATCCGCCGCCGCCACCACCGCACAACCGCCAGCCCTCAACAAGCTACCCGCCCCGGGCAAGAACAACATCCGCGGCCGGACGCTCGTCGAGCTGCAGCAGGCCCGGGCGGGCGGCAGGCCGATGAGCGCTGTCTTCACTGGTGAGCACCACAACCACGGCCACAACCTCGTCCTCAACACGAACGTTAGCCCCGTTCGTGCGTTCAGGGAGCATGCGGCCGCGGCGAATCGCGGGACGGTCTTGTCGGAGCCGCCCGCCGTGTGGGACCCGGAAAGGGACGAGATGCCGAGTCCGTTTTTGGTGAGGCGGAAGCCGGTGAAAGGGGAGAGGGGAAGTGCGTGAGGTTTGTCCCTCGTTTTCTTTGACTTGGTTGGGGTTCTGGGGGCAGCGCCGTGGGTGTGGTCTTGGAAAGGATCACCCTCCCTCGATGCTTGTGTCAGATGAAGATACCCATTGCATTGTTCTTGGGGCCATTCGTTCATATTTTGTTGGATTATTTCCTTTGTTTGGAACCCATGTTAGTGGAGGGTTGTCTGTCAGCGGTGTCTGGGGCCGTAGTCCTGAGGAGGTGGGGGCGTGTGGGTTTGGGTATCCCTTCAATACAGGGCAGATTACCCGCTTATAGCTACGGCTTCAGCGTCGAGGATACGGCCAGCATGGGAGTACTCGTGTTATCTGGTCATCATTGTCATCGTCATCGTCGTCGTTGTCGTTGTCATCCCCCGCTCGTGAGGATTTTCAGGCCGCTTGTTTTCCTTTGTTGACATCCAACTGGGCGGAACGGAAGAGTGGGCGAGGGTGAAGACTTGGAAATGGGGCGTTTTGGTGACGGTCTGGGTTATTGATGGTTTGGTTTTACCGCGACGGGTCTGTTTGTTTAGTACATTGTTGGTGTACGGTTAACTACTGCCTCATGGGTTCGGGTCCCTCCTCTTCCTCCTGAAGTCAGTTAAATCACGTTGAGTACAAGCCTCCCATCCAATGGTCTTGTTGTCGTTATATGTGAGACAGTGTTCATCTGTTCTAGTGCGTCTTTGCTGCTGATTTGGATTGTACGAGGACATACTAAACTTGGCAAGGCTTGACCTCAGTTGGTTCTGCGAGTTGGTGTCTTCAATGCATGTTTCCAAAGTGTCCGAGGGGCTTTGTCACTCTCATCCATACGGAAGGAGCTGCGCTTTGTCCTGTCCACATTGCCTGCGATTTCTGTTGCCTCGTACCGCAGTTCCGACATGTCCTGATTAGCCAGTGATGGTCGGTGTCTTGTCTCCCTCAGGTATCACAATTAAGATGGCTCTATTGGACAGTATTTTGGTGGATTCTCCTCTCTTTTCTGTTTCTGTCCTCAGCCCATTCCCCCCACATTCTTAGGCTTTCTTTTTGATCTTATTGAAGGGGCCGCTGTATGTTGCGAGATGATAGTCCTGACGGCCAAGTCTAGCTGGAGTTCAGGAGTTGGGGGCTTCAAGAACAAGATGAACACCCAGTCCCGGGACCACCCTCCTCCCTAGTGAAAACCAGCAGGTCCCGGACAGCGGGCACTAAGGCTCGCCAAAGGGCATTTCGACAGGGCCGAGAGAGTCAGCAAGCGGCTCAATGCTTTGCTACGCCGTCAGGGTACCCACTGATCAACCGGGTCACCTTGGCAAGAAGACAGGAAAGCTGATGGCATGATGACAAAGTTGCTGCACGGTGGTGTGTCAAAGGGTGTGTGGGTATTGCTTAACCAAACATGCCCGCAAGGAGGGCGCCCGCGGGACTTGTTCCCCGAAGTCGGGACGCCCGCGGGGTAGCCCCGGAGCAAAAAGCCAAGTTGGCAAGCCTGGAGTGGTTGAGGACATGGGAAGGGGCAATCGAGGGGTTGTGATGTGCGAGTTACTGGTCCCTTTGACAATTTTCAGGCAAGTAGAGTTTGTGTCAGACCAGACAACCACCGAGCAGATACCTGCTGACCACCTGTTGCATGCACCGTATCTTTCTATGTACGCCCAGCCGGCGCTGGTCTTGACTGTCCATCTGCAGTACGCCCTGGCCGACTCCATGACGGTGGCCCCTCTCACCCTACGCCGATCTGACGTTTCAACCGACACCCTCTCACTCGTTTAGTGGTAGCTAACTCCTCGCGGCGTCTGGAGAGCGCATAGCCTTTGTAGTCTGGTTGAAGCGAGGTATGTAGTATGTGCGAAGACATATACGGATCCGTACAGCTGTTAGAAAAGCAGGGGCAAACCGAAATTACATTCAAGTCTTCTTGTCAAAGTGTGATTATGGCTGTGGACGGCTCAGTGACGAATAGCGGACAGCCTTGCCTGAAGAGGAGAACAAGACCGCCTGGGGTCTGGGGGAACGTGACTGGCATCACAGCACACATGAGACGTGTGGCATGCAGGGTAGTCTGTAGGGCGACCTGCAAGCTGCCATGTCTCTAGCCAAATGCTGTCTGCAGTGATGGGATTTTTAGCAAGCCACAGGAATGCGAGAGCAGAGGTCAGATCGGATTTTCAGTCAGTTGCCTCTCACCCAGCCGCCTTGATGATGCATTTGGCGAGATCCATCAGGTCGGCAATCTCTGCCAATGTGATCGACTCAACCATGTCGCTGCACGCGGCCAGCCTGGAAGCCTGATTATCTGGTGGATCACCACGTCAGTGCCAGCACACCCAGGACTCGAGAAGGTACTGGACCTTATGGATAGCGGTGTGGTGTCCACTGGCTTGGAGCTCTGCCTTAAGAGTCCGAGGTGCGGCCGCTGCTCCAAGTGGAATGCTCGCTCCATCGATATTGCGGAGGAGCTGGACAAGTGTCAACTCCGTACGGAGTACCGTATGTACGGACACTCTCTCAAGGTACTCCGTACAGGTCCCTGATCTGCCGGCTTGCTTCTCGACGCGAAGGCCTCTGAGGTTCCAAGGGTGGTGCGACATGTGGCTTGCGTAGCGTACCCGTCGTGGTACTTGCTCATTACCATAAGGTTATGGGGTGGGGAAACACGCCCCGGCAGTCCTGCAACCATCAGACCACTTCCAAGATTCTTTTCGCGCTAGGATGCAGGGCATGTGAGAGCTCTGGATCTTGTATGGCCTGTATGGAGTAAACAATCACTCACCCTCACCTAACAAGTATCAGCAAGTCATGTTGAAAACAGCGTTTGTCTGTCCCTGGATGGTTATGAGCGTGGCAAGTCAAGCAAGGATTATTCGAATTTCGAACGTTAAACTTCAGGGTGGCTGGTGCTGGACAGGGGGCGTCTCCGTATCCGCAAGCTCAAGAACTCGCTTAGCCGGCGTGGACAAGGGGACCAGGAGGCCGAAATAAGGTGAGACATTTGACGCAACGGTCGAGAAACGGCATGGGAAATCGTCCAATGGGAGCAAGGCAGCCAGGGAAAAGCAACGAAATAGGCTTGGGGCCGTTTCAGACTCACAACTGATTTTCTCCCTGCGAGCTCGTTCTTCCTGTGATGGACACTGGAGTTGTTCGCCTTCACAAACATTGATGCTCTGCGATCGAGGCGAGAGAGGTTGACCCAAGTGCCGGTTCGTCCAATTCTTCCTTGTACTGTACGATCCCCAAAGTATGGATATGCGCTCTCGTTTTCTCCATGAAGACAACGGCCGCCGGTATTGAACGCCAGAACTTGAAATTGTCATTGGCCTCTAATGTTGGACGTCAGAAGGCGAGCTTGTGATTAAAAGCGCTCAAAGCGGCATGGAAACACTGCTTATTGATTCGTCAACTTGGCCGAATCTGCGCATTCCCAGAGAGAAGTGCTCCGCTGTATCGAAGAAGGCTGTGATCTGCAACTGCCAAGTGCAGCTCCAACTCAGCAGCTCATCGGGGAGCTGTGCCGGGCGTGATGGAGATGCAACAAGTGCGTTGGTAATCTGATAGGTGACGTATTACAATGACTGGCAGCTTGACTGTGGCAATTCCAGCTCGCTCGCGGGGAATGCGCTCTTGATTTGACAGCGGCAGGCGGGACATCGTCCGGAGATCCTTCCAGACCAGGCTTACCTCCTTACAGTATCTGGCGATGATCGCCAAACTGGCAGAGAGAACGATGGATGCCGGCGGTCCGGGGGGCTCCAACTTGGTGCTTGACCAGCCAGCTTCCTCGAAGACGCCGATCAACGACACCAGCGTGGGCCAACCGGGCCGTAATGCATCACGAGGAAGCTGCCGATTCCCATGGGAAGCGTGTTGGAGCAGCTTGAGGAAAATTAATCTTTGCTTAAACTCCAAGAAGAGCGTTGGCTCTCAATCGGCTATCTGCATGGTAAGCGGCTGTTTTGGTTGGCGTTGCTTCTGTGTCCTCCGTAGTAGCATCCGAGAAGAAAGGTCGCAGGTGATGGATGCAGGCCGCTGGCAGAGTGCTCGGCAACAGGACGAAGATTAACCCTCCCATGCCAGCTTTCGTTAGCCGGTGTCCGCGGCCGGCACTGAACCCGAGAAAGCTTCACGGTGGGTGGGATGTGAAAGGCGACACCCCGTGTGATAATCCTCCGATCGGAGTAGACATGTTACCCATCAGGGGATGCGAGCATGCCAGCCAGATGGTTCTGCCAAAACTGCTGCAAGCAACCCGGCGTTGAGCTGGCCTACATATCGCAGGTACCATGAAAATGAGTCTTCAGCTTGGACCATCCGTGACCCGTCTAACGTGACAGTATCGACAGAACCTTGCCATATCGAGCCCGATAAGTGAAAGGCCAGTAGCGAACTGTCCAAATCGGCTCATTGACGGCTCGCTAAGCATCGTGTTTCTTTTTGCTGTCAACCCGTGCAGGATTCAGCCAGCGTGCCTGGAGCTGCGCCCAATTAGTTTACGAGAAGGCCCACGACACTCTGAACGGCATCGAAGTCCATTATGGTGCTCTCCGCCCGTCACAGATTATGGAGCTTGATGACGCGCAAAGGAACACCGAGGACTGAGATACAGAGTTGGCTTGTCATGATAACCTACCGTTTTCGGTGAGAATGACGAGTGATTGCCCTTTAGCAGCCCCAGAAGGAAGCTGCCATAGGCGGTGTGACGCTGGATTTGGACGGGGATCGATATTGACACCCTGCTGCTAGTACCGGGTTCCGCCATTCCGAAATGGGGAGCCAACGATGCCGTGCCGGGAGAGTTGGTGGTATCCTCGTAAAGTTGCTGACTTCGTACATGGTACGGGAGAGAGGTACTTCGGGCTCCGTTAAACAGTGCCTGGAAGACGACGCGCTACCACGGGAAAGACCAGTTAGCGAGCCCGCCGTCCCCCTAAGCGAGAAAGACCGATCATTTGAGGAGAAAAGGGCTGCTGGAAATCTAGGTTTGTCGTGGTCCGGAGAAAGGGCGGCATCTGAGACCCGGCTGGTTTGGATTCCGCCCTGCGTCTCTGCCATAATGCAGCGCGAGGGGGAAAAACCAGGCAGATTCGAGTACCTAACAAAACGACCGAAACACTTCTGTTCGGTTTGCGCCTTAACGTTTCACATTCTGATGAGTGAAGCCTGATTGCGCGTTGTGATACCGAGTGTGACAGGCTCTGTGGTCCAGGAGAATCTCGACCGCGCGGATCGAGAAATTCCCACAAACTCTATTCCGGTGGAAGATCGCCCTGGTCGCATCGGGGATGTGGGCCGAAGCCGCCCCCTTGCCCGTCCTCTCTGGCCAATTGGGCGGTTTTGGAGGTTCATTCCAGGCAGCCAAAGCTGTCACAAGGAACCAAGCTGCAGTCGAGTTACATCATTACCCTTCATGCTCAGGCAAGCTGGGAACTTTGCCAGGTCCGGTTTGGGAGCGAGCAGGCGACACGGCGCCTGTTCACACTCTCGCGCCCACCCTCGACTGTGGATTTTCGGAATCTGATATCTGGATAAGCCGGAAGCGCGGAGCGGCGAGAATATTCTGGAAGTCAAAGCCGTTAGCCCAGCGGGGCATAACAAGGTACAAGACTTTCTCTGCTGGCGAAGCACCAGAAGCGATGGACGTTGAAATATCGGCGAGCTCGGCTCCATCCAGAATTGCTTTGGGCGTCCGAAACAGGAAGGTGTTTAAGGGAATGTTGACGGCAAGACATGTGGGTGCGGCGTGGCATATTTCCCGAGCCGAAAAGGTTGAAAACGGTCGCCGATCAGAAACTATTCCCAAAGGGGTATGATTCCCTTTGGGAGCATAAGCGAGAGACGCTAATTTGACGCCACGTCGATCGTCCGCCTGGCGGGTAATCTCCGTTTAGGAAACCGGTATTGCTTGCAGGGGACAGAGACACTCGAGTGCGACGCTGTCGCCAAAGAGATGCGGCCAAGTGACCATGGCGAAGGAGAAACGAAGCGGCAGTCTTGGGCTATATCATCCATTATATAGTCGGCAATCAAAGAGCGCCCGAAGAACAGCCGCTCCCTGCCGTTCGAGACGATCAGCCCGAGCCGTAACCGCGGAACGAAGAAGATGAGAAATACCAATCTGTCGAGGTCTTGAAGAGGTGGACCAAAGTCCCATGTTGTTGTCCGCGTCCTCGATTGAGCTGTGAGGGCTGGCGACCCTGCATCCTCCAGCAAAGTTGGGAAATCTCGGACGTTGCTGGATCAAGGATTCATCAGCAGAGGTCATGGAAGCTCGATGGCGAGCGGGACACGAAGTAAGAACCCCAAAGTCTGAGGTGGCTGGAGGATACAGCAAGCCACAATAACAAGACCATCTCATTGATCTGGCCCTGGCCGCAAGCTGCCGCCGAGTTGGCGGGCCAGCCGCCCTGGAACTTCAATTGCTCTGGAAGACCCAGCCAACCGGCCCGGCGGCGCAGGTCCGCATCGGGCCTCAGGTTCAGATCTGATCGCGGGGTCCTGGTTGCACTCGAATGTATCCGTATCATCGGATGTGGTGAGCTTGTGGAGGCCGTGGACGTGATCATCTCCTGACCTGGAAGTGTCGAAACCATGGATCTACAAACTCAGCCGGCTAACAGAATCGATTCTCGAATCCATTGGAGGTTGCGACTGCTTGAGTGGTAGCCGCATTTCTTGTGGGTGCCATTTTGTGGGCGCAGGTGCTTTCCGTGAACCACATAGGTAGGAAAGAGCAGTAAAGGCTGGGACGCCACTACCTTACCTAGTGAATAAAACAGGAGGGACTTGAATGCCGGCTCAGGCAGCCGTCAGTCAGGTCTCCCACTCCACTCCTCCATGTGATCGCACCTTGGTCGAGCTGCACTTAATCCAAATCCGACCGATCACCGAGGTATTGTACCTAGCCAGCCTAAAGGGCATAAATACATCTCGCAGTGCATCCGGAAGTCAGCACAGTCCGATTCACTCGGCGAAACTCTCGTGCCTCACCATCCAAAGATGATGCATGTCGAGGCATGCATCCCGTAGGAACAGGGAGACGGCAGCCGTTAAGAGTCTGCCTGCATGTGCCGGTATGTCGTCCCAAGTGTGCATGCCAGCCATGTCCGAGCGGCGACGACTTGGTGTTTAGACTGCTCTCGGGAATTTCATCCCGTCCTTATGCCTTGAGGCCTCGACCGCCGTGCTGTGAACCCAGATGCGGCACAGTCGCCCCAATCCGGCCATCCAATCTCTCCGCTGGCCCCTGCCGCAGGTCAAACACAATGCCAGACAGGCTGAGCTCTTTCCGGCGTCACCCCGATCAACAATAAGACTCGCTACCACCAGTCATTACGACCCTTGAATCCCATCGACCACTTTGTCTCACCCGGACGAGACTTGGGCTCGACCTTTCAAAGAGATTGGCCTTTGTTTCCGAGGGATCCCAGTTGTTTCTGGAGAAAACGTGCCTGGAGCGTGGAGCACCTGGAGTATGAGCCATTCTCTGCCTCCATCCAACTTGCTGTCTCATCGAGGCCAAGAACAACATCAGCTAAGGGTGACATAATTGATGTCCTTCATGCTTGAAGGTCGGGCAGGACTTGGTGGTGGCAAACGCTGCAGACGGGGACGATTCTGCCAAGGTTTCTACTTGCAGCCACAGAAGCTCCTAGCTCATTAAGCGATCGCAACGGTACTGTAGTATTCAGGCCACTCGCGAAACAAGTGGTGAACAGCAAGCGTCACGGTAGAGGTCTACCGTGCCCTGTACGTACGTCATGGAGTCATCTTGTCAACAGACAACAACTCCCGACAGGCCCGAAGTTCTGACACCAAACCTCGAAACCTTCTGCCCGGGTTTCTTAGGGGCTTGCCGGGTTCCCTAGAATAACTCCTCCTCCCTGCAGCGCATCTGGAACGACCACGCGAAATATGATCAGCAACCATGCAGAGATCCAGGCCAGACACCAGAGTTCTGGAAGGCGATGTGCAACTATTCGAGTGTCAACCACTTGATGCCTATTTCGACATGGCGGTTTGAAGACGTCGAAGGTGACCGGCATAAGAGGAGCTCAACGATCCGGTCACAGCACAAGCCAATGCATGCAACCCCTGGCTGCCTTACCCGCGATCCTGCACAAAGCTTGGGGTTGACTTCGTCTCAAGTTCGTGGTGTCTGTGTGTCTGGAGGCCATCAGGGGCCCCGCCCAAATCGCCCAAGGGCAGGGGTTTTCGGGTACGTACCGATCGTTCATCTTACCCCTCCACCTCACGCACAGGACAAGGCTTGGGACCGGCAGTATCTCCTGTTCTGGCTAGGTGGGCCGTGTGGCTGCGAGTTTCCAGCGAACCGGCAGCCAGGAATGTGCAGGTTGTGCGTCACCGCCTTTCCAGTTAACGTTAGCAGCTCGCGAACACAGCAATGAACGAATGCACCAGTTGTCCTCGCTGGGTCCCGTCGAGCAGTTCGCTCGCTGAAGAAGCTGGGGTCCGCATACGAAGCATTGTCTTAGCTTCTCGGCCGGCCTTGGCTGACCATGAACTCCGACGTTTGGATTCGGCCGATCAATGGCAATCAGATCAGTGCGGGTTACGACCAGAGGCCCTCGATCCGCCCTACCCTAGAGCTGGCAGTACCGTACGATGCAGAGCCGAATTACTACCTAATGCCTAAGTGATGTGACGGGACCTCGGGCTTGGGCTCAGGCATCAGTTCAAGACGCCCGGTACGCACTCGGAGTCAGAGAGATCATATAATAGGAGGTGTTATAACTCCGGATGCATGGATGCAGTACCGTATGTATCTACTGTACTTCGGCCAGTCAAGGCAGGGGAATGGTGATGAGGGGGGGTGGGTGGGGGAGTGGTCCCCTCTGATCAACACCGGCCATGGGTCCTTGAGCCCTGGTCTGGCACTGCACACCCCAGGCCGCCGGTCAGACCCACACAACTTTGTGACAACACCCGCTGGCCGCCTTGATTCCGGGGATCAATGTGTGGATGTCGTGTGGGTTCCCGCTAGAGATCATCCACAGATTCTCAAGGAAGTTCCTTTTCGAGATCTGATGGTACAAAACGCCCCGGTTCTCCCACCCCCCATCATCTCCAAGCTTCTTGAGACATACTGCTTAGTTTTTAATCCAACCAGTACTTTCCACAGCAACACAAAATTGCCCACTTGGGATTTCGACGTCTCTCGCAACACGCACACACAATCCGGCATACGACTCACTTGCAACGAAAGCTGGCAGCCGCTTGCTTCCAATAAACTTACCAACTAGCCAGTGTCCGTCGTTTAGCCCTGCCACCAGCAGCCAGGCTTATATTCCATATCGCACAACAGCCAGGACGAGCACAATGGCCACAGCACATTACGCGCATGCACCTCAACAAACCCTTCAGTATGGTTACATGCCACCACCCTCGCCTCCAATGGACGATACGGCAGCAAAATGCTCTCTCCCGTCCATCTCGAATCTCTTGGGGCTAGCAGACCAAGGATCGCCGACCTCAGAGACCTCGCCCCAGTCTCAGCAGCAGCAATGTATGATGAGCAGCTCGTGGTGGGACGTTGGACCAGACGCTGACGACTCAACCCCAGCACAAACATGCAAGCCCGAAACACGGCCCAACTCTTCGCACTACGGCAACCCGGCAGTGCTCCGGGCATCTCTGCCGCCCAGTCCCCCAATGTCCTCGGATGCATCTTTTGAGGGATTCAACTCGCCGTCGACCAGGTCGGTGGGACAAGTATCGAATTCGTCGAACTATTATTTTGAGACGACACCGCCGGTCCAGTTGGATGCCGATTCAAGACAGGTGACGGCTGCTGCTACGGTGCCACGAGTCTCAGTCCAAACCTCGTCTTATCAGCCGCAATTCGCCGGCCCCTCTACGTATATGAGCCAGCCGGCCATGACGTCGTACTATCCCCCAATTCAGACGGCATCGACCCCGCAGTCCCAAATGTCTGGTCTTTATTACCAGCGCCCTCTTCCTCAAGTATGTTCGACGTGAAGGTGCTTGCATCTCAAAATGCCGTTCGGGAAACTAACATGTCGCTTCCAGACTTTTCCTCCGCCACTGCCCGTGTCCGTAACGCTCGCCCCGTCGGCGGGCAACCCCTGGCAGCACCACCACTACATCGCCCCTTCGGCGTCGACTTCCTTCCCGCAGAGCCAGGACCGGTACATCTGCCAGACTTGCAACAAGGCCTTCTCGCGGCCCAGCTCGCTGCGGATCCACAGCCACTCCCACACGGGCGAGAAACCCTTCAAGTGCCCCTTTCCCGGTTGCGGCAAGGCCTTCAGTGTCCGCAGCAACATGAAGCGGCACGAGCGTGGTTGCCACAACTACGACAGCAGCAGCAGCGCCGCCGTCAGCAACGCCAGCGGGAGCAGATCCTGAAGTCACAGGTCGCGGCACGATGGGAAATTCGTGTATATCTATTTTGACAACAGTCGGACCGAGCCACAACCATCCATAGAGCCTACTCTGCGATCCCGAACCCTGGCGGTACAGGATACGGCTACCTACCCCTATGGCAACAGGTACAACGGTATTTTTAGTTCCTAATTTCTTTTTGTTTGCCTTGCGGGCGATCACCACATTGGGGCGGCGTTCAAGGGTCAACGCATCAGAGCTGCACAGCTTGACGCATGGGAATTGAAAACGGAGGGTGGTGTTCTGGCAAAAGGTTTTTCCTCTTCCCTGGGTTGGGCATGACGGGCAACGGAGGTCTTGGGGGCGAAGTCTTTATTGCGGGAACGAAGTTTCCACGGCGCTGGTGGTGGTGGTTGGGGCGGCGGCGAACATGGGTCAAGGCACCGAGAAATCTTGGTCTGGGTTGTCAAGCATTTACACGGGCGTTGTTCGTTTTTTCCCTTTTCTAACCCTTGTTTTGTTGATTCCATTTTTTTGTCCTTCGATCATGTTTGACATGATGTATCCGACCAAACGTTTCTCTGGTGCATCTGGGGCAAACGTAATGTGTATAGATCTCGTTCCGGGACAGGCCGCGTGGGTGGCTCAGGGTGGCTTGTATGATGTCGGTGGAGAGAGTGGCAGATGCCGGATGAGGTGTGGCTCACTGTAGCCGAACCGAGCAAAAGCTTCCTTGTGGAAAATGGATGGCAAGAACACATCATTTCCAGTACTGCACCAAGGAAGAACCCGGAGCGTGACTTGTGCGCCGTGGCGATCATGTTTCGAATCGCGACAGGCGCCAGGAACTTCTACAATTCCCGAATCAAGTCGCAAAGAGACACGCATCGGGCAGCAATCACCTCGTGTGCAACCCCTCGTTCGTCGCTCGTCTTTGCGTGAGATGCCGAGGATCGAGACAATACAATCGTTCCGAAATTGCGCGGTAACTCGAAGGTCCATCCCGAGTTACCGGATTTCGGAACCACTAATAAACATACTTCAAATTTCAGCATGTCAAGCCATCCTGGTCAGACAATACCCATGCGATTCTGACAACGAAGTCTTGAAGATCGCCTACCGACTTCGCGCCTACCTCTCTATTGATAAAAATAGCACCTTAACTGTGCTCACTAGTTCTGCAACAGATCCATAAAGGGGATTTGTCTTTGCACATCACCATAACTAGACCCGCCCTCGTCGCTTTTCTTCAACTGCCGCACCGCATCCCACAACCAGACCGCCTTTTCGGGTCCCCGGATTTTGACACGACCGACCCTCAGCGTGGCCCGGTGCTGCCGGCCGAAACGGATCTGAACCCTTGGCGGATACCCCACGATACGTGTTCAGGGATGAGCGAAGATCACTCGGGGCGCTTCCGGGGGTGATAAACCGGAAGTGGAATTGCTGCTCCCGCTAAAATGCAGGTACCGGTATTCCCGTATTCGTGACTCTCATTCATGACAGTGAGCGATGGAGACAACAGGCAAATTTTGCAAATTAGAGAATATGAATGCTGCGTAAGCTGCCGAGGCAAGGGAATGGGGGTTCGCTGCTTGATACCACGCAGCCGGCAGGAGATTGGGTGTTATCCATCCATTACCTCCACTGTCCACATCTGTATGTAAAATTCGAAAACATGGCTCGCACGAGGCAGCATGAAATGCAGCGCCGATCACTGATCGACACGGTGACATCCTGTCACTCTTGCATTGGTGGCCTCTCGCCGAAAGTCCCCTGCTTCCTCGCCAAATGGTTCCCCATTCAGATAAGAAGAACAAGGCTTGGCAGGACTTTGGTAAGCAGATCGACATGATTGACGAAGGGTTTGGAGTGGAGACGATGAACGAGAGAGTTGAACTGATCAGATCGGCTTGCAAAAGTGCGGAATTGGGTGAAGCGCCCGAGGAAAAGCAGCCCCCCCCCCCCCAATAAAAAAAAATAATAAAAAAAGGGCGATGTTGAGGACAGAGAAGCGAAACCCCGCGGATTAGTAGCTGGAAGGACTGCTCACTCACGTCGCCGCGAACCTCGGCCCACGCAACGGACATCGGGGTCGGCTTTGGAAGCTTCGAGTGCAGATCGCCATGCGCAGCGTCACGCTGCCATATCTTTTCCCGGTACGGTACCGACATGGCGTAGAGGAAACCTCGAAGGGATTGAGAACCGACGCGCAATCACGGTGCGGGCGGCTAATGTCATGAGCCGGCACAGAGGTTTCAGGGCCAACAGGTGATAGCTGAGAGTGTATCTGTACCTCCATGACTACTCTGTATGCTGCATGCTGTATCCGTAAGTACACTGTACTGGCAAATCAAATACTCCCAGCGGGTTCCCTGGCAGAAAAGACAAGCCGCTCACAGTCGTTGTATGAATTGAATGACAGTGGGAGAACGTCTGTTGAGAAGCCGCGTGTCAACCCACAGCGTTGAGCAGGAACCATCGATGTGAAGTTCACATGTTGGCCCGCCAAGTCAGGTCGGGCTCTCGACGTCATTGCGAAATCCAGAATTGCGAACCCGAGAATGTCAACCCACTGCTAGTTATCATTGATTTGTGCCAACGCCACAATGGGAATAGTTTATGCCACACACCAAGCGTACCACAGTACTGTGTGGTGATCCAATCGCTGCGTTCTTGGTTGTCCAAGGACGGAGTGCTGGTGGAACACATGGGAAACTGGCAAACATGGACATCAGGAGGAAAGGCCCCACGACGGCACGGCGCCACGACAACACCATTGCCCAATGCGCCAGATCTATCGTTTCATTGATCGCCACAAGCGCAAACTTGGCCGTTGCCGTCATGATCAGCACATCAAGATGCTATTTCGCAAGCACGGCAGTTCGGACGACAATCGGTATTACAGTACTCAAATCCGCCACAGCTGACGTTCTAAGCAATTGTCCCGTCGTCGACATAACTATGCAAAGGCAAGATCATCCATCAGGAGCCAGCCTGCCATGTTATGAATATGTGAAAGAGATATTGTCACCTCCGGGGTTCAAGTGCTGCAGTCCGGCAGCCAGAATTTGCCAACTGTTTGTTTGCGGCACGGGGATGAAACGATGGCGCCCTGGTGGCGCCGAAAGGGCCGTGGCGATCACGGTGCTAGCGTTGAATTACCGGAGCACGCACCAACCACCCGCTCCCGTGTTCTCGGGTTCCTCGCTAATAGAAAAGGAGGTCTCCTCTCTGGACTTTGCATCAGAGGTTCACCAATCTCGTCTATGTACGTATGTCTCAGACTCGCATGTGCCCTGCCCCGAACGGGAATGGCTGCCTTGGACCTTTCGTCTTTGGGATTCCGAACACAGACACACACACTCTCTCTCTTCGATCGAGACAGGGCAAAAGACAGGAGATTTCTTGTTTATATAGATAAGAATGGAAATCTCCGAGAATTTCAAGCAGTGGGGCTAAACCCTCTTCACCTGGCCCATGGCGTAGAGACAGATTGGGCGTACGTTCATACCGAAGAAGAGGTTTTACATAAGGCTGGTCAAGTGAAGGATCGCCATTGCCAGATGGGTAGCGTTTTTGTCAAGATCCAGACCACCAATCAGTCAATGGGCTTTAGGCGCAAGCCGCCTACCACCACTTGAACTCCCCTAGCAATGGCACACTAGAGCCAGTTGAGGAGGGAGCGGAGATGTCAATTGAAGCTATTTCTAGATTGCTTCATTCAGTGGTGATTATGATCCTGTAGTGTTGTCCATCCGCCCTTCAGGAAAAGACCATGGGGTCAAACACTGGGGGGCGCTTCTACGGCAATGGTTCCCCGGGGGTTCCGGTTGGTGATTCCAACGATGTTGCCCTCTTCCTAGTGGGATGGCTAGCGATGCGGTTCATCAACGAGCGCCCTCTATCTGTAATACTAAGGAAAAAAGCGGCGCTGTATGGTGTTGATGCGAGCTACATCCGCTCTGGTGGGTGGCCTGGGGTATTTGGCCCCTTGACTGATTGGTGGTCTGGATCTTGGCAGAACGCTACCAGTCTGGCAATAGCCATCCTCTCACCAAATAGCCCGGCACAGGTTGGGAGGATTGGAAATCACGTTTAAGCGATACAGGGATATGTAATTCCCTGGTTGATGAAGGGCCCAGACTGTGTTGACCGGTGTTGGTGGTGTTTCAGACGCACCGCCTTTGACACGCCGGGTCGGCTAGGTGCCGACGCAAAAAAGGGGCTGAAGTACACAACAGGGGTAAATTGACGGTTGCCATATATAACCCTGAGTTTTGGCAAACCGAAGCGTCCGTGACAGTTGAAGGGGAGAGTCACTAACTTATCCCCGTTGCTGTCGAGACTGTCGCTCGGTGATAGTAATGAACTAACGGTGTCCTTCCCAATCACACTTCACTGGTGTTCGTAAGTTAGTTCCTGGGGCGTGGCCGAAGCAGGCCGTGTTTGAGAGAGTGCCCGTACGGTGGCAGGCTCAGCACTACGCAAGGCCATTCCGGCATATCTCGTTTCGCGGTATGGTGTGGTTGAAGACGGAAAGGCGCCTCTCGCGAGTCAGACTCAAGAGGTCGAGGCCGAGCGCCGCCCTCTGTCTCCCGAACATGGCTCTGAAGTAACCATTGGAGGACCACACTGGGTTTCCACGGTGTAGTCTACCTCCGTATCATTGAGGTCAGCGAGCATGGTACAACCTGCGGGTGACCTCGTATCTCCCGGCAGTCTTGTCGAACTAGCCAGGGAAGAAGTGAAGCAGCGAGCACCCCGCCTCCGGGAGACGAGACTTGCTTGGTCCAATAGCTACAGCCAACTCAAAAGCGCATAACGCTGACACCTGAGCGAAGGCCACTGTCTTGAGCACTCCCTCACACAAAGAGATGCCCTGAACCAAAGGGGTGCTTCAGGATTGAGGACCGAAGGCCGAATATTCTTGATGGTAGCCGAACGACACAAGCGCTTGAGGCAATCTCCCCATCTGCTAAAGAACGCGCCGAATGCTTCGTAATTCTACGGCATTCCTTGTTCTCTGGCAGAGCATGGTCGAGTGCTATGCATTGATTCGCTCCCCAAGCATAAAGCTCCTCAATACCCCGATTCATCGTTCCAATACAGTGTTTCATGAAATACCTTGGCGTACTGTGTTAGCCGGCCATACCCGATACAGCGGCATGTCATCGATGGGGGACTCACTCTGGCCGGGTTGTATAGAAGTCCCAACCAAACTTCATTCGGATGAACTGTTGCAGGTGCCTCGCAACCTTGATGGCGCCAACTTCCGTACGATGCCACTGCGGAGCAATGTCGTTGTGCTGCAGGATGCCTGCCGTGTTGAAGGCTTTGTCTTCTTGCCTGTTCTCGACGTCTTCTTGGTCACGCCGTCGTACCAATGGGGTTACGGAGGTACGCGTCCGTGTTGAACCTGTTGGGAATATATAAGCCCTACAATCACGGTGAGGGGGGACAGGTGAAGGATCCACGCACCACTTGACCATCTGGTAGAGCTCATTGGGTCAACCCTAGGGCGCGTTGGGCAGAATAGGTGTTTCCAAATTCATAGAAGCCCCGCCAGTGGGACTAGGCAAAACCTATGCGTTAGAGCGTGCCAAGGGCAACTGAAGTTCACCAAGATACGCTAACCATGACAATAACCTGGGCCTTGGGCCACTTGCCGTGAACTCCCTGGATGATCTTGGTCACGGCATTAAAGTAAGCCTCAGTCGAGACGTTGTTCGCCTGGCTGTTGTCGTTAGTGTCAATATCGATGACGACGATGTCAGCAGGGGATTGCTTGCTGAAGTCCCACGGCTCGGGACCATCTGTGTTTTGTGTAAGAAGATACTCAATTCCTGTGATGAGACCAGCGTGAGGTAGTCTCGCATAGAATGAGGGGCGGCGAACCGCCATGAATCACAGAAGCCCGGTAGCTCGTATCCGAGGTGTAAAACCACTGATAGACTTGTCCATGAGGGTTGCCCCAACACTCTTGATCAGTGGCGTATATGCCTGGATAGGCAGTGATTTGAGTATTCCGTGTTGCGCAACCCAGCGCTTGAGGCCACTGACAGTTGTGTCAGCATCAAGTGTACGCATAGAGACTGAGAGCGCAGCTTACTAGCCCCAGCTTGACAGCCCTTCATATGGGGTGTACATGCCTGAGGCGAGACTGTCACCAATGACCTCAATCCGGCGGCCGAAGTCGGGGATCTTGATAAGCTTCTCGCCCTTGGCAACATGGACGGCCTCAATCTGTATCCCATAAGCCCAGTTCGACACGCGCATCTCAGATGTCCACAGGTTGATGGGCCGTGTTTCGCTCGAGCCTGGCGTATCAGGGCTCACAAGAAGATGTGTGGCGCCTGCTGTGATGTTTGTGAAGATCCAGTCCAGTCCGTCGATGCGGTACCCGACGAGGACGCCATTGCTGGTCAGATTGCCGAACGAGATGGCTACCGTCTGTCCGGTATAGCCAAACTTGGTGCCCGGGACCCTGTGAACCGTTAGATCCTCTCTGTGCACGAACCACAACGTGTTCACTCGAATTGACTTACGACCACCAGGAGACGTGCTTGGAGTCCCGCCGCCCTTGTACGAGATTTCAGGGGCATCGGCCGGGGTAAGTGGTGAATGAGTATGTGGATGGGTCGATTCTAGTGTCGGGGAAGCTGGTAACCCGAATTTGTCTGTTTTGAAGGATTGTGGCATACGCCTGAGAAAGCAGGCCGAGACCAAGGGCGGCCAGTTTGAAGAACGCACCATGATTCAGACCAGGCTACTTCAGCGGTGATGGCTACACAGATGGGCAATGCCGTGCCACATCTCCCAAGTATATATATAGGCGACATCTTTGATGCTTCTGCCACGACTGTTGATGGTTTCTGTCTCGGGCATACGGCGGCTGGAACCGAATGCGGGACGTTGAACGCGCTGTCGCCCCGAGTCCAGTCCATGGCGGCAAGTTGGAGCCGGGATCGAATCGTCATTGTCTCCAACTGTCGGGGGTTGATTGTAATCCGTATCTGGCTCCTTCTGATCGACGCTGCTAGAGCACTCCAACGATGCCACAAACCCGCAAGGCGGGGTCTATAAGAGACATCCTTGGATGGTCCGAACAGCCTTTCAGAAGTGAAGGTTTGCGCAGGGTATAGATGCAAGATCTGGAAGGTGCGTGTTGGCTGTTCCCTTGGGGCTCGGAGGGGGACCTCCGTTCCATTCCGCGGCCTTCCTGGCCTCTCACTCGCACTGCAGCGGCCATCGTCACCGTGTCCGACCAAAGAGGCCGTTTGTGCTTTAGGTAAGAGCTCCAGAGAGCCGCAAGCTGATCAAGATGCGATTCACCAGCCTGGTGGCCTTGGGACTTAAGGCCTGGTCGGGCAAAGGGCCGGGGCATAACAGTCAGCCAGAGAAATAGCAGAAAAGGAAAGGAGAGAAAACCGGCATTGCCAGCGTAGACCCGATCAGCCAACTGCTAGGCCCTCGATGCCCGGTCCCGACGCCGCCGCCGCGGTTACCGGTGGGTGAGGCTTAAAATCCATACAGTAGACCCTAGCTAGATGTTTCCTATCGTGGCGCCACAAGCTGGGCTTCTTCATCGCTTCTCTCTTCCAGGTTGCTCTGACATAGCAGGCCAAAGTCAAGAGGCATGATGGCCACAGCGGCGCGGCTTCAGTTGCATCTGATTTCGAGATACTCTGTGTCCGTCTAGACGATCTTTGTCCTCCCTCAGACATCGCCGTAGTGCCAAGGGCGCCTAGGGGATACATGTAATCGTTGCAGCACATGGCAGCGGGAAGGTCGACTGCGTCGATGCTCAGCCCAAGCCGGCGGCCGGGTCGCTTGCCTTGGGTTTAGGATTGCGTCGTGCGTTCTCTCAACGTCTGTCAGCCGATTTCTCGCTTCCAGGTCTTCCGTCTCAACCATCTGAAGTGTAAGGTAGTGGAGTAGGTCGCCTTTTCCCCTCTGATTACGGATCCGTACGCATTCGATATTCGATGCAATTTTCTCACACACCCACAGAGCCGCAGACCGAAACATTCAGGGACCGGTGCTACTTGCAGCAGGTTAAGCTCTCCTTCGGCACAAATCGAAACTGGCCGTGGTCCACCGTTCCTGGCTGTTGTCACCTGATTATATCCTGCGTTTTGCATGTGGGGAAGGAGGGCAGGAGAGGGCGGTTTCTCGTTCGGGACGGCTCGGGATTGGCCGTGGCCCGCTTGCAAGTTGCAACCAGCCCGGGCCGTTGATGATTGATCAGTGCGCAACAGCCTCTATCCAGTTCAGCAATGGCTGTGGCTGAAATCCGAGGCTGGCCCGACTTTCCTGAGCACGGTATGTGTACTGTGCTGAGCACTGCCTCCTATCTCGACGCCACCTGCAATGGCTGTACTTGCCATGCATGGAGGTTTGGACTGAGTGACCAGCTTTTGAAGGAGTCATAGTTGGCCACTTGTTGATTCACATTCTTAATCTCATTCTCTTTCTTCCAAGTACATAGAAGCTCAAATCCCAAGAAACCATGGCGATCCGCAAGTTCGACTTGGAAGCCAAGCTCAAGGATGACAACCAGCTTATCCGCACAGGGGTGCTTCGCAACGACCACCCCCTCGATTCATCCCCGGAGTTTCGGGAGTTTCTCCAAGCCTGCCGTAGGGGCGATCTGAAGCGCTGCCAGGAACTTATATCAGCAGGCGTGAACATAAACTCAAAAGACGAGTTCGATTATACCCCACTCGTTCTCGTGAGTTTGCCACCAGTTAGTCATGTCTCTGAAGAACGACGCTTGTTGACGAGATATAGGCTAGTCTGTGTGGGCATTACGAGTTGGTCCAGTTACTCCTAGAATCAGGTAAGTCCTTCTTCACCTTGGTTGATGCCCAGCTTCCGAGTCCAGTGCTGATGGAATCCAGGAGCTCTGGCCGATCCGGATTCGTTTGAGAGGGAACGGGCGGTTTACAACGCGCTCAACAACAAGATCAGAAACCTACTTCTGTCTTATGACTACTCCAAAACGGCCGACCCCTTGCAGCCATGGTCTTCACACATCACATCACTCCTTGTCCGTGACACACCTCCCACGTCCGACATCACCCTCTCGGCCCCAGCACAGGACTTCCACCTGCACAAATTCCTTCTCTCCGCCAGGTCACCCTATTTCATGCGCAAGTTCGCCGATGCCCCTGAGACAGTCACATGGAAAGTGCCTCACGCTATTCCCGTCGAAGCCTTTCGCGTCGTACTGCGCTACCTTTACCTCGGCGACCTTCCCCGCGACTTTGTCGGCCCTGGGAGCACCGTCACCGAGGAAGAAGTTTTTCGAGGCATTGACAAGCTGTGCAAGCAGCTTGAGCTTGATAAATTGTGGGAGTCCGTATTATCCATCAACGACCGCCGACTGGCAAGGCAGCGCCAACAGGATGAGGTCCAGCGCGCCCAGGGCCAAGTGGAGGCTTTCTTCCGCAACACGGTGCTTAAGCACAAGATTGAGATCGACACGCGGAAAGCCGGCGATGTCAAGTGGCCCCGTCACAATGCCATCTTTGCCGACTGCCTCCTTCGGGCGGACGACCAACAAGACGACGACGACGGAGCCGACACCGAAACGGCTGCAGATGGAAGCGCCATTCCGATAGGGCCGACAACAGACACCGCGACCCGAAACGGCCTCAGCAAACAACGCTTACGCCGCTCGGTCCTGTTCCCGGCTCACAAACCCTTCTTGATTCGCAGCCCCTACTTCGAGACGATGTTCTCCTCTGACTTCGTTGAAGCCCGGAACGACACGGAGCACCTGCACATCATCAAAGTGGACTGCAGTCCAGCTGTCCTAGAGATCATCCTCCGTTTCCTCTACACCGAGAACGCCGACTGCCAGCTCGAGCACGCCCTCGACCTTCTCTACACGGCCGACATGCTCTTACTCGACAAACTCAAAGCCAAAGCGGCCATCACCATCTCCACCCTCGGCAGCGGCACCAACAACACACTGGTGGATCGCACCCACAACAGCCACCCCAACAACGACAACAACAACCACACGTCAGCGCAAGAAACACCTCCGTCAGACGGCAGCCCCGACACGGAACAGGTAGCAGAGATGGAACCCATCAATGTCTACGACGTGATCCACGCCGCCTGGGACCTCAAGGTCCAGCGGCTCGAGGAGTTCGCCGCGCGGTACCTGGCCAGCCGGCTCGAGGATTACGTTGACGAAGACGAGTTTGCCGAGCTGATTCGGGAAAGCGCGGCGCGGCTCAAGGAACGGCAGGAGACAGATACCATCGAGCTGCTGGATGATATCCGGTATTACCTCTCGGAGCGGTTCCGACTTCGGTTTGAGGGTGATGGGTTGGAAGAGATGTTGGATGATGAGGGAGGCGATACCGTGGATGCGGAGCGCGCCCCGGGAGGGCCGGTGGCTTATCCGAAGGATGTGGAAGTGGGGGCTGAAGCTGATGGAGGCGGTGGTTTGAGGACGCTGAACGGGGATGTCGTCGAAGATGAGTTTGTGTCGGATGCGGTGAATTATCAGATTCTGTTGGAGAAGATTGATAGGGTGTTGGAGAGGCTGAAGCTGGATGCTTAGAGAGGGGTGGAGAACAGGATTATATACAGACGGAATTGGATGATTCGGTGATTCATTATGCCTACAGTTAGACAGCGAAACCATGGGTAGCAATGCCTATCCGCTGCCTTGCATTGACCCTAATGATCAGAGTGAGCTAGTGAAACCCATATAACGCAGACCAAGAAGCACCCAACGCTTTAGATAAGCATCTGAGATGACAACCTTCCACGCTAAACTTGCCGTGGATGCTCGGATAGTAATAACGGCCAATCAAGCATGAATACGGGGCGGGCGTCCGAGTCTCCAAACCGACAACTCCACCCCTCCTCCAACAGATTTTCTGCCGGCCCCAGAATCTCGCCGATCCTCTACGACGGCACGACAGGGTTCTGGTTACCAAGCACGCGAAAGCCACCTCCCTTCGCCTTCTCGCGCACAAAGCCAATTTCCTCTAGGGGAAGAAGCTGTCCCTTCCCCTCTCCATTCGCCGATGCTGCACCGAGAAGATACCTGCGGTGCCACGGCCCAACGAACATGCCGTCAGGATCAGCCTCGTTTCGTACCTTGCAGAACCGCGTCCAGTCGTTCCCGTACCATGCCGCAAACTCGTCCGGAGTGACTGTGAATGCCTTGGCCCAGTGCGGTTTGCCGCCGAGATCGCGCATGAGCCATTCAAAGGCCTCGTAGTACCGCTCCGTGGCCTCGTGCGTCGGGTCGCGGTAGTAGGGTCGGTACATGGTGGCGTTGAGGTACAACGCCGGACCGTCGCCGGGGGTGATGTCCAGGTAAGGGCGGTTGCCCTTGGCGGCGCTCGATTTCACCGTCGTGTCGCTGACGCGGACCTCGATCGGGCTGTGCACCCACAGTCCCTCGGCGCTGAACGGGATGCGGTGGTCAACATAGCCTGGATCGCCCGGCGTGAGGCGGTTGAGCCAAGCACCCAAACGTTGGAGCGCCTCCGGTCCCCTGCGCAGTGGGATCGCCCATTCGTTGACGAACTGGCTGTAGAGGCAGTTCAGCAGGAAAGCCTTGTGGCTCTCCTGGCAACCGCTAACACGCGTGCTCTCGCCGTTTCGGAAGCCGTAGTTCAGGCCGAATACAAACGACTCGATCCAAGGGGTGATCCGGGGGAACCAGCGCGCTAGCGCCAGGAGGTTCTGGTACACAAAATACCCCAGCTTGCTGTCCAGAAAGGCGGTCGGCGGCTGAGAATGCATCACCCTCCCCGCCTCAACCTGGTCGTTGGTCGCCTTGTCCGCCTTCCATACCACTGCCCTCCGCATGTACGGAAACCACCACACCCGCACAAATTCGGCCTGCGTCCACAGCACAGTATCCCACTCCTCGAATAACCTCGCGTCCCAATCAATCGTCTGGCTCCACGCCAGCGAGAAGGCCGGCACTGCCTTCAGCGTCACCTCACTGATAATTCCCAGCGCACCAACCGATAACAGCGCGGCTCGGAACAGCTCCGGATTCTCTTCCGCCGAGCACGCCATCGTCTCGCCATCTGCCAGCGTCACCTTCAGCGCGATACAACACTCACTGATCAACCCATGCCGCAAGCTACTCCCATGCGTCCCCGTGGAGATGGCACCCGCGATGCTCTGCTCGTTGATACTCCCCAGACTGGGCAGCGCCAGCCCGGCCTCGTCCAGCGCCGCGCTGAGCTGGTAGAGCCGGATGCCCGCCTCGACGGTGCACAGGCCCGTGGCCCGGTCGACCGACAGCACGCGATCGAAGCGGTCCAGGTTGAGCATCCAGGACGAGGTGCAGGTCAGGTCGGAGGGGGAGTGGCCCGAGCCGACGGTGACGAGGCGGCGGCGGCATTGCCGCGCGAGGTTGACGGCTTTTTCGATCTCGGGCAGGGTGTGCGGCTGGATGAAGAGCTCGGGGAGGCAGCTGAAGGTGCGCGCCCAGGTGCGGTGGGTATAGGCGGTGCGGGCGCGGAAGGGGATGCCGTCAGAGGAGTGGGTGGTTAAGGCGGTCCGGACTTCGAGGGGAAGGGTTGAAAGTTGGTCCGGGGACGCCATCATGAATGCGTTTCAGTTGGCTGTAGTGCACTGGTGATTCAGAACATGTCCTTGCTTAAACGTGATGTGATGCATGTGAACCCCCGATGAGGTTCGATGGGCTCAGTAGATAATAAAAACGCATTACTGGAAAGGTTGAAGCGTTAAGCTGCCAGAATCATCTCAGCAAGTTCTTGGTGACTGAAAGGGATGAGGATATCTCTGCTCTTGGTCCAAGGTAATGATAGAGCATGCGATGTGGTTTTGATTATCAATCCTGTCCTTGAGTTCTGGCCCAACCCAGACCCTTTCTGCCGAGTGGTGAGCGGGGACACCGATAACGGTGTTGATTAGATTGAGGGCTGTGATTAGTTTGATTCGTCAAGCCCCAGATCGCAGCGCCGATCTTGGCCGTTGCTTCCACTGCACTGCAACACTCTGTACGCTTGGCGAGTTGTTGACCTGGCAACCATGAGCCGCTCAGGGGAAGAGACAACTACCTAGGTAATGTGCGTCCATGACAGCACGTATGGGGAACGCACTTATCCTCTTTCCATCATCTGCCAATCTCGTCACGGATAGCTCTTCTTTTTGGATACTTCCTGCGAGTTCGTTGAGCCAGGCAGTTTGGCTCTCTTTGTCCTCAACCGAGTCCGCGCTCAACCCATAAGATACTCTCTCTCAAACCCAGCCTTGAGATACAGGTGAGCTTTCAGAACCGGAGCTTTGAACCGCGTAGGTAAACGAATACCTGAGGCAGGGAAGACTTCTGTGTGGCAGGTGGCCATTTGATGCAGATGAGTTGCTCTCATTGTTGTGGGACTCGAGCCGAAAATGGGGCATTGTTCGCTGCCAGCGAGCTGAATGACCTCACTCATTGATTCTGTGAGGTTCAGGGGTTCAATGCAATTCATAAACGCTAAATGCCCAAGATTCCATGAGCCCAATAGCTAAATGATTACAAGTCGCGCCTTCCCTTCATATGATCGATCTGACTTCGGATGAAAGAGCCGTATGACTGCCGAAAAATCATGAGATTGTTCGTTCCAACTCCTTCCTTTCTTTTCAGCATTTCATTCCCACGGCCATGCCACTTTTTCAGCGCCGCAGTACCACAGCACTCGACGCCATCTTCTCCACTGCGCGACGGGTTATGACCGACCGCGTCCAGACTTCGACAGCCTCACTATTATTTCCTCTCCTACATCTCCATTCTCGACGGCGAACTCTGTTCGTTACTTTCGTTTCTCCTTATCACTCCTCAGGACTCACTTCAGAACTCACCATCACAGGAAAAAATCATACCACCCCTATTCAGGCCGTATTTGACGGACAGTTTCATCATATCACGATCGAGAGGAGGCTGACGGCGTGTGGATTGGGGGCACAATGTTCTACAGCCATGAGAGTACGTGTTCCATTATCACAAACGCCGAAAATGACACTGAGCTGACAGCGATATAGTTCTCACCAGCCAGGATTACGGTGTGGCAACCGTCTGGTAAGGAGAGCATGCTGTATTTGTGGGAATTAGAGTCTTGACTAACCTCACGTTAAGGCTGGTATCGACGGTCGGCCTGAGGTCGACAACTCGAAAGATTTCGCGGAAGGCCATCCAGGAGGTAGATGTCCAAAAAGCATGCAAAACCATCCTTAAGCCTGGCGCGCCCATCGCGTTGCGCCTGCAAGGCAGCTTGCTCTATGGGCTCTCCCGGGTCTATTCGCAGCAGTGCCATTATGTGCTCACCGACGCTGAACGAGTTCAGGCCCACATGCGAGCATTTTACAGCGCGTTGGGTGGGAGCGACAATGCGTTGGATCCTCAAGCAGGAAAATCGAAGTAAGGTTATGAAGACGGATTGTGGAGGAACTGAAGTCTAACCAAAGCTAGTCGGAAGGAACTCATCCTCGAGGATGACCCAGAGTTTGAACTCAATCCTGACCTTCCGGCCTTTCACTTTGACGATGATGGCAATTTAGTTATCCCGCAAGGAAGCCAGTCCTCGAGGAGGACCTCTTCTCAACTTTCGCCTCTGCAACCGGACGGCTCGATCTCCAGTTCCAACCGCTCCATTTTCCAAGGATTCGATCTCTCGCAGTCACCATTCGCCGGCGGAAACTCAATCATCGCAGTACCGTACGGGACAGGAACAATGACTCCGGGAAAGGAAGATGACGGCTTGATGCCATTCGGCGACGAGGAGCGCGAGCTGCAAGCACTCGACGACTGGGGTATTGAAATTGACGCTGACGGAAACATCGTGCCGGCCATGGAGGAACCTCAGCTACCCAGGCTTCCGCATCTAGAAGAGAAGGAACATGGAGATTTTGTGCATCAAGATCAGTTTGTCCCCGTTGACGATCAAGGCGACGTATTCATGGCAGGTGCCAACGTCCTCTACTCGGATCCACCGCTTCCACTGCAGGGAGACGGTAAGCACAGAGAGGAGCAAGAACAGGAACAGCAACAAGAACAAGAGGGGCAGGAAGTTGCCGTGCTAGCTGAGATCAGCTCCGGCCAGGCTCCAGTGCGCGTCCAGCGCAAACGGCGTCGTCCGAACTTGGCGCCTGACGAACAAACCAAAATCTCGCGGCAAGAACTCAAGTCTTGGTCAACCAATTATCTTGCCAACGCCGAACAGGCAAGCCAGCCGCGTCATGCAGTCACTGCTTCCGAAGCTCGCAAAAACGCCTTTAATCTTGTATTTGGCCACGGTATTGCCGGTGTCGGTTTCCCTACCGGCGTCCCGGGTCTTTCGCATCCTCTGGCGCCACAATTTGCAGGCGAGGGATTGACAGCGCGCCTTCTCGGCATCATCATCACGCACCCGGACCGCGACAATCGGGAAGTTCACCGCGGACGCCGCCGCTCAGCCCTGGAAGCCCTCGAGCTGGAGCAAGACGACATCGAGCGCCGCGTCCGCCGCCGTCCCAGTAACGACGAATCCTCCCAGGACCCCCAACATGCTCAACCACAACTCTTCCAGGGCGATGATGCCCTCCTTTCCCTTCCCGGTGATGACGAACTCCCGCCCATCGAAGTAGGCAGACGTGCCGGCTCCGTCCTACCCGACCTCCCCTCCGACGTACCCTGGAATCGTCCCTCGTCCCAAATCCCCAGCTCGTCCGTCAAGGGAGCGGGCAGCAAGCCCCCCAGCAGGCAAGTCAGCGCGAGCCCCCTTCACGGGCGGGGCAGCCTCCTGATCCCTGGCCCCGAAGTCGAGCGCTTCAGCGACAACCAGCCCTTCTTCGGCTCCGACGGTCCCGGCAGCGAAGGGTTCGCCCCGCTCCACTCGGGCCCAGCTGGCGGCAGCGGCTCTATCCCGTCACACCCCCTACTCCCTGGTGGTGACGCCGACATGCTGTCCACATCCCAGGTCATGCGCGCCGCGCTCGACCGCGAAGGGCGCAATTTCCTGACCTACATCGAATCGGTCACCCGGACCAAGGGCTACTACCCCAGCGAGAATGAAAACGACAGCAAGCGGTGGGTCGAGTTCGAGTCGCTCTTCGAGGCAGAGGACCAGAAGCGCGCCGTGGTGGCGCAGGCGTTCTACCACGTCCTGTCGCTGGCGACCAAGAGCGTCATCAGGGTCACGCAGGACGGCCAGGGCAGCAACGAGCCGTTTGGAACCATCCGGCTCGGAGTAGAAATGCTGGTTGAGGGTGAAGAGGGCATGGCGGATCTGGAGGCAGACGAGGAGATGCATGATGCCTGATGGGTGAGCAGTTGCTTAACATGGACGACATTTGACGGAGTTGGGCCATTCCCGAAGAATATGATTTATGGGCTCTTCAACCGGAGAAATCACGATAGCGTGAACTGGGAACATTTCTGCCTGGATGATTTAGGCGATATTTTGCAGCTTGGGCCCAGGTTTCAGAAGGGTTTGCTAAAGGAGCGATGGGCGTAATATTGGTGATCTCGGGACGGAGAGATATCCTGGAATTCAGAGCCGAGCGTTGATATCAGGAATGGCAGGGCGTTGCTGGCAGTCAGGGACAGTGCATGGTTAGCTCAAAAACACTGTTATCATAAATCTTCATTGCATGTATTTCATCTGCTGCAGGGTTCATGAACTCCAGTCTGGTGGAATGGTACAATAAGAAACCGCTCTTACCATCATCACCATGTATCGTAAACATCATTATCATCCAAGGCAACGTCTCGGTCATCAAAGACCAGATACTCTGCATAGACGGCAGCGTCGCCCATGACCCTTTTCCACGCCTCGCGAACTGGGACCAATGTTGAGTCGTCGAAGGAAAGAGAAGGAGACGGAGCGGGGAAGGTAAAGATTGGCCCATCGACTTCAAAGGTGTCGGGGCCGGTCCGCTGCTCATACTGGAGTTGGTACAGGACCTGAGGAGCTTCGTCTCCGCTCGTGGGACAGATGAAGATGTCCAGCGCACGCTCCAAGACTGCCTTTGCATCAGGTGTTGAGAGAGTGGTAAGATAAAGTACACCTGGTCATTTTCAGTTAGCACTTGAGCTGCCATTGGCTTAAACAGAGAAAGCTGAGTGAAGGTAAGGAGGTACATCAGAATGTCAGAGGTGTTTTACGTCAGTGCCGAAGCTCAGACAATGTAGATAAGTATTCAAAATGGAGATCATCATGTACTCGGGGAGAGTAAGGTGTTTGAGGCGGGCGGACTTACTCTGACCAACGGGGCATTCCCCGGTATCGCTGGAGTGAGCAGACAAATAAACTGGGTGCTCAGATGCCCTGCCAGCTGGGGTTGACAGCGAACCGGCTGGAAACGCGATAACGGCGACGGCAGGTCTGGGCGCTCCTTCAACAATGGATTGAAACATCGAGCTCAGCGGCGAGCTGATCACGGCCACCAGCCTGTTGATACCAGTCTGACCGCTTGCGGAATCACTGGCGCGCACCAGCATCCGTGTTCTCACGGTGTCGCCGCTTGTGAGCTGAAGCTTGACTTCATTCTCAACGGTTTCCATCTCCTTGATTCCGGTCCCAAGCATGTACACGGCCCCACCAACGGCGCCGGCACGACACGAAATCTGGGTAATCTCTGAAAGGCCACCCCACTTGGGATAAATGGCAGCAAAGCCTGGACCATAGAGGCCCATCGACGAGAGATGGCGACGGATCACGGCCAACCCGTCTTTGGTGCTGATATTCCCTTCCAGTGAAAGAGTGAAGGTGATGATGTACATCTGCAGTTCCGCGTCCATGTTGAATTCCTGCTGCAAGAAGCCGGTCAGCGGCGTGTCAGCGTACGGCTGCCAGGTTTCGAGCTGTGGTGAGGCCTCCGAATCCAGGACGAACTTGAGGAACTTCATGAGTTGACGCTTCGCCTTGGAGGAGACGTCGGTTGTCGAGAACACTTCCTCGCGGGTAGATGGAATTCGGACCAGAGTAGGATTTTGGGTATCCTGCGGAGGCCTGAATATGTAAAATGATCCCACTGCAAGGAATTCAACTTGGCGGTAGGCGCGCGAGGACACCAGCCGCGACAAGAGAGTCGAGCGAGCATGGATCAGCTTGGGTGCAAGAGCCAGCGAGTACGCCCGGGACGAGGACAAGTCAACGGCGCCCTCAGGTTTTGTGATAGACGCGAATGCGAATAGGCCACCGCTGCCCGTTGATACCCGATGTGCCCACGACTCGGCATCCTGTAGACTGAAGGCTGCCTCGGCGCTCCCATAGAACTCATTTGGATCTATATGCAAGATTTTCTTTCCAGACCGCGAGAGGGCCCTTAAACAGAGATGAAGCTGGGTCAGTCAGCCGGGAAAGCAACGCTCTCAGATGGGTGGATGAGCAACTCACAATGCAAGCAGCGACTGCTGCAGTCCAGTGCCGCAGATTACGATATCCCAAAGGGTGTCGCTTAATGACTCCATTTCTACATGGAGGAAGCAGATTTCGATAGGCAGAGCCGTCGGGAGTAGTCAGCCTTGCAGTTTTACGTGGAAAGCGATGAAATGGAAAGAGGACTTGCAGGCAACAAAATTTGAATGAAGTTGAGCGGCTTAGTGGGGCCCAGAGTAAAGGGGATCCACTGGTTCCACTCTGTCTACGTGTAGCAGCCGGCAGATTTCGGCCCGGGTGAGCGCACGGACCTTCGATGCTGGATTCTGGGCGACAGCAGAAAACCTTGAAGCGCAGCGGTTATGGAGGAAATTTCTCCTGAAAAAACCAGCGCTCAACAGCCACGCAATCGCTGCTGTGCACAAAGGCGTTGCGGATGGCCAAGGACCTTTCATTAGGACCTTACTAATGGGCGACAGATGAACTCTGTCTTCCTGTATCTACTGCTCTGGAATTCACCTGTAAGAGCGGTTCGAAAGCGTCGACACATTCAAAACACACCTTGTCGGGGGGCCACTCCGTACATGCAGGCACCTCAGTTGTGAACGATGGAGGGGTTGATGGCCATGATCCGTACCACAACCCGTGGAATAATGCGTAATGCTCCGTTGCCGATTCTGGAGTTCTCTGCCCAGGGAAACGACATCGTGGCTGGTGATCTCCCTCATTGTGGTGGAGTGCCAGCTCATTATCTTCAGCCCAACAGAGACAGTCCTACCTCTGCAGGACAGAAGAGAATTGCATGCTTCTGCCTCGAGTACACGCTGTTCGGCGTCAGGCCGTGAGACAGCAGGTCCGCAGACAGACAGCGTACCTGTTGACAGGGTGAGTCGAGAGGCCGGAGTTTACATATTCAGAACTCAGCTGCTCCCAGTTGAACCTGGCCAGAGCGGCCAATAGCAACACAGCGCTCAACACCACAGTTCCATTTGCTTGTTATGATCTCAGCTTGAGGCGTCGTGGCGTATAGCTCCTTCACGACAGGCTCAAATGCATTGGTTCACGGCATGAACATCTTCTGCCATTCTTGTTGCTGCCGCAGCACCAGAGTAAGGCACTGCTGAGGATGCTTGAAATTCTCCACCGGGTATCAAATTTTACATAGATCCATCACCCAGCAGCCTCTACCCATCATTCCATAGCCCTCCTGACCTCTTTCCATCTCCTTTCCGCAATGCCGGCATAGCCGCGTATCAGCTCCCTCCCTAGCAACGTCCCACCCTGCTTCTCAATGCTCTTAATCCTTGTTTCGCCATCGCTGCAGTCCACGACCATAGTGATCACCTCCTTGCACAGACTCTCCTCCAACCGGTCCGGGTCAAGCAAGAGCCAATGCCCGCTGTCCCCGGGCCCTGCTCCCGACTCGCTATGTTCCTTTTCCATGAACACGGCGGCACTGCACGCCACCGGCAACCCCCTCACATTCAGTGCCCTCCTCTCCGTCTTAGAGCACACCACCATTTCCCGATCCGGATCCCACCTCGCCAAAGGCAGCCCCGTATCCCTCAATGCCGCCACGACCGCCGCCCACGCCGCATCAAACGGGTTGCCGTCGTAGGAAATGAACAGCAAATCAATGTACAAAACCCAGTACGCGACCAGCCTCTCCTCGTCCTCGTCCATATCCTCCTCCCTCCCATCACCAGCGACCCCCATCTCGGTATCCTCTCCCCGTTTCTGTTCCTTAGGGCTATACCAGACCCTCAAATCCCGCGCTTCCACCAGCCCCGTAGAATGCAAAAGCGAATACACCCTGGTCGACAGCGTCTGCGCGAGCGTTATCGGCGGCACGCCGGGAAGGAACTGCGGCGCCGAGCCGGTCGCCAATTCAATATTCGGCACGAGCAGGTCATAGTCTCTCAGTTCCCCCCTCCCAATCCCGTCACCACCATCCCCACCATCTTCCCCTTTTTGCCTCAACTGTTCCTTATCCACCGGCCGAAACTGTGGGATGTGCTCAACGGGCAGCAGCTCGCCGCGCACGCCGCAGATGACGGTGGTGTCGCCCAGCCGGACGAGAGCGCTGCCGTGGGCGTGGGAAAGTGAGGCGGCGTTGATGCGGACGGGGCGGAATTCCTGGGTGGCGCGGCCGTTTGTGCGGCACGGCGGGTGCTCGGCCGTGGAGGAGCGGGTGAGGTTGCGCACGAGGAAGGGATGCGGGGAGATTTTGGCGAAGATGGGCGCCGGAAGGCTTATCATCGGGGCTGTCATGTTGAGCAGCGTCGGTGTGGATGCCGTTGTATAATGATAGAAAAAGAAGACGGTGCCGCCAGCTGCTGCGAGTAAAGGAAGTCGGTCGCAATTCGTTTGTGTGGGGTGGGATGAGGATGGTGTCGGGGATTTTTTAATTCCTTCAGCCTTTCAGTTGCAGTGGGCTTCAGCAGGCTCAGGGCGCCCAATCGGAGTCTGTCAATGGGCGGCCAACAGAAGCTTTCTTCAGTAATCCGTACATGAGACATTCCAGGTTGGATCTGCCGACTTGTCTATTTGCACAGACACCCCTGTCCTCAGTGCACAGAGACCAACCGCATTCGGCAAAGCTCATCCCTTTCGGTTGAGGGGCTTCTACACCAGCCACAGCCAAAGTGTGCAGGCAACATCGCCAGCGCTCCTATACATCAAGGGGACTCATATCATCAACAACATCACGCAAAACGCAGAACCACCAAGACTCGGAAGACATTGTGCAGTACGAGTGCAACAATTTGTATCAATTGTTCCATTTATTGCAGTTGAGGGTGATGTCAATTGATTTGGACGATGGTGTTGGCTGCAGACTTTGTATGTGGCTGGTGTCTGGGACTCTGTACGGATCCGTACCGAAAGGGCTTGCTTGGTCTCTGCGAACCGAGGACAGGGGGGCCTGTGCAAATAGACAAGTCGGGATCTGCAGGCCACAAGAAATCCTAACCGACCTAAGGTCATCCGGGCCTCGCCAAGATTAAGATGGTGCCTGAGTGGCTGGGGAAATGACAGGGAGATTTGCTCGAATACCTTATAGAGTTGCTCAACTTTACGTTTCTCAATGTGTTAACTTCAATTGTATCTAGGTGTGCAACTTCTATCTATTAGTAGCGTTATCTATGTCCCCGTCACTTCTGCGTCACCCTGGGATTGCTCCCAGAAATTGGAGATAACGTCGGCAACCTCGGCTCCCTTGCTCATGACAAGCTCATGACCGGCATCTAACAACACGGCTTCAAATCCGTCCTCGCCGAGAACAGTCGTGGCATCATGTATCAACTCCTCCTTCACAATCACCGGATCCGACGCTCCCAAAACAAGAAGGATCTTCCCTCCCCTGAGCCCGGGTAAATCATCCGCTGTATTCTCCCAACCAGACCTCTCTCTCCTCTCCGCTAGCTGCCTCCCGAGCTCATACCAGTCCTCCTTCTGCTCGTAGATGGGCGCATATCGGATGCTGCTAACAAATGCTGGGATGAAGCCCTGATGATGTCGCAGCTGCCACCCCATCACCGACGAGACGGTATGCTCCGGTCTCCTCGCCAGCAGCACGGCATTATCAAACGAATGCCCCCCGCTCGCATCACTGTCCTCATGTTCCATCCCCTTGATGTCCACCACCTCAGTAGCCATCTTTGTCTCGGTAACCCTGCCATCCCCTTTCCCCCTCGGCGTGAGCCTCCGCTTAATCAACCACTGCAACACCCCCTCCGGCAACCACCCCTTCGAATACAACGCCCGACTCCTCCAGCTCACGTGCCCCTTCTTAATCAACCCGCCACCGGCAACCACCACAACCGACCTGACCATCCTCGCAAAATACCTCGCAAACCCCACTGCCAACCCCCCGCCAAGCGAGTAACCCACGAGATGAAACCCGTCATCCCCCGTCCACGCCAGCCGCGACGAGGCCAGCACCAGCAAGATCTGCGCCGTGTACAGCCGCAGGTCATACGGCACGCCGCCGTCCTCCCCGGGGTCCGGTGCGTCCGAGTAGCCCCGTCCGAACAGGTCAAATACCATGACGCGACATCCCTTGGCGGCCAGCGCCTCGGCTAGGTTGCCGAGCGACAGGCAGGGGGTGCTGATGCCGTGCAGGAGGAGGACCTTTTCTCCGTCCTCACGGCCCCATTCGAAGCAGCGGATGGTGCCGTAGGGGGTTTGCACACTGCGGCCGCCGGGGAGGACGTGGGGCGGGTAGGGGAGGGAGGCGATTTCGAGTTCGGTGAGGTTGGGGAGAAGCGTTGTTAGCGGGGAGGGGATGCATTTCCGGGCTGGGGAGTACTTCTGGCGGGCGCTGGCGAGGAGGGTTGCCGAGATGCCGAGGAAGGCTCCGAGCGCCAGGAAAAAGGCGGGTCCCGCTGCCGGTTGGTGCCGGGAGCTGAGGGCCCAGGCCGGCATTGGACGGGGTTCGGATTTGGTTGCGTGGGTTGATCAACAATGAATGTGACGATTTTGTTTTCTGACACTGCGAATAATTCGATTCTGGAGGAGCTGATGGCCGGTAATCCTCTATAGAGGGACGGCCTGGGAACTTCTCGGCCCGGCATGCAGGATGCGGGGGCCGTCCTTGGCGACGGGAGTTCTGACGCTCGGCTCCGAGACAAAGATGTCGTCTTGGTGTTGAGGACGGGGGATCGACTGTACAGCATGCTGCTCCGGTTCGTTCTTAACTGTTTTGAATTCCATTTCCAGCAGCTGCATTCTGACTCCTTTGATTTCATTCTTAATGAGCCTGCGCATGGCTTGTCCCAAGATGGCCAGGGTCCTGGCGGGGTCGTCATCTTCACCCCCACCTCGCATAGGCGGTGCAGATGAGGGTGCAGCGGCGCGCCTTGATGCTGATCACATCCATCATTTGTCCCTCCGGTACAAGTCCTTTAGCCTCGAAAGCTGCCGTCGCACCATGCCCTTCTCTTTCTCGGCATCGTTGTCCGAGAGCTCCAGAGAAAAGGAGGGCCGGCCAGAGCCGTTCATGTCCTTCACCAGTTTTCGCGCCGGCGGTCTCTCTGCCGTCCAAGAAGGTCGGCTCTCAGCAGTGACCAACCACCATCTCGAGTGGTACTCTGCAGCAGAGGCCCTGTACTGAGATCGTTGGCCTTGCTCCTGCTGCTCCAAGGCAGCCGGGTCTAAGAGGGCCGAGTACCCCGAGCAGCCGTCCGTCTCGGAATGCGCGGGAGGACGACGGCTTCGAAAGAGCTTAGACATGATGGCAGTGGACAACCTGTGGACGGCCCGGCAGATGAGAGGATGTTGTCCGGATGGAAGAACGGAGTGAACCGAAGCTGTTTCAAAGCTGCGCTGAAGCAGGGGCTTTTTACGACACGAGACCTCAACACCCCTATCAAAGGCCCTTTATCATGGCCAACCCAAGAGCAGGGTTAGGGTTACCTGTTATAGGCAACTGAGCCCTTTGTGGATTGGTGTGAACAGGTGTGAACGGGTGGGAGTCCTCTAAACCTGTTTCTGGCGAAAGCTAACGAAACTAGAATCTGGTAGCTGCTTCTGGCTGGACGAAACCGGGGATGACCTAAGACCGATCAGAGGGTAGAACCGGAGGCACTCGCAACTTTTCCATCCTGCTCACTCGAGGAATTCGGCCCTGACCAGCCCCGCCATTGCCTCCTCCAATGAACTTATCAAGCTGCCTCTGACTAGCTCGAGTGGTGGTTCGGTTGGTTTACCGCTGCCTTAGCAGGCTACCATCCTAGGCGGCTGATGCTGATGCGGTTGAAGCCATTGCAACGAGCCACAGCTGCTCAGACTGCAAATCTCGGAAACTCTGCTGCTTTCAACTGAAAAGGCAAGCATTGAAGAACACACGGGCGGCATCCAATGTCGAGCACTCGATGGGACGGCAGGCGGAAGTGTGTGGTGGTTGGTGGTATATGCACAGCTGCTCGGGACTATAAACATGCCAGCCGGCCCGTGACCAGTCCGTATCTTATTTTAGAAATTGATCTGTCGTATGTTTGGCTCATTCCTTGACAAGCTTCGTAACTGCCTCCTCGATCTGCTTATCCGAAAGCCCTGTACACCGTCATTAGGCACTCTGCTTCAAGCTGCGATGCTGCTGGATCCTACCTTCTAACGACTCGACCTTCTCCTTGCCAAACTCTGCAGAAAGAATCAGCAAATCCGGCCTCCATCTGCATCCGACCAGTCCGGGACCACCGACCGTATCTGGCATACACCCTGGGGAGGGTGCCCTGGGCTTCCCGCAACATGATGGGTATTGTGGGGTTGTTCTTCTTCATGATCGGATAAGCTCGTGTGAGGAAGGACCTGCATAGCATAAAGCAGTTAGCACCAAGAATTTCGATACGGCCTGAGCAGCAAACATACCTCGTCGCAGAGCTGTGCTCGGCCGTCTGGCAGAAGAGGAACCGAAGCTCCTTCAAGGCCTTCGCGAAACCATATCTGCCGGACATCTTTGACTGCTTCATCGACGGACTTGCCGGCGGAGAATTGGGGGCTCAATCGATCGTCAACGTCTCAAACCGAGGCGTGAGTCCGGAAGCGGGCTTTCCAGATCGCGCAGGTGAGGCTGATGAAATGGGGCTTGACTGGACGAGGCTGCATAAGACAGCAATCCTAGCCTTCTCGCTGCATAATTATGGATAGTTGCATAAAAGCACGGGCCATGTGTCTTTCAGACGGAGGGAGTTGGAGCCATGCCGTGACCCACACATCTGAGTCCAAGCGTCATTCTTTTCAGCCTCTCGACATCGGAGTGGAAAGCGGTCGCCCTTGTCCGAGACCTGTCTAGGCACTTTGGTGGACGGCTTCGCAATCCTCTCCACTCATTTGTATGTACTCCCATTTGATCTGAGCATCTTACCACCTCGTACTAACAAACCCATCAGCTTTATCCTCTAACTGTTACCCCAGCACATTGTCTGCTGTGCTGTCCGACCACCGGACTCCCTCCGCGCCAAATCTCATAGCCAGCACGCGACCGCCGAACTTTAAACCGCAATCATCAGCGTCGCGCAATTCATTTCCTCCAATTAGCCTATCTCGGGCTAACCTCGATCATGTCGCCAACGAACAGCCTCTTCCGCGCCGCACGGCCTGCCTTCCGCGCCCGCCAGTTCTTCTTCCGCCCCAAGCAGAGCAGCGCCCGCTCCCAGAGCACAGCAACTGGCAGCCAAGCCGCGACCGAGTCGTGGGGCAAGCGCATGTGGAACAGCCCCGTGGGGCTCAAGACGGTGCATTTCTGGTGGGAAAATTCCTCCTGTTATTTCATTACTCCGAATCGTGGATTGGAGAAAGCTCAGAAAGACTGACGGGGGAGATGACGATTGTACAGGGCTCCCGTGATGAAGTGGGCACTGGTTCTGGCGGGCGTCGCCGATTTTGCGCGCCCGGCGGAGAAACTCTCGCTAACGCAGAACGCGGCGCTGACCGCGACGGGCATGATCTGGACCCGGTGGTGCCTCATCATCAAGCCCAAGAACTATCTGTGCGTTCCCCTGTGCCGTCTACTATATCACCTTTCCTTTTGGTCTTATGGTGACTGACTTGTTCTACGATTCAGCCTCGCGGCAGTCAACTTCTTCCTCGGTGTCGTCGGCGTCGTCCAGTGCACCCGCATCGCCCTCTGGCACCAGTCGCAGAAGGCTTTGACCGAGGAGGCCAAGGACGCAGTCAAGTCATAAATGGGATAAGAGAATGGGGCACTCGGGAACGGGGGAGGAATTAAAGGTATTGCGCTTGGCGGCTGCGGCTGCTCGGAGCTGAAGATCTCGACATTGGGGCAGTGGTGTCGAGTTTGAAAGGCTGAAATTGCGATGTCAGAACCGGGATAGAGGGCGGATTGCGCATGGCGTATACTGATCTCGCGTGTACAACAAAGCTGGCTTCGACGGAACTGTGTGTGGCACAGAACATCCATGCCGCGTATTCGCATGCATCGCGCAGTGTTGAGGGTTAAGCGGCTGGGGATCTGTGATGGAGTGGAGGAGCGGCATCTATGCGGCCAAGGGGATATCGCGATAATGATTGCAGCATCTTCCCATTGACCAAACGTATTCTCGACAAGGTGTTTGATTCCGATGTGCCAAGGATACCGCTGTCTAAGTCTATCTGCACCGCAGTTTATGGCACTCGGCCATGTTCCTCGCCATCTCATGCAGGAAGGGATCAACCGGACAAACAAACCGCTATGAGGGATATATCAGCTTACACGCCATGCTCGCTAACGCTAGCCGCCAGAAACATCCAAAGGTTTACAGAAAACTACGCCACAAAAGGGAGCCAAAGACGGACGGCGAGGAGTGCCCAGAAAACTCACGCGCCCGAGCCTGAACCAATCCCATCCTCCGCCCTCCCGCCCCTGCCACTCTTCAGCCTAAGCTCCAAGGGCACCGCCAAGTCCTCGAAGCTGCCCCTCCTCCCCCAGTTCCTGGGTTGTCTTTTGAGGAAGGCGCCCACGGCGCCGAGGTAGCCCTCGTGGCGCAGGAAATAGGCCTGCTTGGCGCCCTTGGACCAGAACTTGATGGCGTAGCTGAGCGTGTTCATGGTCTGCGGGTGGCCCCGGATGAAGGAGCCGCCAAAGTAAATGTGCGACAGCCCGTGGATCTGCGACTGCAGGAAGGCGATCTGGCCAATATTGTTGGAGATTGCGTACAACAGCGAGACGGAGACGTCGGAGGCGCTAAAGGGCCGGGATTCGTCGTGTGAGGAGCCCTTCCGTGGCGGATATTCTTGGTCTCCATCGTGGGATTCGTTGTGGTTACACTCGTGGTCCTTGTGGCGCCGGCCGCCGCTGTCCTCTGCTTCTTGCTCGGCTTGCCTCTTCTTGCGAAAGACCTTGCCGAAGGAGCTGGCGATGGTCGTGCTCTTGAGCCCAATCTTGCCGTAATCGGTGCCGTAGATGTCGCCGACGAGCATGTCCACCTTGGAGTTGTCGCCTTGCGAGGCCAGTTCCAGCATCTCGTCGAAGGTGCGCGCCCCGGTGAGCAGACTGAGCAGGCCCCAAAGAGTGCCGCCTCCCAGCGATGTACCACCAACACGCTCGTACTTGCGCGGGCCAGATACTTTTAGGAACGACACGCCAGAGCCGATGTTCACGAGTAGGTATGGATACACGTTCTCAGACGCCTCGACGAAGTGCATGGGATTCGTTTCGGAGTAGGTAAAGACCTCGCGGGGAATCTCGGTGATGAAGAAGTCAAGACCGATAATCAGGCACTCCATTTCATCTTCCCTCAGCACATCGACCCCAAGCACGTCGCGGATCTTGTCGTAGTACTTGTATGCCCCTCCCCCTGTCGCCATCACACAGAGCTCGCTGGCCACTTTCGCGGATGATGAGCCATTGCCGCCGTTCAATTCCAGGTGCTTATCCTTGAGACGGCGAATAAACTCAAGGCATTCATCGATGTGGTCGGTCTCGAAGCTGATAAAGTTGAGCCGTCCCCCAGGCTCTGTCGTGTGCGCCTCGCGCGAGAAGTAGACAAGCTTGGCAAGGGAGCCGCCAATCTGCGACAACGGTAAAGTGTCAGCCCAAAGCTCGGCGAGGGCAGGCAGAAGCACAATGACATCATCGCAGAGAAAGAGGTCAACGGCAACGTTTGGGACAAGTTTCGTACGTCAATTGCTATATGGCTGACCACGGCCGTGTGGTTCGGCAGCCGGATATCTTTGGTCTCGTGACGACCAGGTGAGCCGCTGCGGCCGTCTGGGGTTGTGGGTGTTGATGTCTCCTGGTCGACGATGAAGGCGCCCTTGACGTTTATGCGTACGGAGCCGGGGTGGCTCAATGTCTCGTCAATCTCAGCGATGTCGGCATTTGCGGTACGCGGACGGCCGGCAAGAGACGGTCGCCGCTGGTGTCGCTCCCGGACAGCCTCCTCCGAAAGCTGGTGCGGAGGCTCGGCCTGGTAGATATCTTCGCTCGGCATGGTGTAATCGCTTTGCCCCGTCGGAAAAGGGAGATCACGGTCAAGTGATTCACGGAGGTCTCGAAGAGATATCCATCTGAGTGGGTTTTCGGCGCTGCCAGGCCGAGTGCAGTGAAAGCTTATAAAACCGGGAATGCTCAGAATTACATTGTAGAACTCATCCCGGTGTTGCGGTCACTGCGACCAGGCAAAGCCGAACGGAAGTGGGAGCTCGGCTATCGATAACAGAGCGTTAACGTTAAGCCCTTTGCCCGAGGTCTGTGACTTTCCAGATTCGAAAGGGGAAACCCTTCCCTATTGGTTCCAGGCACTTCTCTCAACCAAAGTTACCTAACCGATTCTTGCTGAGCAAGACCCGGCTGTGAGCGAGACATGCTTGGTTGATGTTTGAGGCATCCACCGAGACAAGCAGATGTCTTGGTCGTGATCATCTACTCTTTTGAATCGACATCTGAAGCAATAGTTATCAACGCCATGCAATGTAATATCCTTCCCTCTATGTACGCCAACCGCTCCCTTTCAATTCCCGCCACCTTCACTCACTGGTACCCAACACGAAGTGAGCGCTGTCGACATGGAGAGACAGAGCGACTAAGTGGCATATGTTGTGTACCCCATCAGAACAAGTTGTTACTAAGTGGGCGATCTGCTCTCTCCCCGTCAACCGAGCTGACCGCCCCGAATCCACAAACCCTTCTCCTACCAATGCCTCTCGCTGATCTCAACAGAGTCGACGTCTACCCCTTCCTTGAACCACCGCTCAGCCTCCTCAATCCTCACATCATTCCCACTCATCTGCCTCTTCCTCATCAACCCGTTATCGGCAAACGTCCAGTCTTCCAGCCCATACGTCCGCCACCACTGGCCTGTCTCATCGCGCCATTCATACCAGAACTGGACGGCAATCTGGCACCCGTCGTCAGCGTACCCTGGACGCTTGCTTGGGGAGTTTGCCAAGAAGACTGTACTTTATTATTCGTAAAAGCAAACAGTTCCTTCCTTAGTCGGTAGTCCCTTTCCTTCGCCCACTTCTTACGGAGAAAATCGACGATCTCATCGCGCCCTTGCAAAAAAGTGTCCCGATTGCGCCAGATTGAGTCGGTAGTGTAGGCAAACTGGACGAGCTCGGGGTTTCTAGGCCGTGTGTGTCAGCTTAAAGGACGTCGGCCACAGCAACGTATAAGGAGCCGGCTTACTTTGTGTTCCAGGCTGCTTGTGCCGCCTTGACCTTCCACTGGGCTGTCTCCCGAGTGAAAGGGGGGAAGGGGGCTTTAGACTCTGTCGCCATGGTTACTGCGAATCACTGGACCCAGTCAATGCGATTACAGATGATGGCTGTGCAAGCATGTGGTTGTATCAGTAAGGTTGCGACGAGCTCCCGTTGTCATGCCCGAGGGACCAATGACATATGAATGTGCCCACTACCTTATTTACGATCCTACTTTGCACGACGGTTGAATAATCAGGATCCACTCTCGACAAGACACGCCCTTTGTCGACAAGCGAGCTTGAATAAGCAGAAATCATCAATACATTGGTGGACTCTGAATTCAGTCACTATTGACATCAAAAGCGTTCATCTTGCAAGAATGCTGAGAAGAAGGACAACATTATCCGTCCGTTCAATCTCGGTTTGTTGCTAGCGCGGAACTTCGGTTCGAGAATGACACTTCTAGGTACATCTCCTTCCACCTTCACCTCTTTCTATTCCTCTTCATCTCCATCTCTGTCTTTGTCTTCCTCTTATCACTTCTCTTACTTTCTGTGTTCTTGCTATGTTTCTTTTTATTTTCCTTCCTCATTTTCTTACTTTCCTTGAATCTCACATTTCCATTCATGGCTAAACCAGGGTTGAATTGTAAGGGCCAACATACCAGTGTATCTAGGTGCGACCCAAGCCTGCCGAGGTCGGCGCTCGGGCAATCTAGGCTGCCCGGGTCCCGGGAGCATCGGCAATATCGGTGCCCCTCGCCGGCTCGGAGACCGCCGATCTACGGTGCGCAGCCCGGACACCCGCGCCGTCTTCGGGCCCAATGAAACCGTTACTCAGCACGACTGGACGTGCGCACTGATCAAGTCGGTTCAGATTGATAAGCTACCCATTAAGCCCGTTACGCCATCCTAGCCTGCTATTGCCGAAAGATGTAACAATACAGACGAGACAGAGTAAGGTAGCATTTGGAAGAGGTCCACTCGAGGATATGGTAACCCCTCAACTCCACCCCCGCGATACCTAAACAAACTCAAAGACTCCCGGTATTGCCAGTTTGATATTTAGAACAATTGAACATTACACAACTTCTCATCTCTAAACAACTGCTCAGCAACATCCCAGAGGCCCCAACCAAAGCCTCTCCAGTTCGTCCCACACGACCACTCACCTGCGCTAACGAAGATGTCGACGCTCACCCCCGGCTCACCCTTCCCCGCAGGCGTGACCTTCACCTACGTCGCGCCAACAGGCAGCCTCGACTTGACCGTTTGCGGCCTGCCCATCAAGTATGACGCCAGCGAGGGTATGCAAACTCACCTTCAGATTCACATCCGCCTCTCTCATTGTTTCCCGCCTCTACAGCAAAAAAGGCCGCTCATACTAACCCCTCAACAAAACACCCAGAATTCAAAACCAAAAAGGTGGTCCTCGTCGCAGTCCCGGGTGCCTTTACACCAACCTGCCAAGAGCAGCATATCACCTCTTACCTAGCCAACCTGGACAAGCTCAGGGCCAAGGGAGTCGACAGCGTCATCTTCATCGCGTCCAACGACGCCTTTGTCATGTCGGCGTGGGGCAAGGCGAACGGAATCAAGGATGACTCTATCGTAAGTATCTTGTTCTTCTATTCATATTCCTGGGTGCTTTTGCCCATTTATGGTTACTTACGTATTATCACCGTAGCTTTTCATGTCGGATGCTGGCGCAGAGTTCAGCCGTAGCATTGGCTGGGCGGCCGGCGATCGGACCGGGCGGTACGCCCTTGTCATTGACCACGGCAAAGTCATCTACGCCGAGGTGGATACTCAACGGGGAAGTATCGAGCATTCCGGGGCTGAGGGAGTTCTGGCGAAGCTCTGAATGTGGTACCAGCCTCATCGACAGATGTGCGTAGCTAGGATTTGGGGGGAAGAGGTCATTGATTTGCATCTCTGAGTCGGCATAGACGAGCTGCGCTCTATCATACGCTCATAGAAACCCGTTTCCCCAGCTCCGGCCCGCCCATGCCCGTTGGTAGGTTGCTTGTTGCTGATGACCATTGCATAAGTTGGCACTTCGTGGGCTACCCATGCAATGTCCTACACCCGTCACGCAGGATCCATGCAACCGGCCCCTTCAGAAACAAAGCTGCCTTCGCCAACCTGTCGTTGTGAGAGCAAAAACCGTTTAAAGTGAGCTGATCAAGGTAAAACCGAGTACCGACCGACCGACTCCAGCGTTTTCCCTTCCGGCCACAGGCAAGACCGTAAGATACCCGTTTCAAGTATTGTGCTCCTCTCATGACCTGGCTTCCCTTGCCTCAAAAGAACACGCAACCCTCCCGGACCAGCAACCACCAAAAGGTACAGAATTTAACGGCTCTTGGCAGCAACCTTGACCGGCGCACCCTTCGCGGCCTGCTTACCCACGATGCGACCTTGAGGCTGGCCGGCAGCGCGCTTGGCCTTGTCGGCCTTCTTGGCGGCCTGCTCAGCCGCCTTCTTCTCCTTGCTCTCTTTGATGGCGGCCAGGCGGGCGGCGCTCCGGGCCTCGGGGCGCATCGACCGGCGCTCCTTGATCACATCGAGGGAAGCACCAACGATGGCACGCTGCGACTTGACGGTACGGCGGGTGCGCTTCTTGGCGACTTCCTGTAGAGTGAGTCAGCAGGCCGTCTTACATTCTCCATTCCTCTCCTTTCGCTCATGTCGTCATATTGCCCAGCCCCGCCCTTCCATTCTTCCCAAGCTTGATCTCGGTCGTGGGTGTGCGCCGGAGCGGATGAATCGTACCTCAGAGATACCCTTGCGGTGTTGCCTCCGGTAGAGGACGGTCCAGGCAATGCGGCGGGGGTTCTTGCGCTGGAGGAAGAGCGACTCCGACTTGCCATTCTGGAAGCGGAAGATCTTGCTGTCGCCACGGACATACAGCTTACCCTGTGGGGAACAAGAGTCAGATTCGTTGTGTTCTCGGCCCAAATGACAGTCCCCAAAGTCCTCCTTCGACGAAGTTCCCACCCCGGTCGTCGTCTGGCGTCATTCGAGCTCGGAACGGTTATCGCGTCGCTGCGTGGTTTGGGGTGGGAATTTCGCCGTGGCTCGCAATCGCTGGAACGGGTTCAACTCGTACCTTGCCGGGGTAGATCCGCTGGCCGGAGAAAGTATCGTCGTACGTTCTCATTTTGGCGGTGGTTTGTCGATTGTCGTTGTCGGGATTGCTTCCTCGGAGTTCAAAGGTTCCAAGTCGATTTTCGCCAAATTCTTTGGTGCAGGTTGTGGGATAGGGCTGCTTCGTGATAGGCTGAGGAGCGAGCCGGGCCCGCTCTTCATCTTGATGATGTGGCTTGTGTGGGGCGCTCATGAGCGAGCCACAGCAAGACCGACCTCCGCCTTGTGTAGAGGCTGCGTGGTTACTGATGTTAAGTCGAGAGTTTGGTGAGACAACGTATGTCAAAGATACAATTTGAAACATGAATTGTCTGCAAACACACAATAACTTCGTGTTCTTCACAGATGAACCAGCAGCCCGATCATTCACAACCCTAACCCTTTTTGAGTCAGCACTCTTGTTCTCCCCTGCTGCTCTCCTGACGCAGCCAAACATAGAAGCTGAATCGGGGGCCTCGTAGTTGACAATGGCAAATGATGCCGATGACATAGCATCAGCCGTTATGGAAGAGTTCCGGAAACTTCCAGCCAAGCGCAAGCCAGCTGTCCGTGACAATGGCCTCCGAGAATGGGTGCCCCTGAGCGGCATCGTCGTGAAAGGTACCTTTGATGTTCATCCTGCCAGGTTCGGTAAGATACCGGAAGCTGACTTGTACTCTTGAATCCAGGTCCAAATCTCCTAAAATGCGTGGCCCTGGCGTGAGTTGTCAACCTTCCCAGGCCGACCCTTTTGCAAGCCAGTTATGGACACCACAGACCCGGCCCCTAACCTCAGTAGAACCGGCATGAAATGCCTACCCGCTTCAAAGCTCCCTCAAGCCAACGGTGTAGCCCTCCACGACTGGCACGCCGAGGTTCTCACCATCCGGGCCTTCAATCGGTTTCTCTTGAACGAGTGTCGCCGGCTGGCCCAGGATAGCTCTGCAGAATCCGAGTATCTCCTGCGGCGGACCGGAGAGGAGCTATCCGCTTCCTCCAATAGCCCCTGGCATCGCCAGCCGTTCACCTGGCGGGGATACCTCACCCTACACATGTACTGTTCTGAAGCTCCTTGTACGTTTTCTTCAGTTCTTCTGTCTCAACCTGCGACTGACAACCACGTATGCCAGGCGGCGATGCCTCCATGGAGCTCGTCATGTCCTCCCAAGCGGACGCCACCCCCTGGACAATCCCCCCCTCCCTGTCACCCTCACCTTCACCGGCCACATCAGCCAACACCTCCCCGGCGGCGAACTCTCCCAACCCAACCACCTCCCCACCATCACCACCACCACCTCCTCAACCAACAACCCTCCTAGGACGAGGCTTCTTCTCCCACCTAGGCATCGTCCGCCGCAAGCCGGCCCGCGGCGACGCGCCCCCGACCCACTCCAAGTCCTGCAGCGACAAGCTCGCCCTCAAGCAGTGCACCTCACTGCTCTCCTCGCTCACCTCCCTCTTCGTCTCGCCGCAGCACTGCTACCTCTCAACCCTCGTCCTGCCTGCGCCGCAGTACTCGCCCGCGGCATGCCGCCGGTGTTTTTCGGCTGATGCCAAAGGTGATGGAAATGGTGATGGCGGGACAGCGGTCGAGGGGCGGATGGCCGCGGTCAGGGGCAGGGTGTGGGAGGGGATGGGGTATGGGTTCGTCCCGTTTCGGGTGGAGATTACGGGGAAGGAGTTCGAGTTTTCGCGGAGGGGAATCTCTGCTTCTCTTGGAAATGATGGTGAGGGTGAGAAGGACATCAAGGTGGCGACGAGTAACCTGGCCGTTGCATGGACGGCTGACGGGGAGGTTGATGAGGGCTTGATTGGCGGGGTGCTGCAGGGGAGGAAGGCGTTTGACTTGAGAGGAGCGAGCTTGACGTCGCGGAGGAGGATGTGGGCTGCTGCGATGGAGGTTGCTGGGCTGTTGGATAATGAGGGGATAGCGAAGCAGTTGGGGAAGGGCACGTATGACGGGCTGAAGGAGGGGGAACTGCTGGCGGCTAGGAGGCGGATCAAAGAAGACGTGAGAGCAGAGGCGTTGAAAGGCTGGCTGAGGAACTGCGGTGATGGAGAGTTCAGTTTGTGATATATCCAGGTACTGCAGACACCTGTCATTCTGGCAACTATATCACACAAACAAAACTTCATGACCCGCGTTGCTTCCTTTAGGCATGGGCACGTTACATCTCCAACAAAGCAGTGGGATGCTCAGGAGCACACGTGTTTCTTCCTATCCTCCCTGGCCAAGACCCTCGGAGGCCTGATGCAAAGTGTCGGTACCAAGACGCCGTTAACCGTTTCAGCGAGAGATCGATTTCGTTCTGCCCCCACCAGACCTGGAGCAAAGAAGAAAGCAAGGCACATTTCGATAGAGTTTTTATTTTCGGCATCCGGTCGCTTACTCGACCTTGTTCTCGAAGTTCTCGCCAGCAACGAGGTCCGGGATATCATCATCATCAGCTTCCTTCTCGCCCTTCTGCATGCTCTGATAGCTCTCGGCCAGCTTGCGGAGAGAGGCGAGCGAATCAGGCCCGAGCTGGTTCAGGATACCGGGGACGAGCTCCGTCAGCTCCTTCTCCTCGCCGTTGCCGTAGATGGCAAAGGTGTTGGCCGGCACAGCGGCGTGGACTATTGACCGGTTTGTGAGCACACCATACCGTCGTTTCTCCAAATTGATCGTACGAACCCTTGGGGGCGGCGAAGTGAATGACGTTGCCGTCGCTCTTGAACATGTTGACCTCCTCAATGGCCTGGATGGGCTGGACATTGAGCTTCTTGAGCGATTGCTGCAGCTTTTTGTCGTCGCCGGTCGACCGTGCGGGAGCGCGCTTCACCTTTCTCCGGGGAGTGCCCTTGCCACTGTTCGTCACGAAATCTCGTCAGAATCTCCATCTATTGTCATTCGTGTTCCAAGCGATCGTTCTCGGGCAGAATTGACTGTCTAGACATACCCTGCCGGCGTGGTGGGTTAGTCGGCCGATCCCGAGCGGGGTAGCGATGTGGGAGGGACAGCAACGTACCGATGCGAGCAGAAGCACCAAGCTTCTTGAGCCGTTCCTGAACGTCCGCCATGTTGGTAGTTGTTCGATGGGGTTGTGGTGGGGGAGGTCGAGATAGCCGGGGGCGACTTGGTCAAGCTCGAGCTTGGATCAGTCAGCCTTTAGGGCAGCTCCGTGTCGAGCGGTGCACAAAATAAGCCCTTGCGACGGGACACCAGTTTTCGCAGCGGCAAGAATGGCGATGGGAGACGTACTCTATCGGTTGGGTATAATTTTGGTCCTGGGTTCACCTAGGAGTATCGTGATAGGCCCGCGATGCCTTAAGCCTTGTCCGGTCGTCAGTGGTTGGAGAATTTGTGTGCGCCTGGGCCCTGATATTTTTCGCAGTCGCAATAACTTTTACCCCACTCTACAGCCGCTGACCGAGCCTCACCGAGCCGCTCACCTTGCACTGACTTGTTTCGCGACGTCTGTAGAGGGAAGGAATGGACTGTGGTAAATAGGAGCGAGATTACAGCCCATAAATTTTATTCTATCAGTTCATGTTTTGAAATGATCTGCCGTGTAGTTGCCCCGTATGCGCCAGAACGCCGACATGTCAACCAGGGTCCTCAGTCGCCATTGACACGCCGGGCTCTTACCCAACCCGCCTACCTCCTATTACCCAAATACTTGAGGTGAGACTGCCATGTGCCTGTTATACAAACCAATTCACTCACTTCATACAGCCGGCCAGTCACTTGGCCGCATTTTCAGAGTGTGCCCCATTTCCCTCGGCCGAAGAGGAAGCTTGCACCGGTAACCCGGCCTCTCTCCTCATGGCTTCTCGCCTGGCCTTCATCTCTTCTGCTAGCTTCAAGGACTCAGCAACAGAGGCTTGCTTTGTCCGCTCTTTCTCTGCCTCGGCCTGGACCAGCCAGACTGTATAGTGAGTCAGCCTGGCAGTCAGAGCGTTGTCAAGGAGCCATTCGACACTCACTCGGCTTGTCAGATTTTGAGTACTCCTTGAGTTTCGTAACAAAGTCGTCAAAATCTTGTTGTCGCTCAAACCTCCGTTCCAGACTCCGCTTCTGGAGCTCAGGGTTGTACTTCTGGAAGAGCTCCTCATCTGTAGGTTGGACCCATCTTACGAGCGCCGGTCCGCCAACGGCGATGCCACCACCGCTAGTCCATGCTGTCAGCGACCATGAGCCTTCTTCTGGACCGGGGGACGCTTACACGATGAGCATCTTGGTCCATAGCCACCAATTGACTGGTGTTTTGGCCATCTCCAGAGGGACAATAGAGTCTCAGAGTTGAAGTGCAAGTGAGATGACAAAATAGGATGAGTCTTATGTCCTTGCAGTGAGATTATGGTTCGAAATGGTCGCTGGTATCCGTATGGTCGCTGGCTCACCCGGCGCAGCGTTGATGATGAGGTCAGCGAGTCGAGAGCTGCCGGCAGAAACGGAACAGCTCGAGGCAGTCAGCTGGAGCTGGGTTCTGCGACCCGGCTTGGCAACAACCGCGGGCAAGGTAAAGGCGCGCGGGATCGGCCCCACTGTGCCCTACCTTAGCCAACACGGCTCCCGTCTCGCGTCGGGACCTCACTGCGAACCGGAACCAAAAGTCGGGGAATGTTTCTTGTTGACGCTTCTTCCTAAGACATATCTCGATATTACCTTATGCACCTACCGTAGGTAGCACATGACCAGCTGGCTGGGGTCATCTACCTTACCATAAAAGAACCTCAAATGCTAAGCGGGAGGCACAGTACCTACAGTGCCTTCGGTCCTTTGACCTTATGCTTCCAAATTCCAGGTAGACCTCGAGAATCGATACTCCAAGTCCGGACTGCTTGGTATTTTAGTATTGCCGCTGGCTTACAGATAGGCGCGTTGCTGCTCCCCTTGGCGCGATTCGTTGTTGCCTCCTGTGCGACCTCAACCCTAATTTCGATCTCTGGTCACGAAGGCTGAGAATCGAACCTGGGCCGCCATCCGACTCTGCACCGGACGCCGGCGCGTATTCGGCGTGTAAGGGGCGAAGCAGCCTTGGAGAAAACCAATAGTCCTCAATGTATGGGAAGCTTCCAATACTGGATTGACATCAAACTGTCTGGTGTTACAACATTAGCAGTGGGGCATTAACTTACAGACTGGCTTCGGCTATGCGGATGCTGCCAGCACGAGCAGAAAACACCGGGACTTGCCTTGTATTGAGGGGAACCGACCATTGGTTCATCGCTGATGAACACAGCTCCTGAAGCGAGGACCCGAGGATGGAACGGCTGGCTTTCTCGCTGCAGGGGCAATGCACATTTAGTGTTGCCCTGCATCGGATCCCAGCCGGCGCACGCGTCCCGTTTCAGTTGCAACTTGATTTGAGCCAGCCATGTCGTAAGGTGATGTTGTCCTCACAACCTCAGCCACAAAAAGCGCTTTCGGGTTCGCTTGCAGAATTTTGAAGGGCTGTGGGCCGAACGAAGACCTTTATCCGTCGTGCTCAGCCAACCAGTGAAGGTGAGATATTCTCAGCTAGATATTCTCAGCTAGTGCCAATGTTCGTACCGTGGTAGGTGAATTGTTCAGCAGTACGGTAATTCATGACGGATACCTCTGTACCTTACCAAGGTCGTATTGGGACCCTTGCTTGCATGCAACCACCCTTGGCCCGACCGGCCCCGCGGTCTCTCAACAGGCCCTCCCCGTCCAAATTTGACGGGCGACCGGCCATGGAAGAACGGCGACTTTTGCACTTCTCTCCAAGGAGCTCGACACAATGCATTCCTGTGACTTCAGGTCGTGACCTTCCTACCTTGGGCTGCTGAATATTTCAACACCTGACCGATCCCGCCAGGTCATCCACTCCTTCAAAGCGAAACTTGACCTGTTCCTCCACTTCGCAGTCGTATTCCCTCCAAAACCTGGACCTCGCGCCTGCGACAGCGACACCCTTCACCTGAGGCCGCCGATTGAGTCGTCAGTCAATTGTCACTCCGCTTCGCCTGCTCGCTGGACCTGTCCAATTATTTCGATTACTGCCAACTTCTCGGCCTGAACCGAGTTTCTCAACTCGCCCTACATCGTTGCCATGAGACCCCTTCTTTAGACGCACTGCCCTACCAGCCAGCTCTTGAGCATCCACCGCAAGACTGTTGAACTACGGCCATCGCTGCCGGGCTCCGACCGTCGCAGCCACTCAATTCCTTGAGATAGTTTGGGCAAGATATTTCTTCCGGTTTAGGTTGCATTACCAGTTGTGAACGAAACTACTGGCGCAGGGCACAGACAGCTCCTCGACAGCACCATGGCATATAACGGGCAATATGATGGGGCTCCTCGTGGACGTCAATATGGCGGAGGACCGGGGCCGGGACCTCAACGACCGCCACCCCAACGACAATACCCACCAGGGCCCGGAGGGCCTCAGCAGTACAGCGCGCCAGCCCAACAGCAGCAGTACGATCAGTATCAAGATGGGCATGGCTATGATGAATACAGGAATGGATATGATCAGGGCTACGACCAAGGATACGCTGGACAATACGACGACAGGGGTTACGGTAGAGGAGGACCTCCGAACCAACAATACCAGCAGGATTATTACGACCCCGGTCCGAATGCACATGGAAGAGGAGGCCGGCCGATGCCTGGTGGCAGAGGAGGTCCTATGAGGCCTCCGCCTGGCGATGCCGGTCGTGGAGGCCCTTACCCACCTCGCGGCGGAGCATATGGCACGGGTCCAAGCGGTCCCCCAGGGCCTGGGGCCCGGGGCTATCCTCCACCTGGCCGTGGCGGTCGACCAGGCCCGCCTGATCGGGGCGGCAACCCGGATCCTGGCTGTAAGTGTGGCGATCTTTGTGAATGCCGGTAGTGTCGGTAGTGCAGCGGTATGCTAATACCTTCCTCAGCGAACCGAGGACCAGCCATGGGTGGGCCTTTCCCCTCGTTCCCCGCCGCACAGGGCATGACGGACTCGCAACAAGAGCAGCAGCTTGTTGCACAAATGGGAGGTATGGACATCTCGGGACAGAAACCGGGGCCAAGGGGTCCAATGTCTCCCCCGCAGCACCGAGGACCCATGCGTGCCCCTCCCACCGGGTACGGGGGACCGGGACCCATGGGACCTCCTCGGGGCCCTCCGCAGGCCTATCATCCGCAAGATTTTCCCGACCAACGACGTGGGCCTCCTCCCCAAGGACCCGGATTCGGGCCTCAAGAAGGCGCGTACCAGGAGGAAAAATTTGGGCCCCCTCCCCGAAGCATGACAATGCCGACGAGAGATCACATGGACATGCGCCAAGGCGGCCCTCCTGTGCGACGGGATAGCGCCCCTTACAATGGCCCTGTCGGCCGCCCTATTCCGCAAAGACCAAGCACCGCTCAAGGTATGCGCCAACCGCCTCCGAGAATCCACCCTCCGAACAGCAACAATCCTCCTCTCCAAGAAGGATACCGGGAGCCTCCGCAGAGGATTGGTCCCGACTCGGCCTACGGCCAGGATCGCCCTGAATCCATCGACAACTTTTACGACTATTACGGCAACAATGAGGGGTACCCCGCGCAGAACCCTCCATCCGCCGCGTCCGAGCCTCCGAATTTCGATGCCATGCCCACGCAACGACCTAGGAACTCTCTCGACAGGCACATGCAACCCGGCCAGCCGGAGCAAGCCCAGCGTGGACCAGGCAGATACCCCGAGGTCAGGGCAGCAAAGTCTCAGCCCGACTTGCGCAACTCGCAAACGGCCGTGTTCGAGATGGCGGGCGACATCCCTCCCTTACCTACCCAGCAAGCAGTCCAGCATCCAGCGCCTTTGCCCAGTAATCCGCAGTCATATAAAGGGCAACCCGGGCCGGCTCTCGGACCGGGCTTGCCTCCCGGTCCAACCCCATATCGACCTGGCATGCAGCCTCCGCCTCAATCAAGCCCTAATCAGGACAGTCTCCCCTCGCATCCTACACCCGTCCGCCCGGGACACATGCCTGGCTCGATAGTGAACCTCAATGACCGCCCGCCGCCAGTCAGGAACTACAGTGGCGGGACGAACTACAGTGCCAACACGACCACTCCACCTGCGGGAGGTTACACTCAAGGACCGCCTCCTCCTGCGCAACAAGCAACCAACCCACCTGCTGCGAAGCCCGTGGAAGCCCCGGTTACGATTGAGGAGCTGGAGCACTTGCGTGCTGTGGTGAAGAACGACGCAGGCGACCAAGCATCGGCTCTCCGGCTGGCGAAGCGACTGGTGGAAGCCTCCGATGCGCTCGTTCCCAACCTTCCCGACCCAAAGGCTCGCGCCCGTTCCCGCGAGCGATACCTCGTCGACGCCCATAAGATTCTCCGCAAGCTCGAGAAAGCCAACAATCCGGACGCCATGTTCTTACTTGCCGACTGTCTCGGCCGCGGCCTCTTCGGCAGCGAGCCCGACAACGCCCACGCCTTCTCTCTGTACCAGTCGGCAGCCAAGCTTGGCCACGCCGCGGCCGCCTACCGCACCGCCGTCTGCTGCGAGATTGGCAACGACGAGGGCGGCGGCACCCGCAAGGACCCGCTCAAGGCCATCCAGTGGTACAAGCGCGCCGCCACGCTCGGCGACACCCCGGCCATGTACAAGGTTGGAATGATTCTGCTCAAGGGCCTCCTCGGACAACCGCGCAATCCCCGCGAAGCCATCAGCTGGCTCAAGCGCGCCGCCGAGCGCGCGGACTCCGAGAATCCGCACGCCCTGCACGAGTTGGCTCTGCTCTACGAAAGCGCCGACCCCAACGACGTCATTCTCCGTGACGAGGCCTACGCCTTCTCGCTGTTCAAGCAGGCCGCCGAGCTCGGGTACAAGTTCAGCCAGTTCCGACTGGGCTGTGCGTACGAGTACGGTCTTCTTGGGTGTCCTATCGATCCTCGGCTGTCCATCATGTGGTATAGCCGCGCCGCGATGCAGGAGGAGCACCAGAGCGAGCTGGCGCTGTCCGGGTGGTATCTGACGGGCAGCGAAGGGGTGCTGCAGCAGAGCGATACCGAGGCGTACCTCTGGGCCCGGAAAGCCGCCATGGCGGGGCTGTCCAAGGCCGAGTATGCGATGGGGTATTTCACTGAGGTGGGTATCGGCGTACCGGCAAACCTGGAGGACGCAAAGAGGTGGTATTGGAGGGCTGCTGGTGAGTTTTATCGCTGGCCCTTGCTGACTGGCAATTTGCAGAGATAAGAAGCGCTAACGGTGACACGGAATAGCTCAGGACTTCCCCAAGGCGAGAGAACGGTTGGAGGACCTCAAGCGATCGGGCAAGAGCGGTCCGCGTGCCAGGGAGAGGATATCCAGGAGCAAGATCGGGAAGCAGCAGGAGGGCGAGTGCTCTGTCATGTGAGCGAGTGTTGACCACAAGGGCCTGGTTTGCCCTGCTCAGTGATATTAGAGCCGGATATGAGGCGGAACAGTAATAATCGGGACGGCGTTGGCAAGACGGCGGGGGCAAAACGGTCGGATGCTAGTGCGCTGGAACATATCGGGTCGGGACGCGAAAGGTGGGGAACGAGTGAATGCCTGGTTTCGAAGCCAAAAACATCGGACGTGCTGTCATTGATTGGCAGTGGCCGCAAACCAGAATCTGTTTGTCTGTACGGAGTAGTTGTACGAGATGAAGAGTCAATTGGGCAATTTCGAGGCTTGGGTTCAAGTTTGAGACAGAATCCTTTACTTTCCTATCTCATGTTCCGTATCACGGAGACCGAACTGTGGGCCTAGTGCGGAATTTTCGTTTGTTTGGTCGAGCATTGAGGACTGTGAGCATCACAGGTTTTGCACCATAGTAAATTCACCATGGCTGGGTGAGACCCAAGAGGAATATCAGATTCGCGTGCCTAGCCTTTATATAGTACAATAAAATTCACAAACAGATCCTTCTCTTATCAGCCTATTCCGAGTGAACCAAGCCATCAACCAACCAACTCCGATGGTGCTGATCCAAGCGACCAAATCCCAACCATGCCTTGCGGCTAGCCGGTCTTGTACGCCAAAATCGCTCATCATCGTCATCCTCATTCTCATTCTACTTCGTGACTTCGTTCATCAATCATATCCACGTCCGGGATACACCCGTCCAGGGAAGAACTGAGACCTGAAAGTCAATCCAAGTCCACTCCCGAAATCGGGGATGTATCCTTCAATGCCGTCATTGCCGCTCAGCAGCGAGCTCTGTCCTCTCCAGGCCATACCCTCTCGGCGACTCAGCCAAGAGAAAATGTATCCCTATCCTCCTCTTGAGTCTCGATCCTGCACTCCCGGTGGATTAATCTCCATGGGCGGACAGCCCAGTGCAAGAAACAAGACGACCAACAAACCGATGACGGCCAACCACCCCGTCTCTTTCTTGATGTTTTCTTCGTTTCCTTCGTGTTGGGGAGCATCCTCCGTCTGCCACTCGTCGTTTACATCCTCCGCCTTGTTTTTCTTCTTTCTAGTCTTCCCACTCTTCTTCTTTTTTGGTTTCTTTGACCCAGGCTTGTTGTTGCTGTCGTGTGGTTCGAGTGTGGGGAGTCCCAATGATCCCTACTCGTGGTCCTTGAACAAGTCCCTCACGTCCATCCTCTGCCCCTTGCTCCTCACCACGCGCTGCCTGGAGATGTGCAACGAGCCGCCGTTGCGCTCGACGCTGAACTTGCTGCCCTCGGGCTTCACGCCCCGGTCGACACCATTGACGCCGCCACCCGTTTTCTCGCCCTCGATTGCCTTTGGAGCGCCCTTACCCCTCTTGGCGCCGTTGACAAACATTTCAACCTTTCCAACCTTGCTGTCCCCGTCGCCCTCGTCACAACCCTCGTTGGGCTTCTCCGCCTGTTCGGCCATGACCCCTTTCTCGGTGTCAGTGTTATCATCCTTGTCACCGCCACGCGAGGATGTGTAAGCCTGGCCGTGTCCGGAACCCGAATCAGCGGGTTTGCCGCCGCCCGAGGCCTTGCCTTTCCCCTTGTCTTTCTTGTTGGGCGCAGCATTGGAAGCGTCAACTGTGGTGCCGTTTTCTTGCTCCGAATCGTCCTGGCTGATTACGCTTCTAAAGAGCGCCATGGTTGAGGATCCAGCTCCATTCTGAATGTTGTTGCTGTGAGGGACGCTTGCTTGACCGTTCGCGGCCTCCTCTTGGGAAGGAGCGTCAAGGACTTTGCCCTTGCCTTTGTCCTTTCTCGGGGTGGCGTTGTAGATATCATCCCATGGCACCCTCATGTCTTGTTTCTCGGTGGAAACGGGAGTGGAAGGTCGAATTACGAGTTGTCCTTTTTGGGTCTCGGTGGCGCCGTTTGCGAGGCCGGATGGGGGTGGCATGGCTTGCCCAGCTGTCTGCTGCGTGCCATTGCCCGTCGCAGCATCGGGCAGGGGTGTCGAGGGGCGAAATTGAGTCTGCGAGCCGACAGCAGACCGGTTCTTGTTCTTGTTCTTCTTCTTTTTCTTGCCCTGTGGCCTCGATGGACCCGGATGGTCTAGTTGCTGCAAGGAATCCGATTGAGCCCCCTGTATCGAGAAGGGAGGCTGCTGGATGGAGTTATCGGGGAACGGCGTGTGCTGCTCATGCGATGGGGGATGGGACGGATTGTTAAATGGCTGAAGCACCTCGTTCGGTGGCTGCCAGAATGGCCTGTGTTCCACCTGCTGCGATGGAATGTTTGTGTAGGACGCTTGAGCTCTATCCCATGACCCGGAAGAGCCATTGTCTTCGATCCAAGGGAGCTGTCGATTCTGTCCAAACCCCCGGCGACGAATCACAGTGCCATTGTAGTCTGCATCGAGCCGGACATCTCCCGGGTTTCGGAGGACCCATGATTGGGGCAACTGCCACTCAAACCCGGCTCCAGAGGGATTAAACTCCCCATTGGCGGCTGTACCGGAGACTTGGTTGAAGCCATAGGATCCGTTCGTGAACTGCTGGGATGGAGCATGTTCAAGACGGCCATGACGATCGGTTTCAAAGGCCTGGGCAGCCATCAAGAGGTTATGAGCGGCTTGGTGTCCGTTTGTCTCATGTTGGGGCGCTGAGACAGCGGGCTCAGCTCGCTCAGAGGTTCGGACAGGTGATGCAGTCCTTGGGGGCACTATGTCTCTAAAAGTAATGCGCCAGACAGGACTTCCCATCTTGACTCTGGTATGGTTGGGGATAGTCACCACAGGCTCGGCTGGCTCCGGGGTTCTAGTGCCTGGCAGACGGACCCGGATGCTCATGCTCCCAGTGGTGCTGTTTCCTCGAGAGGCAGCGCTCTGGGTAGGCGACGGTTGATCATCAAAGGCCGCCTCTTCAGACGGCGGCTTGGTCTGCACAGACGTCTCACTGGAACTGGGAAGCCAATGAGGTTGAGGGCCATTCGTTTTGAATTGCTCGGGCGGTGCTGAGAACCGTTGCGGACCGGCTCGCTCGAACCCAGCGCCATGGTAATGCGCTCCGGTTCCCGGTAGCGGACGAGGGCTGCACGGCATTGGCCCTGGCGGCCTCGACATGTCCGGCCAGCCGGTGTGAAGGGGCGGGCCAAAGGGACCATGCGAATGTTGTCCATAGGACATCACTGACGCTAAGACTCGGGGAGTAAATGGAGGATTACCCTGATGATAGTGCTTATAGAGAGCGCCCCAATTCTGGTAAGGCGAGACAGGGTATAGGGGGGGAGCCTGGTGCATCATGCTTGTTGTGCGTCCGCCTCCCGCAACTGTCGGTTTGCGAGCTGGCATCTGCTGGTTTCGATGCCGCGGCGGTGTCCTCCTCAATGTCGATGAGCTGCTGGGGCTCAAGTGCGGTGTCTTATGGCCCCCGTTTTGGTGTTGCAATGGAGTGCTGGGTTGCTCGCATGGCTGCCGAGCGTCCGGAGAACCCACCGAGAGCGAACTTCCGCTGCCGCCAGCCGATGGATTTTCTGTGTCTGTTACCGAATGGCTGCGATGGTTCCCGGGCCAGTGGTAAGAAGATCGGTGATGCTTGGAGTAATAGGGGTAAGCAATCCTCGCTCCATGCAGATGGGGAGCTTGAATGGCTTGTCCACGCGTCGCCGTGAGGGCACGCACCGCGCTATCGTCACTGGTGTAGGTGACGTAGGCATATCGGGTGCGAGCGTTGGTGTGCTTCAGATTGCAACCTTCGACATGGCCCCATTGACTGAAGTATTGGACCAGACTTTCAGCAATTTGACTCGTGTCAACGCCTTCCTCTCGGGGGATGGCATAGACATGGACGCTGCGGGACATCCGGCTGCAGCGCGGACATGGGCAGGCCGAGAAGGAGGCCATAAAATCAAGGGGAACATTCGAGTTCCGGCAGAGGTCAGGGCGTGATCCGATCAGGGCACGAGTGACATTGCGGGCGACTGGGGAGCCGGTCGGGGAATGGTGGTTGAAGGTGTTGTGAGTCGCACTGCGCTGCTGACTCTCGTCTCCGGAAACTTTGCCGCGCACAATCGTTTGGTGTCCAGCAGCACCCGTGGCCGGCACTATAGGCTGCTGGGAGCGGCTCGGCAGCCGCGAGGGACCTGAGTTCTCGACCCCAATGCCACGCGAGGCCGCGGAAATGCCTGCGGGACCTGCACGGACCGGGCCGGACTTGGAAACGTGGTGACTCTTCCTCGAAGGCTCGTCTGTGGCACCTGCAGCGGAGCCAAGACCATGTGGCGGCCGTTGCGTCTTCACTGGAATCGTTCCATTCGCGATCACCACTGTGGAGTTCGCGCTATAGACAAAATCCGAGGTGTCTGCTGTGGACGTCTCGATGGCAGGCGGTGGCAATGAGTTCGAGCGACGCCTCGGACGGCTGTGCGCGAGAGCGGCTGCGGCCTCACCGGAGAGCGAGATGTCATTATCTAGTTACAGTCAGGAAGTGGTCTGGGTCCAAGAGCAAGACATAAGCTAGAAGAGATACTCACCATCTCGAGCTCTCGGGCGCGACGGGCGGCCCTCGGCCATGTCTTCATAACCTAATCTCACGGCTCGGCTTGCCTGGGTATCCTGAGCCGGCGGCGGCAACTGGTAGACGCGGTACCAGTGCTTGAGAGCACCGCGGAGGACGTTCAATGCTTCTTGGCTGCAGCCGTGGATCTTCTCGTGATCGGCCTGGGTCAAGACCTGCAGGATATCGAAACTCGGATCCCACATGGACAACCTTCTCCGATTTTCGTAGTGGGTGCACCAATCGTAGGCCCAGTCATCAACTTCGTTAAAAACTGCGACATCCAAGCGGTCCTTTGCAATCGCGGCCTCATTCTCGTCGCAAATGAGTTGAAGGACGCGCCAGAGGTTCCATGCGCCACGGTGCCAGAGTTCGATGGTGTCGAAATACTGATACATGTCCTCCCAGGTCTCGGGTCGCACGACTTCCTGCGTCTTAGACCCATGTTGGGCCCGGAGGGCAACGGCGTATCGACGGACTTGCCCATCGTCCCAGGCAATCTTGCGACGGGGATGGGCAGTGCCGCGGCCCAAACAACGCTTTGCCCTCTTCTTGGAGAAGACGCATGGCGCGTCCGCGGGTAGGTTCCAGTAAAAACCCATGAGAGGTTGAGGAATCTTCACGAAATTGGACGTGACGCCCCATTCCCAGCCGATGCCGGATGAGAGAGGCTGGCGGACTTCGTTGAAGGGAGTTTGTGCCATGTTGACTCTGGTGTTGCCTGTCGTCGCAAGCATCAGCTCAGCCGATTGGTCTTCAGAGGACACTGTGGTAGGCATCCGATGTCTGCTGAATTGGGAGAAGGGATGTACTTTAAACGTACCGAATCGAAAGCAGCGACGTAAGAGCAGAGCGACAAGATAACAAGGCAGTTCCAAAATCGTGGTCGGGACAAGTCGGCCAGTGAGAAAGAAGGAATCCAGACACCGGAATGATGTTATTCTGCCAAACGAGAGATGAGAAGAGGGTGACTGATTGTGTGGGAAGTCGGGGGAAAGCTGCGCAGCTTGCCGCGATGGTTGGAGGGTAGAACAATAAGCTTTCAGCTTTCTTGGTGGGCACAAAAGCGATTGTCCAGCCAGTGACAATGCGATGTGAACCAACAAGGCAGCCAAACGAGTGTGCTGAAGGAAATTGGTTTGTGAGAAGGAAGAAAGAATCGAGTGGAGGTGGAAGAGAGGATGTTTTGGATGTGGTCGAGCGAGTGGAAGTGGAAGAGAAAGGGACCGGATGGGTCGTAAACAATTGACCGCGCGCATTCACAACGCGCCCGAAAGCAACAGCGATAAGGTAACCGATACGGTCACCAGTGGGACACTGAACATGTTCTCAAGCTCCCCCAATGCATGCCATGAGCAAGCTTCCAGTGGTCTCCTAAGTACCCCAGCAGAGGGCAAACCAGGCCCTGAGTCCAACTGTCCGCCGCCTATGTGGATGGTGAGGAGGCCGGTTTGAAGCGATCAACGACGCGCGGCAACTCAGGTCACCTGCATCAGAACCAAGCGATCATGACGTCCAAAGCAGAACTTAATCTCTCAAGAGAAAGCAGTGACACCAGCCTGTCGTCTAAGGGTACAATGGAGTGGGGAAAGTGATCATGAACTGACGGAGGAAATGCCCTCTTCCCAACTAAGACACACCAAAAAAGAGAAAGACACATACAGAGAAGTCAGTTTAGCTGCCCTTATTTGGGCAGGGCATTGAGCATCTTCAGAATCTCCGACTCGTTGCCTCCCGCAGCGGCCTTGCCATTGTTCCAATCCACGACCTGCAGAGAATGGCATCAACATGTCAGTCAGACTGCAGCAAGCCAGAACAAACGCATCCAGAGCAGCAGCAACAACAGGAGAACATACCACAGGCCTCTGGAAGCTCTCGGAATTTTCCTTGAACTTGCGCAGGGCATCCGCCTGGTCCGTAGCGCCCTTGACAATGGTCGGGATGCGCTGCTTGCCGACGTACTCGAGGATGGTCTGCAGCTGGTCGGCGGTGGGCGGGGTCTCGGTGATCTCGAGCTTGAATTCGGGGCGGCCCACGGCGTTGGTCTGGGCCGTGTGGTCGCTGGCCTGATCCTCTGTCGAGGTCTCTGAGGCGGCGGCAGAGGCCTGCCTGAGCGCCGCCGCGAGCCTCATGGAGGCTGGGGAGCTGGCTTTGTGGAAGAGGGTGATGATGTCGAGGGGCTTGTGCTGCAGTCACGTGTTAGGGCTTTGACTTTGGCAAGTGGATGTCGTCTCCGAGGGAAAACAGCTCCATTGTTCTCACAAATCGAAACATCTTGAATTATAGCTCTGTAAATTTTCAATATCAAATGTGGCTGTCTTGTGGCTTCGGGGTCCGTGGTCCCTGGCGATGAATGAGCAGGCAATGATGTTGACGCGAGGTTTCTCGGGACAACGAAGCTCCCCATGCTGGCAAGGAGCTTGGGCCAGACGGCTGAACATGGGGCTGTAGCGGCTTGGCAACGGCTTGGCGATACCCTGGCGAGTCCGGCTAGATTTCCCGAGACCCTAGTTGCGGCTTTCTCAGAAGTTTCTCAGGACCATCGCATCATACCCGAGCTTCTTGCATTGATGTTCGAAGACTGCATCGCATGCTCAAACGAATCTGGAAAACCTACTACCTACGAGCCAACTACCTGATATTCGCGCATGGTCCTGGCAGCTTGTATGGTGCTCGGATGGGATGAAGGGTCTACCAAAGCCCACGTCTCCAGCTTTCCTCCTTCGCCTGAGACCACAAAAGGCTTTCGTTTGATGTTCAGATCACTGCCTTTTTCCTTTCCGGATGTTACACGTGTACGTGTATGACGTACATGCGTGGGCGGTCCCTTGCCTTCCGCAAGTTCTCCCCACTATGTGTGTCTGGCGTGGGCGGGATGACGTACATGTGTAGAGCAACACATGTCACATCACACTCCAATAATTAAAGGAAGCTCTTGTAATAGAGGGTTCACATCAGCAATCAAAGCGATCACCACTGACAACATTCTCATCATCCATGAATTTATAATGTCAGGTCAATCGAACGTTGGAAACAGCCAGGTCTATGAGGCCGGTGACCAGCGGAACCCCAAGGCGTCCGAAATGGGATCTGGTACCCGGTATCATGAGGGAACTGCGCACGCACATAAATCCAACGACTCCAGTATGCCCGTCCTTTTCTGTTGCAAGACCTTGCAGCACGTTGCGCGATTACTAACAACCATCAGAGGACCAACGGTCCCTGGCTAACCGAGCAGCCGCCGAGGTGAGACTAGCAAGTGCCTCATCACACCCTATACGAAGCTGACGTTGTACTATAAGAAATCCTCAGAGGCAGAGGAATCCCAGGAGACAGCATTGCACAAGAAAGACCCGACTCTCCCAGTAAGCCATGCTCTTTCAGAATCTCAGCAGTGACAAGAGGGTTCTGACCCTGCCAATCTGGAACAGGCCAACCAGCATGGGAACAAGCCGAGCCGTGGGGCGGATATCGATGCTGAGCTGCAGGCCGAGGATAAGGCGATACTCAACAAGAAGGGCGGCCAGAACATGCCCGGCAAGAACATGTAACGAGCCAATCTGAGTTGCGAATGTCATGGATGCGATACTGCCGAGTTTGAGGGGCCTGATCTAAATCAGATTGATCATTTTTTGCGACTTTGGCCTGGATGCTCACCGCTTTGTTGGAGTTGGAGGTCATGGTGAAGGGAAGCAGGGGTGTGTTACCCGAGCAGGTTGGCCAACAAGGTGCACCGCCGAACCCGCACCTGACAACGTAACATCATGACCCAGTGTGCACTTCCCTTTCGTACTCAGTATAAGATACAAGAACTACTCTGAGTCCGAGCGAAACCACTTCAATTCTCCTCAGCGAGTACCGGCAGCCCAAAATTCACTGGATCATCACACATCTCTTTGGTCACTGGAGATCTCTGCCCCGACGCCAATTGGCGGCTAGCGACATAATTCATCCTGCAGTGAAAACATGACTTCTACCGACCGTCCTTTGCCGACTGCGGACGCCGCCTCGGCTACCTTAAGAACATTCCAATGCCCTTCTGATTTGGACCTCAACCCCTCGTCAAGTCCCTCGCCAGTAGAAGAGCCAACAATACCTCCCACCCGCGACACCGTCACTGTCCACACCTCGCTCCTCTTCGACCCCATCCAAAAAGCCTTCCTCGAGAATCTCTCAATCCTGATCAACACCCGAACCGGTGCCATTGTCCGCCTCCACAACCGCAATACCCCCGACCTCCCGTCGACTATGTCAGAGCGAGACATTGATCTCCGCGGCAAAGTAGTCCTCCCAGGCTTGGTCGACTCGCACACCCATATCTTCCTCCACTCGGACAAGTCCGTACCATTCCCCACCTTCATTCCTAGACTAAGAACACTAAAACCAGTCGATAGAGAACGCTTCCACTCGCAACAAATGCGCGACCAGTCCCCCATCGAACGCATTGTCCGCGCCACCAACCACGCCCGCGCCGCCCTGCTGGCGGGCTACACGACCTACCGCGACCTGGGTACCGAGGCGCTCGGCAGCGCCGACGCCAGCTTCCGGGACTGCGTCAACCGCGGGCTGACGCCCGGCCCGCGCATGTTTGTCGCCACCGAGGCCATCGCCAGCAGCGGCGGGTACGAGATCCGGACCGAGAACCGGTATGCCAAAGGGTCTGGGTTGGGCCTGAGTCTGCCGCGGGCCGCGGATGTGGCCGACGGTGTGGATGGCGTAAGGGCCGCGGTGAGGAGGAGGGTGGGCGAAGGGGCCGATATCATCAAGTTTTATGGGGATTATCGGAGGCGGGTGATGCGGTTCCCGCCGGATGTTCCTGGACCTGGGGGCAGGGTGCTGTTCCCGCCGGATAGAAGGGACAGGAACCCGGCCGTAGCGCTCTTCTCGCATGAGGAGATGGCTGCGATTGTGCGCGAGGCTAGGTTGGCGGATGTCCCCGTTGCTGCGCACGCCGGGGACGCAAAGACGGCGGTGACGGCGGCGATCGCCGGGGTCACGAGCGTGGAGCATGTGTTTGAGGACTCGGCCGGGGTGATGGATTGGTTGCTGCAAGAGCTGGTCAGGAACAAGACGATTTGGGTCCCGACGTTGGCAACCGCAGAGTTTTACTACGCCGGCGAGGAGAAGTTTGAGAGGTGTAAAGCGGCGATCAAGAGGGCTTTCGATCAAGGCGTGCGGGTGGCTGCAGGTGGGGACACGGGCGTGTTCAATCATGGGCGGAACGTTAGGGAGTTGGAGATCATGATGGAGGCGGGGATCCCTGTCGAGGATGTTCTCGTTGCAGGCACCTATAACGGGTGGCACGCTTGTGGCGGAGATGCTTGCGGATATAGGTTTGGGTGGTGGGACGAGGGGAACCAGGCGGATATTATTGCGCTGGATGCGGACCCGAGGAAAGACCCAAAGGCGTTGCGAAAGGTCAGTTTTGTCATGAAGGACGGGCAAGTGTGGAAACGAGACGGACTGCCGGTGGGCATGATCTCTGCGGCACAGTGGCCGGAGGAGGATGAAGGGTCGAAGGCGGAGGAAGGATTGAAGGTGAAGGAATCGAAACCGAAAAACAGCGTCCCAGAGTCGTTAGCGACGTCTGCAAACTCCACATCTAGCACACCATCACTTGGTTCGACTCCTCCTAGCTGGGTGGTCAGGCTGTCGGGGAACCCAACGCCGGTGGGTTCTGATGTTGGGTGGGAGACCCAGTCGTTCGACGTATAGTCGACAAGCGAACCACAATTTTAAGCCCTTTTTTTGGAACCCCGGCATTTGGGACCAATGGGAGACGTCTAGCATGTGCCGGATCTCAACCGGTCGTCATTGCGAGACACTCCTAGCGAAGATATGTCCAATTCGTGAGCACGGATTCAGTACAATGCAGCATCCTTGGCACGAAGGGACCTTGTTGGAGGTCAGTCCGGCCGAACCTCTTGGGTGGTTCAACTTCGCTCGGGCTACAACAAGTATGTTCAAAATGTCCTTTGACCGCTGTGCTGACTCTTCAGAAACGCCATATAACCCCCAAAGAACATGGGAACTTTTCCAGCTCACCGAGGGAGTGTGCCCCTGTCGCCAGACGAAGCATCACCGCACAGGACGTCTCACCGGCAAAGAGTCTTTCACCTTGCAGTGGTCTCTGTGGGGATCCTGGCACAACCGCTTGATGAACTCGTAGGACATCGATGGGGACAATACTCAAACACGTATCACTGTGGTATCCGTCTTGTTTCCCCTTTCACTTAGTTACCACAGGACGCTGTCCGTCTCGCAAAAATCCACAAGGCAAAAGCGGCCGTGTAATATCAGTGCCCCTGCTTTTGCGTCCCGTTTACCTAGTCTTCGGAATCATGGCTGCAAGGGCTCATAGGCATTTCTTTTGGTGAAAGGTCGATGCTGCTAAAGTAGGTAGGTTCCCAATCGCCAGAGGTTGATTAAAGAACAGCTCAGTCACGTTGCAAAGGATCCAACTGTCCAACTGAGTGTCCGCCATGGCACACATACGTGAGTCAACATGCACTACCAAGGCGGGAAATCGGTCACTGCAATCCAGGTCACAGATGACGACTCACAATTCCCTTGTGAGGATTGCAATCTCTTCGCCTTGTCGTCCAACCAGGGGTCCGCATTACGGCACGGTATCACCACCTTGTCACAGCATTAAGCAAACAGGGAACCCGTGCCCAAGTTGCACTCTGTTACAAACAATAAAACCAGCACCACGTCCACCCAATATCACCCCTCAGATGCCCGCTGGTCTCTTCTGTCAGAGATGCGCTCAGCCTCCCAGACAACAGACCAATAGCAGCATCCAAGCGCGACCCAGCCAGCTATGCGCCTCCGACATGGGACAACACCTCGCTGTTCCTCCTCGGCGAGCGAACCATGCTTCAAGCCAACTTCTTCAAAGTGTTCCCGGAATATCTCGAAGCCACCCCTAAGCTCAGTTCCAGGGCGGGCGTTTATAGCCCGAATCGAGACCTTACCGTCACTGCCGTCATCGGGCCTAAGAGGTCGTTCTGTGTCACGCGCAAGACGGCATACTGAGAGGTACAGCCTGGGTCAGCTACACCCTCACACTGCCCACGTCCAAAGGACAGCTCACGGAACCTGCCCTCGGTGGTGCTCTGACAAATGCCCGGGTGCGAAACGACAATACACGTGACCGATTATCCGGTTTTGAGACACGACTCTGGTGCACTGCCCTGCTGAGATCTTTACCTGGCAGAAGTACGAGGACAAAATCATTGCTGTAGTGTATGGGGCGCTGGGTGAGACGCATGAACTCCTGTTGAAGCGAGGCTTGCTGGTCATCAACAAGACCCCGCTTCCATACGAAGCACCGATGACGGCAACTGGCTTGCCCGAGTCGACCTCCCCCCGTCGACCGTCTACATCCCTGAACTCGCAGCACTTAATTGGAAGTGCCTCGACTCTCCCCGAGCTCCAGCCGACTCAGAAGCCGCCTGGCCCGCCGCAGGCCATGCCTCCACAAATAACACCTATGTCCAGGCTCCTCTCACCCCAACCTCCCTCTTCGCCTCCGACTACGGCTTCCACTCGGGCACCCTGCTCTACCGTGGCCACTTCACCGCGACGGGGACCGAAACCTCGCTCACGCTCATCACGCAGGGCGGGACGGCCTTCGCCAGCGCCGTCTGGCTCAACAACACCTTCCTCGGCAGCTGGCCGGGCAACGCGACGGCCACCTCGCACCACGACACCTACCCCGTCCGGCTCGCGCCCGGGCAGCGCTACGTGCTGACTGTCCTATCGACGACATGGGCAACCAGCAGAACGGCTCCTCAGCGCCGACGAGATGAAGACGCTCCGGAGAATCATGGAGTACGGGTTTACCATGTCCGGCGGCGACCCGCCCGAGATCAAATGGAAGGTGACGGGAAATCTGGGTGGGGAGGAATATAGGGATAAGGCCCCGGGACCGCTGAATGCAGGAGGATTGTTTGCTGAACGGCAGGGGTTTCATCAGCCTCGTCCGCCGGCCGAGATGTTTGTTGAAGGGAGCAGCCCGCTGAAAGGGATCGATAAGCCGGGGATGGGGGGTTCTGGACGGAAGAGCTGGATGTGGACATTCCCGGTGAGATTTGGATGTGCCGTGGAGTTTTGAGTTTCCGGAAATTGATGCCACGGGCGCGTCGGGGAGGTATCGCGCCTTGTTGTGGGTGGATGGGTTCCGTAAGTTGCGTTCTCTTGTCAGCCTCTCCCTCTCAAATATCGCCAATGTCTCAACCATCTGTTCGGTTACGACACCGCACAATCCCCTAGCCTATCCTCTGATACAAATGTCGGGTACCTGCATCAAAGCCTCCCTGACCTGGCATATGCCCTTCTGTCGTACCACCCGAGCATGACAAAACTGACAAGCCTCTCGCACGCACAGAATTCGGCCGCTACATCGGCCCGCAAACGTCATTCCCAGCGCCCGAAGGCATCCTCAACTACGAGGGATCAACACGATCGCCATCGCCATCTGGGCGACTCAGCCTGGCGGGGCGCGGCTATCGAGGTTGGCCATCAAGGCGGGCACGCCCGTCCTGAGGGGCCGGAGGCCAGTGGTTAATGTTGCCGCACCCAGGTGGACTGAGAGGCCTGGGGGGCGTACTGATAATTCCATTTTCTCTTTGACTTTGATTAATAGAAAACAATCGCTGAATATTTCCTTTTTCGTTCCCTTGTCTCTGGCGTGCTGTGTAGAGTAACTGAATCCGGTATGTCGTGCATGTGCCATGCAGTGTTGCAGTCCCGCATACCTGCATGATCCGTGAGGGGCAGGTAGGAACAGGCTTAGCGACCCCCAGGGCGTCCAATATTTGCGGTCACTTGACCTCAGACAGGCGCCGCCTCGTCGTCATCAATGTGTTCCGGTCAGCGATGTCTCGCTTCACTCCCGAGGGTCAGATTCGGCTGTGCCTGGCGTGGGTAGCTGGCCACTTCGGGGGGCGGCACGGCCAAGACATTGATGACCGAATGCGGAGTGCTTAGGGTTGTGATTGTCGGCGCCAGCTTGGTGCTGCCAGGTTTGTGTCAGGCACGAACAGGGAAAGGGAGATGAGAAATTGGTGAGGCGGTTTCTTCGTTGAAGATGATGGCAGGTGAGCGAGACTCTCTGAACACCCCTTTCAGGTTCACCGCTCTTGTTGAATTGAATGCCGATATGCCTCCAATAAGCAGCGTGATGAGACATCGATGATTATCTCCGGTTGAGGTTTCAGCGTAGAAGGAGGAAGCAAGGCAAAATTCTTCAGCCGATGCTAGATGCAATTTCTTTCTTGCCACGGGTGACCCTCGATTGCAACAAGTCATCACGCCGGTGCGACGTGATGAGCTGAATATGGGCAGCAAAGGGATAGGTAGAAATGCGGGGCAAAATTGCCGGGAGCGAAAGGTGAGCGGGATTGGAGTCAGCTAACCCGATTCAATACCGGGCCAAGTCACGCCAAGCATCACCAGATGGGTGTGGATCGGTAGAGCGGCGAATCCGAGCATCATGTAAAACTCGCCAGATAGCGGGGTGGGCAACGTCCCAATCGGACGAGACGGGGCTCTTGGGTCTGGAACTGGGCAGTGCTCTAGGTGAAACATTTGTGAATATAAAGTGTGTGGCAACCTGAGTCAACAGCTTGAGAAGCAGCTGATCACCGGAGATTACTCCGTAACCATAATTAGACGCAGGATGTGAGACGTGTTGCTGCTCGACTTGAATAATCATATGTGCTGTGAGTGTGCTTTGCCAGCGCAGCTGGCGACTTTTAGTTATATCTAGTATACATGCCAAAAATCAAAGCGCATGGCCCAGACCCGTGGTATCATTGTCATGTATCCCGTCCATCCATCCGTCCATGACTCCGCTAAATGCCAATAACAAAGGAAACGGTGCAGTCCGTGTTGTATCTAACCTTCCGTCTCGGAATCCATGATTCAGTACCATATCCAACCTGTGAAGTGAACCCCAACAGTAGCAACCCAACGCCGGTAGTATGCAATGCAATGCTTGTCCGACTACCCAAGCCAGATTAAACCCAAGATAATCGAGGATAGAGAAGATGTGCGGTCTCCATCAAATCTCCCACGTCTCCTCCTCTCCCGCCAAGGGGTTCGAATCGACAAACACGATACCCCTCCTCTTCCACCCCCCACGGCGAATGAAGTACTCCGCATCGCCGTCCAATAGTCCCGCCGAACCGGCTAGATGGTGGGTCCCTTCGGGGCGGGGGCGGGGGCGGGGGCGAGGTGCGGGCGCCGGGGCCAGGCCGCCAGTGTTCCGACCCATCATCTCGTCGTCCGGACCCGACCAGGATGACCCGCCGCCGATGCTCAAGCTGCACTCGCTGCTCGCGTCGCTTGGCGTTGGTGAGGGAACTCTCCTCCGCCCGGATTCGTTGACATTGCTGATGGTGGCACTGGTGGTGCGAGTGGGCTTGTTGTTGAAGCCAAAGTCGAAGCCATCGTATATGACCGTGCCGGAAGAAATTGGGTAGCGTGGAAGCTGTGATGGTGCTTGGCGGAGTGTGTGACTGGAGCAAACGTGCCGCAGCTCATGCGATTGGTACCGTTTGGAGCTCTGCTCCCCAAAGGCATCGCGGAGTGGTGGAGTCGGGCCATGGGCCAGAGAGGGCGGGTGTAGGCGGAGGGGATCCCAGTCGATCGACATCTCTGTTGTCCGACTGCTAGTTGATGGCCGCCGAGTGCTGTTGGAATCGAGCGAGCTGGCGTCGCTTGGAACGTGTCGGTGGTGAAACATGTCGTCCTGACGGTTGAGGAATTCCGAATAATTGTTGCTCCTGAGGTTTTTGTGACTCCGGAAAGAGCGGAGGAGGTGGTGAGTTGAGGGAGAGTGTATGCCGCACAACATCACGCGAATGGGTAGCCTTAAGTGGTTGCTCGGAGTATGAGCGAGACTGCCGATCTAGTCTGCTGTAGGCCGTTGTCTATTGGGGTTGGGCCTGTTCATGGCTCTGTTTGTTGGTGAGCCTGGAAGACAAAGGGTTGGGCAAACCAACCGGCCGGACCGGGAGGGGGTTGAGATATTATAAACAAGCAGGTCCGGCATTCCGAGCTTTGTGCCTGACGACAGCTTCTGGGGCCATGGTGCCGATCGCCCGGCATGACGGAGACGGTGCGGTACCTTGCAGGGCAGACAGAATCGGACGACTACCATACGCCGTATTCGGGCTTTCGGAGTGTGGCTGACTAGGAATGACAAGTCGGGTGTGACACACTGAGTGATAGCTGCACACCATCTCAGCCATGCTGCATGGGCGGCCACGGTCAGGGCAGGGGCCGGCGAGGGGTGCCTCAGCAAATCGACTCGGCGATCGTAGCTTGATGGACAAAGCCACCACATCAGCAACGCAAACCCGTCAAACAATACGAACGGGACCACGTTTCCCGTACCAACAAGACCGCGGCAGGCTCCTGCTAACACAAAGAGCCACGTTCCTGCGCACTGTTCCTGTCACTGAACCCGCCGTCAATAAGAAGACGCCGCTGATTGAGACCATCGATCCTTCGCGTGTGGTTCATACCCTCGTAGTAGGAAACTGGATTGACGGACGGATACGTCATCCAGCACTGCAAAGAAATCCAGTGGAGATTTTCAACCCCACTGCCCTTCCTTACTACACTAGCGGGACAGTAGGCCCGCCCCACTGTGTGACACTGGGAACGGCTTGCATTCACCAGCACGCTGGAATCGTCGTCGCTTGGACGACCCGAGCCTTGGCCGACTTGACCCGCCTGTATTTACAGGCAACGGCTGGGAAAACCTTGGAGCAGTGAACGCCAAAGTCACGGGGCGGGTCTTGTTCAACGGCCTGAGCAGATCGCAAGGCGCAGAACAGTGAGAATCAGCAATCGCAAAGCACACCCGCATCGACATACAACTTCCTTCGTGTTTGCCCTCACCGCCGGGTCTTCAACCTGAGGATTATTTGCTCCGCCTGAAGTGTGGCAAACGAACCGCATCTGCTCATGGGACCTGAAAGCAACCCTCAGCAATTCCTTTGAGCGAGATGACATTCTGAGCCTATGATTGGCAGATTCCGAATCGGGCACCAGCCACCGGCAGAGGTGTCTTGTTCCAGCAGTGTGGTTGATCCGGAGATCCCTACGTATAGCGCGATACCTGCGCGCGAATGAGAGCTGCTGCTGCGATGCTTGCTGGAATCCCGAAGCTTAGTATGTGTGTCGTGCATCGAAACACGACAGAGGCCAACGCAGCTAACAGGAATCACGATCATCACTCTATCCGAAGCTGGCTGTCAGGAACAACCGGCTTTGCGTGGAGCTTTAAACGGCCATGGTTGCGCTGCTGCGCTCTTCCTCGAGTTCGAGAGATAGTTCCTGCCATTGGTGGGTGATTAGTGATTACTTAGATTCGTTCCGGTGAACGATGAGCATGTCGGGGTTACTGGTTATCGCTCAGGACCAGCTAGTTTCGTGTGAAACTTTGCAAGCGGCGATGGTCGCGATGTTGCGCTTGGTTGACATCGAAAAACCATCTGCATCAAAGGGTTTGCGATCGCACCGCACGATGGCCTCGGGAGCGGTCCAGCGGATTACTCGGTTTCGGTTCGATGGCTTTCAGATTCTGGCTTCGGGATTCGCCATTGGTCTGACTGTGTAATCCCATCTGTCTTGTCAACATTCATAGGCTTCCATTTGATATCGACACCCCGCAGACTTCCGTCTGCCTGATGTATCCTTCCTGACTCGCATGATGGTGCTGATGTCAACCAAGCCCCTAAAAGTAGTCATGGACAGGTACTCTGACTACGAAGGACCCCAACCTTCGTCGATGCTGCGGTGTCTGGGAAACGAATGGTCCCGCTTGACCGTTCACTGGTCGTGGCCCGCGACCGATTCGAACATGAATCGCCACCGGACGACTGTCCGGCCAGAAGTGCTGGGATGCTCCCTTCTTTAGGTTATGCTATTATCTCCATCGACGCATCGTCGTGTAACTTTGAAACAGAAGGGATTCGAGCGTCCCAATGATTGCAAGCTGATCGAAGCATCAACAAGTGAGTTATGCTCTCGACATCCCCCAGTCAGCTTCCCCTCATTCTTGCACTCCAATGATACATGGACAACTGTTGTGTGTTCTCGACTTCATGGTTTCGACTTTCCAATCACCCTACAAGTAACAAATCCATTGTGCAGGCCAAGCTGGCGGCCGTAGGCAGATCTGCCTCCCTTTGACAACAGGGGCCTGCAACTTTCCGGCTCAGACATGAGCGATATGCAATGAAGTTGTAACCACGCTGCTGTGGATATATTGTTGATATTGAAAGCCATGGACCGACAATGGCTCCTGATATCCGGACGAACAGCTTCGTTACACCAGCCATTGTCCTGACCTGCACCTGGTTTCTGTTCCCAGCAGCGGCTGGGTGTTGTGTGTACTTCCCCGGCGCAGGTGTCGAAGAGGTATGGCGGTCGAGATCAATGATCGGCGGTGCTGCCTAAGTCGACAGCATTGAGGCAGTCCTGGGCGATTTGTGCCCCCGTATCAGCTTCTTTGCTGCAGCCCCAGCCCTGCCCAACAGTCCAACCAGACTGGGCCGGCATCGATGACGATCGAGAGGTTTTAAGCATAACCCGCGATCGGGAATTTTTCCTCCTGAGGTGGAGCGAAGCGGCGATATGCATTCCTGGCATAGCCTCCTCCTCTTGCAGTCGAGTTCAATTGTCAATGGTTCCCTCACAAGATACCGTCGCTCTCGCCCTTCAGTCTCTTGACACGCTTCTGCTCCCAATTATCAATGTCTTTGGCGGCCAACCTCTGTTCAGATCAAGCGGCACAAGTCAGCAAGAGCCGTACCTTTGCCAATCAACCGGACCACGCCTCGAACTCGGGTAGGTAAACGCACGTAGTATTCCTCTCTAATATCGACTTTTCTGCCGGCCTTGCCCACGCCGAGCTCCTCCTCGCGCGTCAGCTGCCGAACCTTCCTGTCGTGTCGCTCGTACCGGATAGCCGTAGCGGGCGTTAGGACAAAGGAGGCGCCGACAATGACGCTCATGAAGGGCAGGCCGAAGAGTAGGAAAGGGTGCTTGGCCATCATGGAGCGGTAGCGCGCGCCAAATGTGTTGGAGTCGGCCGCGGAACGAAATTTGCGGTTCTGAAAGACTGCCATTATTGCTGATAATGGAGGGACCGGATGATTCAAGATAGGAGGGAAGTTGAGGTGTTCCAGGTCGTGGTGCAGATACAAGTTTGGCGGCCTTGAGCGGAAGATTCGCGCTCGGAGTTCAAATTCCCAAAGCGGAGCTTGCCAAGGGGTTTTGGGCAACAGGAGGTTGTGGGGAGAAGGGTTAGGGTTCTCCCGAGCGTTCAGGGGTAAAGAACAAAGTAAACAAACAGATGCTTATGATGCGAGCGGCTTGCGATCAAACGACGACACATTTAAGGGTAATGGTTAATGAGGGCGAAACAAAGGACTTACTTAGCGTATGTGTGGCGCTGAGAGTCGCTGGTGACCCCGTGGCACGAGAAAAGAAACTCATCCCAAAGCCCTGGGTTGGTGACCAGCGCTGTTGACCTTGAGGCTACCCGACTTGGGAAGCGGTCGTTGTCGTTGAGATTGGAAGTTGAGGACATTCTCCTGAAACACCGGCTGGTGATTACAGGATGGGATTCTGTTAAAATTGTGAAGGCTGCCCAAGCCTCGCTTTTACTGGCTCTGCCACTGTTGGAAGTGAGGATAGTGGAGTGTGGTTACGGGCAACTTACTCGGCGCCCAATAACCACCTCTCATCCCACCTGATTTTTTTAGTTTTCGGTTTCTATTTTTTTTTTGCCTACCTTAGGCATTGAGCACTGTTGATTCCGTCTAAGGCTACGGCTGACCACCTACCTGGGCACTTCCGAGGATCTGCCCTTTGTCTCCTTGCCCTAACCTTCAAACGAGGCGTCATCCAGTGTCCTTGCTGCCATAATGATGGCTGTGACATGACCATTGTCCACTCTTACCTCTGACATACACTGCATCTCGGCAACCTCAGTTAATGTTACACGTGGAAGCCTGCCTCGGAACAGATGCAGAGTGTGTGAGACGGTGGGCATTCTCTAAGTTATGCTGCACCTTAGAGTCTCAGTAAACGACACTAATTGCCTCCTTTACCTTGCTCCAACTCAAAACCAGACAACTATTTCGGAGAATCAATGGAAGTGAGGAAGTCCAACACTCCAAAATGTTGTCACGCATGAAACTACGAGTTCGTACTTTGCTCGTCTCTGTCACAATAAGATCTGCATTATTCACACAAAATGGAAGTGAGGAAGACGGCCGAGAGTTAAATGGTCTGACTTGCGCCTAAGTTTCGCAATCCACCTGATTCTCGCCAAATTCGTACCTAGGCCAGCTAGATATCTCTCAGGCGTTGCGAGTGTCAAGAGTAAGGGAAAGCTCTCGGACCCCACACGGAATACTAGGCCAAGGTGTTATTCGCCATTGCCCTCTGTCACATACTGGGGACGCAGGACGCACAGCCGGATCGGCGGCCAGAGGCAGAAGGCAAAAGATATGGAATGTTCTGGCGATTTGGGTGGCCTCATTGTTTGCCCGGCCCTGAATTCGGGGATTACCTCCGAGCCTTTCTGGTTGATTCATGGTCATCCTGGGCCGGCTGTCTGAAGTTCAAAATCATGGCCAGGTCGTCTCATGAGACTGAAACCTGGAACACCTAACCAGCCAAAACCCTTTGCTGTGGAAATGGGACGCTTCACTGTGAGGGCGGCCTTACCTTGATTCAAAATTTAAATCGAGAAGGAGGTACCCCGGCGGCCTGGCCAGCTTCTCGGCGGGCTGGTTTCTCAATCATGTCAGCCCAGTGTCGGAGCTTCATCAATGCATGGGAGTCAAGATCCGTTGATTACATCCACAAGCCTGCAGACAAATACGGTGCAGCTAAGCCGGGTCTGCACATATGTTGTTCCATCCGGTCTGAATTCCATTCTCCCGCTAAGCGCCGACCATCAGCAGTTGTTCTGGCCGGCCCCAGCCGAGCGATTTGGCCGCCGGCAGGCCGGAGCCCAAGCATAATTCTTCCAATCTCAAGCCGACCTACCTCAGATTTTCGCCTTACCTGTGGTTTTTCCAGTTCGCGTCCTGGTCGTCATGTCTCATAGCTTCGGCGCAGACCTGCCGCTCTCAATCATTCGTGCCGAATTTCAGTTGTGCCGCCTTCTTCAGGTTCCAGCCCATCGGAGACCGCCGACTTCATTCCCTGCAAACCACTTCCTGGACTGAGGCTGCACAATGGTTGTTGGCCTTGCGACGCCACCGGTGGCACAGCCGCACCCTGGTTTTTTACGCCTCCCACGGGTTCTTCGACACTATATCTATCTGCATCTTGGTCTGGCCTCATGGGACGGACTGCGTGACCTGATCATGGTATCAAACCAGCTAAATCAAAGGGCGGTTCGGAACTCCACCTGATCTCCGAGAACGGGCTTCTGGCCAGGAAAATTCGATTGTGGCCCGGCAAAGGAGGAACGAACGGCGTTGGTAGGTAACGACCGGCCATGGAATTTCGGGGGCGGTTTTGCGCGAAGGGCGACGATCAACAGGGCGGTCCTGAGAATCAGGGATAGCATGACAGGTGGCTGCAGTTACTTAGCGAGATCCTACAAGGATAAAATTGAGAGAAGCCATGCGGATGCGCAGCGACTTGATTAACAAGGTGAAATTCCCTCTCGGCGAAGAACCCTCTCCCAGCGCTCGGGCTATCTACAATGCTAGAGTACAAAAAGGAAAAGGGGAATCGAGGCAGCGAGTTTGGTTTATAGCACAGAGAGGTCGCCGAATCTCTCCTGTTGACAGAGTCAGCCCAGAAACAGCGTACATATAGAGTCAAGGAAGGGGTAAAACATACCTTGTATCCCGGCACGGACCAGCGGCCCTTGGACACGAGCTTAGCCGTCTTCTCATCGATGCTGGGCTCCGCAGCGGCGACCTCGTCGACGGTGAGATCCTCAAACGGCCGGGCCTCCTCGATGTTCTTTAGCGTCTTTTCGAGGTCCTTGAGCTCCAGGTCGACTTTCTCCTTGGTGGCCTCGGCGTTCTTGATGGCCTCAACCTCGAAGGCCTCGATGGCCTTGAGCTGGCGGTTGAGGTCGTAGGTGGCGGGCTGGAATGCGTTGAAGCGCTTCTCGATCTCGTCAACGACGGCCTGGTTTTTGAGCACGGAGCGGTAGTAGGCAAAGTCGACAGTCGTGGGCTGCTCGGACAGCACCTGCACCTTGCGGCGGACGTCGTCGTTGCGCTTCTTGAAGGCCTGCAGCCCGGCGACCGTCTGGCCGCGCAGGCCGAGCGACGTGGTAATTTTGGCCCAGTCGACCTTGAGAGCTGCGCTTCGCTGTATTTTTGCGATGAGGAGGAAGACGAAATTAGCTCAATTCCGCACCTCTCGATCCAACCCGCAACATCTCTAGCTCCCCTCCTCCTCGCCAATGGGCCATACACCCATCTCTAGCAAACGGAAAGTGTCAATTGAGTCGGGGGACTTACTGCGGCCATTTTTGTGGTGGTTCTGGGTAGGTCGGGGAGTGGGGAGTTTGATCGATGTCGTTGCGTCGAGTTTGCCGAATGCAAGCAACCTCTGCCGGCGAGATGTGCAGTCACGTGATGCCGCGGAATGAACCGGCAAGGCCTCCAGCAGTCGCAGCAACAATAATCAAGTCTCAAACTCTAGATGAAAATGATACCTTCTTCGATATGCAATTGTTTTAAACTACACCATTGAAAGTTAGCAAATTGTAGCACTTAGTCCAGTGTTGGAACATGAAGCACAGTTTCCCTCTAGCCCTCGTCGAGACGAACAAGCAACGACGCGCAGCAAGATGCACCGGAAAGAAGCATGACGGAACAGCCTAGATTCGACAATTCATCAATATTGCGGCTCGAACTGTCCAGCAACACAGATGCGCGCCACAGATTGGCAGACTTTCTTTTTGACGAAGATATACCCGAAGACCCATAAGCAACCCCAGCGCCCGTCCCAGACTAGACACTCAATGCCATGATTGAGTTGACTATATCGTTGTCGTTTTCTTTGAGCGCCTTGATCGCCTTCTTCCGGGACACGTTGGCCTGGGTCATGACAAGCTCAATGTCCTTGTCCTCGATGCCCTCCGCGTCCACCTCCTCGCCGTCGTCTTCCTCCTCCTCCTTGGTAGCCTCGTGCTTGTGGTCGTGCGCGTGGCCGGCGTGGTCGTGCTCCGCCGTCTGGCTGGCGAGCTGCTGGGCAGCGGCCGCCTGGGCGCTGGCGTTAAGGTCCTCGATCTTGGCCTCGCCGAAGACGCTGAGCAGGGTTAGCTCCGAGTTCCAGTTTGAATCATGCTGACAAAACTTACATGTAGGTGTTGCTGTTGGGCGACTTGTACACCTCGGGGTTGTTGATGACGAAGAGAATCTACCCATATCCGTCAGTCGCTCCGTTCCCAAAACTTCCAGCATCCCAATGCTGATGGGTCCGACAGAGCCCCGCACGAGTTGTGGCAGCTCCAGACCGCGAGTCCCACTCCCCTTCCCAAATGCACTCACGTTCTTCGGGCGACGCAGGGTGACACGGGTGATGCCGTGCACGCGGGTGAGGTGCAGCTTCTCGAGCGCCTTGCGGGCCTTCTTCTCGTTGCGGGAGTGGATCACGGCGGTCGAGCCGGCGGGGAGGCTGGCGTCGCCGGCATCGGCCTCGGACTCATCGCTGGAGGACTCATCCTCCTCGACGGTAGGCTTCTTGGTCTCCTCCTCGGGAAGCTCCTCGACGCGGGGATTGGCCATCTTGGAAAGCTAGCAGCATCGACTTTTGGTCAGCTCCCCTCGCTCCACAAACAGGGCAAATATTGCAGCCATTCCTCAAGCTGCAATGCTCGAGCTCCCCGTACGATTTCGGAAGAAAATAAAACATGATGCTGGTAGGCGCTCGAGCAGGACTCACATTGATTTGGAAATGCCGCTAAATCGGATACGCGGGGTTCGAGGAAGCTGGCAAGTCGTGGTGGGAAAGAATTGTTCGGGTCCAATTTTCGGGTAGGGCTTGCCTAGTCGGCGCAGCAGAGGTCGGCGCTAGTACCAATTCGGTAATCGTACAGGCTACCTTACCCATACCCAGTTCAAAGTTACTCTCTCGCTGATAAGGGGAACTCACTCACGATATCATGTCTCGCTCTCCCAGAGGCAAACCACATTGCTTTTGAACCACAATTCAGGCAGATAGAGCAGAAACATTGCCGTCATGGCATTTTCAGGGATTTCGTATTCAGCTCTGATAGCTCACAGACGTGCGCGCTCCCGTGCCGTGCATTGTGGCATGGGCAAGAGCTCGTTGGGTTGGTTGTTTTTGGCTCAATTTCGCATTTTCCATATGACGCCCGTCACCCTTGATAATGTGACATATCGGTCTTCCGAAAGCGATGCAGAGTAAAACCCCAGCAGCCCGAATGCTGATGGTCATGCAGCCCGTCCAGAATACCTTCCTTCCCTCCCAGAAAAAGCCATGCCGAACCAAACGCTCCCCACTCTAAAGCAGCAACCCCGTCCTTATGCCGAGGCCCTAATCTTGGCCAGAGCCTTGCGCTCCTCGAATCGCCTCTGCTTCTTCAACCGCATGACCTTGAAGCGGTCGAAGTCGGTGAGTGACTGGCGGCGCTCTTGCTGGAGCTGCTTCTTGGCCCAGTTGCTCTCAGCCCACTTGGCATCGACGCCGGCGGCCTCCCACGCCTTCTTAACGGCACCCGTCCGCGCGCCGCGGGGGAGCTTCTCGATAACGATCGGGGTGAGGAGAGTACGGGAGAGCTGGACAACGCCGCGGGGAGTCGCGAGCTTGGCGTCTGTGGACGGGCCGTCGACGAGAGCCTAAATCGTGACATTTTAGTCTCCATCCCATTCGCGCACACACGTTCCGCAGGCCTTCGCGTTGTCGGGAGAGTCAGATCGGGTTCCACATACGCGCTTGTGGTCGATAATCTCGACGATAACGGCCAGGCCGCCGTTCTCGAGCTTGAGCACGCGGCCAACCTCGACGCGGCGCCAGTTTGTCGCTCCGATCTCGATCGATGCCATTTTGGTCGACGTTCTGATGCAGGCGGTTGTATTAGTGCAAGATGCGCAAATGGAAGAAAATATAATCACGTCGTCCAGAATTAGAACAGTGTATGTGAGAAATGCTCGGCCTACCCTTTGGTTGTTGTGCTGCAAAGAATCGTGTCGCTGCCGTCGCCGATCTCAAGACCGATTTTTGTGCGTTCTTCGTAATTTGGCAGGGCTCAAGATTTGCGGAATGGTTGGTCCCCCGTTCCGATTGACGCTCAAGCCACAGACATGGGGGTTTTGGGCCCACATCGTGGGACTACCGGGTGTGGCTGCTATCCTCAGCGACCTGAGCTCTGACACTCCACTTCCCTAGATGTAGAGCCAAACTTCGGCTCTTCCAAGCTGTTCTTGCTGCCGTTGACTCAATTCATTTCCAAATCTTGCACTACGATATAATTATCCTTAAGTCCCCTGGTTACCCTTTGTCTGTAAGACTAAGCACTATTATGGAACCCCATTGATTCGAACATCTCCTCTTAACATTTGAGATCGCACAGCTCTCAACTCAGGCACTCCAAGGAATAGCTGCGCATCCTGGACCTCGACCCTTGAACACCCCAGCTAAATCATAAGTACCATACACTCTTATATGGGCCCGAATCTTATCGAAAGGAATACTGATAAGACGTGTTGAATCGCAACATCCCGGATCCTCAGCGAGCGAATTCCTGACCGGCTAAGTGGATACTCGGCTCCCGGTGGCTTCCGCCGTGCCAGACTCACGGTAATGTACCATTCCGAGGTTAAGCTCCTCCTCGAAGGTAGCTCCAAGAAAGAGGTCATGAATTCTCGCTTGTGTCGAGACCCGCGTATACAAGTAGATCTTCGTACTGTAGGAAGCAGCACTCCTAAGGCGTCAACGTTATCCGTGCCGCTTGAAGTTAGGCGCAGGCGTGGCCAGGAACTCTCACTTCTTTTATCTGATCCGCCATCCTGAGCGTCAGTAATGAATACATGGGGTCTTGCAGCCAGCAACTCTGTCAGCCAACCGGACTAGCCAACCTTCTTCGGCTCTAGAGCCGCCCAGCCACTCTCAGAATCAACGTTATCCGCCTTCCTGTCATTATACGGCACATGGGGGAGACTGCCTTAGATATGAATGGGGAGGTAGAGATCGAGAAACATGGAAAACAAGGAAGGAAAAGGAAAGAAAATATTAGAAGGATAAGGAACAGAAATATATAGCAGGTCAAGATTTTTTTAAAAAAAAAGAAGAAGAGGGAAGGGGAAGGGGAAGAGGAAGAGGAAAAGAAAAGAAGAATACAAGAAGGTCAATATAAAAGAGGATGAAGTGTAACTTACAGTTACCTAGTTCCCGCGCTAACAACAACCCAGAGTTGAATTGTCCGACTCCCGAACCCTGACACTGGGCCCAGCGCTCTGGAACCAATCAAGCATGACCGCCAATCATGTGTCGCAGTCTAACATGCCCTGCCTTGAACTGGGATGCGAATCATCTGAACTTTCTTCCAACGACATTTAGAGGTCAATCCATTTTCATCGCCCCTTCTGCCCAGATCCTCTGCCAATGGCGCCCTGACCTCTTAAAATTCTCGAAACAGTTTAGGACGCGCATGCCGATGAAAGCATTGCCAACCCTGCAAACATGCCTCTCCAGCCGTTGAACACGACCGCGGGCGGCCACAACCCTTCGCTGCTCTCGCCCTCCGAGTACGACGCCGACGCGATTTCTATCCGCAGCGACCAGGACACAGACAGCGACGACGACGAGCGACAATTGCGCGCGCGCAATAGCCGCGAGCTGCGGGCACACGACAGGCTAGTCCTAATGGAGGAGGAAGAGCTGGATCAGCTGGTGACCGAGACCCGGAGGAAGCAGGAGAGGCAGCGCAGGGGGTCGGGGCTACCGATACCGAATCCGTTGCGGTTGCTAACTAGGCGCCTAAGCGACGCTTCGCCCTCGAGATCGAGAAGTCCGTCTGTCCAGCCGGGCGAGTCAGTGGAAGACCTTGGCATGGAAAAACGGAGGGCAAGGCGGCAGAGGAGGAAGATAAAGAGGGACAGGCTACTGGACAATGCTCAGCATGGTGAAGATGGCGAGCTGATGTACGAAATGGAGGAGGGCGGTATGAAGGACGGCAGCTCAACCGGCGAAAGCAGCGACCGAGACGATAGTGACGAGGTCGATCGGAAGCACCTCCTGCATATCACCGAGTCTAAATTGAAGCGGAAGCACAACTGTCGCCGCTGGCTGTTGCTTTACGCGATCATCGCCGTCGCCTTCGCGATTCTGGCCCTGCTCGCCTGGAAACTGTCGCTGGAACGCAAGAGTTCACGGCATAGCCAGAAATTGGTGAGCAACGGGACCACTATGTTTGCGCCTACAACCATCATCATCAGTTTGGACGGATTCAGAGCCGACTTTCTTGACAGGGGGTTGACACCACGACTGAACGCTCTAGTCAAAGAGGGCGTGTCACCCCTGTACATGCTGCCCTCTTTCCCGAGCGTCACGTTCCCAAATCACTACACCATTGCCACGGGGTTGTATCCCGAGTCGCATGGTATTGTGGGCAATAGTTTCTGGGACCCAGCATTCGGGGAGGACTTCTCCTACACCGAGGCATCGCTCAGCATGGACCCGAAATGGTGGGGAGGCGAGCCGTTCTGGGTCACAGCGCAGAAACAGGGACTGAAGACAGCCATACACATGTGGCCCGGAAGCGAGGCACACATTCTGAACATGGATCCCACGTACTTAGACAAGTATAACGGGAAGGAGATGCTCCATCGGAAGGTTGGCCGGATTTTCGAATGGCTGGACATGCCCGATGCGGACCGTCCGCAGGTCATTGCGGCATATGTGCCGAATGTTGATTCGGATGGGCACAGGTACGGCCCTAACAGCACCGAAATCCGGTTCACCATTCAAAAGGTGGATAAAATGCTCGATAGCATGTTCAAGGGGTTAGAGGACCGGAACTTGACCGAAATTGTCAATGTCATTGTTGTGTCTGACCACGGCATGGCGACGACCGATATATCGCGGGTTGTGCAGCTGGAAGATATTGTGGACCTGAACAGGATTGCGCACACGGAAGGCTGGCCCCTCATCGGTTTAAGGCCCAAGAATGACGACGACCTTCTCGACATTCACCAGAGCATCGTTGAGAAGACTAAGGGAAACCCGAACCTCGAAGTCTATCTTCGTGATGTCGATATGCCGGAACGCTACCGCTTCTCCAGGAATGAACGAATCGCGCCGCTGTGGATTGTGCCCAAGGCTGGCTGGGCGGTCGTCAAAATGGACGAGATGAACGTAAAGGAGTCCCAGGCCAAGAGCGACGTGTACCGGCCCAGAGGCCTCCATGGCTACGATCACTTACATCCCCTGATGAGGGCCATCTTCATCGCACGGGGTCCGGCATTTCCGCACCAGCCCAACAGCAAGGTCGAGGTCTTCCGTAAGTGTCACCGTGTTTCCTTGCGTCGTTCCTGAAGTTGACCAAAAGGCAGAAAATATCGAGGTCTACAATATGCTGTGCGACTCGGTCGGCATCACTCCAACCCTGAACAACGGAACGCTTCGACTTCCTCTGAAGCCAATAGGTCTTCACGACGATGCATCGACCAGTAAATTGGATCCGCCGTCAGATGCAGTAGAGACACATTCCATGCCAAGCCCACCGACGTCCGAGCCAACAATAGCAATCTTGGTCAACCCTATCTCAACAACAAGCGGCCTTGAAGCGCCGACGCCGACTATTACAGTTGGCGTTGATCAGCCCGAGGCGCAGCCCCAACCCACCCAACCGCCTTCAAAAGGGGATGACAGCAGCAGCGACGGTGATGAATCCTCTGCCGTTGACAAAGTCGAGTCCTCGGTCAAGGACTTCTGGGATTGGTTCACAGGAAAGGTGAACAAGTGGTGGGATAAGGTGACGGGGCACAGCGACGGAGAGAGTGAGGTTGACGAGGACGGGGCCTCACCGGAGTAAACATCCGGCCGGCCACTGCGTGTTGGATGTACAGTACTAGGGTTTGGCTGCTGTAATGGGCGGAGTTTCGTTATTTGCGGTGTCATACGGCGTTAGGCGGCCCGTGGTACGTTTTGTCGGATTTGGCGTTCCGGTGTTTGTCGTGTCGAATGCCGTGGAGTGTTCAAGGTACACAATGATTGTGTTGTCGGGAAGCGACAACATGCTGTTCAACCGCATAGTTATCTACCCACATATCGTTATTGCAGCAGTCAAAGCATGACTTCCCAGTTGATTTGAGATTGGGCATACAATTCAGCCCTGGTTTGTTCGTTATTAGCGTGGAACTTGGTGTTTTCGCTTTGTTATCTGCTTCCACTTTTCGTTTAACGTTATCGTTTTCCTTCAATCTCGTTGTCGTATCTTCGTTCTTCTTTTCCTCTCCCTACTTATTATATCTTCATCCTCCCTTCGGTCCTGTCTTATTTTCTATATTTGTCTTTTTTATTTATTTTATTCTTTATTTTTTATGTCGTCTTCTGTCTCTCTCTTTCTATCTTCCTTCCCTTTTTTGGTGTTCTTATCCTATTCATGCCTAGAAAGTGCCCGCCATGTGCCACGCTAGGGATAAACTGGGGCTGTATTGTAAAAGAGGACGGCGGAAAGAGACGCCATGCAATGTCTTTTTCAATTGTGTGTAACTAATCTGCTCTTTCCATTTGTATGTGGCAATTTGAGGCTGTGCTTGTCTTCAGGCGGAAATCGATGCTCAGGCTTTCGTCAGCCGGTCGAAGCACTTGTAGCATATATAATTACCACTTGAATTGGTGTAGGTTGTCCGAGCAAATATTCATGTCAAGAATACGCTTCAGGTTGTTTTGACCCAGCAGCATCTGCCATGTCCCAGCATCTCGGCACCCCCTGCGAATCGGTGCCCCACACAAACTCAGACCCGCCGCAGAAGATACTGTGGTTAATGTGGGGCCGGTAAATAAAGTGGGTGACGCGCTAAAGTGGGATGATGGGAACGCGCTTTGAGGCGTCCGCTAAGAATAATCCTCATTGTCTGATTCAGAAGGGACAGAGTGTTTCAAGCTTTTTGTGTTTGTCAGACAGCAAAGGAATCTTTGACCAAACCCCTGCGGCAGTCGAGACGGGAGAAAAGCTTGGCTGCGTTCCTGCCTCACGGTTATTTGCTGCTTGGTTCCTACCTTCCAATCCGCGTTTTCCACAGCACCACAGCCGCGGGCGACCCTCAAATGCAACTTGAAGCAGGCAGCAGGTGCAAGGTTTGATATGGAACGCTCGACCTTTAAGTGAATTTGACCATCGCCATCATCGATTCCTTTTTACTTCCCAACACAGACTACTTTACGCATCGCGGTAACTCTTGTGTCGAGCCCACGATAGCTCAGGCATCCTAGATCATCAATCAGGCCCGACTCTCGCACCCCCTCCCTATCTTCCGTCAGCCGCTGGTGAACCGCCCTTCGAGTCCGACTATTTAACATGCCAGGCTCGCCATGAATTCCTCGCGAAACGACACTCCAACTTTGAGTGGTTTGACTTCCACCGACAACCTACCCGACGATACCAGGGCCTATATTGAACAGCTCTCGGAGGAGTTGAGCCTTGAACAGGCAGTGCTAGAGTCCCTCTACGATCTTCCCGAATCGGATGCCATCGAAAAAGACATCGCCACGGCTAAGCTCCGCGTTGCGGATATCAAACGTCGCCTGAAGGAAGCGAGGCGCAAAGGTTGGATATCTCCCAGACCTCTGGCCGCAGTCGCTGCCGTTGCTAATTCGTGGTCTCAGTAAACCCGACTACATGCACTAGTATGGTGGGCCAGGTCTTTGGCCGCCAGCTACGAGGTTGGTACTATTTCTTTCCACGCAGATGTCGCGGTTCAGACAGCAGAGACTGACTGTATCAGACTCTGAGCGGACTCAGGATCGAATTCTCTCAAGCTTGGCCGTTCCGACCCGAAAGCGCCAGTTTGAAAGTACACTTGACGCTCGTGATCCATCCAATTGGAGTTCCGCCAAACGGACTACTCCAAGCCCAGGCCCGAGCGAGAATGACTTCCTTTTTGACGGGTTTAATCGCGACAGACCGGAGATCATTGACCTGACAGAGTGAGTTCTTTGGGTGTCGTTGGCACAAGGGCTGCCGAATCAGCCCTACATCTGCGATTATGACTCTGTGTCTTTTGCTAACCATTGGTTTAGGTGCGACGACGATGAGATACCGTCCACCATTATCCAGCGGCAGAGACAGGCAGAGGAACGCGCGAGACGAAATAAGGAACGAGCAGACGGAGACGCTGAACTCGCGAAACGGCTGCATGGGCGCCCCTCGCCGCCACCGAACGGATTAAGCTCCTTGCGGCAAACACAACAAAATCCGGTGTTTCATCGGATGATGGGCAGGTCTTCCCACTCCTCATTGACGGGGCACATGAAGCAGGAAGCCCGCCCAGCCTCTGGGGTTGACCCCCACAGGGACGAATTCGACAAATTCAGGCCCCCGTCTCGTCGTCTCAGTGGCATGCATCCACAGACAGCCGCTGTCAAGCCCGAGCCCATCGAGCGCCAGTATCGGATGCCTGGTGCATATGTGAACTCGGATGATGAGCGCGAGACATTTGCACCTGTGACTTCCCAACCCAATCCTCGGCCTTCACTGCCTCCGCTTGGCTCAACCTTCCCGCTTCCTGCGTCCAACACATTGGTCCCGCGAGCCACATTGTCGACGGTACCCATGAACCCAGCACTCACTCCCGCCGGGCTCGGTGCTCGTGACTTTCGGATGCCTGCAATTGAGCTGGCCCGACAAGCCTCGATGGGCCGACAACAACCTTCCCAGGCCTGGCCGCCAGTGGGATCACATGGCAGAGCTCTCGAGCCTCCCTCAAACGGGTACTTGCCGACGCCGGCGCGACAGTCATTCGGCGCCCCGTCGCTAGGGCCCAGCCGGCCGGGTTTCATTTCCAATGGGGCCTACTATTCTCAACCAGGGCCCGACCTGGAGGTGGTCTATCCCGGTAGCCTCTCCCAGGCTATTAAACGCGTCAACAAGTTTGACTGGGATAAGTTGACCGACGGCGACGGAAATCCCTTCGACACACGCCTCGCCAATTATCTCCAAGACTTTACCGAAGACCCAAGGAAGACGGAAGAAGAGATCCAGCAGCTCCTGTCGAACATTCGGCCTGACATGGAAATTCCCGAGGAGGATCGCGGCGAAACGCCCGAAGCCATGAAATACCCTCTGTATCCACACCAGCAGCTTGCGCTGAAGTGGATGACGACCATGGAAGAAGGGACAAACAAGGGCGGCATTTTGGCAGATGACATGGGTCTCGGCAAGACCATCTCAACCCTTGCCTTGATGGTGTCGCGGCGATCGTCAGAAAATATCAAGGTATGCGGCTTCCCCTCTTAATGTGCAATTAGGTTGAAATTCCTCAATGACACTTTACAGACCAATTTGATCATCGGCCCTGTCGCCCTCATCAAGCAATGGGAGTCGGAGGTGAAGAAGAAACTCAAGGGGGGTACTCATAGGCTGAGCACCTTGCTTCTTCACTCGAAGAAGAGGCCGTACTCTGAGATCAAGAACTATGATGTTGTCCTCACAACCTACGGGTCACTCGCTGCCGAGTGGAAACGCTATACGCAGCATATCGAGAAAATGAAGGAGGCCGCCGGATACCGAGAGGAGGACGACGCCGAGCTTGCCAAAAAGTGTCCTCTGCTACATGCGCGAAGCAGGTTCTACCGCGTCATCCTGGATGAAGCCCAGTGTGTGAAGAACAAGGACACTCAGGCATCTCGCGCTGTGCACCGACTCACAGCCACTTACCGGTGGTGTCTAACAGGTACCCCGATGATGAACGGTGTCTCGGAGCTGTACCCCTTGATTCGCTTCCTGAGGATCAGGCCGTACTCCGATTACACCCAATTTCAACGTGTAAGGATTCCCACAGCTTCGTTCCAAACGCGCCAGGAGCAATTTCTGACTGGCCAGCAGACTTTCAGGAGCCTAAACCCAAGGTCCGGCGGTTCAGACTACAGCCGCGACAATGCTATGCGGCAACTTCAAGCGGTTTTGAAGGCTATGATGCTGAGACGGATGAAGGATTCGATGATTGATGGCAAACCCATCTTGACACTTCCGCCCAAGACAGAGAACTCGGAATATGTTGTCTTCTCCGACGACGAACGCCAGTTCTACCAAGAACTCGAGTCAAAATCTCAAGTCCAGTTCAACAAGTATCTCCGCGCAGGGACGGTGGGCAAGAACTATTCCAATATTCTCGTTCTTCTGTTACGCCTCCGCCAGGCTTGCTGTCACCCGCACCTGACAGATTTCGAGGTCGCCGATGCCGGCTCTTCGGATGACCAGGCACTCGCTCGGATCGATTTGGCTAAGGATATGGATGAGGCAGTGGTCAGGCGCGTCAAGGCCGTTGAGGCCTTCGAATGTCCTATCTGTTATGATAGCGTCCAAGAGCCCCTCCTTGTCATCCCCTGCGGTCATGACATCTGTACCGAATGCCTCGCTTCGATTACGGAGAAGAACGCGCAGGACAACATCAGATCGGGCGACGAGAATGGGGCTCCTAAATGCCCCGTGTGCCGCGGCCTTATTGACCCTGCCAAAGTCATCACGCTTACCATCTTCCGGAAAGTTCATGCGCCTGAGGCTCTTGCGCCAGAGGATGCTGCACCTCAGCAGGATGGAGAGTTGTCCGATTCAGCGTCTTCCGATGACGACGAATCCGATACGGATTCTCTTGGCAGTATCGCTGATTTTACCGTCCCAGAGAATAAGGTTGATGAAGACAAGGAGGAGGACGAGGATGCAGACCAGGAGGAGGTCAACGGCAGCGGCAGCAACAATAACGCCGACATTGAGAATGACATTGACACTGTATTGGACGTTGCATTGGGCTCTGAGCGGTCCAGTGCCGCAAAGAAGCAGAAGAAGGAGGTTGTCAAAAAGCGCAAGAAGGCAAGAGGCAAGGCGAAAGCCGAGACCAAGGCTGAAGAGTTCACGCCCCATAAACTCAAGCAGCTCCGCATCGATGCAGACAAGAACAAGGAGGCCCGCCGTCGGTACATGCGTTACCTTCGCGACAACTGGATGGACTCGTCTAAAGTCAGCCAAGTAATTGATATCCTGGAGCAGATCCAAGAATCCGACGAGAAAACGATCGTCTTTTCCCAGTGGACGGCGCTCCTCGACATGATTGAGAGCCAACTCACGTACAAGCTCAAGCTGCGCTTCTGCCGCTACACGGGGAAGATGTCGCGCAACCAACGGGACGAGGCGGTCCAGGACTTTGTCGAGAATCCCCGCACCAAGGTGATGCTCGTTTCGCTGCGCGCCGGCAACGCCGGGCTGAACCTCACCGTTGCCAGCCGCATCATCATCTGCGATCCGTTCTGGAACCCCTTTATCGAGATGCAGGCCGTCGACCGCGCCCACCGCATCGGCCAGCAGCGCGAGGTCAAAGTCCATCGCATCCTGGTCAAGGAGACGGTCGAGGACCGCATCCTCGCGCTGCAGGAGAAGAAGAGGAATTTGGTTGAGGCAGCGCTGGACGAGGGCCAGAGCAAGAATGTGGGCCGCTTGAGCGAGCGGGAGCTGGCTTACTTGTTTGGTGTCAGCCCTGCGAGGCGCTGAGAGGTGCTGTTCGCCTTTGGTGGGATTTGTCTGAGGAGAAACTGTTTGCTATCCACGGAGCTCAGTTGTGGGACACAGGGGTTGATCTACTTTGGCCATCAGCTGGACACTTTAGGTCGCTACTGAACCGAAGAGCTACTATAGGATGGCAACATGCTGCTTATACCTGTTTTGTGGGTTTCCTTTTGCTCTTGTTGAAGTGAGGCTGGAATATGTGGGCTTCATATTGGCTGGAACAGCCTACCGGATGTCGCGCTATTACGGATTACAGATGTGGTGTTGGGCTTAGAGGGGACGAGAACTTCACAGTGGCTGGGAATTATACATGGGCGTGGCTTCGATGAATTGCCGGGCGGCATCACTCTTTTCCGCTGGTGGTGCGGAAGTAGTCACGGTCCATTGGGCCTCGTCACTTGGTTCTGACTTCGGTAAATATCACGAATTCCGAGCTACATTTGCTGCGCACAAGTCCGGTTTGAATCTGTGTGCTGCCCTCTGTTTGGCGACATCAGCGCTGGATCAGGAGAGCATGGCCTCATACGTTCTCTGGATGTCGAGGTATGTTTATTTACCCCTTACAGCCTGACAGAGAAGTCACACAGTGACCGAAGTGCATCGGCAGTGCTATGCTGAACTCGCTATACGGCTAGTTCGTAATTGGTATCTGATGTGACGAGACGCGGAGAGACGGTGAGCTTAACTGCCCTTTACAGAGTAGACGTATCAACATCGATCAAACAAGCAAAAGTAGCGTTATTCAAAAAAAACTGAGGAAGTCAATCCTCATGCCTTGCCCTGGGTATCCAGCCTGTTTTCTCCCGTTGACTTGAATCAGCCTGACCAATACATCACCTTTTGTCTCCATCTTCGAGACTTGCCGCTTTCTCTCCGCATAGATTAGGAGATATATACCGGCTCACTGACCCTCCTGGCGTCGTTCGGCCGCCAGTTCGTGGGTGTGATTCTGGGTGGGCAGCTCATAGCGCTGCGGCGCGCACAACTCGGTCCTCGCCGTGCTGTCGAGCTGTTGGACCTGCTCGGCTTGGTCTGGGGCGTTCTTCTGGTCCCAAGCGTCGTGCTCGTACTTGGTGGTGAGTTCGGACGCCGGAGCAGTCGGGGAGCCGTGCGATCGCGCCGGCGTGTCGGGTGTGACGGTCGTGGAGCCCTCGTCCGGGTGACCGAGGCCCGCCTGCTTCTTCCTCCGCGCCAGGACGATGACGGCTACGATGGCGCCGATTGCGAGCGCGCCGAGCGAGACACCGACGCCGATGCCTGCTTTGGCCCCGGCGGAAAGACCGGGGTCTGCGGAAGGATCGGCTGTGGGCGTTGATGGCGGGGGTGTCGCGAGGGAGGACCATGCACTCCAGCTGCCGTTCTGGTAGTTGACCTCGCTAACCTGGCCCTGTACCGTGTAGTAGAGCCGCACCATACTGCTGTTGAAGTCATAGGCGACGCCGAGGTCGGCGTTAGGCTTGTCGGCCTGGGGCCAGGAAGCGTCAGATTGGTTGTTGGCTTGCTGAGACCAAGTCCAGTTTCGGCTGGCCACCCAGTGGAGGCTGCTGTCGTTGCCAATGTACCATAGGGATCGCGCGTAACTGCTGTCAATACTGATTCCGAGGGCGCTGGTCTTGCCATCCCAAGCGGGCAGCGTAAAGTTGGTAGGGGCCGTCTCGTTCACCGCGATGTCGGTCCTGTTTGTGTCAGCGGTGGTGAAGCCACCTTGGAGCGGCTGCGGCAGAGTTGCTGTTCGTTAGCGTTAGCAGCGTAAACGGGAGAACGGATAAGCATGGAAGATGGCGCACATCGGAACCAGGTCGCATCCTTGTTCCACCGAGTGACGGCGATATTCCGTTCGTCGCGCGCCGAGACCACCGAGATGTTATTGTTGCCGCTGAAGGTGGCGGCTAAGGCGGGCAGCGAGTTGTCGTCTTGGGAAATGACACCGCGATGGTGCCATTGGTCGGCATTGGTGTAGGAAAGCTCGTTAATGGCGCCGTTACTGTCATGGTAGTAGACGCGATAGCCAGCTGTGGAGCTGAGAACAACAACAGCCAACCCCGAGTTGTTGTGGATGGAAGGCACGATCCCCCTGCTGACAACCCAATTGCCATCGCTCTTGAAGAAGCCGGTGTCCATGTCACACCTGACGTATGTGTTGGCGATCTGCCCCTCGGTGGTGATGTAGAAGATGGATGCTCTGACATGACGGTAAGTTAGTCGGGTCACATAGAGGCTTGCCCGGTGGTCGATGAAATAGAAAATGGGTGAGCGCCTACATAGTTTCCGCCTTCTCGAACCAGCCTACGCCTGCCAACGGCGTGCCATACTTGGGACTCTCGATGAGCGAGAGCGACCTGTCGTCGATGTAAGAGTACCGGGGCGAACCCTCGCTGTTGCAGGCGCTGTAGTGGATTTGGTTGCTCGTGTCGGTCTCATTCTGCACAAGGATCTGGGCGCCGTATCCATTCCACCAGGCCGCGATTGATGCCGTTGCTGGCGAGGCGGCAGCCCCCAGGAGGAGGAGGTTTGAGACTAATGACGCCATTGACGCAGAACAACTCGCCTACACACCGCAGCGACACCCCGGAGCAACCAGCCGTCCACGGACAATAGAAGTCTCGCAGCAGAACCACCCAAGGCGAGGCTGGTCTTCGTGTGATCGAATCGCCGATCTCGCTCTTGGGTGCGGCCCAAGCAGGTAAGAGGGGAGACAAAAACGACGGAGACAGCACTTCAATTCGACTCTTCGCGCTACTGCCGAGGGTGAACCTCGAAGTCGTCCACAGATTCGCGATCGCAGCGGTTGCTGGAGAAACTGGGCTACGACGAACAGCAGGCACCGAGGGAAGGAGGAGAGAAAACAACTCAAGCTTCTTCGATCATCAGGGACTCTTTATCAACGGTTTCACCAACCGGCTGACACCTACTATCCGTAGGCCTAGACCCAAACGGGCATTTCTCCTCATCTGCACTTCTCAGGTCATTTCTGCATCCAGATGGATATTATGTTGTTGACCGGGGTGGCCTTGTGGATCGCCGAGAGGGCAAAATTCTGAGATTCCAACTGCAACCCTACCGACGCCCAATGCCAGAAAATGAGGTCAGAAAAGGTAAGAAAGACGAATAGAGGAACTGAGCAGGCACACTGATGAACAAAATATCAATTGCACAGCATGCGAGTAACGAAGGCTAATGTCTGTCCCGTCACCATCAAATGCAACCCTTCCGCCTTCTTACGCTGCTGTAAGCTGAGAGCACACTAGGCCTCCATCAGCCTAGCCCGTTCAATAGGTTCAGCTTGGTTAGCAGCCTAACACAGCCATGTGAAAATAGGCGGCGCGCTAAAAGCGGAAACTGCTCCTCCCGTCCCCCGAGTGGAGGCGGGTGCTTACTGAGCAACACCACCACTTCATATGCAGCTGAAGCCAGCAACACAATCAAAGGTGAGAATTGCACTGCTCAGCTTGCAAGCCCTAAGGGTAGCCAGGGCAGTTTATGCATACTTGGACTCTGGCTGTTCCATGTTAGAAAAGAACCGTGCTTATATAGTACCTGGCAAAATGAGGTGTGCATTTGACATTGCCACATGGTTCTGAAGGGAGGCCAGAGTATCAGCAGACTAGAACACAATATATGTTTTCCATTGCCTGCTTTCAATTCTAGGATGTATCTCTTGCCACTTCATTTGTCCCAAGCGTAGGAGATGAAGGCAGCACAAGACTCAGCAAGATCGTCGCCTACATTCCTTGTATCTCAGCCTTAGCCACCCTACTCTCACACGTCCTCTACCCTCTTACCATGTCCCATTGACAGCGCACCCGAACGTAAACAGGCACCATTGAAAACTGGACGGCTGACCACCGCTCCCAATGACACAACAAGACAGGCACTCCTCAAATCCCACTCTCCATCACGAAGACAACAAAGCAGGAAGAGCCCAGGTCCGTGCATTCACCTCTCAAATCGTTTCTCTCCTTCGAAGCCCTCGAAGCTGAAGTAGAAGAGCGCTCTTAAAGGGGCTCAATCCCCCTCTTGACATCCTTGGCCTTGATGCCCGTCAGGTCCGGCTCGGGGGCATGATACTTAGGCCTGCCACCCAGAATATCCACAATCTCCTTCATGCCCAGCCAGTGCGCTGCCCTGGGCCTGCGGTTCGGCCAGTCCGTCTCCTCCTCCTCGACCTTAGTGACGGGCGTGAAGACGACGCTGGCGCCCTTGATGCCGATGACGGTGGCGCTCATGGGATCGTTCTTGACCCTGTTGTGCACGTTGCGGCCGTATTGCTCGAGATGCTGGATGCAGCGGATGGCCAGCCGGACGGCGCGGCAGCGGTCCATGGGCGACGGCACGCCGCCCTGCTGCATGTGGCCAGGGATGCCCTCGCGGCTCTCGAAGCGGCCGTGGGCCTCCTCACGGAGGATCTCGGCGATCAAGCGGGCGTTGTACACCTTGGACGCCTTCTCGTTGATGAGGATCAGGCGGCCTGCCCGAGACTGGCCCTTGTCTTGGGCAAAGACCTCTTTGAGGTGCCGCACATCGGCCGCAAGCATCTCCAGGCTGACGCCCTCTTCCGGGGTGTAGACAGCCGAGGCGCCCACCCCGAGCCCGCCCAGAGTTGCCACGTAGCCGGAGCGGCCGCCCTGGGTTTCAATGACAAAGACGCGACGCCGCGTAGCCGAGGCAGATTGCTTGATTTTGTCGCAGTACTCGACCAGCTCGTTGAGGCATGTGTCGGAACCGAGCGAATACTCGGTGCCCGGGACGTTGTTGGAAATGGTGGCGGGGAGTAGCGTGATGGGGATGCAGAGGGACGGGTACTGATCCCTGGCCTTCCGCAGCTGAGACACGGCGTGAAATGCCTCGAACCCGCCAATGAGGAACAGCGCGTCAAACTGGTACTGCTCGATCAAGTTTGCGATGGTCTCCATGCCGGACTCGCTGGGAAGCTCGCGGTTCGTTCCTATTTCCGAACCACCCTTGCTTGCCCAGCCGTCGACTTCGAGCCAGTCAAAGGGCCGAACAGCCCCAAGCGGTTTGTCGTCGTGGTGACGCGCAAAGCCGGCAAATCCGTTATAGATGGCCACCGGCTCGTGCCCGCGCGACAGACAGTACGCTACGCCTGCTCGAACTGCGGCGTTCATGCCGCCCGCGGGAGCACCGACATTGATAAAGCCGATTTTCATGCGCTTGATCACCCGTCAATATGCAGTTGATCCGGCGGGTTTGGGCAGCATGAGCACCTACCTCCTTTTCTGGCAGCAGCATCTTTTCATTCATCTGAACTGCTGTCGTCATCATAAACGACCTGTACTGCTCCGAGAATTCGGTATCACGGAGCGCCATGGCCTGGTCAAATTCCTGGCTCTCTATCGCCTTGGCCACCCTTTTCGTGTCTTGGACGGCTTGCATAAGGGGCTTTCTGACAATCTTGTTCTCGTTGATAGCAATGACGCAGGTAGGTGTCTCGGGTGTCGCCTCCAGCACGGCCTTCACAGCTTCCACCCCTTGTAGTGTTGCGAGCATGCGGTCGTATGCGACAGCGGTTCCTCCACGCTGGACGTGACCGAGGGTTGTAATCCTGGTGTCGAGTCCAAGGCCCTTTTTGTCGGCAAGGAGGTCCTTCACCATCTCCGGGGTGATCTTGTTGCCTTCCCTATCGAGAGCGCCCTCGGCGATGATGACGATGGTCTTGCGTTTTCCTTGTTTCCGGTGCTGTCACGATGTTCAGCCTCCACTGCCACCAACAAAAAGGGGGATAACACGTACATGTTCGACAATGCTGCACATCTCCTCCCTCCAGTTGTCCTTCCTAGGCTTCTCTGGAATAAAGATAAAATCGGCGCCTGTCGCAATACCGGCCATTAGTGCCAGCCACCCACAGTGCCTTCCCATGACCTCAATGACGAAGGCGCGGGAATGCGACGAAGCAGTAGCCTCAATCAGATCAATGGCGTAGCAGATCCTCGCGAGGGCCGAGTAGCAGCCGATGGTGGCATCTGTTCCGGAAAGGTCATTGTCAATTGACCCGACCAGGCCGACGATGTTGAGGTGCCGGTAGGGCGCGAGTTGGTCGGCCGTGTACTCGCCGTTGGCCTCGAGCTCCTCGATCAGGGTTGGCCATTCGGCGCGGAACCTATCAGCCCCGGTGAGCGAGCCGTCTCCTCCGCAAATAATGAGAGCGTCGATGCCTTGGGAGATGAGGTTCCTTGCTGCCGCCAGGCGGCCGGCACGCTCGAAGAAGGCCATGCAGCGGGCGGTGCCGATCAGAGTGCCGCCCTCGGACAGCCAGCCACGCACATCGTGCCATTCCATCTTGCGTATCAGGTTTCCGCCGCGGACAAGGCCCTCGTAGCCCTCGTAGATGCAGTAGGGGTCGCAGCCCATGTGGATGGCCATGCGGACGCATGCACGAACGACGCCGTTCATGCCGGGGGAGTCGCCGCCCGAGGTCATGATCGCAATCTTCTTCCTCGCCACCATTGTGCTGGTAGTGGATTTCGTGCGTGAGGTCGAGGCTGGGCGTTGTGCGAGTGTTCTTGGGGGAGTGCAAAAGAGGATTCCAACGGGAATCGAGAGGAGAACAACAGCAAGGAAAGCCCGGAATGGAGATGCGCCGATGGAGAAGGGCCGAAGAAGGCTTAGATTGGATATGGGCATGCTCCAGACGGTTTACCTGGGACGACAAACCCTAGGACGTCAGGAGCAGTGTTTTCGTGCTCTTCTCCTCTTGGTTTGGGGAGATTACTCAAGGAACAGAAGATTGCAGGAGGCAATTCAACATGGCACCACGATCGACGGAAAGCAAAGCCCTCGTCCAAGGTGTGGGCAGGAGGAGCTCTTATCGATTAGCGCGGGGCACGCTCCGAGACCGCAGAGAGTATCCTGCTTCAATTCGGAGCAGTTCTCGGTGTTGTTCAGGGGTGCTAAATAAACACTATACTCAGCATAGTCAAGCCGCCAGGAACCTTGCACGCAGATATGCATGAGGGTTCGAGAGCTGGCCGTTCTCGCTGTCTCACTCGTCCGTGTGGCACAGAGAAATTTTGAAGAAGGACTCGGGGCGAGCTTGCTTTGGTGGGGTTTGTGGTGAGGGGTTTACAGAATCAGATCAGTGCAATGACATAGCTCCTTATGTAAACGTGGGTGCCGGTGGGTTTTGAAGCAACGGTAACATCACGGGCCTCGAGTCCACGGTTGTGCACGGTCACGTTGTAGAGATCTACCAATCCCGCATTGGTACAAGCAAACAGTCATTGCTGACATGCAAGCGGTGTTGGACATTTACCAAGCTTCAATATCCCGAGCCTGGTGGCTTGTTGTTGGAACTTGGAAAAAACGCAATAAGTGAGAGTGAGCATCTGGACTTCGAAGAGTATCTGGACTAGTGGGCCCGGTCACCGGTAACTAGCCGACCCAGCTGCAGCTTGCCAGGCTTGGCATAGCTTAACAGGGGTGCCTCGCGTGGGATTGATTCGCGACTTCTTTTGCTCTCTCAGCAGTGGCCGACTCGAGAGAAGCACACACCTGTACCATGAGTGATCGACCGTTCACGCTACAGCCGCACACTGCGCCGCCCCAGGGCCCGCAGTCTATCAGCGAGTTTATACAGAGACTCAATGCCGAACCAGGCGGTTTTCGAGGCATCAACGCGACTGAGCTGCGCCGCGAGATTGACGCCAACCACTATGACGACCACGGCGACCGCGACGTCGACATGACCGGCGATACCTCCGACGCCGAAGCCGACGACGATTATGACACCAAGGACGTTGCCGCCGCTCGCGACGAGATCCTTCGCGCCATACACCAGTCCCATCAGACGTCCATGTTTGCCCTCGATTTCGTCTCCCTGCTCCTCTCCAAGGAGAACCCGGCACAGGCCGTTACCACCTTCAGCCCCGGTCTGCGAGACATGGTCGGCATCGGGACCCTCGGTGCGACAATACTCGAAGCCCCCACCGTCATAGCCCAGAAACGGGTGCCCGACAACAAGATGGTAGCCATCGGGAAACGCCTGATTGATCTGATGAAGGCCGCAGACGCCGCTCTGGCGGCATCCAAAAGACTGCAGCGGGAGATAATGTTGGAAACGAAATACTGGTCTATGGTCCTGGGCGTGAGCGAAAACGGTTGGCAGACTTTCCGCCTACCTCATGAGCCCCACACGATGGGAGTCAAGTTCGGCTTCTCCAACACGACCTCCGAATTCAGGAATAGTGGCATCTCCCCCATGAGGAGAGCAAAGGACGGCTCCGTCTGGCTGGAACATGGGTCAATGGGTCGTGGATCGAAACGCCTTCAGGTCAGAATCTTGGATAATGGTGTTGTCGTTGGAAGGTCGTCGCTTCCGCGGCCTCTTCCCCAAAATGCACCATTGCAGGATCGCGTCAAGGAAGCGCGCGACACCATTTTCGCCCAAGAGTTGTGGCATGAGATCAACCGTGAGAGCCGCGTCGATCTTGGCAGCGTTGTGCGTGTCGCCGAGTCGACCGCCGCCTACGACATGGACGCCACAAGAACCGTCTGTGTGCAGCTGGTGACACTCGGTGAAGAGGAAGAAGCGGCAGTGGCAGAGCAGCCAGGGGCCCTAGATGCCACCGCAAACGAGCTCTGCATTATTCTGAGTCTCCTGCTCAGCAACGCCCACCGAGTCAACGAGTTGAAGCGGTCCGGGCCCGGCATCAGCAAGGGCTCTACACCTCCCTATTCCATCCTCCGGCCACTGATTGCCCATTACAAATACGACCAGTCCGTCCAGCGATGTACCGAGTCTCTATCAGCCCTCATTTCCGTCCTCCGCTCCGCCGGTCTCGCAGCCTCCCTCACCATGAAGGAGCCACCCCTCACCCCGCCCCCCGGCAACGCCACCCCACCCTCAACGTCCCTGGCCAACCTCCTCCTCAAACCACCAACAGTCCAGTTCGACCTGACGATCACCCCGGCCTCCCGTATCCGGGTTCTGCTCAAACCAACCCCTCTCTCAGGCGCCGTCTTCTCCGCCTCCTTGCTCCCGCCCCTGCCGTCCCAACCCGGCTCGTCCGTGAACCCGCTCCTGGCGCTCTGCCCGCCGGCCGCCGACGACTATGCCGACCTCGAGACGCTTCTCACCTACATCCATGGTACGATCCCCTGCGCGCTGACGGCGGCCTACTACGAGATAGTCTTCGCCGTGACGGCAGGGGCGCCGCCCGCTGCGGCTGGTGGTGGTGCTGGTGGCGGCGGCGACGGCGGGCCGAGCGCGACGACAGAATCGACCTGGGCCATGGACGCCAGCAGCAACGGCATCGTCGACCTGGAGACGGGCGGCGAGTACGGCGTGTACTTTGGGTTTGGCCGCGACAAACAGACCGGCCGGCTCGAGGTGAGCATCGAGGGGCATTTCCTGGAGAATGGGGCTGACAAGGTGCACCGGGCGTGGAGGTGGCCTGGGGCTGAGGGGACGCTGAGCACGGTTGTCAAGCATGTGCTGAGCAACGGGCCTGCTATATAGGGTCAAATGAGGTTTGTATCGTACGGGCACATGTGTAGTACCAAGGCCCGATCACTGTGAGCACATGATCGTATTTCCGGGCATAAAACAGTAGCGCCAACGCTGGTGCATCACTCAACAAGAAACTGTTCTCTGGAGGAATTCAAACCATTCAATGATCAGCCACGGCACCGACCCTGACCGACATCAAGGGAAACAAGCAGTGCAGACCATCCCGTCGTAGTAACTAGAAATATAATTGTAGCCTTCTTAACTTTCATGCCCAGCCAAGCTACACGTCCAACTGAAGACGTGTGCCTCGCAGTACAAGAGTCTAAGTTGGTCAGGAATACCATAACTCCAAATCAAAGATATGAGAAATTGGACAAGTACATCCAGAGCAATTCATTCCATCGATCCAGTTTCCATACAGCTCTTTCTTTCCAATTTAAATCATCAACTTCGTCAAGAAACTGGCCATGAACATGCCAAGGGAGCGACGACATAAGCAAAGGAATCATTCATACCATGAGGTCATTAGAGCGAATCCAAAGATGAAAGCAAGAAAATGCAACATCAACAAACGAACAGCAAGTGCAGACAAAACGATCCATGACGTCGTCAACCCATTCATCCATCCATCTCCCCTTCTGTCTGGCCCCGTATCGTTATCCAAAAGGGAAGGCTCCAAATCAACCCGTCTAAATATCATCAGATCCATACGCTCGCTAGCTGATTTGCTTGTTCGCTTAACATCACGTCGTCAGGTCATACCCAGAAACATATCCCCAACTAACTCGATATCCAAGTCAGGGCCGGCATAGTCGAAACGTCTAGTGACGGTAACCCCTCCCGGGATGCCGGCTCTCGTAATGGATCTCACGCTCGACGACGCGGTCGTCCTCGTAGTCGATCGAGTAGCGGTGGCGGTGGTGATGGTGGTGGTTGCGGTGCTCATAGTCGTCGCGCCACTCGCGCTCATAGGCGATCTCGTGGGCGCGCTGCTTGCGGGATGCGCGGATGCGGTCCGAAAGCTGCACCAGGCGGAGGACGTCCTCCTGTATTGGACACACGTGGTCAATCCGCTGCTGGGAAGACATGTAGAGAAGAGGTCGCTGGAACTTACATAGGACAGGTACTCGACGATGTAGAAGAAGAACTCGGTCTCCTCAAACTCGTAGTTCATCTCCTGGATGGCCTCACGGCACACGAGATCCTTGGTAATCTCGGTCCAGGTCTCGGGGCGGCGCGCGGGAGGAGTCTGGCCGCGGATGGCAATCCGGCGATCCGTGACTTTCTCGATCTCGACCTCGCGGTCTCTGCCACCAGCGCGGTCCTTGTCGACAATTTGCACGCTCAGCCGCCTTTCGCTGCGCTCAGGAGGGGCCCGCAGTTCGGAAACGCTCGTCGACGACGACACTACCGAACTCTTTTCATCGCGGTCAGGGATGAACTTGGTGCGGCGGACGCCGCTGTACTTTTGCCACGTCACTTCGGCCGAGGCGCCGCCAGCGCCGTCCATGCGCACACGCTCCGTTCCGGGGGGCACATCGATGATGGCCCAGTCCTTGGTGATGCCGTTCCAGGCCTCGCCCATTCTGCCGCGCGAGTCGATCTTGCTCGTGATTTCGTACGCCTCGTCGTCGTAGTCGATGACTGGCGGGGCTGCCGATTGGGCACGCCGCCCCTGCCTGGAAACGCTCCGCCGGCGCTCGATATCTACGTGCAGGTGGCGGCGGTCGGACTGGACGACCACATCATCTTCCCAGGTTTGGGCGGGGCGTCGTGATGGCCGCTCTCGGGAAATGGACCTAGCGCGACTATGAGAATGCGATCTCCTGTGGATATCAACCTCGGTTTGACCCCGAGAGGTGTAAATGTCGATCTCGGTGTCACGGTGGTCGTGACGAACAGGGGGTGGGGGAGTCGGCGGACGAGCCACCACCATTCCTGCGAGGACCATTAGCAGAGAGAACTTAATTATTAGGGGCCGCCGAAACTCACCGTGATCAATATCCCGGTAATGCGTGATCACTTCTCTCTCGATAGTTGGACCCTTGATGACCTTTGGTGTCGGGGGCCGCGGCGGGGGCGCAGGGCTTGGAGCGCGCTCTTTCTCCCTCTCGACGATCCGAATGCGGTCCCGGACCTCCGGGGATGGCGAGCGCGAGCGGTCTACGAAGCGAATCCTCTCGGTAGGGCCACGGCTCGGTTCCCTGACAACACGGCGGAAGCGCACATCTTCTTCAGTCCTCCTTGGCGCTGGGCTGACGCTCCGGGTCCGGATTATACGCTGGGTTACTTGGACCGGGCTGGGTGGACGCCGCTGCTCGACTGTCTCAACTTCTCTCTGTCGGAGCACCATCTGGCCGTGCTCGGGGCGGCGGTTGTCCTCACGCATAAAGGCGGGCAGGCGGTCGTTCCCGGCCACCCGGTCGCGAACCCGGACGTCGACCTCATCGTATTCTCGAACCGGAGCGCGCCGCGGCTCTCTGATATACTCGCGGTCGTCAAATTCGACCCGACTTCTCGACATGGCTGCTGTTTGGTGTCGCGAGCACTACTTCTTGTTGGTCCTGGCTGGACGACGATCAAGCGGGGCTGGTGGCCTGGATGCTGGGAGGCGGGGCAAGCTGCAGGATAAGAGGGCAAAGAAAGCGCCAGCAAATAACAGCAAAAGGGCGTTTGGCCGAGTGCGTTGCAAGCGTACGGTATCAAAGCCAAGGGAAGGTCGAAACGCGGTTTTGGCTCGAGAAATCGGCGACTGCTGCTGGAAAGTGCAAGTTCAGCCCGTTTTGGGGGGGGGGGGGAAAGGGAACTGTGACGTTGGTGGTTGGGAGGGCTCGTGCCCGGGAGCCAAGGCGGGGCAGTCAATGTGACCAGGGACCTTGGCAGACCAGCCTCTTCTCCAAGCCGATTTCCTCGAGGAGCAATTGCCAACGACAGTGGTGCGATGAAATGAAGCCGCCGAGTCCCGGATGACGAAGGACAGGATGGATTGAAGCTGGTATGTGTTACGAAATGCCGCAAAAAAAAGGAAAATATTCGAGGGGCCGCAGGAACGGGCGCGGTGTTGGCTGGCCAGTTGAAGATTAATGACAAGCAATGGCGCGAACCTGGACACAGAGAGAGCTTCTTCCCTGCCGCCGCACGCTGCGAGACTCGAGACCAGGGTGGCCTGGCAAGGTTTCAGGGTCAGGCTGGCTGGCCAATTGGTCGCTCGGATTCTGATTTGGGTTCGAACCAACGTCGTCATCCCACAGCTACTTGGTCGGGTTTTGCAGGCCGCTCACATGAGCCCCAGACCAGCCCCTGCTTTTCGAGCTCGATGTCGGTGAGAGCGCCGACACAGCGAGCGCCCCTTGTGAGGTACTTACGTCGGGTGCATAAGGTACAGTAGTCTCCTTCCATCTTGCGTTCTTTAAAAATGAGACTATCACACCAGCCTATATAGGCCCCGGACACAGTCACTCGGCGCTCATTCTGACACCCAGAGGCGCAGCAACCGTCTGTAGAGAACTCTCGACAACATTATCCCGGGTGCGCTGTGTCACAAGCTGCCCGAAACGCACACGAGGTCGCCTCAGCAGGTCGGTGGCCGAGTTATTCAGTGAGGCGGGCCAAATGGGAAGACCACAACCATGGCCAACCTGGCGCCTTGCCGCAGGCAGCCCTCCTCGCGCCACACCGGGACATATGTGCCTTCGCTTGTGAGTCCACCTGGCTGACATGTCTTGATAAGAGAGTTGGCTAGCCAACCAATTACCTATTGCTGCTTGCCGGCGGGCTGTCAAACCTTGACCGTCTCTCTGTTCACCATGTTTCGGTCATTCATATGGATACCTCAGCCAAACATATGGATACCTCAGCCAAACTCCATCCAGTTGGGTCTCATGCTGCTCGGCTTGAGCCACCGACGCCGATCGGTACACTACGTCCATCCCTCGTATACAAGCCCCTTCACAACTCTCGTCAGTTAGGTTGGTAGGTTCGGCATCGATATTGGTGCATTGTGAGACAGTTCCAGAAGCGGTTTGGTTGCCGCACTTGCAAGGGTCTAAGTCGATGCTCCAGAATATCGAGATTACACGGTAGTGACGCAATATTGCAGGAAGGTGGATGGCACGCCGGCCTGCTAACCCGCCTCAAATACACACAGCCCGACCGCTCATGTCCTTCCAATCACAACTTGAGAAGCGGCTCCCCAGAGCCCTACGTGAACCATCCTCAGCCATCTAAATGCCAAACACGGGCATTATGATCTCGAGAGGATCCAGCCTTGCCTTTATGGTCATCTGGCAAAAGACTCAGACTTGACTTGGGCCTGACAAGCACGCAGAGACGTGCCGTGTGCCTCACCTAACCCTCACAGTAATAGGGCAACCAAATTCCCATTGATGGATGGGGCAAAGTGCGGCGCGAGAGCCGGCTCCGCCCAACCTTGACCACTCAATGTAACCCGTGCCACCGATCTGTTACCGTTCATTCCCTCCAGATCGCTTCCCGCATCGCGACCACAGGACAGGAGTTAGGCGGAACGTTCTGGATGTTTCGTTTCAAGTCGAGGCTAATATGTTAACGAGCAACCTATACCCCTTGAGGAGGGTCTGTCGAGGTGTATCGAGGCCCATGGCCGAGGGGCGATCTTCTTGAAGCCACTCACAAATAGCACACATATCGAACAGACAAGAAGTGGAAACAAAGTTAATAAAAGCCCTGCTGGCAGACTCGCTTCCCGATGAGCTATATGAGACTGACGCTGTTCTGCCGCCTGCTGCGCTGTCTTCAGAACCGCCACAGCCTCGCTCCGCTGCGAAACTAATAGGGAGACGGGGGAAATACGATCTGTATCCGGCAAGATGCGCGACAGAAGAAGTGTCAAGAGTAAAAGCGCGAACAGAGCAATGGCACCTTGCCGTTACATGTTCATGCAGTGACGAAGTGTCTTGAATCCGAAATTGTTGAGATAGCGATTTCAGGCGCTCGGGCCATCGTGATTAGGCAGTGCTGTCCTTGGTTAGTCTGGATCATCCACATGAGCCCCATGCGCTTACGATTTCCTGCCCCGTCTGTTCGGAGCAGCGGCGGCCTTCTTCGCCGGCGCCTTGCGGCTCCTCTTCGCCTTCAGTGTGGGTTCCTCCTCCACCTCCGGCTCTGACCCCGTCTCCGACTCAGGCTCTGACTCGGGCTCCGACTTAAAGTCGGACTCGGCCTCTCTCTCAACCTCTGACTCGAGCTCAGGCGCGGACTCGGGCTCAGGTGTTGGCTCCTTCTTTACCTTCCTAGCGCGTACAGGCCTTTTCTTCGGCGGCTCCGGCTCAGCGTCACTCTCCTCCTTGACAGCCGGAGCAGCCTTGGCACCAAGCTTGCCCCGGACCACCCTCTTGGGCTTTTCAGGCGTCGGCTCAAGCGCCTCAGACTCGCGCGCCACTTCTCCATCGGTTTTTTCCTTGACAACCGGAGCAGCCTTTGCACCACGTTTGCCCCTGGCAGCTCTCTGGGGTTTCTCCGGCATCGGCTCCGGCATGGCCTGAGGAGCCTCCTGCGGAAGCGATCCATCGCTTTCCTGTTCAATAGCAACTGCGGCCTTTGCGCCACGCTTGCCCTTGGCAGCCTTCTTAGGCTTCACCTCCAGTTCCGGTTCTGGCTCAGACTTAAGCTCGGAAACTGGCTCGGCCTTCTTCTTAGCAGCGCGTTTGGCCTTCTTAGCAGGCGGCTCCGGCTCGCCGGCCTCCTCGTTATCGGCTTCACTCTTCTTGCCGCGGCCACGTTTTCCAGTGGCTTTCTTGGGTGTGGGCTCGGCGTTCTTCAGGACGTTAGCGTCTCACTATCTGGAAAACTGAATGCCGGAATGGACAGACCTCATTACCCTCGGCTCCCGCCCCAGCCTCAGCTTCGTCGTCCGCTTTCTTCCTACGGCGATGGATGCCCCTCTGACCAGGTTTGTTCATCTCCGGGTCCTTGCCGTCCATGTCAGAAAGGCACCGTATGTGAAACCGACGGAAGAGTAGGACTCACGCCCTTGAAATCCTCGGGATCGATATGTCCCTGCCTGAGAACGCGCTTGATCTTCTCCTGCAGGTCAGGATGGTCCCTTTCCACTGTCAGTATCGCGAGCAGTGAGCGCTAAACAACACAGACTTACTCGAGATCCTCCCAGCCATCAATCATTTCCCAGTCGTAATCGCCATCCCCGAGCCTGAGCTTGTCTCGAAAGCTGACTATCTGCTCCCCGGACACACAACCCCTGGTGAAAACTTAGTCGGTAAACTGCCCGGCGAACGAAGAACAAAGAATAAATGGCCGACATACCAATGCCTCCACTGCCAGCCGGCCTTCTCTGGGTCATTCCTATACTGAACCCAGACGCCCAAGCGGAGCTCGCCCTTCTTGATTTTCTCGCCGGCATCCCTGCAGGCCTTGACTTGGCAGGCGGCCCGATTGCTAGGCGAGATCTCTGTTAACTGTCAGCGATTTCCCCCTGCGCGCAATGCCCGTTGATGGATGGTGCAGATGTGGGCGAACTGGGAGCTTGGAGCTCAGCTTGCAGCTTGAGCTCCGGGGCAAGAACTCCAAATCTGCGACGTCTGGACGATCTGAATGAAACAACTTGCCAATGCGATAGTCGGGCATTTTGGCCTCGCAGTATTTCGTATTATGTCGCACCGAATAAAACTGAGCGCTCAGATGCAGTGTCGCTTGAAAAGGATTGATGTAACGATAATGAGTGAGTTGTGTCGTCTGCGATTGATTGAGGACCAATGCGGTGATTTTCGCGACAGGGACTAGTTAGGGTATCCTTCGTTCCCACGAAACCTGAATCGGAAACGGAACTGGAGAAAGGAACCAGCTCTCAATATGAAAAGACTCAAAAGTTTAACTTTAAAGACACTTTACCTAGGCAGCAGCACACAAAATTGAGAAATCTGGAAGGTGCGATCGTGGAAGAGACAAAGCAGCCGATCAGCCTGGCAACCCTTCGGTTGACTGGGCCCTGCAACACGTACTGTAGTTATCCCGTCGCTGTAACAGGCGCTGTGGCATGACCGCTGACCACACGGATAAGGTACAGTGAGTGGTCAAAAGTTTCCATACACCCCACCAAAACCAGCCACATGCATTCTTACCTTTAGCCTTTAACAGACCATATCTCAACAACCGTGAAAGATAGACGAATAGTGTTGTATTTGAAATGAAAGCCCAGTTCCCAAGCATTAATATATTATTTACCAACTTCGAGCTTTTTTCACAGCGGCGAGCCAGCTAGGCAACGAGTCGATCAGCCTGTTATTCAGAGCTTATCTATAGCTTACCACGCTGTACGCAACTTCTTGAGATCTTCGAATATTGAGCTTATCCATTTTGAGTTCCTAGAGATCAGGGAACATTCTCTTTAGAGTCCTCTTTAAAGCTGCCTATACATGCTCAATGGGGTTCAAATTGCGGCTATATAGCGGCCAATCTATCCACTGCATTGTATACTCGATAAGCCAGTTTTGAGTAACCTGGGAGATATAAATGTTAGCATTGTCTTGCTAGAAATACCTCGTACTATTGTATCATGGCAGGAGACCTTCTTGAAAAGCAAGGAGTATCTTCGTCTCTCTCTATAATGATGAGCTTATTCCGGCTCCCTCTCTAGACTATTCCCTAGACTACAATCGTAATATTCGCCTTAACATAGTTCTTCAAGTTGACGGACTATGTAAGAGACATGTGGCATCAAGGCAAGGCACTGGGCGCTGCAAATATCGAGTCAATTCTGCTAATCGAAAGCTAAGGAGAGGAAGAGGGAGAGTAAATAGGATGCGCGTCTGCGACGCGAGAAAGATGTCAGGGCCCCCACCATGAGCCCTACACTTGGGCAATTGGCGGGCGAGACACTGTGGATTTCATGGCGCAGCGACATGACTCGCAGCAGAGAGAGGATATCTGGAGAGCAGGAGACTCAGATTGGAACTTGGAACTTCCCTCTCTCAAGGATCAGTCAGTTGGTTAGTGGTGCACGCACAATACAGTCGTCTTGCCTGCTGTCTGTTGAGGATTCGGTGCATCTTCCTTGGTGAGCTTGTGTGTGTCACCTTACAAAAGATAAGTGGGCGTAAGGCCCACCCACCGATGACCACCGATGAGATGTGACGAATCTCAAAGCCCCAACTTCTGAAAGGGACTCCTGAAGGTTATACTTGACAACGGGGTGAGGTTCGGTGAAGCCAAAGGGTTCACAACAAGCAATGTCCAAGGGTACTGACAATCTTGCACTTGAGTTGCTTATTGGAGAACTCCCAGAGTCCTCCAGAACGAGTGACTATATACTGATGCGATTCTTCGAGTGCTCGCAGTGCTATGCCTTCGATCGCTCCGAGCACCTTGCATGCTGCAATGTGCTCGTCTGTCTTGGCGTTATAGCACTCTAGCTTCATCCTGACTGGTCTGCCTTGCTTCCTTAAGTACAGTAATTGGCTCGGGCGTTCGTTGCGCCCCGCATATGGCCTTCTGGCATGCGGCCTGTTGTTAGTTAATTCGTGACATGAGAGCATGAGTTCAGGGTGCGCTTTCCATCACAAACCGCTAATTGAACTTCTTGAAAGGGAGATGGAATACCTAATAAGTTGGATTTGAAGTGTTATTTAAATATGAATACTCATCGGAAAAGAGTAATTAAATCAGATTAGTAAAGGAAAATGATATATCTATCGAATTATCGAACTCTCAACAACTCTTCGGTATCTTGGAGCTATATATACGTCTAGTTATACCTGTTGGACAGCAACTGTTACAGGCTCGAATAGGCATAGACCAACCAGGTGACACTGCATCAATTGAGGCACAAGATGAAGCTTGAATTGGCTGTCTGAACCATACGTCATGTGTGTGTTTTGCTTGAAACAACCGAGGGCTTCGGGACCCTCGCCAGACCTTGCTTTTGGGTGGGTGACGAGTCTTCCACGCTTACTGCATTGGGCAACAGTGCCCAGCCCCTGAATCCAGGTGCCAAGGAGTCAGTTCAGTTCAACAATACCTCTTTTAGGCATCTTCCTTCGAGAGAGGTATTCTTTTCCTTGCTTTCCATTTACAGAGGTTCTGAGCGCGGAGGCATCGACGTATTGTCGAGCAGGACATTTTAGACCCCATGGCTGCGACTAGAACCTTTTTCTTTCTTTCTTTTTTTTTCTAGCAATATCCCAGTTTCTGTTTAAGAGAGTTAGGATATACTGCTTCTCCAATCGTAAAAGCTTCTGAGGACGGCCTTTTCAAGGTTTCGAATCAAAGGTCTGTTGAGTTTCCTAGCGTTAAATGTGATCTTATATAGCGCCGATTGTCACGGCGATTGCGCCGTGCCTACTAGGGACCCACGGGTGGAACCCGGCATGTGGAAAGCACGGGCCCCTGTGGGTTAAATATTCTGCACCTCGCTGCCGCGAGATCTGTTCGTAGCTCCTCGAGCTACGTCTTGACAATCAAGCCTGCCCGTACCTGACGGAATAGAGCTTAGACTGTAGTTTAGCCCGAATACAATTGTCATTGGATTGTCCGCCTGTCCCGCCGTGACACCGATGGAGATGCTAATCGCGTCCGCTATAGCCCGGTAGGTTTTACCGCAAGCTATAGCGCAGCAAATGGCTGTAAGAGCGACTAGTAACAATTCGTCATTCCGACCGCAATTCTCTGGCTATTTGGCCCTAAAATCAGCTAAACTGAACTTTACGATGTTGAGTTGTTGCAATTGGAAGAGCATAGGGGTGTTGCGACGCGTGGAGAGTCACATTTAATTAAGTTGGGTGTATGGAGACTTTTGGACCCTGACTGTACTATTCTAGTCAATTTAAACGCCGGAACCTGGGGTCTACTCTCTCGAGTGATCAAGATACTACAGCAACAATACTCTCGAATATCAAAAGAGAAGGCTGTCATTAACAGCCCGGGTATTCTTAACGCTCTGAGTCAACCATGTCTGACAATTCCATGTGTCCACATGCAGGCGCAAGCTACCTGAAAAATGCACCCGACCGAACCCACCGAATGACCTAACCCTCCTGAATCACCTCACCACCATCCGTTAACTCCTTCCGCCTGACGTAGGCACTACAGGAAAGGACACCACCCGATATACATGGCCGCCAAGTTCTTGGGATTGACCGCCTGCTTGATAAGCTCCTCCACCTGCCCCTCCACTCCAAGTGGTATGCTCTCCTCCGGCAACAAGCCTCTGACTTTGCGCCTGATACTCTCGACGACGCTGGGCGGATTCATCTTGACCACATCATAGTTCCTCTTCCTCGATTTCTGCAGGTCCAGCGTCGGGTCATAGATGAACGCCTCGAGGATCGTCATGAGCGTCTCCTCCTGCTGCCGGAGGATCCTCAGCGTCAGCTCGCTGCAGTGTCGGAACGGCCCCTCGTATCGGTAGATGCCCATGGCCGCCTCCATGTTGTGCGTCAGCCGGAACGGCACGCGCTCCGGCTGTGCAAACGTCAGCCCCTTGTCGAACAGGCAGTTGAAGTCGACGTGGAAGATGCCGCCGTTGCCTTCCTCCAGCAGCACGTTCTCGCCGTGCCGGTCGCCCAGCCCCAGGATGGTGCCAACCATGGACATGACGGCGCAGGAGCGCGTGTACTTGAGCCGCGCGGCGAACCACGCCGATGGGTTGGGAAACTGCGCAATGAACCACTCGGGCAACACGGGCGGGAACTGGCCCAGCACGTCCTCGGTGAAGATGCGCGTGTTCGCGTCCGACAGGGTGGCCTGCTTCATCTTCTGTTGGATCTCGCTGTAGTTTGGCTGTATGCCGCGGGTCTTGTAGATGCCCAACAAAATGTCGCGCAGCGTCTTGAGGCCTTCGACCCACTCGATGATGCCGCACTCCTCGTTGAGCGGCGTGACGGCATAGGTGCGGATGTAGAGCTGCCGACGGCTGGATTCGGCGTCCCTCTTGAGGGAGCGGTTGATGAGGCTGTTGAACTCCATCAGCCGCTGGTCGGTGCGCAGGTCGTCTTTGGGTTTGATGAGCAGGCCATAAAGCTTGCCGTCCGTTCCGCGTGCCGTCAGCTTGCGGGGCTTCGCAAGCGAGCCGAGTACAAGAACTTGATCGAGGAACGAATCAATTGTAATCACGTCTCTGGAGAATGCCTTGTGTTTGCGGACATTGTCCGTCAGTGTTGGCAACGTGGCCGTTAGGCAAGCCTCGACAGGTACAACCAGAGGACATGGGGTGCATTTGTGGTTGAAGTTGAGGTCCCGCGTGATGCTCGCTGTGGTTGTCCTGTTGCTCTGGAAGTCACCATTGTTGCAAACCAGCAGGAGCTGCTCCGCAAGCTTTTCGCCCGCCCTCAGCAACGAACCCAGACCGTGCTTCCCACTGTCCACGTTCTTGCCGATGCCACGTACAGCCTGCAGGATCTCGGATCCTCGGATTCGACGCTCGCCGTCTTGTCTAGTCGTCATGAGAGGGAAGAGACTCCAGAGAGCCTGCCGAGGATGGGCTTCGACTACTTTGAGGATCATCTGCTCTAGCACCTTGAATACGTCCCGGTTCGGGTGTGCTATTCTTGCCACAATCTGTGGCAGGGACGTATAGAATATGTATGCCGGCATGCGCGCGATGTTTTTTTGGAAATGCTTGTAAAGTTCATGGAGAATGGCCTTTCTGCGCATGTGCAGCTGCCGAGACAGCGAGATTTTGCCATCGGGGGCTTTGTCAACTTGAGCGCCCAGTTCGAGAAAGAGCGTCAAGATCCGTGGCAACGTCTGGGAGAGATACTTCGTCCCGAAGTTGAGAGAACGTAGATAGTTCTCGATGACCAGCTTTGCAGTTTCACCGCTCAAGTATTCGTCGGATTGGTCGTCTGGTTTCAGTGCCTTCTCCGAATCCAGCACTTTTTTGTAATGGCGACCAAGATAATAATGGCCCTTCTCCCACTGTGGATGCGTCTTCGCCGCTTGTTGATATTGCGATCGTAGCGCGCTGGCATGGGTTTGGCCCGTTGAATCGAGCCATTTTGCAAGGAGCAGGTGGGCTCTCGCTGTCAATAAGCTGCGCTGTGTCTCTGGCCCTTTGCTAGAGGTCGGCGGCACACTGATGCTCATGTAGCTGTCGCTGATGAATGTGTTGGTTGAAATGGCGTGCTGCAGGATTTGGATAGCCTTGCGGTGATGGCCGTCCTTGTACAACAGCCTGGCGTTCTCGATAATAGCGGAACCATCGCCAAGCTGCTGAGCATGCAACACTGCGTTGAAGGACTGGTGCATGGACCCAGACTTCCTGGCCAGTCTGGCGCTGGACAGCCACTGCAAAGAGATGTCCTCGTTTCCAAACTTGGGCCTGGTAAAACTTAGCAAAGGTCTGAATTGAAAAGAAGGGCGAACAACTTACCGCATCAGCTCCATTGCTGCTCGCCTGATTCCGAGCAGATACTGCTTGTCACTCACGTACGCCCCGAGCACCTCCAACCGCCGGTCCAAGGCCGTAAGGACAGCTTGTCGATCTCCATCTCCCTGGATATTTTCGTTCGCAATCATTTCCAGATCGCTCAAGACATGACACTTGAGCATGGCGTTGTGAGAGGCACGCAGGGAGGACGTCGCAGAGTAAGTCAACGAGCCAGCCACCTTATCTCGAAGCATTTGGATGTGCTCTTTGAACTTCTCCACATTCCCATCCTTGAGACAGAGCAGAGCTTGTCCGACACCGAGGTCGAAGACTTCGGAGACGTCACCAGCATTGTACAGCCGGAGATATTTCTCGAGGGTCTGCCACCGGCCGGTCGCCCAGGCTGCCTCGACGGCAAACGGCGCGATTCTGTTCACCGTGCTTACAGTCATCCCTTCGACGTAGTTGAGCAAGACATCTGTAAGATGGCGTCAGCGGGCAGTAAGTTGAACATGGTCTGACTGACTGACCGTGCTGTCCGGATTCCTTCAGGCATGTCAAAAGGTCCACCTGAATGTCCGCATCGTCGGGACATTCAGCAAGCCGAATTTCATACCATGTTTGTGCTGCCGTCCACCGGCCTGCCTTGCGGTGATTAAGCGCCTGCTGGTCCAGGGTGATGTGTTGCAGATGCGCTGAGACGCCCTCGAGGCCATCGGGATCGTCAATTTGTGTGTAAATGTTCTGGAGAGACTGCAGGATCCGGTCGTTCTCTTCCTTCTCGGCTGTCTTCTCCCGACTCTCGATGTGCGGCTCCAGAAAGAACAACGCCCGGGCATACTCGTTGCAGTCGACTGCTCGTTGCGATATCAGCTCTGCGTCAAGAGAGCCAATCAGCCCCTGAACCCATCCGATCCATGTCTGGTCCTTCACTGTCAGTCCATGCTGGGAATTTTTCGCTTGCATCCACCTCATGCAATAGTCAAGGATGCGAAAAACAGCCTTCCCATAGTTAGCTGCAGATTCCACAAGCCAGGTGACAGTTTCTTACTTGATAGAACAACTTCTTTTCCTCTTTCTCAACATACGAGGCGGTCTCCGCTGGCTGGTGCTTCAGGATAGCCGCTAACTCAGCGGAGACCTTGTTTCTGAACTCATCCGACTCTTCCTGGCCAACAACCACGTGCAAAACCACATAAGGCAGCAAAAACTCAGTAACAGCGAGGTCCTTGACCTTAATAAGTCGGCAGAGCGGCTCGAAGACTGTCATGCTGAACGGATTCTGTGGGCTGCGGAGAAGGTCAAGGACAAAGGCCCTCAGCCAGGCAGCGTACGATCTCCCGGGCTTGAAGATGGGATACTCAGTTGTCTGATGCGGCATGGGCGCGATGGCAAACCTCGAGGACAGAAATGGCGTCAAGACTTCTCTTGCACTGTCCGAGATGGCGAGCCACTTCCTGTAGATAGGTTCGCTGGCCTCCTCGCCCGCATGAGCACAAGCGAACTTGAAGTCAGTCCGTTCCAGCAACTCCTGCATGGCATAGGAGAGGAAACCCTGGAATTTGGTGTCGGTCGTTGACAAGAATGCCTTGACAAGCACGTTTTCGAGCATGAATGCGACAAAGTCGGTTGTCTCACGGGCATCCGTGAAGTTGTGGACGACGACGAATTGCTTCTCTTCTCGGGTGGTCTCAATACGGTTCGAGTCCAGGCAACCGATGAGGCCCATTGCCTGGGCACAGAGGCGGGTGATGTCGGCATGCCAGCCATTGTACTTGGCGGAACAGTCCAGCAATGAGCGAGCAAGCGTGGTGACGACCGAGTCAGGTTGCTCGCTGACGGCTGATGCTTGGAGGTCTTTTTGGTTCTTGTCGAGGAACGCAACCAACTCGACTAACGCTTGTTCAATGACACCGGGATTCTCGTGGCTCAGCCGCTGAGCAAAGACAGCAAACGCCTCCCTGTTATCCAAGGGAGGGCGGAGGGCTTCTAATGCCTTGCAGATGTCCGTCAGCTCCTCGATATGTTGGAGAGAGGGTAGTCGGTTGGAGTATTTCTTCAAGAGGGCCTCATAATCCTTCAGCATAGCTGTGATCAGATCATGCGCCCTTTTCTTGGTCCCTGAGTCGAAGGTCTTCCAATAGTATCCAATGATGAAGAAAGTCGTCTCGATCTGAGCCTCCAGGTCAGCGTCCTCCATGTGGGTGAGCATGGCCTCCCAGCAGGAAAAGGCAGCGGTTCGGAGGTCGTCGGATGCCAGGGCAGAGATCAGGCATGCCGAGATCTGTGGCCGAGCGATGCACATGTAGGACTTGCAGATCTTAATCATTTCCTCCATGGCCCCAAGACATTTCCTCTGTTCTGAGACCAGGGGACGGGACGGCCAAGTTCCATTGATTTCTTCGCTCAACCGTGCGGTTAACCCAAGAGCATGCTGTTGAAGATAGCGCCCAACAACATCCGATTTCTTCGTTTTTCTCTCTTTTTGGTCGGCCAGGAGAAGAGTGGCCATCGTGTAAAGGGCTGCCCGGACCTGCGAAACGGTTAGTTATTCGGCTTCTCAACCCTTCTGAGCCGACTTACCCTTTCCCTGCGTGCCTCATTAGCTCCAGAACCAGCTTTAAAGAGCTCCAAGGCGATAGTTAGGGGATCTGTCCGAAGCAACTCCACTAGCTCGAACCTGTCGATGTGGGAGGAGACATGTCCAAGCAATGACATGGCATGGGCAGCTATGTCGGGAGCATCCTGCACGAGGAGAAGAGCCAGAATACATGGCAGGTTCGCCGGATCCATGCAGGTCTGCCAGGTCTCGGTCTCTCCCCTCGCCTCGGTGATTTTCTGTATCACCTCCCGTTTCTTTGTGAGGACCAGCCAGGGAAGGGCGTGTTTCTGGATCGTAAGCAAGAGATCCAACACGCTCATCTGCATCAGATCAGCAATCAGCCGTGCCGTCTGCGGCTTGGACACTAGGTCTTTGACGGCACAGAACGCTAAGCTTGGCCAAAAAGGCTGGAACAGCTGAACTGGGGTCTCTCCCCGAAACTCAGCAAGATTCAAAATCTCGTTGAAGGCGAGACCGGACAATACCATGTTGCGGTGCCCTAGATACTCGACGAGCTTGATGACGACAAGGTTAAGCTCGTCGGCGGAAACAGCTTTGCCCACCTGGGCCCATGCCATTATGCAAGTCTCTTGCAAATTCTGGGCCGCCTTATCTGAGAGCGACTTGAGGAAACTAAGGGCATTGGTCCTGTTCCGTTTTAAAACTTCCCAGTCAAAATCGGCCGTGGTTGGTTCTGAGACGAACACGATGAGCGCTCGTCCAGCAGCAATACGAAGTTCTCGGATGGAGCTTTGCAGAGATTGTAGGCACCCCTGTCCTGGACCGGATTTCTCCAAGTCCCAAATCTCGCCGCCCGTCGAGTGTCTGGCGATTCGCCGGAGAGCAATCATAGCGAAAACCCGAAGCCGTCTCGACTCCAGGAAGCTGGGAAGCTTAATGACATGGCTGAACATGGCGACCCCGGCAGACTTGGCCGGTTCATGTCGAAGTTCAGGCGGCGATCCGACCGGCTTTGCCTTGGAGCAAAATGCACACTGGAATGCAGGTGTCGCTGGTGGTCCTGTTCGCTTACGCTGCAGGGTATAGTCCGCAGCACATGGAATCCGGGATATGATGTCGATAAGACGGCACTGGTCATCCTCATCCAGATGGGGAAACCGTTCACTGTGGATTGTCAGTGCAAAGCTCGAGCCGTCGGGCGATCGGGGCAACAAACATGATTCGAGGCTCCAGTTCATCCATGGAACTGTCGGGGTCAGCATTCACCAGTCGACACACCTGGCTTGTCAGGTCAAGCAACAGCTTCGGTTGTTGATCATTCAGTTTCCTGCGCTTCGCCGGCGGAACCATGGTATTGCCGCTCTTTCGCCCAATCACCAACTTCTTGACCTGCTGGCGTAGTTCAACGTCAACGAACATAGACGGCCCTGTCCCCTTGTTGGCCAACCCGGGTGGAGAATACGTCGTAACCTCTCTCAGAAGTTGCACAGAACGCTACGAAATTAGACCAGAGACTTGAACAAGAGACAGGCTGAAACATACCCAGATATCAGTTCCCGCCCCAGCGACGGAGTGCTCCGAGGCCAGCCGCTGCGCAGGAGTGATGAGCCCACAGGCTATGAGTCGTGACGTTGGAGCATGTTTGGCTGCGGCTTTTGCCAGTTGGATAAAAGCGAAGCAGAACCGTCGTCTCAGAGATATGCTATCGTCGTCTTCTGCCAGGAACGGTTTGGGATTCTGCAGAAGGTGGGCGCAAACTGCCACCAGAACGGCACTGGCCTTGTGATAAACGGCTTGGTAGGAGCCATGTGTGTCGCTGTGAGCCTCGACTAGATCTGTGGCGATCTCGAGAATGTGGCCGAAAGTGACTCCAACGAGCGTGGGCCAGGTCACCAGGATCGAGCTAAGGGGTTGCAGCGTGTCCAAAAGCCAGACTTGGGTCTGACCGTAGAGGAGAAAGGCTTGCGTGGTTGACTTGGATGTGACTGCACCCTTGATTACTGTCAAGAGGCTCACAGCATGTCGGATCGCGTGTTCGGCATCAGTGAGGGCGAAGGAGCATCCCCGGGGGGCGCCATCAGCGAGCGCCTCGAGGAACGGCTTAGGCGGCAGTTTGATCTCGACGGGACGTTCGTGCGGTGATGGGACGCTTAGCTCCAAACGGGCGAGGATGGCTGTGGCATAAACTCATTAGCTTCTCAGCAACAGCAGGTTGGGAAGCACGCCCTAAGCGGACTCACCACCAAGATTTGTTCGCAAGTAGTCCATCAACCCCCTTCCCAAATCCCATAGCGCCGCATCCTGCGCCGCAAGCACCAGCATATACCGACACAGCTCCTCAATCTTTCTTGATACCCCCAAACATCGCCGGTGCCCCAGCATGCGCAACAACTTGGGCAAGATCCACACCCAAAGAGGCTCCCTGCCCCTCCCTAAGAATGTCTCGCCATCGGTAGTACATTTGAGCACAGTCGGCGTCTCCTTGATTGTAACCTCAAGAAAGTTGACCGCCTTCAGCGCATCCGCCTCTAGCCGCTCCCGGTCGGCAAAGGCATCGTCCAGCTTGAGGCTCTCCAGAAACACGCCGCCGCAGACGTAGACGAGCAAGTGATTATGCTGGACGCGTTCTTCGTGGGTCATGAGACAGTCCGGGTCATTTTTGACTTTCTCGATCGTGGCAAACAAGCGCTTCAATTCGGTGGTCTCGTCTGGTCGGGAGGATTTCGTGGCCGAAGCCGAGATGTTCTCGACGAGCTGTGCAGCAAGGGTCGAAGGCGGCGGTGCCGAAGCTGCACCAAGGGATTCAGCAAAGCCGTGTTGCTGGCCGGGTCGGGCCGCTCTGGCATGCAATTGGAAAGCCATTTGTTGCTAGCATTGTCGGTGCCGTGACCAGAATTAAGTGGTGCCGGCGGTGGATGGTTACCAAGGTGGGGAATCACGCTGGAGAGGAATGGGACGCGCTATTGTCATACTTAACCAAACGCCACAGCACGTGAACTTCATTAACTTGCAACCCTAACCCTAATCTCTCCAGGAACAGCTTGAGCTCCCAGAAACGGCGAAAAGGAGATACAACTCTTGCTCCAGCTCCCAAAGATGGCGGAGACATCGCGTTCCAAATGTCTGCCATTCAAGGCACAGTTTATCCTAAGCCTGCTAAAGACGCCAGCTGCCACCTCCTCCCCAGCCCTCACGTACTACTCAACAGCTTCTCAACCGCCCACTTGACTGAGAAGTTCCTCAAATCCGAGTAGTGCTGCCCAACGCCGACAAACAAGACGGGCACATTAGTGGCGTGCACAATACTGACTAGAGTTCCAACCATGTCCCCAACCGTGTCACACTTCGAAATGATGAAGCCATCCAACGACCGGCCCGATCCAAAGGCCGCATTGAAGTTCCTGGCTTGGGCAACGGAATCAGTGCCAACGAGTGCCTGGGACCAGGTCAGCTTCTCTCGCGGCTTCAGGGCAGAGAAAAGGGCATAACATACCTCACCAACCATCAAAATCTTGTCAGGCTGCGCAAACTTGGCAAACTTCTCCAGCGACGACATGAGCCGCTGGTCGTTGTGCCGCCGCCCGGCCGTATCAATCAAGACGACATCAAACCCCTCCTGCGCGGCAAAGGCCACCGCATCCTTGGCCACAGCGGCAGCATCCTTGCCATAGCCCTTCTGGTAGAGCTCGACTTTTCCTCCCTCACGGGCCGTCAGCTCCTTGAGGTTCCGCACGTGCACGGCCAGTTGCTCAACAGCGCCGGAGCGGAAGGTATCGCCGGCGGCAATGAGAACCTTGTACTGGTTCTGCAAGAGGAAGAAGCAAATTTTGGAGAGGTTGGTGGACTTGCCTACGCCGTTGACGCCAACAATGGAGATGACGTAGGGGCGAGCCTTGCGAAGCGAGGCGGCAGGCGGGGAGGTGATGGAGTCGATCTCGCGGAGGAGATCGAGGGAAGAGGTCGGGGTAAGCATTCTGGTGAGGGATGCTTCCATGGCTTTTTGTATCCTGGAGTTAATGCCTGGAAAGGACGTTAGTGGTGGGCTTCAAGGGGCAGAACATGGTAGGGGGGACGCACTCTCAAAATTGCCCGTCTTGACTCCAACGAGCTCCATCTCAACACCCTCACACAACCTTACCGCAGCCTCTCGCGCAACGTTCTTTTTGAGGAGGTGCTCCTCCATCCCTTTCATTGCTTTCTCCAAATCCTGTTTGGTCAACACCTTGCCGCCAACCACGTTCCTGAAGAGGCCCCCAATTGCGCTCAGACTCGACCCAACAATGCCACTCTGAAAATCGGTTTTTGCCGCGGCATTCTTGGCATCAGCATCTGCCAGGATAGAATGGACTTCGTCCCCGAGATCACGAAGCACAAACTTCCCCTTAGTCCTCGAACCCCATGTTGAGGCATCCACCTCTTCGACGGCTGCAGGCCTCGCACCAGCTTCGGCTTCACTGTCGCTTGTCACGGCGGGAATCGAATAGTCGAGTTGGACATCGTCGCGTTCGTCGGCGAGTCCATCGGCATCCCACTTCCTTCCGCGTTTGACCGTCTTGGCCGGCTTCCCCTTCCGCGCCGTGGCCTCATCGCCGGATGACACTGGCGCCGATGGGCTGTTCTGAATCTTTCTCGCTCGCCTGGATAGCTTTCCGCCAGGCCCGGCCTTGGCCACTAACAGGTGGCTTGCGCCGGGCGTAGCGGGGCGGGACGCATTGGGCGTCGCAGTCGGGCTGGACTCGGCCGATGGGTTGGTCTGGGCTTTTTGGTTGTGCGCGAGACTAAAGGATAGGGGCGGTCCGTCTTCTCCCGTCCCTGATATTTCCTCGACTATGAATGCGCGGGCGTCTGGCTTCCCGCTGCCCTGTTCTAGCTCTTGAAGTTGCTGGTCAAAGTACTCGTCGAACTTGACACACTCGACAATCATTGTATTCGGCTTCTTGAGCTGATCGCCGTAGAGACTGACGAAGATGGCCTTGATGTTGTCGACGAGCTTATCAATCCAGGGCAGGTGCAGCAGAGAGCGGTAAACTGCCTGACGAATGATCAGCTAGGGGATCAGATTCTCCTGGCGCCGTCGAAAACTAACAACAAAGATGATGCCTAATTCCTTGCTGAATGTCCACCGTAAGCTATGCTGTTCATGCTTGTATGGTGGATTCACGGTGGCAGATGCGCCATCCTTTGCACCCGCGACGGTGCTCTTCTCCTCGATGAATACATCCGAGATAAAGTTGTCGACGACCGAGGGGCTGACGGGTGCATAAGTCCTGGACCAGAGGACCACCCCGGATGTGCTGATAATCTCAAATGCATCCAACATGGTAAAGCGCAGGTCAAGCAATCTGGCCTTTTTGCAATGTCAATCTCGGCGGAGGAGGACTGTGATTTGGAAACCTGTCAGGTACGGCGGGACCGGGAGTTTCAGGCCCATGTGAAATGGTGCCACTGATTCGGTCCTGGGCGCTGTGGGTATCGATAACATAGGGTCTGCCGGAGATTAACCGGCGGCCTTGCTGCCAAGTTCAGGGCACCTCATCAGCGTTTGGGGGGACGGTAAGCAGCAGGCTGCTAAAAACACCCGTGGACATGTCCAGAAAACAGACCAGCTGAGCTGAAGCATTTAAACTCCGTCGCACACCGAGGATTGTCTTGACCACAAACCGTCGTTTTCCTACAACAACGCCTACAATAAGGCTTCCTCCGCAACATTGCAATCGAATTGCGCCGACCCTCAACCCTCTCTACTCTGGGCACGATGCAGCGAGCAACCTACGGACGCTCCCCTCCCCTCCATCACCCCGTCCCGCAACATGTCTCGACTGTTCCGCAACTCCGATCCCCACCTCCACCGACATCACAACCCATTGCTGGCTATGATGGAAGCCCATATCCGCAGCAACAACCTCAGCCGCCGCTGCCGGGGGCCAACATGTTCGGACAGTACGGCAACTTCATAAACGACCCAGCGGCTCAGTTAGCATCGCAGTTCGGCCAGACGGCATTCAGACAAGGGCAGGAGTACATTGAACAAAATGTGAGCCTAACTACGCTTCCCCGCACCCACCATACGCCTCAGCCCACATTTGACTGACTCAACCGCGCACTAGGTAAACCGCTTCGTCAACGTCTCGGCGCTCAAGCACTACTTCGTCGTGACCAACTCATACGTAATAAACAAGCTCTTTCTCGTGCTATTCCCCTGGCGGCACAAACCGTGGACAAGGCGACAAGCCGCGGGACCCTCGGGCCAGGAGGCCTGGTACCTCCCGCCGCGCGACGACATCAACAGCCCAGACATGTACATCCCCGTCATGTCCCTCGTCACCTACATCTTCCTGCAGGCGCTCATTTCCGGACTCAAGGGCCAGTTCCAGCCGGAGCTGTTTGGGTACATCGCGACGACGGCTCTGGTGGCGGTGGTGGTGGAGATCTTGGGCCTGAAGCTGGGATGTTACCTCCTGAGCGTCTCGAACGAGTCGCAGCTGCTGGACCTGGTCGCCTACTCGGGCTACAAGTTTGTGGGGGTTATTGTGACGATCAGCATCGCTGAAATCGTCAACGGCGGGAAAGGAACTGGCGGGTGGATTGGGTGGACGGTGTTTATCTACACCTTCCTGGCCAACTCACTCTTTCTGGTGAGTCGCTGTGTGAAGAACCATTGGCTGGGGCCGGAACTGACATATGTCGCAGATGCGCTCTCTGAAATATGTCCTCCTGCCAGAAAACAACAGCGACAGCAGAGGCCCAATGCAGACGATGCACCCGCTCGATTCGCGGACAAAGAGGAACCAGCGCACCCAGTTTCTGTTTTTCTACGCTTATATCGTCCAGCTCTTCTTCATGTGGATCCTCTGCCGGTCATGAAGCGGCTGGTTGGATCTAGTGTACGGGAGATACGCATCGGACCGTAGGGATAGGAGTTAGAGGATGAGGAATGCGGACTGTACAAGAGGCGACATGAAGCGTACTCTACGTTGGCCATCGACTCGTGGACAGATGCAGCACTTGTCAGTCACTGATGTGGATAGCAACCCATGGCTTGCCGACGCTCAAAAGAATAGCAAGCGAACGAATTCGACAGGCATTGAAAACTGTATTGAATGAAGCATCATCTCCGCAACGTAATCAACACTGCACTCAGTTTGTCTCCCAGGTCCCGGCTGAAGCCTCATACACTCGAGTTGAAGCTTAAGAGTCAGGACTTGAGAGAGACAGCTTGGCGAGTGGGTCCGACACAGCGTTACACTGGCAGCAATTTCGTCTCAACAGACGGCTCAAAACACATCTCATGTTCGAAACTCATACTCTCACAAAAAGGTGGACATTGTAGGCCACTCTCAGATCGCTTGCCTAACTTTCCAACAGCAAGGCATCGTAAGAACAGTCATGGCACCCCCAATTGTGACCGCCACTATCCAAACCGCGGTCATCTCAGCCTTCTCCAATGTTCTCGCCCAAGCCATCACCGCTCATCAGTCCAACGTTCGTCCCCTCCGACTCCCACCAACTCAAAATACTAACTCTTCCTACAGACCCCGCTGGTAATAGATTGGATCCCCGTCTTCCAATACGCCCTCTTCTCGCTCCTCTCCACCCCACCCAACTTCCTCTGGCAGGACTATCTCGAGTCGACCTTCCCGGCCTACCACATGGCGCCGACGCGCGAGGCAGTCGCGTCCGCGGCTGCGTCCAACGACGCCGAGCTCGACGACGAGGCGGCACACGGCCGCATCGTCGAGCCCAGGCTCAACAAGCGCAATACCGTCGTCAAGGCCCTGCTGGACCAGACGGTGGGCGCCGCCGTCAATACCATCCTGTTTAGTCTGTTTATGCATGGTATCAGGCGGGGCATGGCCCATCACTATGCGCCCGGGGCGGGTGGGAAGGCCGGTGCGGGGTTGGGGTCTCTGTTCGGGAGGGATGCAGTGAGGTACGACGCGGTGGAGTGGCCGAGCGTATGGGAGGCGGCCAAGGGGGAGTTCTGGGGCCTGATCTTGGCCGGGTGGCGGTTCTGGCCGCTGGTCAGTTTGATCAACTTTGTGTTTCTGACCAGCATTGAGGCGCGAAGCTTGGTGGGTGCGTTGGCTGGGTTGGGTTGGGGAATCTATCTCAGTTTGATGACGGCGCAGTAATGAGAAGGTGGGAGTGTCTGGGGTTCCTGATGTAGAAAGCATGCGTTGCCATGTATGGCTAGAGTCCAGTTCATTTTAACGTGGTCTAGGACAGCAGTTGGTGCTTGGTGGAGTTGACAAGCCAACGTTCACTTACGCACATGGATTAGACATTGAATACAGCTGGTGTTCTGAGTTGGTGTAAACACATGGTCTGCGGATCGCATATGGTCAGCACATGGAGCCAAAGAAGTCCTTTTTGAGAAGATATCGGTCTTCAAACTCGGTACTGTGGGACTCCTACAGTTCCATCATTCGTACTCTGCCCATGAGGATTCGACACATCACACATGAGGCCAGGAAGCATAAGGCACCTTGGTCAACCTTGTTCCTGTACAGACTAACTCGACTACCTTATCCGAACTTCAAACCCCTTCCAAATATCCAAGCGTACATTCTACTACCACAATACCCAGGAAACCAAAAAGCAATCAATGCACAACGGAAGAGACGGTGGTATATTCTGTCACTCAAACAACGAACTCCTCACAGTAATCCCCCAGGGGAAACGAGCTGACTCAATATATATTTCCCCTCATTGACCTCATCCATCATTCCCCCCTCATGCCTCGTCTTCAACATCAGCTGCTACAGCAGAAATGAAGGGCATCCTATATACCATGACACAAGTGCAAATCAAGCAGCCATCAAGCGCAACTCGCCACGTTTGACGAGCTCAACCATTGTGCGCTAACACCGAAGTAAATCAAAGAGAGGAAAGAAGTGGACGAAAATGGAATAACATGCGTCTGGGTCAAGTAAATCAGTCAAGAGGAAAATGACACAGATCAAGATCTCCATGGCGCAGTCAGCGGTGAAGGAAGAAGGAAGGCACAAAACGGAAAGCAGCCCCAGCTCCCGAAGAACAAGAATCAATAAAGAGAGGAAGAAAGAAAGGTTCCCGCTGGAAACAACCCTGGAATGTTACTAGTACACCTCCCCACCCTCGATCCGCACTGTCATCTATCCAACACCCTTTCTTTTCTCCTCTTCACCAAATCACACCCGCTCCCTTACCTCCCACTAGCACTATCCGGTTGGCTCTCATCCAACCTTTTCCTCCAATCCGCCAAGCTCTCACTCAACCCCAAGCCGACGCTCTCGTCCTTTTTGGCCGTCGCGGGCGCCGTCACGGGGCTGGTATCGAAATCAAAGGCATTGCTCAGCCGATAGTTCTTGTTGGTCGCCTCCCAGTGACTGCGCAGCGTCTCGAGCTCGTTGGCAAGATTATCCAGCGCGGCACTGTTGCGCGCATCGCCCAAGCCACTTGCGCCGATCACACCCGCGCCGCCGGCGGTGGGCGTGGAGCCGTACAGACTCTCGGCTTCGCTGGCGGTGGACTCCTGGCGCGCGTGCCCTTGCACGTGGCGGTGGATAGTGTTGCCGTTGGTGGCGCCGCTCCCATGCCCAGGGCTGGCGAGGCCGGCAGACTCAGGGTTCGTAATCATCTGCCTGCTGCGGCGGCGGTAGTTGTCGAGTGAGAAATCGACCTGGTCGAGTAGCGTGCTGACCTTGTGCTCGGCGTCTTGAGCGCGGCGTTCGAGGAGGGCGTTTTCTTGCTGGAGCTGTTCCAGGTCCCGCTTCGAGGTCTCCAGGCGTCGCCGGGCTTCCTCTGTCGTCTGCAGAGCCGAATCACGTTCGCGCTGCGCGTCGGCGAGTTCTTGGCGGATGGACTGGATGTGTTGCTCAAGCTTGGAGGCGGTTCCGCTCAGTTCGGACTGGAGCCTCTCGATCTCGCTCTGCATGGTCTTTTGCTGTGTCTCCCAATCTGGGGGCGGTTGCGTGCTCTGGGATGACGAGCCTTGGGTCTCGAACTTCTCCTCCAACTCGACCAACTGCTCCTTCAAGCGGGTGTTCTCGGTCTTATAGCGCGCTAGCTGGTCCTTGAGCTGCTTCAGCATCTTTTCAGTGCCCTTGACGTAGTGCACGGCCGACTGATAATCGTTCTCGAGCTGCGCGAGCTTGTCGCGGTACGTTGCTTCGGACTCCTGCGCTTGCATCGCAGCCTGGTTTTTGGTTTCTTCGAGGGACGCCTGTGCGGCAAGGAGCTGCTGTTCAAGCTCACGTAGACGCAGTTGCTCGGGAGAGCCCTCACGAGGGCTGGTGCGTGATCGAGCGGCCGTCGTTGGGGAGATGCCGCGCTCACCGAGGATATCTTTCAAAGCGTTGTACTGCACAAGCATGGCGTTGGTCTCGAGTTGTTGCTTGGACAACTGCTGCCTGAGATCTGAGTTGGCGGCTTGCAGAGACTGCGTCTCGCGGAGAGCGTGCTGTAGTTGTCGACGGATCGAAACACCCTCACGGCTTGCCTGTTCTTGGTATACCTCCAGTCCAGCGATGCGCTCCTCGGCACCGCGTAACCTGTCAGCCGCGCTGTCTGCTTCCTGTTGGTACTTCCGAACCAAGGCATTCGCAGTGTCAACCTGGCCCTGAAGAGCACGGATCCGTTCATTGTCGCCCTTGTCCGACTTCGAGGCATCCCTCAAGGATAGCTTCTCCAGACCAGCCATCACCGCTTCGCGATGCAGCCGGGCCTCGTTGGCATGCTGTTCCGCCAGCTCCTCTGCATCCCGCAAGCGCTGTGTAGCAGCAACAAGCTCCGCGATTCGGGCTTCGTGTTCGGCCTTGAGCTTGTTAAGCTTCGTTTCTACTGCCACCCTGAGAGACCTCTCCTCGTCCAATTTCCGCTCCAGCAAAGCCTTGGTCTCGGCAGAAGCGGCCACGGCCCCGCGCAAGGACTCAAATGTACCCGCATGTTCCTTGGAACTCCCGACGACCTCATCGTATTTGTGCTCGAGCTCATCCCTTTCGACTCTGAGCATTTCCGCTTTGGCGACGGCTTCCGCGGCGACGACCGACTGTTCCCTAGCTTCCCGCTGCGCCATGTGCAATTCAGCCTTAAGTCTCTCGAGCTCGGATGCGTTCTGCTGCTTGTAGTTTTCCAGGTCCGTCATTCTATTTTGCGCCGCATTAGCCGTATCCTCGGCCAACTTGCGTGCCTTCCTCTCCGCCTCGTACTCGGTGCTGAGGCGGTCTAGCTGATCCTGGAGTTCTTTCTGGGTGTTGAGCGCATGCGCCAGCTTTCTGCCAATCTCACTGGCACGATCGTCCACATCCTTCTCACTGTCGAGCTGCGGCGTGCTAGCCGCACTTCCCCCTATGCGCGCCGCAAGCTTTGCCTTGGCGTAGACCGCCTCCTGAATAGCAGCATCTCGTTGCTTCTCGGCCTCGGCGATCTGCTTGGCGGCGAGAACTGCTTGCTTGTCGACGGACGCCTGTACATTGGCCAGTTCGGTCCGCATGGCAAGCAACGCTTCGATGAGCGGTTTGTCATCGTCATCGAAGGTATCCATAGCTCGGCTGTCGAGGATCGGGCTCATCGACGCATTTGGCACGTAGCCAGCTTTCCGAGCCAGTTCTAGCTCGGATGCATACCACGCATTGCGGTTCCTTGCGGAATCGAGCTCCTTAAGCAGCGCAACAGTTTGTGAGTTTCTGGTTGACGATCTCCTGGACAGAGGGTTGCTAGCTTGTCGGGTCGGCGGTGGAGGAGATGCCGGTCGGTTTGCTACCTGCCTGATAGCTGGTTCAGTTGAGCTGTCAACAGATCCTTGACTCCGCCCGTGTTTGGTCGGCTTAGGCCTCGGAGCATCAGCTGCTTGCACTTCAGCTTGCCTCGACGAGGAGCGTGGTGGGTTCTGATTGGGAGGAGTACGCCTCCCGTTTGCGGTAAGGCTCTCACCCTCCTTAACGGCGGAAACCTGCTGCGAAACTGGTGATGTCACCGGGGAGATGAGGGGCTGGTCGGGCCGTTCTAAGGAGGAGGTTCTTGGGCGTGGAGGAGCGGCAGTAAGGCCGGGCTTTGGGGGTTGCCCTTGCGGCGGCGGCCCTGCAGACCGGGGAAGCCGGGAAGAGCCATTCAGGGGTCCATTCAAGGGGCCGTTCAAGGGTCCATTCGTTGGGCTGACTTCGCCGGTTGGAGACTTGTAGCCCATGGCATTGGAGACTCCTGTCTGCCTCCTACCATCTGGTGGACCGTTGGATCCCTCGCGTGAGGGCGTGCTCCGGACAGCACCCGGCGCTGTAACATCGCTGGGTCTTCTGGTTCCCTGTGCACCCCGGGTGGCGCCGGAATCGTTCGGGTATCGGATCTTAGTTGTATCCAAGCAGTACACAAGCGCCAAGTCGTTAACTGCGGTAGCGGCGGAACTCGGTTCTCCTCCGACGACGACAATGGTCCTGCCGACCGCGGTCATGCTATGGCCAGATCTAGGTGAGGGCGACGGCCCCATGTTTTGGAAGGTATACCAACGGCGGGAGGTGATGCGAAATGCGGCCAAATCGCCAAGGTCCGCACCATCTTGCGTGCGGCCGCCGAAGATGTACATGACGTCGTCGACCAGAGCCGCGGCATGGCCCTCTCGAGGTGACGGGATGTAGCCAATGCAATCCAACTGTGACCAGGAGTTTGTCATGGGGTCATAGCACCAGACATCATTAAACCACTGGAAACCGTTCGTGCCTCCGAACCTAGATGGTTTTGGTGAGCGGTGCGGTTTGCCTCTCAGAATGACGCATTTGATACTTACAGGTATAGCTTATCGTTAAAGGTTATCATGGAATGATTCGTTCTCGCCGCAGGTATCTTAACCAGTGGCATACTCCCACTGTCGCTGCTGGCAATGAGCATTTCCCAGCGATTGTTGGGCATCTGCAGCTGGTTCAAGTCAAAGGCCGCGAGGTCATTCATAAAGTACCCCTCGACCTGACCACCAAAGATGTAAATCTTGGAGCCCAAAATATTCAGTGAATGGCCGTATCGACCACTAGGGCGCGGCCCTGGGGGCAAGGCTCTTGACCATTGCCTCGTTGCTATGCTGCGTCAGCAATTCCGCTCAACGGAAACACTGCATCGTCATCCTTACATGTGTTCAACAGGTACAGGGTCTCGTCAAGGACGTCGGTCTCCTCTATTTTGGTGTCTCCGCCAAACACGATGAAAGCGTTCCCTACGAGTAAGCTCGCATGGCCAACCCTCGGCCCCGGCCCCTCGGCTGTGGTTGCGAGGGGGTAGCAGGCCATGTTTGCGCCGGCTTCGATGAGCCACAGGTCGCCCTTCACTGTTGAGCTGTTAATCAAGCCGCCCATCACATAGATATCGCCCTCCTTGGACGAAACCGAGTTGACTGCGGCGCCGTATCTGGGGAACGGGCTTGGGTGTGACGAGGTGTAAGTAAGCCGCCGCTGCGACCACGGGTACAGAGAGGCGTTCAGGTTTGGGTTCATTTGCGGAGGCGCAACATTGCGAAGCTGTGACAACGATAAGTTAGCGACCAGAGCTCTCGGTCAACCGGAGGGAAGCGCCGTGGATTGGCCACCACAAAGCGCAAGAGAAGCGTACCGGCGGTTCGCCTGGAGGTAGCTGCTGCTGCATCTGGGGTGGCGTCTGCTGTTGCTGGTCTAGGCTCTGGCCTCGTGTACGGGCGTAGGCCTGGTCTGGGCTGCCCATGCTGCCGTCATTCTCTGCGGAATTGACACTACCGGTCGGCGTGGATCGAGATCCCTTCTCTTCCCTCACACGCGCCGCCGCACCCCCTATCCCTGAGCCGGAGCCCTGCGATCCATCGCGGCTCGTGAGACCCCGATCCTGGTGCTGGTGCTTCTTGGATTTGAACAGAAAAGCCATGGCGGGATTGCGGGACGGGCTCGCACGGCTTCAGCACCGCGGGGATGCTCGCGGAACGTAGTTGCGACGTCGGATGGATTCGCTGGCGGTTGCGTCTCGATCAGCCGCACGTCACTCAATCGCAATGGACTGCAGCGACGTCGTGCCGAGCGGGATCGTGCAGTAATCCGGCGGGTGCCGTTGGCGGGAGGGTGCAGAGACACCTACGGGAACAATGGCGTAGGGTCGCCGGCGATGGAGTCGACGCTCGGGGGCAGAGATGGCTGGGAGAGCATCGGTTTCGGTGGAGTCGGCGCAAGCAGAGAGCGAGCTAGATTTTGGTATCAACCTCCTGTCTTTTTTTTCCGTTTATGCGGGATCCCTTGTCCGCGAGAATCGGGTCCCCAAAACGGATAGCTCCTAAAAGGAAGAAAGCGAATAAAAAAGCAAGCAGACTCAAGTAACTAGGCCCCGAAGCCAACTATCTTTTTGTCGCCGAAACGGCTGGACATCCACAGTCAAGCAGACGGGATGGATGTGGAGGAGGCGAAGTTCGATGCGCCTGGATCGGGAGAGGATGAAGCTGGGGCCCCAAAGCCCAGTTTCGATGCAGCAAAGCCAAAGCGCGAACCAAGGGGACTTGTTAGAGTACGGATTAGAGTGGAAGAGCAACAGGTGGAGCCAGCCCCATAACGGACCATGGGCGGAGTACCTTGCATCCTCCGCCTTGCAAGAAACCCTCCAATCACGCCGCGTTTCCTGTTCCAGTTTCCAGCTCCAGGCTTTCTGAGGTGTCCTGGCTCGACAAATCGGACAAAAAAGGGGCAGGAGAACGGCATTTCAGGGGCTGCACTGCTCAGCACATTCAGCAACACCTACCTAACTCAGCGCATTATGTAAACGTGAGGCGCTGTCGAAAAGCCGAATTTCCATTCGTATGGCCCTGATTCTATTAATAAAGCTGGATTCCTTCCAGCTGACACCTGCAGAGGGTTTTGTTGCTAGAGCACTGCTGGTCTTGACAGGTAGATTTGCAGTCAACTGCACATTAACCTGGCCGGGTTTTGCAACAGGACTTTCTCGCTGTTAATCATGCCATCATTTCCAGTTGATTGAGACGAGAGAGAATGCTCTGGGTCATTCATTCACATTAAGGTTTGTGAACTTCTAGGTAGGTATACCTACAGTACAGTACCGTAGCATTGGTCCTCCTGGACACGAACCCAGTTGTTTCATGTTCGTCTTGGCGAGTGATGTACGGAATACCTACACACATATCCGTGGTACCTTACGGATACAAATCTATAGCATCTACCTCCGCTGAGCGAGTAAGTGAGCTGGGCTACAATGACAGGATCAGTGAATCAGTGCTGCCTAACTGTCATACCTTGCCTTACACTTTAACAAGCAAGTCATCATGATATTGGTACGAAGAACTTACAGCTGGACAGAGTATTGCCACATGTTTCCCTGTCCGTAGCATTTCGGTAGTCGTCCGTCCTGATGTTTTTCAAGTCTTCTGAATGAGACAATCATGATATCAGCTGCCACACATCCTCAGTCCTTCTCAGCAACAGTGACTGCTGCAGTAAGCGTTTTTGATACTGGCGAAGCAACCAGTGCTCGCTGAACCTGGAAGCTCGCGAAGGTTTAAACTGACATGGGATAGATCACGTGGGCATACTCCGGCAAGATAAGGCGAGGCTAAGCTGTGCCGCTCATGGCCATCATTGGCGGGCTTCGCTCCACTCTTTCCTGGGGCGGTCAAGCTGCCAAGTCCTGCCTCTGGACGCGCTTAACGACGTCAGGAGCATCTCCCAGTGACGGTAACTTTCAAGTCGATTCTCTACTGTGCGTCTGACTTATCCCATCGCTAGAGCAGCGATAGGACGAGAATCCCACATTTTCTTTTAACACAACAAGGAGCCGCGACTGTCACCTTGTGTTTAATGCCTTCGTTTTAACATTCTGCGGTTGTTTGCTGCATTTCGGATCTTGAGACAAGGGAGAACAAACAGCCCGTAGTCTTCGCCCGCCCTCGCTCGATCCGGTCAGACTGAACGAGACCCGGTCACCCCTCGAGGCCGACTTCTGATCAACTGCTTCACGGGACCATGACTGCGCGCTAACAATATTCCATCATGACGGCGATTTCTTACAACGCGCCGCAATCCGCGCAGTTCGGCCGCGGGCAGGGCTCAGCTCAATTCTCCAGGACCGCGGCTCTTGCTGCCTCGGCTGCTTCGTCTCCCGCCCGCCACCCCGGCTCATTCTCTCGCCAGACAACCCACGCAATCTCGCAACTCCAAGCCCAGTACGCTGAGGCATCAGCGTCGGCAGCCGCTTCGGCCTCGCAACAAAGCGACTACCTTCACAACGGCTCAGCTGGCCACGCTCCCACGAGGCCAGGTCAGCCGCTCGCCAACGGCAGACGCAGGTCATCGCCTGCACCTCCCTCTTCGCGACGGCCCTCGAGCGCTCCCGGTGACCAGCAGCCTGCTCCCTCAAGCAGCCGAGCTAGCGGCGGGCCTGTCGATGAGACAAACCACTCCGCTGTTCCACGACCAAGTAAACCGCCATTACTCCGCTCCAAAAGCGAGCACGGCGGGCGCTATGACGACGCCGACGACGAACCGGACGAGGGATTTTACGACTTGGGTGCCAGACATGGATTTGAAGACCATTACTTGTCCGAGGATATCATCGCCCAGCTTGCAAGTGTAAGTGATCGTTCCGTTAAGGTTTGCCTGCCTTGGATCGTAGTCGGACGGCCAGCGCATCGTGGCCCCCCAATCGCATTCCCGGGTCCGCATCAATCTCTTGATGTATTCTAGCTACATTCCGGAAGCCCCGTGTTGCCAGGGTTCACGCGGCTGTTCCTCGCATGGTCTTGCAGCGCAGCGGGGTGCCGACATCAAAGGCCCGCAAGATGGTGGAGACGAACTGTGACTGACGCTCAGCAGAATTGGTACATGTACTTCACCGATAAGCGGCATGAAACGACAGGCAAGCCCAAGGAACCCGCCTTTGAACTTCAGGATTGGCGAATGCGCGATCGGCTGAAGACCGTATCCGCTGCCATCGCCGTCTGCTTGAATATCGGAGTGGAGCCCCCAGACCAACTGCGCACCACTCCGGGCGCCAAACTCGAGGCCTGGCAAGACCCGACGGTTCCTCCAGTAGGCAAAGCTCTCGAGAACATCGGCAAGTCACTGCAGGCCCAGTACGAGACACTCGCTCTCCGCACCCGCTACAAGCAGTACCTTGATCCCTCTATTGAAGAGACCAAGAAGTTCTGCATATCCCTTCGCCGGAATGCTAAGGACGAGCGAGTTCTATTCCATTACAATGGGCATGGAGTACCCAAACCGACTGCTAGTGGCGAGATATGGGTTTTCAATAAGAACTACACACAGTACATTCCCGTGTCGCTCTATGACCTTCAGCACTGGCTGCAAGCTCCTACGATTTTTGTCTGGGACTGTTCTGAGGCTGGAAACATCCTCAAGAACTACCACAAGTTTGTTGAGAAGCACGAGCAGGAGGACGAGGAACAGGCGCTCAGGGACGCCAACTACGAAAAGACTAATTACCGCCCCTACATCCATCTCGCAGCTTGCGATTCCAAGCAGAACCTCCCGACAAACCCGCTGCTCCCAGCCGACCTGTTCACCTGCTGTCTAACCACCCCCATCGAAATGGCTTTGTGGTTTTTCGTCTTACAAAATCCACTGCATGTCAATCTCACCCCTGAGAGGGCGAGGAAGTTGCCCGGGAGGCTCCAGGAACGGCGGACGCCCTTGGGAGAGTTGAACTGGATTTTCACAGCCATCACGGACACCATTGCCTGGACGACTCTCCCCCGACCTCTGTTTCGCAAGTTTTTCCGGCAAGACTTGATGGGTAAGTTCCACTGGTTGGTTCTCTTGTGTATGCAGCGTCCTAACTTCAATTTCCAGTAGCGGCACTGTTCCGCAACTTCCTCCTCGCTCAACGCATCATGCCTGTGTACGGATGCAACCCCCAGTCCTACCCTGAGCTGCCCGATACCCGCGGCCATCCACTTTGGGAAAGCTGGGACCTCGCTGTGGACATGGCCCTGTCGCAGTTGCCCATGCTGGAGAGAAGGGAAACCGAGGGAATCCCGTACGAATACGTCAACTCGACCTTCTTCACAGAGCAGCTCACTGCTTTCGAGATCTACTTGACTAGGGGCGATGCCGTCTCGCAAAAGCCTCCGGAGCAGCTCCCCGTTGTACTCCAAGTCCTTCTGAGCCAGCAACATCGGCTCCGAGCCTTGATTCTTTTGGGGAGGTTCCTTGACCTTGGCCCATGGGCTGTGCAGCTGGCTCTGAGCATAGGAATCTTTCCTTATGTGCTCAAGTTGCTGCAGTCCGCTGCGCAGGAGCTCAAACCTGTCATGGTATTTATCTGGACCCGCGTGCTGGCCGTCGACATCTCGTGCCAGCAGGATCTTATCAAAGACAATGGCTACACCTATTTTGCGGCGATCATGAAGCCCCAGGAGACGTTCCCCGTTGTCGGCGTGGTGGTTCTGGATGAGCACAAGGCCATGTGTGCATTCATTCTTGCCATGCTGTGCAAGAGTTTCAAGCCCGGCCAGGTTGTCTGTAACTCGACCGACATCATGACCTACTGCCTGCATCACCTCGAGCACCCGGAAAATCCTCTCCTTCGGCAGTGGTCGTGCCTCTGCATCAGCCAGCTGTGGAGGGATCTACCAGAGGCGAAGTGGAGAGGCATTCGTGAAAACGCCCACCATAAGCTCGCGTACCTAATCAAGGACCACTGTCCCGAGGTTCGCGCCGCCATTGCGCATGCCATGACTACCTTCCTCGGTATCCCTGATCTGACCGATGAGGTGGCGAGAATCGAGGAGGGCATCGCCTGGGCCATGCTGGAACTGGCCACAGACGGCAGTCCCATCGTTCGAAAGGAGCTTCTCGTCTTCCTTTCGCACTTCGTCCTTCGCTACGAGAGCAAGTTCTTGGTCGCTGCATATGAACACCTTCTGGAGGAGAAAGAGTACCAGCTTTCCTCTCCGCCAGAGGACGGCCTCGACCACAAGATGGGATTGCATTACGCCAGGAGCGAGAACCGCGAGAGAGACGGGACCATCAAACCCACCGCGTTTGGTGTGGCACATGACTCCGTGTTTGCAGCGTGCTGGAAGCACATCAACATCCTGAGCGTCGATCCCCACCCGGAGGTACAAAGGGACGCAACCATCATCCTGGACTACGTCCACCATGCGCTACTGCACTCGCCTGTCGGCGCGCAGGCACAGAGTCTTATGGATGACATCCTCCGGCGCGCTAGGAAAGTGTCGAGAGGTGACATGAGCCAGAGAACCGGCATGGCTGGCACCCGCACTGCTGCTGCGCAGCCGATGCCGTCCCCTGGTCTTCTTAAGCGGACTGCCAGCTACCTCTTTGGACCGCTCATGGGGACCTTGGAACCTTCGTCCAACGCTCCGACGCCGCCCGCAACCCCTGGGTTGCAGAGGTCGTTTTCTCAACGGAGCCGTAAGGGCCCGAGCTTGGAAAACGCTCCGCCAGAACAGCACGATCAGGCCGCGCCTCCATCGAACTACCACATTGCAAATGAGCCGCTGTGCGCCGGATACAAGGAACGCAAACCCAGAGAGATTCCCGCCCTTCCTTTGGTCAGTACCTTCTTAGACTGGTCCACCGAGTACTTCCGCGAGCCCCAGATGAAGGCGCCCGAGGCCGAGGAGCCTGGTAGCAACGAATACAACGAGCGGCTATGGCGGCGGGCTCGCAACGAGACTGTTCTTAGAGAGACACAGCCGCAGAAGACTCACGCCAGGACGCACAAGTGGAATAGCCAGGTGGGTGTTATCCTCACCGGCTCACAGCCGTCCAAGATGACGTTCCACCAGTTTGAGAACCATATTGCGGTTGCGGATGACGGCAACACCGTGACAATTTGGGACTGGAAGAGCAATACTCGAAAGAGCCGCTTCTCCAACGGCAACCCGGAGGGATCCAAAATCTCCGACATGAAATTCATCAATGAGGATGACCAGGCTCTCCTCATGACGGGCTCGTCCGATGGTGTCATCCGCATTTATCACAACTACGACAGCGATACCGATGTGGAGCTTGCCTCGGCGTGGCGCGCCCTTACCCACATGGTTCCTTCCAACGTCAATTCTGGAATGGTCTTCGAGTGGCAGCAGGTCAACGGTCAGGTGTTGGTCGCTGGCGACGAGCGGGTCATCCGGATATGGAACGCGGGCCACGAGATCTGCACACATGAGATTCCCGCGAGATCTGGTTCGTGCGTGACGTCGTTGACGTCGGACCAGATGACGGGCAACATCTTCATCGCCGGTTTTGGCGACGGCGCCATCCGCGTCTTTGACACGCGCTTGAGACCCCAGGAGAGCATGGTCCGCAAGTGGAAGGATGAGAGCCGGCAGTGGGTCCGCTCTGTGCACATGCAGCGCGGCGGCCAGCGTGAGCTTCTGTCTGCCAGTCGCAATGGCAAGGTTCATCTTTGGGATATCCGCATGGACCAGCCGCTCAAGACATTCCAGACGACCAAGGATGTGCTGCGGACAGCCAGCACACATGAACATCTGCCTGTATTTGCTGTGTAAGTGGGATCCTCTTTACCCGCGTTCTTGCTGTGTTGCTAGAGGCTAACAACCCTTTGTTTTCAGTGGTACATCCGCCCACGTAATCAAGATCTTTGACTTTGACGGACATGAAATCACCCGCCTCGAGCCATACTCTGGCTTCCTGGGACACAGGGCCGCCCCGCTTGCTGCCACCGCTTTCCACCCGCATCGCATGCTCCTGGGCTGTGCCGCCCGTGGAGATCACCATGTCAGCCTCTATTCCTGTGGTGGCGAACGGGTTGGTCCATTCTAAGGAACCAGGTCCTTTTTCTTTCCCATATCCAGGTTCACTCTCCTTATTTCCGGCGTCTCCTTTGGGCATTGGGTTCTGGTGGAGGGATACCTAGTGGCGTTCTGGGGGTAGCGAGAGGCATGCTCTGATAATAGGGGCTCGAGTTGTTGTTCAAGTACTGCTGTGCTATGGCACGAAGTGATGGAATACCTGCCATGATTTTGTAGGATTTGGTTGACGCGTAGGGATGTTTGTGCTGAGGCAGATATTCTACTTGTTCCCCGCTGGGCTTCATTGGGAGCCCCTGCCACAAAGTCTGCATTCGATGATTGTCTTGTCTATAGCTTCTATCATTGATGCGAATACAATGTCGTCTACTGGCGTAGCCGACTTGAACGGATGTATTGGACAAAGACAAGATGTTATCATTACACAAGGAGTTCATCATGCTTTGTCTTTTACCCCGCTCAGATCCGGTACTGGTGTTGAAAGTTGGTCGACTGTGTCGGCCGAGCCTGTAGCAGCTGGGCTATACCACTCGGCCCACCTCAGCTTACAGCGCGGTGGCAAGGCACTGGAGCCTAGGTCCCAGTTCTCGGAGCTGATAATCCGGCGGGCCCAAATCCAACGAGGTATCTAACCACCCAGCCAACGCCCTAATAAGCGAGGACCACTAACTTGATTGGAGTCCCACCACCATGACCGACAAGCTCAAGCCTCAGGCCCTTCCCAACATTGGAGCCCTCCAGGTGGCCTGGCCCTCGCGGCTGGATTGTGACGGCGGGCAGTCCACTTCGAGCCGAGCCGGTACTTGTACCATCGCGAGGGTTGCGCTCACCGAATGAGTCACCCGACGAGACAGACCATGTCATCAGTCCCAGTCATCATCGTCATCGCCGCGTTTTATTCCGTCCCTGCGACTCTTGATCCCCTTACTGCCGGCAGCAGCCTTTTCCTCTTCGGCGTCCTCCGCCTCTCTCCTCCGTTTCAGCACGCGCATGTCATTCTCCTTGACCGCGCCCACCTCGACCAATATCATGTCGAGATCAAGCATGCTCATCCGGACCCCGCCCACCGTCGCGAGCGTGACAATCTGCTTGACAATATCTCCCTTGTCGTAGACCAGGATGGTGGGGCAGTTCCGCTCCGGATAGCCCTCGATGGCCTTGTCCGCGCGCATCTCGCAGAATTTGACCTCGCCGTACTCCTGGGCCGCCTGGCCCCAGAGTTGGGACAGGACCCGCGACTCGACGTTGCTACCCTGTGCAGAGGTCAGGTTGACGAACACGGGCCCGTTCTGTGACGCTTCGGTCACTTCGCGCGCGTATTCTGGCTTGGAGATGGGGTAGATGGAGCCGTGGACGGATTTCTTTTGCAGCGCGGACAGCTCCTGCATGCGCTTCTGTCGGTATTGCTCGAGAAATGCTTCGTCTTCTTCGTCTTCGAGGTCGGAGAGGTCCGAGAGATCCTTCCCTTCAAGGCGGTTCTCGTGCGCGAGCCGACGAGCTTCGAGAATCGCTTCTTCGATAAGCGGGGTCGGCGACGGCGGCTTCTCTGGAATGATGCCGTGCTTTCGGAGAATGTCGTTCCTGTGAGTCATCCGTTAGTATGTGACTAAGGTGACACCACCGCCGGACCGGTCTGACCATTCTGTGTCGGCGTTGGGGTCGTCGATGGGGACTGCGATACGTTGGTCGACGGGTGCCGCCATCTTTGTACTGCTTAAGATGGCCTATCGGGAATTGATGAGGCGATTTGGGGTTTGAAGTCGGTGTTCTCTTTGGCTTAAAGTGGGCTGCGTCGTTGTGACACGCTTGCAGTCGCTGTCGATGTTGTTTATTATCTGCGTCATCTGGCTGCCTGACGGTGGTGTTCCAATGGTTCAGTGTCTAGTGCCGTGCGCCGTGAATAGTACTGTACCGTCTTTTCTCGACTAAATCAGTTTTCACTAGCAGAGATCGATTGGCTAACGCACATCCGAATACGCGATAGGATAATATAAGTAAGGGTCAAAGCCAATCAGATAGTGATTTGGCGCTGCTAGTGAAAAGCATATGGCCTACGGATCCGTAGAAAAGACGGTACTCGGCGTCTCCACGCAATTGTCAACCCCACCATGGATGAGCAGTGCCCAGAAGCCTGACCCCACCACAACTCCAATGACAAGGAATAAGACGGCCTTTGATTGGTCGTATAATCAAGCCCTAACAGACCGGCTCCGAGGCTAGCCAATTTTGCCTTCTGCTCCTCACAGACCCAAATTTTGCCTCTTGAACTTTGGTTCCCGCTGGGCCTTGAAAATCCCCTCCGCAACCATCCACGAGCAAGAGTCTGCCGTCAAATCCATCCAGATTTCATCAATCAAGCCGTAGCTCGTCCCTTCGACATCCGAAAATAATCAATCAAGATGGTAAGAAGTCGAAGCTCTGCCGATTTTACGCGGTTCTGCCCGCTCGATGTCCATTTACAGGGTCACGAGGACTGCATTCAACATTGCCTTGAGAGAAAATCTAATTCTGAATCGGAATGTGGAAGATTTGACGGCGTCGCAAGAGTGACCAGGAATGGGGCAATATGCTGGAGATTGGCACATCGACTGGCGGGGGGAAATCGATAATTCAGGGCGTTATGCTGACGGATGGTTTTTAAAAAGGTTCTCGCCGTTGATCTCCTCAACCCCAGCCCGGCCGCCGAGGCCCGCAAGCACAAGCTCAAGGTACGTCGATATGCAGAGGCTTCTACCCATCTGTTGAATAGTTGCTGAACTATCTGCAGACGCTTGTGCCTGCTCCCCGCTCCTTCTTCATGGACGTCAAGTGCCCCGGCTGCTTCACCATCACCACCGTCTTCTCCCACGCCCAAACCGTCGTCATCTGCCAAGGCTGCACGACCGTCCTCTGCCAGCCGACCGGTGGCAAGGCCCGACTCACTGAGGGCTGCTCGTTCCGGAGGAAGTAAGCGGTCTGATACCGGCTGTTTTCTTTCTCTGGGCATCATGGCATGGTAATGGGTCATCTCGGTATCTGCAAGGCTGTTTCGAGCTGGGCGTCTAGACACACATTACTCGATCGTCAAATCAATCTCCTTTGCGGATAGAAGATGGATTCGCCAAAAATCATCCCGCACAGCAATATGGGAGGGCGTTTGGGGTCCGGATATCTTGCGTCATCGATTTCTCCGACTTTCTTACGATCTGCGCTTTCCGAAGGTTTCTGTCTTTCGCTGTACAGGCAGGTGATACTGCATGGGAGGATCGCTGGCAGAGGCATTTTCACAAGTGTCTAGACTGCGTTGCCACGGACGGGTGGCAGGGCTGCTGGAACACGAGGACGTGGATCGCTGAGGAACGCCGAAAGCCTCGGTGCAGTTGGGCAGGGAAAAAGGATCGGTGTTGCGTAACGACAAATTGAGGAGATTCCATGTCAATTCTTGCCTTCCCCCTCATATGAGTGACTTGTGGCACAGCTGCACATCAGTTCACCCAAGCGGGCTGAAGCCTACCAACCTGCTTTCATTTCCATGAACCAGTAGACTGAGCCGCTGCCTCGTGGCAGTCCTGATTTCAGGTTCTCTGCCCTGAGTCCTAAATTCAGCACCCCTTCCCAAAGCGGCAGTGTCCCAAATCTCTGGCGCCTGTGCTTGAAGGTCAAGGATGCATGACTTCTGCCACTATCTCCGCCCGATACAGCCTTTAATTCGATGTAGATTACATGATCTAAGAAGGGGTGTATGTGCAAGGAAGTAGGATATAGTTATGCTTAAGAAATGTACCAAGCTGAGGGGATAGGGTATGTTGATGTCGACACCTCTCTTCGGAAGTATTCCGCACCGAGTAAACAAAGTTGAGGTGGAAACACATCAGCAATGAGTTGACCGGATTTGTTGGCCTGGCAGAGCGAGATATTTCTGGATTTGTTTCATAGTGTAACTCATCTGACCATTGTCCCAGCCACCTCAACCCCTAAAGAGGCTGCCGACTAATTCTAAGCTTGCTGTGCCAGACGCAAGAATCGAAGCGTTTCATGCAAAGCCACAATTCCCTGCTGCTTATCTGCACACTTTATAAGGGACCGACCTCAAGGCAGTCCCCAGCCACGAATATGAAAGCGAGATTACTTCGGAGTGTTTCAGGAAGTTCTACCAATTCTGCCAATTACTGCGATCGACAATTCAAAACCTGGAAGATTAAACTTCGAGTTGCGTTGCGTCAGATCCGACAGGAAGTGCTCGGCAGCTTGAGAAACCTGCTGACGTTTGAAACGAACCAATCCTGTATGAGCTTGATCCAATTAACGCGTGACAACACGTTGTCGCGACTTCTTTCCTGGACCCACATTTTTCCTCCTATTACTCGAATCGGCCAGCACTTTTAAAGGAAATCCGCATCTTGCCCAGCCTCCTTTGTTCTTACTTCAGCCCCAAGTCTCTATGCAACACCACACAATATACATTCACGTCTGCCTATCGCAGCACCTTTCTCCGTCTCATTCCTCAGCAAGCTTCATTCTCGCATCGTAACGATTGAAACCCGAGTTTGAGCCATCAAGAATGTCTGGCCCACGCACAAAGCGGCAATTCGCCGGCGCAGCCAGCGACCCCTCGCAACGCCAGATCACGTCCTTTTTCCCGAAGACCGTAACTTCAACCTCTCCCACGTCCGCCAATGCCGCCAGAAAATTATCGAACCAAGCGCCCCTCAGTGCCCCTGTTCTTCCAGCGCAGGTTCAGACAGACTTACTGAACGTCGGCATGCGAGTCCGCAAGGCCATCCCAGAGGGCTACAAGACGGGCGGCGCCTACAGCACATTCACACTCTGGGCGGAGGAGAGCACCAGCAACTCGAGCTCAGATCCCCGCCCTGTTTCCGCAACACCCACCGCAACATACTCATCCGCGATGCGCGAGCTTGAGCCTTTCTGCGGCATCAACAAAATTGGGGGCCTCGCCTTCCAGCCATCATACCACCCAGAGGACGATCTCGAGGCCATGCCAGGTCTCACGAGCAGCCAAGACACCATCGCCAGCACTGCGAGCACCATGTCATCAACCCCCGCCACTAGCCTCAACGTCACCGCGGCAGCCCCGTCAGCACCCAGCCGCAAACGCTTCTTCAGGTCAGAAGAAGACGAAGCAGCCCACGACGCTCTGGGCGCCTCCCTGCCATACAGGGGCCCATTCCGCCTCAGCAGCGATAATCGAGACGCCTGGCTAGAAGAGGAGGTCTCGCCTCGGAGCCTGGGGCCGCCGGCCGGGATGTGGGAGAATGCACGGCTGCTGGCTGTGCCGAGGCGGACTCGACAGGGGAGGAAGGTTGAGGCTGCTGGAGAATTGGGCGGACTGGGACAAGAGAATGTCATGGTAACGGTGCCAGGGCAGGATGGGAATGACTTTGAGGAGGCCAGCTTCTTGGACTATGGCCTGAGGGCGGATGGGAGGATGGATATTGGGTGAGCGGGGCATGGGGTTGGTTTGCATTGCACTGTTGACGGCGTTTATGGCGTTTTCCGGGTGAGCCAGTTGCCCAAGACTTGGCTGGATGGGATGCATTATACCATGGTAAATGGGCAGGTTTCGCAGGCATTACGGGGGATACGGCGTTGTATCAGAGAATTGGTGCGGGTGGATGCAGTGCATTCTAATATTGGTGTTTGAGTAAACCTACAACCCGTAGCGCGAGCAGACGAAATCGACATTGAATGACTGTTACCTCAGTGAAGTTCGGGGGACAATGGCGTGTGACGGCGCGTGAAGGTCAAGATTTCGCATGGGTTACAGCGCCGGAAAAGGGTCCCGAAACTCGAGTAGGTCCCTCTGCCCGTAGAACTCACCGACAACCGTCAGGATCATGTTCAGGGTCGCCCGCATGTTGACCCGAGCTCTCGTTTCGTCGAATGCTGCCGCTTCCCCTCCGCTGCTCTCATCCCGCTGGACGTAATCAGCATCAGGTTGCGCGGAGCCTTCCGGCTCTTCGTCCTGCGGGGCGTCCCGGTTCTCCTCAAGTCGCGCCAGCAGCCGGGCCTTTGCCGCTGCAATGTCGGCCTTGATGTCCTTGTTATCCCCATCTGCAGGGGTATCGTCATCAGTGACCTCTCCGTCGTCAATGTCCATGTCCATTTCCCCGTCCATGTCCTCGCCGTCACCGTCAACAGTAACAGCAGCAGAGCCCGGTCTAGGTTCCGCATTTACCCCTATCACCCCCGCCTCGTCATTTCCGACTTCCCGTGACGCAACACCACTCTCGTCTTCCTCATCAACTACCACCTCACCCTCAAACTCGTCTTCCCCTTCACCTTCAAGCGCGCCTTCCAGATCACCCTCCACCTCCTCTTTCAAAGCCTCCATCTGTGCGATACTAACCATCATCAACACGGCCCTCTTGCCCAGCTCCCTGATTAAGCCAACCTCGGCGTAGTCCATCTCGCCGCGGTCCGGCAGCCGCGCCAGCAAGGCCCAGATCCAGCGGCTTGTCCGCTCGCGCAGCTCGTACCCGCGGCGGATGAACTTGCCGCCGAGGATTACGCGCAGCAGCTTGAGCACGCACTGCCGGTCCAGCGCGGCAATTTGCACCGGTAGCGGGTCCGTGTGGCGGATGCGCCGCGTCCAGACGCGGAATGTCCATGACTTTGCGCCAAAGGAGCCCACCTCGGTGCCGTGGTCGCGCGGGAGGACGGCGACGAGGGAAGGGGGCGGGGTGCGGTGCAGCAGGGCGCGCAGGCCGAGAAATTGGGTGGTGAGCGAGGCGAAGTAGGATTTGCGCAAGGCAGCGTTTTGGGCGGCGACCTGGTCGGCTGGGTTGAGAGGGTGGATCTCGCCTGCTTCGAGTACTTCGGAGGAGGATGCAACGGATGGGTCGGGATCGGGCACCGCGGTGTACGCGCCATCGTGGTAGTACCCTCGCGAATCGCCGACGCCGTCGTCGTAGATGCTTCGGTCGATGTCGCCGGGAACATGCGGACCGGCTTTGGGGGCAACCAGGACGTTTGGGACGCTGCTTGCTTCTTGTCTGTGAGTTACTTACCATTAGCTTACCATGCCATGGCTGTCTGAAGCCAGTTCGGCCGACTGAGAGAAGGGCAGAGTGTTGGTTTAGCAGATGTTGATGATGGTGCACGCAAGGGGAATTAAATGGGAGGCTTACCGGACAGCTCTGAGATATGCGAGAGCATCGCTGGTCTCTTCGGATTCCAGGTCGTCATCGCTTATCTGCGATGGATCGTCTCCGTCGAGGCCTGGGAAGGCGGTTCGCTGGCCGTAGGTTGGATCGGGTTTGCCCTCTGCCTGCTTCGACTTGGAACTCTGCTGCTCGCGTCGCCGCTTGCTGGACGAGTACGAAGCCTGCTCATTGTCGTCGGCCGTAACGGCACCGTGGCTTCGCTTTGACCCCATGGCTGGCAAGCACGGATGGTCAGTGGGATACCATGACAGAGTTCAGATTTATGGTGAATACCAGGAGCTGCCCTTGGGTGAACTACGATGCCTATCGTTACATAAAGTCACTCTTATTAGCGCAGCGAATATACAATCGCTTAAAAGCATAATGAAGTGTGACCCATTGAGCAAGGGTTAGGGCTGGCTGTGAAGATTTCAGTTCGGTGTGATAACGCTGCCCCTCTATGCCCCACCAAAAACATGGCCTCAACTCCTCGTTGTGTCAGGCCGAGACCTGCAGTGACTCTTAAACCCGGTTCACACCACCACCGGAGGGCGCCAGGAACACAGCTCGCTCTGAACCGAATTTTGCCGACCAAGCGCGCTAGCAGCCAGATCCGACTTTCTATATCAGAAACACGACATGGCCGAACCCTCAGCGAACCCAGCCCCTCTTCAGGCCGAAACTCCTGCCGTGGCTCCGGCTGCTGAGGGCGCCGAGGATGGTTCAACTTCGAAGAAGGCCGCCAAAAAGGCTGCAGCAAAGGCTGCAAAGGAGGCAGCGAAGGCCCGTCACGCCGCTGAGCGAGCTGCTGCCGCTGCCGCCTCCGGCTCGGCAACCCAGACCGAGGACCTGGCCAAGGACAATTACGGCCAGGAGACACACGAGACGAAGTTCTCTGCTGATGCCATCGAAATCAACCTGAAGACCCTCGGCGACGACCATGTCGGCAAGACAGTCGAGCTCCGCGCCTGGATCCAGAATGCCCGTATGCAGGGCGCCAAGATGGCCTTCGTTGAGCTGCGGGAGGAGGGCAATTGGGCGATCCAGGGCGTCGTGACCGCCAGTCCCGAGGGAGCTCCCGTCAGTCGCCAGATGGTCAAGTGGGTTGGCTCCATCAACCCAGAAAGCTTTGTTGTTGTCGAGGCCACCGTGGCCAAGCCCCTCGTACCCGTCAAGGCCTGCCGGGTTACCAACTACGAGCTGCACATCACCAAGTGCTTTGTGCACGCCGCTGCCCCTACTATGCTGGGCATGACCCTCGCTGCCGCGAATCGGCCGATTGCCAACTTCAGCGACGAAGAAGTGCCAGTAGAGCAGGGCGTCGAGAAGCTCAGCATTGTCTCGGCCGGTGAGACGACAGCCACTCCGGCTGCCACCATGCTTACCCATCTCGACAACATCGTCATGCACAAGCGGTCGGCCGTGCAACAAGCCATTGCTGACATTCGCGCGGAGATGAAGGAGCTGTACCGCTCGTACCTGAGGTCTCACGGGTTCAAGGAGTTCGAACCCCCTTGCTTGATCGCTGCCGCATCCGAAGGCGGTGCCAATGTATTCCGCATGCCCTACTTTGAGAAGGAAGCTTTCTTGGGTAGGTACTCAACCGCGTCAGCGAGATCTGGAACTTCCGCTGATCATCCCAGCGCAATCACCGCAGTTCTACAAGCAAATTGAAATCGCCGGCGGCCGAAAACGCGTGTTCAGCATCGGCCCTGTGTTCAGGGCCGAGAACTCCAATACACCGAGACACATGACCGAGTTCACCGGTCTCGATATGGAGATGGAAATTAAGAAGGACTACCGCGAAGTTCTGGTATGAGTCTTTTGCCACTTTAAACCACTGGCTTCACAATGCACCGTTAACAGCACTTAGGACGTGTTGGAAGGCGTCCTCCTCCACATCTTCCGCAACATCAAGGAGCGCTGCGCCGACGAGATCGCCCTCGTCCGCTCCGTCTACCCCTCCGATGAATTTCTCCTTCCCGAGCCTGGCAAGGAGGTCCGCCTTACCTTTGCCGAAGGCCAGAAGCTTCTCCGCGAAGAGGGCCCCGAGGAGTTCCGCAACGTCAGCGACGACGAGGACATGAGCACGCCGCAGGAGAAGGCGCTCGGCGCGCTCATCCGCAAGAAATACAACACCGACTTCTACGTCCTCGACAAGTTCCCCGAATCGGCTCGCCCCTTCTACGCCAAGGAGGACCCCACCAACCGCAAAGTCACCAACGCGTACGACCTCTTCATGAGGGGGCAGGAGATCTGCTCTGGCGGGCAGCGTATCAACGACCCCGTCGAGCTGGAAGCCAGGATCCGCACCAAGGGCATCGACCCGGCGAGCCCTGGTATCAAGGAGTATGTGGATATTTTTAAGCAGGCAGGCGTCCCTGCCCACGGTGGAGGTGGTATTGGTCTGGACCGTGTGGTAGCATGGTACCTCAACCTGCCGAGTGTCCATCTCGCGGCGTTTTACCCGCGGACACCAAAGAGACTGTTGCCTTGATTGGGGATATGAGTAGGCAGAGCAGGGAGATATGGCGTGGATTCCGATAAAGTACAACCTGTTGCGATGAGCGTGTGAGATAGAACAGCTGCGATAGACTTGTGTCTGGTGTTTGTATCTGGGCGTGCGTTGTATGTGAAGGCCGAGGTGAGCAGCTCCTGAAATCCTCTGAGCCTCTCATCATCCTTCTGTTACGAAGTGCACTCAAACCCCAGAACCATTTTAGCTCACCTGTCTTATGGGAGCGGAGAATATTCCAGGTTGAGTGGAATGCCTCTCTCTATATCCTACCAAGGTCATGATGTTCGGCTGTCTCACATAACGTATGAGGTGTCGGATGGGATTAGCGACGTATTTTAACATAGTAGGTTGATTAATGAAGTTGTATGTGCCTCATCAGTTCCATGTTTCTTTGTAATCCACCACTTTTCGAACCCCTTTCGACTGTAAGACACGGGCAGAGTTTCGACAAGCCCGAGTCTAATTTCAAGGAAGCCCCGCGATGATGAGACGGCCACGATGAACGAGCAGACGGTAGCTACGTTACATTGCGCAGTAAGTAGGTGCTTTCAAAGTGGAAACCAGTGAGCAAAAATACAAGTTTGACTGGTTGGATAGATTTATCGGCGGTTTGAGAATCTGACGACTAAACAACATACTGTGAAGCTTGAGTGAGCAGTATCTACGACCTTATCGAGTAGTGCTAGCCTTGTGCTATGTCACGGTAGAACATATAAGCTCGGATTGCCGCCAACTGACTGCAGTGAATTATGCTGCCAGAGAGGACTGCTAAGCTGGGAGGACTTGGAATGCATGCTAGCTAGCAGTCGTTGGTGGTACTTAGAAGTTGTCACACTCACAAGGCTACCTGGGTATTACATAGGGAGTGCCTGACTGTGACGGCGCCTGTCGTCGGAGTGCGCGTTTCCCACCTGCTCTGGCCTTTGACCACTGCAGCGCGAGAACTCTTCCAGCTTGTCTTCCTTTTTCTCCTCACTTGTTATTAGCAAAATTGAGTCCCATTGGCAGTGCCCTCGTGCTTTGCCTAAATGTACGCTCGTCCCTCACACTGACGACTGTGGCACTATGAGACCAGATTCTTAGGCGCACAAAGCCGAGGCTGAAAAACTCAAACGGCTCAATGGCATAAATGGTTATATCCTGGCTTATCGATTTCAACCGCTCAAAGGTGCTTGAGCTACTGTAGTATTTGTTGATTAAAAGCGAAGCTTCACCACTCCTGCCCTTCTTATCAGCGTAAGTACCTTGATGAGCCACTCTAGTTCATGAGCCTCTCGTTCTCTCATAAGCCAGATGTTAACGGCTTGTCTGCGTGAAATGCTGGCTCTTCTGGGTCCGGTTTGCATTTCGAAGTTGCGATCCATTATGGATTGCCTCCTCCTGGACTAAGTTCAAGCGATTATGAGATAAATGGCATTGGATACGTGATTGTTACAGTATTTGAGTGCACCTTACTTCAAGTTTTAAACAATGAAACGCTCTGGATTTTGTATTTACCTTACTACTTAGTAGAGAAGAGAATTCATTGTTGCTATGTAGCACTTCTAATACCTTGTTACCGAGGAGCTGAGTCTGCGTATATTTGACATTCAAGATCCTCTCTCTCTCTATTCTCTACGATATTGTGAAGGACGAGCAATATAAGGCGAGGCACCAGGGCACTTTGAATACTACTCAATTCTGCTAATCAAAAGCTGAAGAGGGAAAACTTGGAAAGTACGAGCGCAGGTATCACGTAGAAAAGGTCGTGGATGCACGAACTAGCAGGACCGTCTCTCTTCCGCAGGCTATGTAATCTAGTCTCAATACGGAAGTGTACCTGTAACCCTAGCCCTAGTGCACTTTCCGTCACAGATTTTCTGTTAACGTTATAACAGAGCGATCTATCATTATAAAATGAAAACATTGTCTCTCCCAACTACATCTAGTCATCGACGAATGTAGCTAGCCCGCCTAGCTATACATAGTGAAAGAAGGTTGCATTAGCCTTAAGACTGTCACGGCGATTGCGCCGTGCGTGCCAGGACCCACGGGTGGGGCTCAGTGTGTGGGGCCACTGCGGGTTGAAGATCCTGCACCTCGCTGCCGCGAGTTCTGTTCGTAGCTCCTTGAGCTACGTCTTGACAATCAAGCCTGCGCGTACCTGACAGAATAGAGCCTAGACTGTAGTTTAGCCCGAATACTATTGTCATTGGATTATCCGCCTGTCCCGCCGTGACAAAGACATAGTTCCAACAAGTCTATCGTAGTATAGTAGTATTCACACTCCTATTTACATATTATCGGATAACGACTAGCTAGAGAGGGCCATATAATTAAAAACGCCTCGTCCCATCATTCACATAGTCCATCAGATTCTTTTAACCTCTAAGACGTTCTACTCGTATAAAGGAAAGTCTTTAGTTCAGCTTGCAGAGTCAATCATAGAATGGCTCTACTTATATATAGGACATTGATAGGCCTTATTCACCTTGAAAGCGGACAGTTTCCGGTCTAGTGTCACGGGTGGGCGCAACTGACCACTGCGTAACACCCTCAGAAGAGGGACCGTGGTTCGAACTGTCCAGTCGAACCAGGAGTTGCGCACATGAACCTCACACTGTCACGACCTGTGACATCTAGGTTGTAGAGTTATCGGATAGCCTTACTCATTTATAGGACGTTCTTCGGCCTCACTCACCATCAAGATAAACGATCTTTCTCTAGAGGCCTGTAGGACAGTCTTACCCTCTTATAGGACCGCCTTCGGTCACTTTCGTCACTTCTCCCCTGGATGGACATCTCAAGTCGCTGCGGTCGTCGTCAATTCCTTGGGAAGATCTGGCCCCTGAGACAGATCACGATGGAGACAGCGCCGGGGAAAGCGGCGACGACAGCCTCGGTCCTCGCCGGCCTTGAAACATTGCGGTCTTGTAGCCTAACAGCATCGCAATTTCGTGGCCTTGCGGCCTTGTCTAAGCCTGCTGCTGCTCTACTTTGGATGGTCGATCATTTAAACTAAGTTTCCCAGCTCTCGACCCAAGAGTTTCCTTCATTGTGCAACCAACTCACTCACTTGCTCCAGAGGCATCAACCATGGCACCCACAAAGCGTGAATAGACCCCTTTTCTACCTCTACTGCCTCATTGCCCGTCGTCTGTCGCTTATCCCCCCTCTCAGGCCTTTTATTCCCTCTCTTCCTCCTCGTCCCATCCTCCTCCCCAGCACGGACCCTTTCCTCCTCCATCAGATCTTGTCAGAAGATCAATCAATTGCTAACCAACTGCTCGGAAGCCACCCCGACAGCCCAGCCGTCGACTCCTCGCGCGAACCGCCAGGCAGTCCTCACCGGCAGGATCGACGATGTTCGCAGCAGCAGCCCCAACACTCCCTGCAACCAGAGGTTCGCCAGAATTTTGGCTCTTGCTTCTCCGTCCCAACAAACATCGCCTCGCTGTAGGCCCAAAGGATTCAGAAACGGCGGCGGTAGTAAATACGGCCGGTGCCCAAACTGCCAGATCGGCCGCCGTGAGCGAAGCCGTTTCAACCCGCTCGGCCTCTCACCGCACAAGGGGAGATTCCGCTTCGTCTGCAGCAAACGCAACGGCAACCCGCCTTGCAATTATTCCGAGGTGAGTACGGGATTTAAATACTATCGAGCGTATCATTATCAGTTCAACTAGTGGTAATAAGTTGGTGCCTTAGGTTCTCGCTTCAGATCCGGCTGACAACCCGGCTGCTTACTCGGGTGTGGCTCAGTCGATCGAGGTTGACAACAACGAGGAAGAGGACGACGACGACCATTCCATCATTTCGCCTTCCAGAGCCCGCAAGAACAGGACCAAGGCCAACAGTCGGGCTGCGCCGTCGGGCACTATCAGCAAGGACTTCCGGAACATGGATGCGGGCAAGGACTCGTCCCAGCAGAAGCTGGGCTGTCCCCAGTGCATGAAGGGGCAACTGGTCCAGAAATGTCGCGATACGTTCCACTTCCGTGAGACGGTCCTGGTCTGCGAGAAGGTCTGGAATGGTAACGAAGCTGGCGGTGGCTGCGGCTACAGCATGAACCTCGGCAGCAAGCCTATCGGTGGCAACGACGATGCTGATTACCACGACGGCGACGACGACGTGGAGATCACCAAGGTTGTCGAGACTCCGGACGCCGCCAAGAAGAAGGACCTGAAACACGGGGTCACTATCTCTGGGCGGAAGAAGAAGAGCATGGACGACTGGATTTTCGAAGAGCGCGAGAGAGCAATGGAGAACCCATTTGCTGCGGCCGTCATGGCCGGCCCGCCGGCGGACAAGATCAAGCAGAAGCCCAAGAGGAAGATCGTGGTGGACTTGACCTCGGACGACGAGCTGCTGGGCACCTCCCCTGTCCGAAGGCCGAAGTTCTCAGCGGGTGCAAACCATACCATGGTGGGAGGCGCTATCGGCGCCCATGCGCCTATTCTCATCGAGGACGACGACGAGCCCAAGGCTGCGGCGGAGTTCGAGGATCTCGGCTCGGACGACGAGCTGCAGCTAATTCAGCTGGCGGACAAGGCTGAAGACGCACGCGACGACTTGGATGAGGACGACGTGCTCGAGCTCATCCAGATGGCCGACAAGGCGGTTGCCACTATGTCTTCTCAGTAGGGCCGCTGCTGACGACGCCGGATCTACTCGCACAAGAGATCCTGTTTCGGGAGCGTCTGTATTCTGTTCCTGCGGTATGCGCTTCGTCGACTGAACAACAGGTCTGGGACCTTGGGTGGAGGAATTCAACGTTCTTCTTCGTTCGTCATTGGGCTCCTTTCGCTCGCATGCTTTTCTCACTCATGGATTCTCACAGCCAAGGCGCCATAGGTAGAGGAATTCAAACGTTGGGTTGCCACAAAGTAATTTTGGTGGGTTGATGATATCTTGCGTCTTGTAAGGCCGGTCTCGATTAAGCCCGGCCTCACTTGCCTAATTCGGTCATCGATCGGAGCTGTGGGAGAAGGTGCCGGCCGGGTGATGTCCACAATCGGTGCCGCCTTAGGCCAAAACCCGGGCGAAAGCGGGGCCGACTGGGGTGCGGTTTTCTACGGAGTATCAGTATATAAATGGATTCACTCCAAGGGTGAATCTCGGATGATACCCCTGAAAAGTCGCTGTGCGTTGGTGTGGTCAGCTTATCAATGTGTCGACGTCGCCGCTTGCACATCTAGATACATTGTGCGGTCCAGCGAAGGTCACATGGCACTATGGATATCCATACAGTGGCTACCCTGCCCAGTTCAGTTAGCGACTCGACTGGAGCGCGCCAGTGTGGGGTTGTCGTGAGGGGTGTCTGTTGACTTCAGTTCAACCTAGAAACGCGCTTGACGCGACTTTTCAATCCCGTCTTCCTTCAACGCTTTTTATAAGCTTTCCTGGTTCTCGTTTCTGCTCCTGCGGCAACCATACCTTACAACATTCCAATACATGAATTACCGCATATAATCCGTCTCTCTTGTCTTGAACCACTTCCCCATGGAGAGGTGATTGCGCCTTGACGCAACCCTTGAGGTCACAGCGCAACTTGGCTGTACCATATATAAACTCGCCACCCCGCACCATTTTGTCCGTGCTCCTTTGTCGTCCAGTTACCTGCCTGAACCACAAAGCAAGTTAGAGACAAGGCGGTGCAACGATGGCTGAGGAGCCCACCTTGCCACAGCTGCCGCCTTTCCTACCGGCCGACAAACGGAAGCGCGGCAGGGCCACGGAACCCCCTACCACACACTCTTCAACCTCAAGCGACCCGGCCTTCTTCTCCAGTGATGACGACCCGGCACTGGACAATTATCAGAATCATGGACGTCGCAAGAGGCGATACGTGGGCTCTTGGTTTGACCAGCAGCCGGCCTCGTCAGACTCGGGAGTGGGTGATGATGCGCGTCCGAGCTTCCCCTTTCCGCGTCGAAGCCGGGGTCCACCACAACCCCAAAAGAGAGAGTTTAGGAGACAGCTCGACAGCGGTGTCTGGATGGGGACCGAGGGCAACTTGACCGACACGGACGATAGTTTTGACCTCGAACCGGTTCCTGCAAGATTCCCACTGACAGCACCCCGGGCACAGCCGTCGATCCCGCTCTCACCAGCCCGCCCAAGGCTTACCTCCCAGGAGCAGCAAGTTCAAAACACGATCCAATCGTGTGTGGACCGGGGTGAAGAGCTGGTTGATCTGAGGTGAGCAGATTTTCTCGCTCTCAGCCGTAGTTGCCGGCTGACCAATCCTTAGCGGTTTGAACCTCGAGAGTATCTCTGATGCTCTGCTCAACACCATCTCTGAAATCACTCCCATTCCTTCCGTTGCAAAAGACGTCGCGTTCGAGCAGAGAGACCCACAAATCAAGGTGTTCTTGTCCAACAACCGCCTTCGGACCTTTCCGATTGCGCTTCTTAACATCGAGCACCTCACCGTCCTCACCCTGCGCGGCAATCGCCTCGTCAAGCTCCCCCCAGCCATATCGAAACTCCGTAATCTTCAGACCCTCAACATCGCCCAAAACTACCTCCGTTTCCTCCCTGGCGAGCTCCTGGACCTCCTTGAGCCAGGCAGCAAGCTCATCACTTTCAACTGCGAGCCCAACCGGTTCTGGCACCCAGCTACCGCTTCCGGGAACGAACAGGGCGCTGAAAAGTATGAGACACTCACCTTCGCCCCGTGCACTGAGACGATGACAATCGGGTCGACCTGGAAAGGCTTGACTACGAAGCTCCAATCTAGAACGCCTGTCCACTTCATTGACAGCGCCGGCAAAACTTATTCCCATTTCACTCTACCCGACCCGGGTTCCAAGCTCTCAAATGTACACGTCCTCGAACTGGAACCCTTCACCTCGCTCACAACGCCCAAGGAACTGGCCCCCGAGCTTCGCTCCCACTCGGCCACGAGCAAAGTCGTCAACCCCAGAGGTGCCAAATCTTTGTTTGAGATGGCTCTCCGCGCGTGCGCCACCTCGGCGGAGGCGGATACCATCCCCTCGTGGTTGCGGGAAGACGAGGGCTGGCCGAGGCACTTCGCGCCCGCGGTCGAGAATGCGACACAGCTGCACCGCCAGGGCGGAGTCACCTGCTCGGTCTGTGGCAGGGAGACGCTGATGCCGCTGGCGCAGTGGATCGAGTTTCGGTACGTCCGGCGCACGTCGGTAGAACAACGGGCAGAGGGGCGGCTCGTTCGGGAGACCATAGGGTTGGAGGAGACATCAGGGGAGATGCCGGTGCCGTTCTTGAGGGTCGGCTGCTCGTGGAGGTGCGTGCCTGCCAAGGTGGAGCTGGCGGCGCTGGAGGGCGAGGATGATGTGGACGTATCCAGGGGCCCAATCGAGAGTTTGGTCTGAAACACACTGCGCTGTTTCAGTGGCTGGATACGGTGGTTGATGTCGATTTGGAGTAAGACTACATGTCGATGATCAGGTTTCGAAATGATGCCTTCTAACTTCAAGCCTGCTGCTGTAATAGTTGCATTTGAGGCATACTGTACTCACTTAGGCACCCTGTACGGGTTGCAGATAAACCAAACACATGTCTGATCGTCCGAGTGCCTTAGTAGCACGGGACTAGGAAAAATGTTTCAGTATTGAAGTCTAGTACTGGATTTTCTGTGCCGTATTTCACTTTGACAATGCAGAGGCAGATAACCTCATCAAAATTATTCCCTGCCGATATCAACTTTCAATATCTCAGCGAATGTGCCTTATTACGTTACCGTACGTTACCATAGGCGCACCTCCACTTCTTTGCTTTGACATCACCGAGCTTGGCAATCCACCGCCAAGCTCAATACAGGGCTACAAGCACGAGCCTCGTCTCAACGTCACCCTCCCCAAAGCTTCATTGCACCAAAAGCCGAGCTTCCAGAGCTCAAAAGCTTCCACAACACCAGCCGACAAAACCCGGCATAGTTGTCCGTCACCGCGCTCTCAGTGCAATCAACAGTATCCGAGCACTGAACCTGTCAATGGAGCACCACCAATCAAACCCATAGACCCTTTGCACAGACACACATTCGACTGTGGGCTTGTAGCAAAGCAACGACCTCCCGCGCCCCGGCGCAAACAGTCAAAACGCAACTCACATACATCGATTCACCATGCATCGCCTCCTCCTCACCGCCGCCGCGCTCCTTACCTCCCTCCCGCAACCTGCGCACGCCGTCTTCCGCGACGAGGCCGGCCATGTCGACTACCACCACCTGCTCCTCGGCCTCCCGCAGCGCGAGACAACCTTCTTCCACCGCCCGCGCCGCGACGACCGCGCCAGCCTGCTCTACACGCTCAGCGATGTCGGAATCGTGGGCGCGGTGAATCCCGGGAGTGGGGAGGTTGTCTGGCGGCAGGATCTTGTCGGTGGTACAGACAGGAAGAGTCGAGATGGTGGCTGTGCGGTAGAGGGGTTCATGCGGGCCGGGGAAGGCGAGGGGTGGGTTGTGAGTGCGTATGGCAGTTCGGTGCATGCCTGGGACGCTGTGAGCGGGAGGAATAAGTTCTGGATTGGGGTTGTGGGCGACGGAGGGGTGGTGAGGGACCTGGAGGTCATGGAGATGACGGAGAGCGGGCCGGGGAGGAAGGATATTCTGGTGCTGGCGGAGGATCACGGTCGCGGGGAGACGTTGTTGAAGAGGTTGAGTGCCGAGGATGGGAGTACCGTGTGGGAGCATAGGGAGGTTACCGGTGATGTCCCGCTGCAGGTGAGCACCAACGTCGAGAAGGTGTTCGTCGTCAGCTTGAAGGGGTTGCGGGGGGCTTATAACCTCAAGGTGTCAGTTCTGGATACGCTCACTGGGAAGAAGGTGGATGAGCTGGTTATCGGCGCAAAGGCGGATGTGCATGGCAAGGAAGGGGTGATGTTTGTCGGGGCCAACTCGGCTGCGCCGGTCGTGGCGTGGACAGACGACGCTCGCAAGACTTTGTGGGTGAATCTGCTGGGGACCAAGACAAGACAGGAGTTTCCCCTGCCCCCGAACACGATTGCGGTGGAGATCCATGCGCCGCACCTGGTGCAGTCGCAACCGCACTTTCTGGTCCACAGCAAGACAGCTGCCGGACACCGTGGCGACGTCTTCCATGTCGACCTCAAGACAAACACGATCTCCAAGGCATACAGCCTGCCGCTTCTTCCTGGTCCGGGTTCGTTCTCCACAAGCTCGAATGGCGCCAACGTCTACTTCACCCGCATCACCGAAGACGAGATCATATTGCTGTCGTCACAATCACATGGCGTCCTTGGACGCTGGCCCCTCAAGATGGGCAATTCCACGGCGGTGGCCCTCCACGGAGTTTCCGAGGTCATCAAGAAACCTGGTTCTGAGGAGAGCTACGCAGTTCGGGCGGCGGCCGTTACTGACATGGATGATTGGATGCTGATTCGCAATGGCGAGGTTGCCTGGACCCGTCCCGAAGGAATGACTGGCGGCGTGGCAGCCACGTTTGCTGAGATACCGGAGAGCGAGGACCTGGCAAGGTCGCTTGAGGCTGAAGCCCACAGCAACCCTCTCGAGGCCTATATCCACCGGGTCAAGCGCCACATCAGCGACCTCCAGTACCTTCCGGCCTGGATTGACAGCATCCCTCCTCGCATCATGAGCAGTGTTCTTGGCAAGGATGTGGCCTCGACAACTGGTAAAGTCACGCGCGATAGCTTTGGCTTCCACAAGCTGGCTGTTCTGGCCACCAAGCGCGGAATGATCTATGGCCTTGATATCGCGAACAATGGCAGGATCGTCTGGAACAAGAGGGCCTTCAAAATGCCGAAAGGCGCGGAGTGGAATGTCAAGGGAATCCAAGTCCAGGACTCGACAGGCCACGTCCTGATTCTCGGCGCCAATAATGACTTTGTTGTCCTGAAAGGGGATACGGGTGAGATCATCGAGGCTAAGGGGCCGAGCTCCGAGGCCACGACACAAGCCACCGCGCTTGTTGATACATATTCAGGGCAACGCCTCATTCGGATCGGCCACGACGGCAAAATTGGCGAGATCCCTGTTTACCAAGCGCCCAGACAGACGGTTGTGACGCGCGGCGCAGATGGAGGGCTTAAGGGCGTCGTTTTTGTCCCGAACGGTACAACCTCCTACGAGTCCGTCTCTTGGACCTTCGCCCCGCCACAGGGCCAGAAGATAGTGAATATTGCTTCACGCCCAGCCCATGACACCGTTGCCTCGATCGGCCGTGTCCTCGGCGACCGCACGGTCAAGTACAAGTACCTCAACCCGAACACCCTCGTTCTCGCCGCCGTCAACGATGAAACCAGCACGCTCACAATTTATCTTCTCGACACCGTCTCTGGACAGATACTTTTCTCGTCCAAGCACGAAGGCACTGACCTGACCAAGCCCATCGAGTGCGCCATGGCCGAGAATTGGTTTGTCTGCACCTACTTCGGCCAGTACAAGCTGCGCGACAACGTAGCGCAGTCTCTAAAGGGCTACCAGATTGTCGTGATGGACCTTTACGAGAGCGACGAGGTCAACGACCGCGGCCCGCTGGGCGACGCGGCTCCCTTCTCCTCCCTCGACCCCGTCGATGTCCCAACAGGCGGCGTCATTCGTCCCGCGGTCGTCTCCCAGTCCTATGTCCTCAGCGCACCTCTCTCGGCGCTGCAGGTCACCCAGACCCGGCAGGGCATCACTTCGCGCCAGGTGCTCGCCTATCTCCCCGAGTCCCACGGCATCGTCGGTATCCCGCGCATGGTCCTCGAGCCGAGGCGGCCCATCGGCCGCGAGCCCACCCCAGCCGAGGCCGAAGAGGGCCTGATCAAGTACCAGCCTGCCATCGAGATCGATCCTAAGAGCGTCATCACTCATGAACGGGACGTTCTGGGCGTCGAGAAGATCATCACGGCGCCGGCCATTGTCGAGAGTACTAGCCTGGTGTTTGCGTACGGCGTGGACGTGTTCGGGACGAGGGTCGCACCGAGCTACTTGTTCGATATACTCGGCAAGGGGTTCAACAAGGTGTCGCTGGTGGGGACCGTGCTGGCATTGTTGGCGGGTGTGGTGATGCTCGCTCCTGTGGTAAGTTCTATTCCCTGTGTCAACAGTGCGCTGTCAAGCGTTGCTGACCATACAATGCAGGTGAGGAGGAAACAGATTAATATGCGGTGGCGGGCACCAATGTAAACGTCTCCTGTGTGATATCGAGAAGGTATGGATAGTACATGGAAATAGACAGAATCTATGATCAAATCTCTTTGGAATCGACCAAATCCTCTATTCTGTGCCCTCCTGCAATGATACACTCGACGTGGAATTTGGTGGCTGGCGCCGAGTTCAGAAAAGGTTCGTCTTCAAGGGCCGGACCCCGTGACACCCAAGTGTTCTCACCAAGGCAACGTATCCTGCGTAATAGAGTGAGCTACACGATGGGCTTCTAGGAAAAGCTTTGTGCCCTTGGGTCTTCCTCAACATACTTGTTGGCCTCTAGATTCTCCACCCAGGCCAGATGTTGCCGTCTGCTGTTTCCTGAACTGGTCTACCACAGTAAATGCTGAATGCCGCTTGATAAAGTTTTGTTTAAACTGACTTTTTCACCTAATTAACCGGGGAACAGATCCTCTGTGGCGCAATTGGCTAGCGCGTCTGACTGTTAATCAGGAGGTTGGAAGTTCGAGCCTTCCCGGAGGAGTTGGAACCTGTTCGATTTTTTCTTCTACTTCCATGCCCGTTTCTGCGACCAGTTAAGAAGGAAAAAGTATCAGTGAGTGGGCCATCCTAACAGTTTTGAGAAAGTTTTGAGAAAGGCTACACAGAAATGTATTATAAGAAATATTATTGCTCTTAACAGTTTGTTAAGAGTGCAGCCGTCAGAAACCTGTTAAGGCAGGCCACTCACTAATATAGGCTACTCACTGATAATTTACATTATGGATAACGTATATGATAAGCGAGCGGCGCACTGGTAAGAGCTGATTGACATTTAGCTGTAGCGCTAACAGGTCATTTCCGCCTTAACCCGCTGTTAGTGCTACACCTAAAACGTCTATACAGCTCTTACCAGTGCGCCGCTCGCTTGTCCGCGCCGCTCGCTTATCATATACGTTAGGTTATATATGGTCGACAGTATGCAATGTTTCATCCTGTTGGAAGTGATGGCACTTGAAACTCGGAAATTGGGTTGCCGGTGTCGTATTCTGGTCAGGGGTAATACACGGCTGTTACATAAGGTTTGGGAGATACCCAGGTAACAAGTGGAAGAGAAGAGAACTCAATTGACAGATTCTGGGCTGGTCCCGGGTAGAAAAGTCACTGTTTTAACGGCTCCCATAAAGCGTGTCACCGTGGAATCGTGGCTGTTGGCTTTCCAATAAATACTCTCAAAAGAGGGACCATGGTTCGAACTGCCCAGTCGAACCTCGAGTTGCGCACATGAACCTCACAATGTCACTACCTGTCACGGCCACTACTATGAGCCCTACACTTGGGCTATTGGCAGGCGAGACACTGTGGATTTCATGACGAAGCGACATGACTCGCAACAGAGGGAGGATATCTGGAGAGCGGGAGACTCAGATTGAAACTTAGAACTTCCCTCTCTCAAGGATCAATCAGTTAGTCAAGTGGTGCACGCACAATACAGTCGTCTTGCCTGTTTCTCGCTGCGGATTCGGTGCATCATCCTTGGTGAGCTTGTGTGTGTCAGCTTACACTACCCGTAACATCATACTTGTCTATCCGCGATTGCCAAGCCAGGCCAGTTTTGCTTTACTACGGCCATCAGAGGTCGTAATCACCATACCGATATAGATAATGCCCATTATATATCCAGTCTTGTCGAAGTTATAGATATCGTCATTTCACGATGCTATACTTGCCTATAATATTCTGCACGAAAGTAGGCCACTCGCCAATAACCTTCGGATCCTCGCACTTAACCCTCCAGTAGTCATATTTACATATTCGTCACGTTCGGAGCTCTAGTTGGCAGTTAACGGAGTTGTAAGCCCAGCGTTTGCCGATAGAAGGCGCGTTCACGTTCATATAGCAGTTGGTTGGCCATATCTTCCATACCACTTAGTTTAGGTGGGAATGCGCGCACAGATGTTCAATAACATACTGAACCATCGCCTTCTCTTCTAAATCGGTAAGCTTACGCGAGTTAGCTGAAGTATCGCGTCTCGCAGTACGGCTTTTGCGCCGGTGGCGAATCGTTGCTTCCGGAACGTTATATACCTTGGCTGCCGCTTAGATGCTGAAATCATCGCTCTTTTCGATAGCTTCAATGGCTAAAAGAAGCCTGGCTTCTTTTGACGGACTACGTATGGCCTGTTTTAGTGGAACTGGTGGAAGAGATGAGAGAGGTCGCGTCTCGCTGAAAAGTGCGTCGCTCGCATATCATGTATGTTGAACTCTGGTGGCAGGGGAAATGTTGTCCCCGTGGCTGTGGCCGAGACAAGCTAGGGTGGTTCTACGGGTGGTATTTTTGTATGTAAATCCTGGCATAGCCCCTCCCTACATGACCAGAGGCATCTGTAGGCCGGCCTTCAGCCTGCCTGGACGTTAATAGGAAACAACAGCAACAACACCGCATGCTTCCTGAACTCCTTACCAATGATGGATATAAGACATGGAAATGCTGAACGAACCCTTTCCCATATCTCTTCATTCCCAACTTGCCCATGGACTGGTTCATGGTTTAGGAGTCCATGTCCCACAAATGGTACGACCTCTCCAACTTTCAACCCAACGCCAGCAATATGGCCCCCTCTCCACTTCTGCACTAAGAATACCTTCAGTCATCATCATCGAAGATTTGGTACGTGTTCTGCAAAATTGTATCCACCACCCTGACTTGCCACCCGGCATCCGAGATGCTCGACCCGGGTGCGGTGCCCATAAGTGTCGGGCCAAAGACGATGGCCAAGTTCTGGGAGCTCATGCGGTTGGTCGACGAGTTCTCCATGACACGGTGCAGGTGTAGAGTAAGCGCCCGCAGGGTGGCATAGTTGGGGTCCGGGAGTCCGTTGATGATGGCGTGGAGTGAGTCGCGGCGGACGATGTCGTCCTCGTTCTCTACATGCGCTGTTAGAGAATGGAAGCCCAGAGAAGCCAAAGCGGGAGGAGAGGCGAGGTTGAGGATGGTCTTACTGGCTGCTTCGATAAATGCCAAGTAGTTCTCCCTCGTTAATAGCGGGTCCGGCAGGTCGCGGAAGAATTGCTTGAGCAACCCAGCTACACTGTTGACGTCGTGGAAGAAATTCTCGGGGTTGCGGAAGTCGAGGTTGCTGGACCCGGAGTCTTTGGAGCCAGTTAGCTAGGAGTCAAACGGCATCAATGTGGACATGAAGATTGATCAAGCATACCTGTATCGAACAGGTTCTTCAGCTTGTTCACGTGCGGCACGGAGCCAGAAAGCCGGTAGATACCCTCGACATTCAAGCCGAACAAATCCACGGCCTGAATGCACTGATACACCACCATAGGGACCGCCAGCCCGTCCCTCTCATAGAGTCTGGACAGGGAAACGCCAAACACCGGACGCGGCGGTGCCAACTGTGGCGGCGCCGCCGCCGGTAATTCCCCATGTGTTTGAGGAAGCCCCAAAGCAGGTGGCTTTTGTAGCGCGGTGGAAAGTGAGCTGCCCCGCTGTGAGGGGAGCTGTGTGTAGGAGGGTTGCTGGGACTGCGAGGTTTGGGCGGCCTGGAAGGGCAAAGCTCCCAGTTGCGGTGGCCCCTGGGACGTCGCAGAGCTGAATGATCCATTGAACCTGGAATTGGATGCCTGGGATTGTTGTTGTTGTTGTTGTTGTTGTTGTTGTTGCTGCTGCTGCTGCTGCTGTGGCGTGACCGGACCACGAAACTGTTGGCTTGCGGGGCCGCTGCTCTGATTCATGGTGCTTCCGTGGCTAAAGCTCCTCTCATGCTGGGGTTGGGAAGACGGTCGCGGTGGCCCGCCAAGCACGGGAATCGAGCCCACGCTCTGGCCATAGCTATGTCCTGAAGACGCTTGGTTTGGCGAAGGGACGGGAGAATCAGAGAAGGTGCTTGCCCGGGAACCTTGAAAGACACCTGGTGGCGGTGGCTGGTGCTGGACGGGGGCGGGAGGTTGCTGCTGTGGGACGGTTTGTGTGCTGGCTGGCGGTCGATGGGATGTCTCGAGGAGCTGACTACGTTAGATATCAGAAAATATCGGGGAGATCTGCGAACTTACATGATTGCGCTCATACTTTGGCACTCCTGTCCTCGGCGGGAGCTTGGAGTGTTGGTTGCTCAAATAGTCGTTCAAGTCCTTCTCATTATCAATGGCGAGGACGCTTTCACGCAAACTCCTCGTCTCAGATGACTGCTTCAGCGGGCTGATGCAGAGCCCGTTGCTCAGCACCAGCTTCTCGTTGAATGACGCTGCGAAACTGTCAGCAGCCGCGCTCCCGAGAGTTTGCCGGACCAACATACCAAACTTCTGCATTTGCAGCGCCAATCCCGAGTCGCACTCCCTCACGGTATCCTGGAGTGCCCGCACGGTTTCCGGCCGGGTCTTCGTCTCAAGCTCGCTCCTCTCCGAGGCCGCGACCTGGGCCTTGCCCTGGTAATCCTGGTCCGCCACCTGGACCTTCCGAAGCAGGTCCTCCTCGTGCTGAGCGCCCGACTTGTGCCCCTTGAACCCAAACATCTTGCCGCCCTGGCGGCCGGTTGTATCGCCGGTTCGCGCTCGGTCGTACTCCTCGGCGAGGCCATCGTACTTGGCCTTTGACTTGCGCATAGCCGTCTCAAGGTCGGCCACGCGCTGCTCAGCTGCCAGGCCACTCTGCTTCCATCCTTTCCGAGACCTTTCGGCGACAAGGGCTAGTTCAGTCAAGTCCTCGGCCATCTGGTGCAGCGACCTGGCGAACTGCATCCCGTTGTCGGCCATGCGTTCGTGCACCATCATCATCTCCTCGTACACCCTGGCGAAGCTGCCGTCCCGATGCTCTCCCCGCTGCACGTTCTCCTGCGACTGTCTGCATATCTTCTTGAGGGAGTTTGCATGTTCGTCTTCGAGGATCGAGCGCTTCTTGAGGAACTGCGCAAACTCCTGCGACCACAGTCAGAAGCCACACAGGTCATGGCGGACAGGGGACTTGCATACCTTTGTCGAGGCGATGCTCTGCTTGAGTCGGTTAAGCATCACCGGAATGCCAATCTATCATGAAGTGTGAGCACATTGCAGGCAACAGGTGATGGGGTCGCGACTGCGCACCTCTGATGTCAGAACATCGTGCACCTGCGAATTTGTCTCGTCGGGTCGAGAACTTGAGAGCTGGTTCGCGGCTGCATTTTCAGGCGGCGCCGCTCCTCCTTCTGCTGAAGACATGGTGCCGGTGTCAGTTGGACAAGCTTGTCGTCAATGACAACTCGCGAGGTTTGGTTTTCTTTAAAGAGCGAACGGCAGGATCGAGGTTCCATCGGGCATCACGGGTCGAGAGCACGAGACAGGGGTCGCAAACCAATGCGAACAACGTGGGGTCAGTGGGCTCTTGTTCGGTTGCTTGAGCCTGTTTTCCACTGAACTCAAGCGGCATAAGCTTCCCTGTCTCGTCTGCGTAAGGGAAGCCCAGGCACCATACCTTATACTGTAGGTATTGTGTAAGGTACTGGTACTTGTAAACACTCCATACCTGCTCTAACCTGATTCCCTCCACTGTTGACGCGTTTGTTGCTTGCAACCTGTCGACTCGAAAAACATTCGAGAATCCAATGGACTTGACCCTACGCCCGCATAAGGTATTCTACACACCTGCAGTATTGGCCTGCGTTGGGCTGGATGGCATGAGAGATGCAGTTTCAAGCTTGCCTCGGTCTCCAAGCGACATATGGGAACATAACCTGCGGTTCACGCACGCGACAGTCCGACAGCGATCAAGAGTCCCCTTTCTATTCGGCGGCCGAAAAAGGTCCAATTCTAGAGCAGCATATTCCACGGCGATCTTACAACAGTTCAAGGCATGTCGCCTGACATCCTGACGTCCGTCACTATGAGAGCATTGCCGAACTGGATGCGCCTGGGAAAGGAAACATACCGGCCCCGTTTCCGACCCTTTACCCAGCTGACCTGTCTCGGCTCCAGACTCGCCATCCAAACTTTCCGTTCTATCGGGAAGCCCCTGCCTTGGGAACACGGCAACTGATCACTTCGTTAGGGAGCTGCGTCTCGCGATGCTGGATTGCTGCGGAGTTGTGGCAGCGTATCACGGAGTTGCCCAGGCCGCTTAAATAATTTGTGTCATGGCACATCGTGAGCTCTATGAGGCGATAAACACTGTTCCACACGCACTCGTGAAAAGCCAGCTGACAGTCTGTCCGCGAACCACAACACCGGGCCACTCACGAGAACCAGCCTGGGAAACACTTGGCCGCTGTCAGAATCCGGTTCGCTACCAGGTAACACGGCTACATGCATGGCCGCATCCATAAGCCATGACTTTGCATCAGCTCTTCCTTCAGAGCCAACCACTAGGCGCCAATGTTTGTGAAGGGATTTTGCTCCGTCTACCAACCAAGAGTACCCGGCCGAGAACGCACCCATCCGGGCGGCAGTTGCACAACCTTGATATTAGCAGCATCAAATCCTCGGTTCAGACTCCGGTCATCGGCCATGAACCCTGGGGTTCTAGAAGCAGCGTGGTATCTATGTCACTGGGATATTCTGCCCCTGCCGGGAGAGAGCCTACGGGACCACAAACAGCCGGCTTGGTGCACGGTTACAAGAGGTACTTTTCCAGGTTCACACAACGGGCCCAAGACTGGTGGGACAGACTGATGCCTGCCCTGCACAGGTCCGGATATTCCCGACGTCTCACCGCAAGGCTATCACTGAGTCGTTCGTGGTATACAGCTATCAACGTCTTAACCCTTGCCGCTACCTAACTCCGATATTAAAAGCATTTGCATGCATCATGACACAACACTTAAATAAAGCCCTTCAGGACGGCGGCTTCCGCGTTTAGGATGGACGAGCCAGCAGCACCGATGACGGCTAGACGGCATTAGCAGGGCATTCCTAGACCTGCGACCAGGGGAACACTCACTGTTGTGGCTCAAGGCGACAAACTTGATGTCAAAAATTCCGCTCTCATCCTCCCTGATGCGGCCGACACTGACGGTATAGCCCTTTGACAGGTCGCGGTCCAGCCGGGGCTGCGGCCTGTCGTCCTCGTCAAACACCTTAATGGGCGGCTCGGGCGCCGAAGGGCAGCCCAGCCTTTGTGCCTCGGAGACGTAGCTGCGCATGGCCTCCTTGACCTGCTCGGCCGTTGGCGGCGGGCGCTGGGCGAAGCGGAGCGACACGCATGCCGTGTGACCGTCCATCACGGGCACGCGGTTGCAGGAGGCCGACACGCGCAGCGTCGTCTGATCCTCAAAGGCGGTCGCCTCGGCGTTGATGGTGCCCAGGATCTTTTGCGCTTCCGTCTCGAGCTTGTCCTCCTCGCCCTTGATGAAGGGCACCACGTTGTCGATAATGTCCATGCTGCTCACGCCGGGATACCCCGCGCCCGAGACGGCTTGCATGGTGACGACTGAGACGGTGTCGATCTTGCCGAAGCGGGCCTGCAGCGCCGCGAAGGGGATGACGAGGCCGATGACGGCGCAGTTGCTGTTGCACACGAGGAAACCCTTTCGCAGGTTGTGCGTCTTGCGCTGGTGCGGGATCAGGTCGAGGTGGCTGAGGTTGACGGTGGGCACGACGAGCGGCACCAGCGGGTCGCGGCGGTGGTTTTTAGCGTTGGAGAAGACGGCCAGGTTGGCGAGCTGGAATTCCTTCTCGATCTCGCCGGCCACGTCGCTGTCGAGGCCGCTGAAGACAATGTCGCAGTCGGCGAACTCGCTCGCCTTGCACTCGCGCACCACCAGGTCGCCGACCTCGGGCGAAATGGGGCTGGCCTGCTTCCACCGCACGGCATCGCGGTACTTCTTGCCGGCCGATCGTGACGAGGCGCCGACGGCTACGAGACGGAGCGACGGGTGTTGCTGGAGCAGCAGGATGAACCGCTGGCCGACCGAGCCGGTGCAGCCCAGAACGCCTGCCGAGAGAGAAAATATTGTCAGTCGATTGTCTTTCTGAGACTACTACACCAAGGTAGAAAACAAGGATGTGTCTCGGCCGCTTACCGCAATTTTTGGTGGGCAATTGAGACATGTTTGATTCTGCAGGTTGTTGGGCGACTGGCTCTACACAGGTGGCTTTTAACCACTGCAATTGGGAAGTTATATATCGAATATCCGGTAACAAGTGAGTCAGTCGTCCCCAATTTGGCCTCGGTGTCTGAACTTTTTGTTCGCCATCCCGTTCAGTGCCCCGCCACGCCCCGCAATCGGAGCCGGTGGAGACCGTGGGGTCCCGTTCGGGTTCATCACAGGGGCAGCGGTCCACCGAGTCACCGGCCGCCTGGGAAACCGTAGGGCTGGGTCCGTGTGGGACGGAAAGAGATACCTGGAAAAGAACTTTCACGGGTCTGTCATCGAACCCCTTGATCTAAAGCAGCCACTTTCAAGTAAACAAATCACCCCTCGGTAAAACCAATGTCCAGTAATTGGTTCCCATAATCAGAAAAAGAAGCCGCAAGAGACTTTATGAGAGGTAAGGTACTTTGGGAGCCAAAGGAAACTCTTCGTCACGCGGTTTCACACATCCCCTTTCGACACCGATCCCACGCGACACACCCTGCCCATGGCATCAAGCCCTCGACTATTCGAGATCCCGCGTCGAGACCACGAGCGTCTCAAGGCGCTGTTCTTTTGTAGCAATGGAGCTGCCAAGCAAAGCCACGGTGATCAAGAAAAACCGCTGCCCCACAGCTTTCACAACAAGTCGGTGAAGCCGCGCCTGCCTGCAATGCCCTGCATGCTGTCAATCCTGTGGCACCAGAAGTGCCGGCGTACGGATATTGATAACCATGGAAGACCTCAAAGAAGGTGCTTCTGGCGAGTGACACCGCCTTAAGTCAAGGCTCTCAACAAGCAGCAGGCCATCCGGTGGCGTCCTCCATCGTCCCGCCATTCAAACGCCAAATGTAACGTGCGCCTCGACACGTTCGTCCTATTGAGGCGACGCCCAGACCTTCGCGAAAGTAATCTTCCAAGGCTCCGCACAGCTCGCATTAGCTCCTTCCATTGGACAAGGATTACGGAGACCATCCTTTTTCTTTTTAAAGATGACCCCTGGCAGCAGCATGGCGGCCTTGTCGCTTTTCCCAATTCTCTGGAAAGCGCTGCTGGTTTCTTGGGGCATTTGATCAAGTGATGAGCTAGCGTTGTTTCTCATTGTTGTATGATTTCATGCTTTGACATTTTTGGCTCATATTCGTGGTTGAAAGAAAGGTGAGATTTCAGAAACGCATTATTTAAGAGTGTCAAGCACGAGCCTGGAGATCGGGGGTTGACTGGCAGCAACTAAGAATATAATTTGAAGCTTACAGAAAACCAGAAATCTTGCCATGGCAGCTCCTCCAAGAGATGACCCCTGGAGGGCCGTCGACATGATCAACCAGTCACCCCCCGTCGACTGTTCCAAGCCCTACGACACATCCACCCTGGCCGACAAGACTATCCTCATCACAGGCGGCGCGTCTGGCTTCGGCGCAGCCTTCGCCCGCCACTGGGCCCGCTATGGCGCCCATCTCATCATCGGCGACGTCAACGATCGCGCAGGCGAGGAACTCGTCGCCGAGCTGCGTTCATCGTCAAGTCCAAACCAGCTCATCCTCTACCAGCATTGCGACGTGACCTCGTGGAGCGACCAGCTTGCTCTCTTCAAGGCCGCCGCGTCCTTATCCAAGACCAAGTCCATCGACGCCGTGGTAGCCGGCGCAGGAATTGTCGAGAGGGGCGACCCAGTCACGCCGTCAGCCACCTCCACCGTCTTCGACCTCCCGCACGCGCTAGACTCCGACACCACCACCACCCCACCACCCCCGCCCCTCAAGGTTCTGGCTGTCAACCTCACGGGCGTCATGTACACGACCCACCTCGCCCTCTACTACCTCCCACTCAACGCCCACGGCGACCGGCACCTCCTCCTCATCAGCTCCATCGCAGGTCTGGTGCCGCTGGCCGGGCAGACAGAGTACACCGTCTCCAAGCACGCCGTCATAGGCCTGTTTCGCGCGCTGCGCGGGACGGCGTGGACAAAGGGCATCCGCGTCAACGTGCTGACGCCCTACTTTGTCGACACGCCGCTGCTCCCCACGCCCGCGCTGGCGCTGCTAGCGGGCGGCGCCAAGGCTGAACTGGAGGATGTAGTTGATGCCGCGACCCGGCTGATGGCGGACGAGGGGATACGCGGCAGGGCGCTGCTGGTGGGGCCCGAGATGAGGGTTGTTGATGAGGAGGAGCGGGGAGATGGGAGAAGGTTGCGGATGGTGGAGGGCGAAGGGAGGCAAGATGGGGAGAGGAGGCAGGCGGTTTGGGAAATTTATGGGCATGATTATGAGCGAGTTGAGACCTTTGTGTGGAGGTACTTGGCTGTGTTGAACGTCATGAGGGGCATTAGGGGGTGGGTGGGATTGGTGAGGGATATGTTGGGGATATGTTTCGGGAAGAGAAAGAGGGGATAGAGGGCTTAGCCGGTTGGTCGTGGGATGCCTTGGACTTCTGGGGGCTATTAGACTGCTTGGGGCATGATAAAAGCGGAGCGTGTGTTTTGAACCTAGCATCCTCGCACTTTGCATCGTGCGATTTGGGCCTTCGTTGCTCCGAAATAGTCATTCCCATGCGCCCCCTGTATTTCCCTCTTGACGGCTTTCATGCATCATACAAATTTACGCCCAGCGCGGCAGCCTTCTTCTACCCCATCTATCTCAAACTCCTTATAGCACACTCAGTACCGTCAAGCAACCTTACCATTTCTGGGGTAGGTTGCAAAGTGACAGGAACATCAATTTATGTCTGGACCAGATCACGGTCGTTTACTCACATCACGCCTTGCCACCATATGAAGCTGCAATATAAAGCGTGCCAGAACTCGGGACAAGCACATACGACCATACCTGTTGGAGAATTCGGGATCCCGTCCGCTCTCCCCTCGACAAACCAACAAGGGCTCGAGTAGTAGTTGGGTCGGTGACGACCAGCGAATGCCGAGTGTTGTATGTTTTTGTTTTTGCCCTTGATTTCACTTTACTTCGTAATAATCCTAGTAAGCTAAGTAGTCTTTGTGTGGTTTCGCGCCTGCTTGAACTCGGTAAAAGGCTTTCGAAAAGTAATCCAGTGTCGTCCCAAGGACAAGCCAATGAATAAGGTCAATTTCGGAAGACTTGAATATCTCTTGGATATCAGGATTGTTGGGAAGATAATGGGGAAAACCAGGTCCAGAATCCGATTTAAGAGTTTCTTTCTACATTTTTACGCCAATTCCTAGCCGGCAACATACTTTGAATTTGGAGAAGTCTATAACTAACACGGAGGCCCGCATCCGGAGACCAACGGCGAATCTGGCTCCACCCGACTTAACTTCCGCGGCCGATCGGAGGCTAAAACGTCCACTTCCCCACTTCTCGGGCCTTCCGGGCCCGCCCAGGCAACGCCATTCCATCCTGGACCACGCCAGTTCTTAAAATCCCGAGGCGTATCGGAGCACCAATCTGCAGAACTGAGACTTGACACTTCACCCAAGCCTATCTTTCCTTCAGCTTCTGTCCATAATCATCATCCTTTAGTGGATTCCTGATCGTCTGCCTTGCAAAACCAGTTTCCGTACAACAAAACCCGGGGCGGGCATGGAGACGACAGAGGGTCGAGACCAAGCGGCCTCAGCCCCACGCGGCCCACGCATTTCCAACGCCTGCGAGGCATGCCGCGCCGCTAAGGTCAAGTGTCAGGCCAGCACCCAACTGGGCATATGCAAGAGGTAGGCTGTAGGCGGGTGGGCGGGGTGTCCCTCGTGTCGTTAGATATTGCGCCATCTTCTCTTCAGCTAAAGTACCAATATTCCCTTACTGACTTGCCTCTTGACAGATGCCTCGGTTCCAAACGCGAGTGTATCTTCAAGACTGGACCTCGGACCAGACGGCCTAGGCAGCCGAAGCGGTGAGCTTCCCTTCTCCTGTCTCCGTCTCTTGGGGCACTTCTTGACCTGTTGGCCATTTCCATCTTCCCTATCGACCTCTCTTCGTAGTATTGACCTCCTTCAAGCCAGAACCCAACAGCAGGCTCTGCGTCCTCCTCCTCTTCTACCACCGCACCCCTTCGCTACCCACCCCCACCAGGACCGTCCCAGACCTTCACTATCGACATCCCCATGCCCGCGGATGACGACATAACCGACTCCCTCGAGGCCCTGCGCCTGACCCACGATAAGGCCATCGATATGCTCGTGCCGCACATCTCCGACGGCAACGAGGATGACTATGGCATCGATTACGACCAGGAGGAAATGGACTACGACTGGCTTGACCAAGCATCTGCATCCGGCGCAGACGGCTCCGTGCTCTCGCAGGCCTCATCGCTACCCGTAGGCGCGTCAGCGCTGTCCACGCCGCCTAGTAGTGCCCTTCCTCCAACGCAGCATCGGGAGCAGGATCCGCCGGCGGGAGGCGGGGACGGGGTGAAGGCGTCGAGATTGAGGATGCTAGCTAGTTTAAGACTGCAGCCGCAGTTCAATCTCGACTCAGCAGCAAAATTGCTCGAGACCTTCAGGAAGACCATGCTGAGTCACTTTCACTGCGTTGTGGTAAGGGAGGAGGATACGGTTGCGAGCATGGCCAGGGAGAGGCCGTTTGTTTTGCTAGCAGTGCTGGCGGCTGCGAGTGGCAGTCGGACACTACAGGGTCATAGTCTCTATGACGAGGAGTTTAGGAAAATTCTTGGGTTAAAGTTTGTGGCGGGGGGTGAGAGGACGTTGGAGCTGCTTCAGGGGTTGGTGATTTACATTGCCTGGTGAGAACATCTCTCCAGTTTCTGCGTTCTTTTCCCAGCTGACCGTCCAGGTACCCGTTCCATCTGCGACCAAGGAACAGACAAGCTCTTCAGTACATACGGATGGTTGTCGATATTGTCAGCGACCTTGAGCTGGACCAGGACCCTGGCACCGATTCAATGGAAATCACCCCTACCCCTGAACGACTCGAGCAGATCAGACTGTACCTCGCAAGCTACTACCTGGCCTCAGCGTACGCCACCCCTCATGAACTACTGCCCAACCCTTACTGATTTCATTCCCAGCTTCGCCTCCACATGGAGCAGGTCCCCGCCACTGACCTACACTGACTACACCGCCCGCTGCTGCGATCTCATCCAACACCACAGCCGGCTGGAAGGAGACCACGTCCTGGCCTGGCAAGTCCGCCTCGAGCGCCTCGTCGAAGAGACCAACGACCTGCGCCGCACGCAGCGCGGGCATTCCCAGAGCGAGTACCAGATCGGCCTCATGATCCGGGGCATGGAGACGGAGCTGGCCGAATGGGAGACTAACATGAACCCGGATATTGCCTCAGTGTCGTCGATCCGCATCGGCGTCCTTTTTACGCGCGTCTTCCTGTCCGGCGCCCCGTTGCTGAAGCTGCCGTCGGTCAAGCTGCCCCCGCTGGATTCGTCGTCGGCGTTTCGCGCCGATTCGCAGAGGCTGATGTCGGTAATACCAGCGCTGCACGAGCTCTACGAGTACCTCCTCTCGCTCGACCCAGCCGACGTTAATTCCTTTGTCGGCATCGAGTGGGGCGCGCTCATCCTGTCTGTCATCCTCGGGTTCCGCATGTCCTTTCCGCTTGCCGTCTGTCCTGAGTGGGATGACCGCGCGGCGAGGGAGGCAGTCAGGTTTGGCGAGTACATTGACAGATTCTGCGAGATGGGACGTTCAAAGGATGGAGAGAGCGGCGCGGAGGTCAAGGCCAGCGTGGCGGCGGCTAACAACGACAACGTCGCACCCGCGCTGGGCGGCCAGCAGAGGAGCATGGATGTCCTCACCGCGAGCAAGATTGTGCTGGACATGGTCAAGACGAAGTTCATGAGGCGGGTCGCCAAGCTGGAGGGTCTAGCCGCCGCTCAGCAGAGACAGCAGCAACAGCACGTAGCGGCGATGCTGGCAGAGGCGGCGCCACACCCGCTGCCAATGCAGTCTTCGAATGCGCACGATCCAGCCGTGGGCGGATGCCCCATGATGGATGGCAGTCTGGAGGCCTACTACAAGTACTGGGACGAAACTTTCAGCAACAACCTGGTTGCTGCCAGCACATCTGCTGCTACCGGAAGGCCAGGAGGAGCAGACGACACGGGGCAAGTCGGGGTAGAGTCTGCCGGGGCTGGCCTGCCGAACGACTTGTGGACGGCCTTGACGATGGGGTGGGCTCAGGAGGGAATGAGCTTCAACGGCCTATGAAGGCTTCTCGTGCATGATTCGCGCTGTTGTGGGAAAGGTCCTGTGATCTCTGACTGATGAAATGCTCCGTTCCGGCAATACTTGGTTGAGGCCCATCAACCTTGTCCGCATCAGGTGCCTGCCTCTGATGTTGTGATACTATCGCGCAAAGACAGCGTCTGGTATATCTGAGGTGCTCAGAGCTCAGGTACCCCTCCCGCGACGAGTACCTGAGTCTTCATGTTAGAATCGTGTTGTTGACACCAGACACGGCCATATCCTGCGCCTCTCTAATATCTGGCAACTGGTTATGACTTGTACCTCACCTCCCACATGGCTCTTCTGGTCTCAAGAACCTCGTCGCTGAGTGAGCGTACCCAACTAGCTTGCCGCCACCATTAGCGGTTATCCTAGGGCGATGGGAATGCCCATGCATCAAACACGTGTAACCTCTCGACCCTGATTGTGGTGGATAAAAGAGAACAAGGCGAGGGTGGCATGAAAGGTGGAGAGCATTTGTCTTGCCTCATACGCAAGTCAGAACCGTGTTGACCATTTGTTGGACTGATGGCTCCTTGGCCCTTGGCCCACGGAGAGCAAAGCTGAATGCCCGTTGACTGGCGATATAAAGACATACTGTGTACGGAGTACAGTTTCCCCCTGGTCTTCTCGTTAGCGGCTGACTTTGACGACCAGGGTCCTCCAAGTTCTCAAACTCAACAGTACAACGGCCTATCTCTGTGCAATAAAGACTGTTTCAAGTTCAGGTGAGTAAGTGAATCTCAGCTTTTCTCTATGCTCAATCTTTCTGGGTTCAATCCGAGTAAATGGCTGTTGAAATAGCAAATCTCGAAGGATAGTAGCGTGACTTGACCTCTGTCGCGGTTTCGCGCTAACAATAAAGCTAGGGTAGAACTGCAGGAAATTACGGATTACAGACATTTATCGCTGATACGGGCACCAACAGGCCCCCATTGTTGTCATCCACATCACACACCCCACTTTCAGAGTTGCAAACAATGGCTTCTGATTGATTGAATTGCTGTTGCAACCACCTTTGGCGCGCCGGTTTCATCCACTGGCATCTTGCGCCAAGAAGAGAGCCCAGACCATGAGATCCGCAGAAGCTTGTCTCGCATCGTTCGACGTCCATGTCTGTGCGCTTTTGAGGCCACCTTACAACCCCATTCGTTGTTCGGTCCACACTCGTCCCTGTTCGCCCGATCTTTTCCGGCGGGGAGAAGACCTGCGATCAGGCTTGGAGATCCGGTGTGGTGTGTCGCCCAGGTTTGTTTGGGATGCCTGCACCTCTCCCCAGTGATACAGATTACTGGACGAAAGTACATCTGCTGTCGCGTGCAACAGTTGGAGGACCCAGTGACTCGTGGCTTTGCTGAGTGTCTATGTTCTGTTGCTGCGAGGGTCCGATTCATGGGTCGAGGAAGCAGTACCCGACGGGTCCCAGCCCTGCAAGGTGAAAGCGCATCGTCGCTCAGCAATGCTCGATTTTGGCCGACGATTTGCGTCCGAGGTTTCAAAAATGGTCTGCGGCAGCACGACCAAATGAAACCAGGCACGCCGAGGCATGTGTCTGCCAAAGATCATCAAAGATCTTTGCCCAGGTTGGTGATGCGCAGAGGCGTACATACATTTTCCCTCCTTGGCTCTTCGCTTCCTGGGTCGAGACGGAATCGAGGGTGTGGCATTGCTCATGCTTCCGCTTCAGGGGGTTTGGAGTTCGCTGACCGAACGGTTATGCATGCCACAAATGCCGAGACCAACAGCAGGGGGTTCCATATGATCGTGAACGCAGAGAAGCCGGAGGGTGGCTGCATGCCGGGAACACAGCACATCCTCCTTGGCTACCTACAGTACGTAAATGCTCATCCTCAGGCAACAATGCCGGCAGCAGAACCCCACAGACCTGCAATTTGGTGATGGAAAGATTTTGCAATCGATGACAATCATGAATCCGTGCGACGTTTACGTCGGCGCGTCATCGTGCCAGCCATTCATCGGTTTGTTTTCTGGATGAAGCCCCTGCGGAATAACCAGCGCGTGACTGAAATATCAGCTCCTGTTGGGCAACACTGTTATGACTTGAATTCGGGGCGCCAGGCTGTGGGTTGAACAGCAGAGAGGTTTGTCGTACTTGTATAATATCGTCGCTCCGCCGTGCTGCTTCCACAGCACTGACTGATGGATGAGAGCAGAGAAACTAGCATACAGTCTCCCTGGTGGTGGGGAGGAACTCGACCGCAGTTGTACTCGAGGCCCAGCCGCAAACTGGTTCCTTCCCGTCATTGTCGATGCAATATTGTAACTTATCACAGCTTACCTTGAAAGTAGGGTGCTGCACTACGCGCGCCAACCCCACGACTGGATGAGGATGGTGTGCTCGGCAGGGCTGCAGCATGTACTGCGCTTGCCTGCAGTACATCGTCAAACGGGTCTGTGGACTGCTACTGGGAATCGCTGCCGTGTAGGAAGTCGTGACTGTGGTTCCTTGCCCGTACCTCGGTCAGCGCTGATCTGGAAAGCGAAGCTGGGTCGAGAACCATGGCAACAGATCGACTCACTCAAATCAGGCAGGACTCAAATTGAGTGCTGGAATGGCTGCCATCTATCATGATACTGTAGGGAGTTGATTAAGGCTATCGCCTCCTGGCGACAGGTTGATTGGTGGTGCTTTGCCTGTTGATGACTGCCTTCCTTTGTTTGACCTCAAACGGCTGCTTTTTCTTGAGATGTGAGTAGTGACAAAACACCTAAGTCGGCCCTCAATATAAGGTGTCTAACTCAAAAAGAACCCCTTCCAGTTATCTCCCACCTGGGACTGAACCCCACCTAGAAATCACGTCGCCCTGACGAGGCCGCTTATCTCGCCCGAGTGAGAGTAACTATGCCCTTGCTTTTCATGGCTCCCGTCTGTTTCTGCCGCCATGTTAGACAGTGTTTGAGCCGTACGGGATCACAATGAGCAGTTGAATCTGCTCCTTGGCGCTGCGTCGCCTGCAGGCCCCGTCTATGACCCCGGAGCCAGGGATTTCAAAGATGGGCATAGCGCTCTTCGATAACGTTATCCATACCCTGCTCGGCCACCTTCCTGTTCGGCCAGCCTCATTTCCACCAACTTGACTCGAGATCTCATTAAAATCAGAACGTCTACCACGGCAACCCAACTTGCTCAATTCTCTCCCAAACACCCTTTCCCAATTCCCAACAACATGCCGATGAACAGGTGATAGTGTCACCGCTCCTTTCCGGCAACGATAGCGTCGACAATGGGCTGCTCGGGCCTCTCAAGCGGCTATAGCGGCGGCTAGGGAGGTCAGCAGCGCGGGGCCTAGTCTAGCACTAAAACAATCACGTTTTCGACAAGAAGGACACCCACAAGCCACGACCGTCCCACGAAAGCGACAACCGACAACCGACATCTGGACCTCGAACCCCCTATATTTTAGTGGGTAGAGCGCTATATTATAGGAGTTAAAGGAAGGAGAACTGTTGAGGGCGATGGGGGCTTTGGGGAGGGTAATGATTGGAATATTTGTTTTCGCTGAATTGATTCAGCTCGAATGCCATGCATTTGGTGCTTTCCAGGCTTAATTTGAACCAATTGTTGTCATGCTGTTTGTTGTGTTTTTGCTTGCGAACTGAGTGGCCGAGCCGAGTATATGGCTGAACAGGGTATAGTGACGTTACCATATACTAACTGACCTTTAACCCAGCGCACCAAATTCTTGGGGCCGGGTGCAGCTGGTGTATTTCCCCTCCTGCAACTCAAGTCGGAAGGGTGGTACGGCAGGTGGAATAACTCAACCATCCATTCAGCCCCTCACCGGTCTTCGTCGAGGCTCTCGGAGCACACCCTTTCGTCTCTTTCCGTCGGAGAGCCGCGGGCGAGGCATCGACACATGGCTTTTGTGAGAGCTGTGTGGTTATCCACGGAAACATCTCCCCTCCGGGCCGAGCGTCTGCCGCCCCTCCATCAAAGACGGAATCGTGGCGTCCTCGACAGAGACCCAACGACTGTTCTGGACGGTGTTTCGAAGCAAAGCGTCCAGGGTTCCGGCCTTCAAAGCTGATGGTAATGCGACCACGGGGTTGCATTGCTAGTGGTCTTCCACTCAAGCCCGATCCTTCGAGGTTGCATCGACCCAACCGGTGAGGCTTCCTGCTGTTAGCTGCATAATTGACCACACATTATCCGTGGGCAAGTTGCCCCACTTCGTTGAAACTGATCTCCCCGGTGAGGGTTATAGGTGCAACTTGCAGCTAACATCAGTCTAGATTTCAACCAAACACCGATACCAATGCAGTACAAGCGATGAATTGGAGGATACTTTCTTTTCAAATAGAAGATAGTGCTTAGGAAATTTGAAGTGTAGATTGATAAAGTAGTTGAGCTTTTGTATTGATCAAGTACTTCGGCTGAGAGAAGAAAGATATTAAGCAAGACTAAGTACTCTTCAACAACCTTAAACCTCTTATAAGAAATAGGACCGTCTTAATAACTACTTGGCCAATCTACTCAAGATTCTCAACTAGTATCTTATAGCTGTAGAGAATATACAAACTAAATTTGATACGTTATCAACGCCTTGTTGCTGAGTTCTAGCTGTTTGGGCTTGCTAATAGAGATACTGGAAGTACTGTGGTAAATGGCACCTATAACCCTGTCCAAGCACTGATGTTGCGTCCGGGTCTCTTACCCCACTCTCCGCAGGAGAGTGGGCAGATTTAACAAAGTGGGTCTATCTCCCCCACCATACCTAAGCACACTGTCGGCTCTTATCATAACTTGCTTTTTGCCGCTTGCCTGTCAACTGGAGATTCCTTACCTGTTTGTTGTGATGCTACTGAACCATAAGATGTCTCATAGGAGCCAGCGGTTTATCCATTTGGAGAAGATTGTTAGGAGTGAGGGCACTCTGGCCAGAGTTTCTTTTTGAAGGCTGCACCTCTCCTGCGGTGCTCGATGTGCTTTTCGTTTCGACCTGCGGCGTGAGCCTCGTTGTGGGTACCGTACTGTGGAGCAAGCCCCTGCTGGAGACTGGCTGTGCGGCCGGCCATGTTGGGCTTAGCGTTCTGGGCTCTCGTCCCAATTGGTTAAACTGGTTACATGGTTTGGCCCAGCAGAAGTTTCTCTCGACTCCTGATGAGATGATGACGGGGAGCTTGTGAGGATCCCGCCGGTTGTCACATAATCCGACAGTTAAGGCAAGCGCCCAGCTGCGGCCAAGACATATTCAAATGGCGTCGACATCTCGCGCTACCTTTGGGCACGGATAGTCCTACGTCCGTTTACACACATTAGAGTCACAAAAAAGACATGCTGGCCTAAAACTTTCCATTTGTATGTGAACGGAATGCCGAGCGACCGAACTTGCACTGTATATATTCCTAGCACTAACATGTACAGTAAGATTGGTAATTACAGAACCAGGCTAAGGTGCGACAGAAAGCTTCCTCCCATTGACTATGCGCAACCCAGCGAGTCCCGTCCCCCTCCAGTTGCTCGCCGAATCCAACCCCAATGTGACGGCTCTCTGCACGCACTGCACAAAGCTCCCGTTCCCCCCCAACCCACACCAGATCTTTCTCCAACCCCCAACTTTTCCCTCCAAGTCATCTTTCTCCTTGCGCCGTGGTAATTTGTACCTACACCCGCGCTCCTCCACCCATTTGTCTTATTGCGCGCGTGCCTCAGCCGTCGTCATTTTATTTTATCTCTTCCATCAGCTTGGTGTCGGGTCCGCTGTCGCGTCCCAAGTGATCGATTTCAACAAACCACAGCAGCGCTCATTACGTTGCGGTCGGGTACCTGGCAGCTCTCTCCACCAGCTGCCGCTCCCGCGCACGCTGCGCGTTTCCACTCGTTCTCACCACTCGATCATCGCGATCGCCGCCACGACTCCCACCTATCCAAAACGCCTGCTTCTCAGCGCGACGCTGCATGCATCGCGAGGCATGAACGGGGATCACAACCCGCCCAGTGCAATTCCTGGCGCGCCCGTCAACGGCTCTTTCGCCGCTCTGTCGTCGAATCGCGCGACCTTATTCCCCGCGACCGCCCCTGCGACAAAGAATACAATGGCTGTCCCGGCCTTTCTTCCTCCTGCGCAGGCCTACCGCCCGCCCGCAGCCTCCCAATCAGGCTACAAACCGTCGCTTCCGACTGCCAGTTCGTTTGATCGCGACACCAAAAAGCCAATGGGCACCCCGTTGTCCGTTACGCCGCCAACCCTCTCGTCGGCGCTGATTCGAAACCTCCCGCTCAACACCTCGGAGGAGTCGCTGCGCCTGATGATGGTCTTCTCCAAGGACCTCGTCGATGTCGAGGTGTTGCCCGCCGAGCAATCGCCCGATTCAGGCTTTCGGTCTGCCATTTTGAAGTTCAAAAGCCCCGCAGGCGCCCAGGAGGCCAAGAACATGCTTGATGGCAAGTCCAATATCTCGAACGACGCCGAGATGATTGTCGAGATCCTGGGTAGCTCAAGCCCGACGGCCTTGGGAAACCCGTTCCCCTCTAGTACAACCATGTCTACGAGCGTATCGAACGCGACTGTCTCTACCACTCCGTCGGCCCCGTCGTCAAGGCAGACATCTCGATTCAACGGCACCTTCCAGTCCCTCGAAAAGGCCTCGCCCCCGATGAACACAATTTATGGAGATATGGCGGGCCACGAGCCTGGCGCGTCTTACCAGAACCTTTTTGGGCCCCAGTCGCCGATCGGCAACCACCTCGCAAACGGCACCCGGATCACCAGCAAATCGCTTATCGATTCCGCCGATGACGATGAGACCAAGGAGCTGCTCAAAGATCCTGTTGGCTTCGCTGAGAACGGCCTGCACCGCCGACAGACCGCTCCTCAGCTTCCCATCTCTCGCTTGGCCGGCCTGTCACTCAATACAACCCCAAGCCCCGCCGCCGTACATCCGCAGATGCCATACTACGGCCATGCAGGCATGGGCTCGCTATCTGGACTGTCGAACACCATGTCGCCCACGGCAATGGCTAGCCCTGGACCGGGATACAATCCCCCAATACCGCACCGAATGAACAACTTCCCTCCCGCTAACCCCGCCGATCAAAACCCGCCGTGTAACACGCTCTACGTCGGCAATTTACCCATCGACACATCAGAAGAGGAACTCAAGGCAATGTTCTCGAGACAGCGAGGATACAAGCGTCTCTGCTTCAGGACGAAACAGAACGGACCCATGTGTTTCGTTGAGTTTGAGGATGTCACTTTCGCGACCAAGGCTCTGCACGAGCTTTACGGACAACCGCTTCACAACAGCGTGAAAGGCGGCATCCGCCTGAGTTTCTCCAAGAACCCGCTTGGCGTCCGTTCCGGACAGAACCAGGGACAAAACGGAGCAGGCGCCATCAGCGGCATGAACGGAATGCATTCTGGAGCCGCTGGCGGATTTACAACAGCCAACGGGCCTCCGCCCGGGTTGACGGCCCCTCCCGGTCTCAGCGTCAATCGCGGTGGATACACGGCATCCCCCAGCCTCGCAACCGGCACGACTGGCTCGTACACCTACCCCACTGTCTCTAATGGGTCGAGCAACCCTTGGGGCGGAATGTACGGCGGAAACGGACCCATGATGGCCGGCACCGCTTCAGCGTTTCCGCCGTATATGATGGGCCGATGATTGTTCATTTTACGGACCAACATCTTGTTTGGGAGGTTCGGTTTGTTGATCGGCATCGTTCTCTTCGGGCCTCTGCTCATTTTGGAGCCGATTCCATAGCGCCCTCCTGGTCGAGGGTCCAGTCTGCGCGACACCAAAGGGGCCAGGCAACACTGCACACTACACGGAACCAGATGGAGCGACGCGCACGACTCCCACCATGCATTGCTTCTACGCTGTGGCATTTCCACACTGCACTCATCGGCGTATGGTCTGGGTTTTGGAGTTCTTTTGTTTTCGCACCGATGATTCCCAAATTCGCTGTGTTTCTGCTGAAATTTCGATGTTTCATTTGTTGGCGGTCTGGCTTGGTTCCGTGGACGGCATCAGAATCTTAGAGGCTTGTTTTCCTATCCCTCCGGGTATTGGAAGAGAGCACTCATATACTTGGGGCCCCTCCGTTGGGTCATTGCTTGTTCCGCGGCTATTTAACCACATTGAGTTTCGCACATACACAATCATGGCTAGCAGGGCGCAAGGTCGGATGGGAAGGTGAAATAGGAGAAGGGGCTATGGCTCACGGCGTCTTGTCGGTTTTGACATTATCATCAACATACCGGAGGCGAGCATTAATCAACGGCACGGATCTCTTTGTGGTCATCGGGAATCCGATAGGAGTTCTGGACAAGGTGGCCGTGGGTTCGAGCACCAGGGCGGCGTGCGGAAAGGGGGTTTTCTCTTTGGCAACGGGACAAGACAAAGACAGTCGGCGCTTTTCCATTCACATGCGCGGATGTTTAAGACGAAGCAAGCTCCTCGACCACGAGCATTTGTGGCGGTGACCACTCGACCGGAAATACAACCGCGTCCTTCACCGAGAAACAAAAAACGCAACGTAAGAAACCATCATCATATTGCGGACAAACACTGGCACATCGCATTGGAGATACCGGCTAAAGACTCGGCAAGGGGGGATTGATACATCATTGGCGCTTTACACACACCTTTGTCAAGAGTATTGCATCGAGGTCTTTTTTCATCTGGGGCCGGCCGTGGCTTCGCTTCATCCCGGTTGGATGGTTTTGCATTCGGCGGCCAGATCTTCTATCTTCCGTTTCTCGATTTTCCCCCATGATCATGACCTCGTTTCTCTTCGGTTTCCCAGCTGAAGTTGCCATACTTGAAACGCGACCCAAACCGCGTTTTACGTGTGACACTCGCAGCCTGGAATGTTCGACCCGCATGTGCTACTTGGTGCTAGCATTTTTGTTTGTTCTCTGAGCGGGCTTACATGGTGGTGGTGTTTATTTGGTCCGGCCAAATCATACCTTTATGTTATTTGTCTCTGTGGGGGTTTTGCTGGTATAAAATGGTTCACTGGGGGGATTCGATACCTTGGGAGGGATTTATGGCCTGGGTTTTTTCTGCTCTTTTCTGTGACAGATTTCATAGGCGCGTCGGAGTTCGTCCTCTTTCAATTCTTGATCCATCCCTGTTGGGATTTCCTGTTCGTCTACCCACCTGCCGCGGCGAGAGTTGGTAGTAGTGGCTGCGAAAAAAATGTATCCAATGTCAGCTTGCGGCTTGTGGAAGAAACTCAACTCACCACGTTGTCCACTGTCTTACTGCGAAATGCACCGGGCAACAAGCGGGTTGACTTTCGGTAGCCCTGGATGATATCGATACGTCTTCTGGTCATGCCACCGCCGTACGCTCTCGATTAGAGGTAGCTTCCACAGTGGTCGAAATTAATTGAGAAGTTCGTGCTGTCTCCAACTCTCCAATGCATTTTTTCGATCGGTGGCCATGGATTGGCCTTCGCACTGCGATCCGCCCCCTTCCTGACGCTTCCTGCCGACCCTCAAGAGCGGGATGTTGGCACCATTGGATAACAAACACAGTGTATACAGCGAGGGAAGCTCACAGACACAAAAAGGACGGTGAAGGCAGGAAAATAAAGACATACAACACTCGGCATTCGCTGGTCGTCACCGACCCAACTACTACTCGAGCCCTTGTTGGTTTGTCGAGGGGAGAGCGGACGGGATCCCGAATTCTCCAACAGGTATGGTCGTATGTGACAGTCAGATGGCGAAGGCTGGATTATCAGTTGAAGTTCAGGGCTTGGTGATCGGAGTGAAGGAAAGCTTGCAGAGTTGCTTCTGCGTGGTGAGCATTGGAGACTTCGGTCGCCCAATATTGTTCCAATTCCAACTTCACCGGCTTGCTACCTTGGTTTTACCCAGGCCACAGACAATACCATGGAGTTCAAACCATATCGCAGCGGGACGAAGAGCGGGACATTGTCATACTTCTAAGAGAATACAAATTCGACCAGAATCAGGCGCGTCCACCACCCTCCCCCAACCCTACGATCGTCACTAAACTACTAAATACCGAAAAAAGGGCATGTCATTGACCAGCTGAGCGCATTGAATTTGAGAACCTCATTGCCAAGACGCAGAATAGTAAAGGACACAGCGATATTTAGAAAGAGGTATACGCACCAGCGGAGTCCTGCAAATCCACCCAAAACACACCTTGGTTAGAAAGCAGCGCGTCCACCCACTTGCAGTTCATACAAACATGATAGTACACAACCCTTCCCTCGTCAATCCAGCGCTGATGTGATCGTCTTCCTAGATGCCCCCCATGTACCTCTCCTCGGCGCACCTAACTACCTCACAAAGCGCCCTGACCAGCACAGGCTCAGCTCCCTCTAGCACAACTACCCCTACCCTCTTCCCTTCCTCAACCAGTGAATCTACCTCCGCATCAGTCTCCATCTCATCACCGTCAATCAGCACCTGATCACCCCCTGCGCCCTTACCCATGGTCGCCACCAACGAATTGACACACCTCCCCAACCCCGCCAGAAGCTCCCTCATGGCGGCCGACGCACCACCAAACTCCTGGTTCCCTCCACCAGCAAAACCGTTCCTAGGGCCATTCTGCGAAACGGAACCGCCGCTGGACGAAGCAAACAGCTCGTCCCACAGCACCCTGTAACTCGTCTGCCGCCGACCACCACCACCAGCAGCAGCTCTGCCCAGCAGCATGCGCGCTCTACTGCTAGCGCTGCCACTCCCTTGAGCCTGCTGCTGCTGGCGGTACGCGGCCGTCGCGGACACTGGGTCGTCCATGCCCAGCAGGCTGGCCGCCTTGTGCGGGATCCCGAGAGTGCGAGCGGTGTCGTCACTTGGTGACGATGAACCGTGATTGATCTGATGGTTGCTCGATCTGCCTTTTGTTGGTGGCGGGACAGGCGTCGTGGCGGGTGCAGGGGTCGGGCAGAGGGAACGGATGTAGTTGTACGCGAGCAGGTGGGCGTACAATGCGTCGCAGAGGTGGGGTGAAGCGGTTGGGAAGATGGTCTGGATTGGAGTCCAGAGGTGGAGTGTTGTTGTTCGTGGCCTCTCCATTGTCAGGCTTGAGGGAGAGGGATTGAACGGCGAATGGGTAGACCAGGGAAGTGAATCGTAGCTCTGTTGGGGTTGGTGCAGTTTGCTACTGCGCCGGCTTTGACTTAGCCAGCTCATGTTCCACCGTTTTGAAGGCCGTGTGTTGTGCGAGTTTGAGTAGAGGGAGTCAGTATCAGTGCTCTGTAACTGGCGGTCCAGCGCTGCTCGATGCTTAACCTTCCTGGAGTAAACCCGGATGGTTTCGATGGAGAGGCTTGATGTGAGGAGCATCGTTTCTGGGAAACATGATATTGACACCCGGAGGGACTCCATCACCTCCGGGGGGAGAGGCATTCCGGGAGGTGGCATGCCTGGGTTGTATGGCATGGAAATCTGCGGTAAAGCCATCGTTTCGGTACTGGCGTCGACCCAGCGACGGAGATCGGCCAGTGACGGTTGTCGAGCCTCTGTACGTCTTTCTCCATCCATCCTGGAGCTGAGAGCTTCTTCATCGCCTGAAACATCACACTCATCAACGGCCGCTGCAAGCGGAGACCTTGGAGGACGATGTGGCAGAACCTGGCCTCTCCTCGTCGGAGAAATGGGAGGCGGCGCAGAAGCGTCAATGACAGTACGGCCGTTAGCCGTCGCCAGCAAGTGAATACTGAGGTCAGAATCTCCCTGCAGATTGACGCTGCAACTGGTCTGCCGCTGTCTTCCAACCCCTGACCGAGCGGCTGGTGCTGTTCCCCTGGGCTCCGATGCGGATGACGCCGTCTCGGTGGCATGATGAACATTATGCAGCGAGGAAATCGGTCTTGGGCAAATGGCCATGGGCGGAATGTCGATGATTCGAGGCTTCTCCCGCAGTGCTTGACTGGCAGGCGTATGTGGCCGTGAGAACGTGGCATAGCAGCCTTTGGGAAAGTGAGAATCCGCAGGGGCGGGAGGCAATTCCCGGTCTTTTGGTGCTTTTTGCAACCCCGACATGATGATGTCGTCAGCGAGATCCAGGTGAGGCTGATGCGGGTCGGAAATTGAAATTCTTGCTGTATATACTGAGCAACAGGCCTCATCTGGCGGAGACTCGCGCTCATCCTCGTACCACGTACCGGGCGGACTACCTCCTCGGCTGTTTGAGAAGCAAGAAGAAAGTCCGGGAGGGCTTTGTGAAATCGTGTTGTGCGAAAAAAGCGAGGAACAGCGGCCAGAAACTGACGTGGCCGCCGTGGCAACGGATTGTTGTCGAGTACGGATCGAATGTGGCCCCATTTCCACCGACGTGACGCTAGATGAATCTCGGCGCCTGTCTCTGGGTCCAAACTCATTGATACCGTCTGACGGCTCAGCGCATTGGTGTTCCTTATCTTCGACAAGGGAGTCCGGGTAAGGTCGGCTTGCACCAAGCTTCTCCGCCTGGTGTTGTTGGTCCTGTTGATAACTTGGGCGGTAGCGCATAATCGGCGCTGGAAGCGAGTCGCTCAAATCCGAAGGGAGCGCTTCGAGACCCGCACAAGGACTACCAGCCGTCATGTCTTTCAACATGAAGATGTCTTCTGAAACCTCAAGATCCCTCACTAGCAGCTCCGGAAGGTTGCAATCGACCATCGGTTCTCCGGGGTCTATCTCATAGCTCAGGGAGGATGCTGGCCTGGTGAACGAGCAGTCTAGCGGGCGGACGGGGTCAATATGAGGGTACATGTCTTTCATGCTCGGCTCTGGATCGACGTGGCGTGCTATCCCTGTGCCGATTGCGAGTATTGTCATTGCCGAGAACTTGCTGTGCACGTATGCGAGCAAAACCTCGTGCAACCGGGGTTCCGGGTCCTTTCCCGATCCGTGAGCCGAGACTATTCCTAGAGCTTTCAGGTAATAGTTGGCCGGCTTTTGGGTTGTCGACGGGGGGACGAATATGCCAAGGGACCAAGAGCATCAGGTGGGCTGCCAGACGCGTGTATAAGTCCCTTCTTTCCCTGGTGTCTGATTGAGATGATCAAGCAGGGGTTCTCAGATATATGATGGAGTTTATGTCGTGGTACCCAAGTCTGGAAGTGCGTCGCGCTGAAAGGGAGGATGGCCGCACCGCTCAGCAGTCCGTGCCCCCGTGTGCAGCCCAAACAGGAGAAGAAAAAAGAGGCCTGACCGAGACAAGCAGTCGGGAAGCAAGTTGCTTGCAGGTGGGCCATGGGTGTGACCATCAGCATGAAGCGAGGGGCATACTGGCTCACCCATTCCAGGATGCTGCTCTGTACCATGCAGGAAGCAGATGCAGGATATATCCGATTGTCGTCGACATATCTCGCGCTCTTGCCTTGCTCCTGGCTAGCTGTTGCTAGCTGCAGGAAACGGGGCCACAGCAGGCTTGACCATCAAATACCCGGTAATAGTTGGTCCAACTCCAACGTTGCTTTTGTGGCAAGTCGGCCTCGTGTTGAGAGTGCGTGTGAGGAGAGACGGCGGATGGCTGCATGCTCCGTGCAATCGCAGCATATGAACCTGACCCTTTCTGCGAATGCTAGTGAGTTCTTGGTTAGTTCACGCCATCCGGCGCATCAAGGCCCACCGGATGCCGATCACATCGATGGCCAACAAAAAACAAGCACCGCTTGAGCGCACTTTGGCTGCAAGGAGTGGCAGATCTCCCGACGCTGCGTCCGATGTCTGCTGATCCATGGACCGAAGATCTGTTCCTGGGGCGAGTGGGATGCCGCGACAAGTCGGGGAATTCAAAATCAAACGGCGGGCTCCCGTTACCAATTCCGATGTGTGGGATGAGGATGGAGGTGCATCTTGCCTGCCGACATCGCAGTTGGCGTCAACAAAGTGTTTGTACCTGTGGGACATGGCAGCGGCAGCGATCTCCGCAGGAAAAGAAAGGCTCGAATGAGGGGAAGAAAAGCCTCATTGGGGATGGCAGGGGCCATCCAATCGGTCCACGTGCATTTATTTGTTGCCGACGGCGAACATAGAGAGAAGTCTGGTCCAAAGCGAGAAGGAGCCAAGTGGAAGCAAAAGTGATGCAGGCTCCGAGCTTAACCAAGCCCAGACCCACTCGCAGTTGGGAGTCGGCAAGTTGCCTTGCGGCTGAGATCGATTGGATGTGTCGATCTAGGCCCACAAAACGTCAAAGGTCTTGTTGGAAAGCCAAGAGCCACGAATTTTACCGCACCGTAGTAATTGGGCACCCAAAGGATGGGCACCCACTCAATTGAGGATGATGTTGTTGTCTCTGTTCTTCCAAACTGTTGCCCCCTCTTCCTGATCCTGAGAATCCCAGTGTCAAGCCGTTAGTCACCTTTGAACTGCCCTCCTTGACCACCTGCCAAATCCAACACAATCTAGCCTCTAATCTAGCCAGACGCTAAGGAACCGGCTAGAAGGTGTAGGCTGGAAAGCGTCGAACCCCTAATCCTGTGCTCTTTTCTTTTATAGTGAGTTAGATTTATATATAGTAGCTATATAATAGGGGATAGAAGTTTTTATCCAATCTATATAGTACGATTTCCTATATATATAGTAATAGAAAAACCAGTGCGCTTACGAGTATATTAGTATGGAAAATAATATATATAACGTTAATTAGCTAATAATAAAGACTTATTGTCACGGCGATTGCGCCGTGCCTGCTAGGACCCACGGGTGGAACCCGGCATGTGGAAAGCACGGGCCCCTGTGGGTTAAATATTCTGCACCTCGCTGCCGCGAGATCTGTTCGTAGCTCCTCGAGCTACTGTTGGGCAGCCAACAGTTACATGCTCAAGTAAGCTTAGATCAACCAAATGGTATTGAACAGATTGAGGTATGAAACGAAGCTTGAATTGGAGTCACGATTCCAGAGTGACCCCCCAAATGAAGGATCAAGATAGTGGGTTAGGGTGCCTCAGAATGTCCCTTTCTTGTTGGAACAGAAAATTGTCCTCTCTAATCCTCCCAAGGGAATTACCCCCTTATATAGAGACATTGTGCCATGGTATGACGCTATGTCAGGGACTGTGTCATTGTGATGGATCTGTGCTGACTGAGAGTCTAGCATTGAACATCAGTGCTCAGTCCGTGAATCTTGGTGCCAAGGAACCCACTCAGTTCAACAGCTACGTCTTGACAATCAAGCCTGCCCGTACCTGACGGAATAGAGCTTAGACTGTAGTTTAGCCCGAATACAATTGTCATTGGATTGTGCGCCTGTCCCGCCGTGACACTTATTGCCTAAATAGTAATATTCAGGACTTAAATATGGTTTAACGTGTTTTATCAGCGAATGCACCATATCAGCGAGTGCACCACTGGTAAGGGCTGCATATATATTTGGGTGCAGCACTAACAACGGGAATAAGCGGGGAATAAGCTGTTAGTACTTCGACTAAGTGTCTGTGCAGCCTTTATCAGTGGTGCACTCGCTGATATGGTGCATTCGCTGATATGGTGCATTCGCTGATATGGTGCATTCGCTGATAAAGCATGGTAATAATTAGGAAGATAAGAGATATATACAAAAGCTAAGGATACTACACTTAAATACTGATATTTGCACTCAAATATCTCTATTTTTCTGTGGTATACCCCTAGTTTTCACCCTAGTTGAAACCCCTTGTTTTGGCGACTTGGCTGCACCGCGCTAACAAAACAAACCCCGGTACCTTGTAGTTCTCGAAAAATTCAACCGATGAAGCAAGGGCAAATTGCAACCTCACCACGACAATTTGAAGCCAATCTCACTCGATCCCGCCAAAGTCTCTCCCAATGCTTCAGTCTGGCCGCATTCTTCGCCGAGTTCATCACTGGCAGCATTGAAACCCGCCTTGCATGCTTCGACGCACACAAGCACCCTCGTCTCACCACCACACCTCTGGCAGTGGAACATCCTGCCCGTCGGCCGGAATTCCACTTGGGGGCGCCGCTTCTGAGTGATGTCACTCAGGGTCTTTCTTCATCTGTGATAGGCTGCATGGTTTGCCTGTTGACCAAGAAACGCGCCGAAGAGAGAGGGACACGACGGTGTCCGGGGGCTGCTAAGTTCAGAGCCATGCTTTCTGAGGAATTCATCTCTACCGTTTGCGGCGGCCCTCTTTCCTCCAACACGGCCATCGCAAAAGATGTTGGCATCTACTGCCACAGCATCAGCCCCGCGTACTCTGTCAAGTCGACCTTCAAGAAGAGCTCAGTTCCAGTGAACTGTCTGGGTGTGAGCGAGACGCACGTTTTCGCCGCTCAGCATGAGAAGGCCTACGTGCATGTCTACTCCAGGCTCCGCGGGAACCAGGAAGCGTTTGTTGCCTTTCCCGAGAGAATCCGGAGTCTGACCTTGATTGGGGATGTCCTAGTCATGGGCACCACAGAAGGCCGGTTGATGCTCTGGGAGGTGAGATTTCGATAACCACTGAAAGGTGTTTCCGACTGTTCGGTAGAAAACTGACACTACTCACAGACGTGCACTGGCCGACTAGTGTCGACTCCGGCGCGCCACGTCCAGGCTGTCTCTTGTGTGGCTGCCACGCCCTACCACGTCCTTACCGGATCCGATGACTCGGACATCCACGTGTGGTCGCTGCCCCAGCTGCTGGAGCTGGACTCTGCTGCCGAGCCTGAGCCGCAACGGAGCCTCTCTAACCACAGGGCAGCCATCACCGGCCTTTCCCTCAGCCCTAGTGTCAGCAGTGACACAAATTTCTGTGTGTCAACAAGCAAGGACAAATCCTGCATCATCTGGAACTACCAGACCGGCGATGCCCTGCGAACCCTGCTCTTTCCCGCCTCTCCCTTATGTGTATCTCTTGATCCGTCCGCCAGAGCCATCTGTGTTTCTTGCGAGGACGGGTCGCTTTACCTGACAGAGATGTTTGCGGAGAAGCCGCTCTTGGGCGCAGGCTCAGAAGAGGCCACAACAGTGGTACAAGTCTCCTTGCCCTTTGGTGCGACGCAGCCCGACATTGGGCCTGCTTCGTGCCTGAGCTTGAGTTACGACGGCACGATGCTCCTCACGGGGCACCCCAAGGGCCAGATCATGAAATGGGACATTGCCGAAAACAATTCACCTGTGGAACTGGCCAACCTCAACGCCGCTGTCACGAATATCGCCTTTATCTCGCCCTTCCCGGCGGAGGGGCCAACGAAAACCGTCACGATCACGAAGCCTTCGCAAGCAGAGCGGGCGTACACCTTCACCGGCCAGTTTGACCCATATCCAACCGCTGAAAGCAGGTTCGACTCGCTCCTGAATGCTTCTGGCTTTCCGCAGGAGGCGATGGAGAGCGCCATAGCGGCTTTCTACCAGCCTGCAATCAAATCACCTGGCGAATCCGAGTTGCAAAGGAAGAACGAGGAGCTGTGGGAGGTGATCCGAGAGCAAAGGGCACTTCAGAAACAAACCCTTCAGCGCTATGTCGAGGCAAAGTCTAATAGTCGTTGAAGTGTTCCGGTGCTCCTCTGCATGGCGCTGTCTAACATGTCTTGTGGGAAGGAGGCATCTGATTTGCGTATATACCCCGATAAGGCTTGGGCCCGTTTCAGGTTGTCATCAAGGCTGGTGCTTTGCCTCACGTTACGTAGGCACCTTGCTCTGAGATGTGAAAGCAAACAGACAGCATCCGGCCATGATATTCTGCCTTGGTTCTTCGGCCGGAGCGCTCCCTATCTATGTACTATTTCAAAGATATTGGGCCAACCTTTGCCGTCATACGAGTTGATGGTTCCGTGGGAAAATCTTGGTAGCTGGGTCCAAACTAATCATCTTGAAGGCCTCCTATAAGCTGTCCACCAAACCTCAAGTATGGTTGTATAAGTATGTACAAGACTGCAAGAACCAGCAATAATATCGAAAAGCAATGGATGGATGGAATTTATTTCGCCCGGAGGCACGAAGCCTAAAGGGCCTTGGCACGCTAACTACTTCCCATTCGTTGACGTTCAACCATCAACTCGTACAAGCCCTCTCTCCCTTTTCTCAAAGCAATGGAACCAAGGTCATCGATCCATCCAACCACATCTGTGGCCTGATGTGGTCCAAGCTCCTCCGGCGCGGGGCAGCCAAGACGTAACCGAAGCTTCCCGTTGGAATTCTTCCAAAAGTCCAGACCCTGGTCCTCAAACACATCGTCATTGACAAACGTCCCGCGTTTGAGCGGCCGCCAGTGTCGCAATAAGCGTTGATGCAGGAAACTATATCGCCCACCCTAGTTGGAGATGCGCTAAACTCTACCGCCAGCTCCCTCATCCATTGGGGCGGATTGGCCAATACTGCCTACCAGTTTGGGTTGATCGGTTTTCGCCCTCGAGGAAATCACGATGCGCACCCGTTCTCTCGTCCTCCGCCTAGTCGGCACCCGGAAGCTCCTGCGCACCTTTGCCCAGAGTACCGCCGTCCGCACCGACCCCCGCGGCCGACCGCAACTCCCCTTTCTCTCAGTCCCGATAACCCGCGCAGGACGCGTCCGCTACTTAACTACCGAACGCAAAGCCCAGCTGAAGTACGAGATCAAGACGGGCATCAAATACACGGGTTACATTTGGATAGCCGGCGCGTCACTGCTCGCTGTATGGTTTGCCATCGTTCAGGAGCGCCTCGAGCGCAGGTATCCCACGCCGCACGAATGGACTTACCGGACGCGCATGGACCTTCGCGGCGGCAACTGTGCCCGCTACGAACCATCTCCGGGCAAAATCACCAATTGGCTGCAGGTGGCAGGGTGGTTTGAGATGACAGTCAACCGGCTTCACGACCCTAACATTGACGGGAAGGATGTCAAGGATGCTCCTCACGACTGCCCGCCGGGGACCAAGGATGTCATGGCCAAATCCGAGGAATGGAGGAGGGGTTACTATGAGGCCATGATGGGATACGCCAAAGCAGCCGAGTACATGGACGGCTGGGTGTTGGACAAAACGAGGAATATTGTGTTCCCGCCGGGCACCATGATTGGGCCCTCGAACCCCTACCCCAAGCCGCTCCCGCCAGGATTCAAGGGCGCTCCTAGAGAAGAGGATTGTGAGCTGAGGTTTGACTCGCCAGACGCCATCTACCTCCGGATTCTGTATACGCCAGGTTTTACGAACCGGCAAAAGATCGAGGCCGGTTTGGCATATGCCTCCTGGCTAGACTACAAGGGCATAACTGGCCCAGCAAGCATCGTCTTTGAAGACGCTGTCCACCTTGCTGCCTCCGAGCGGAAAGATATCCCAGCCGAACCCTTGGACCCGGGGACCTGTGTCCTCAATGAAGCCGCTGGGCTTCCCTCCGAGAACCTCCTCAACTCTCTCACTGCCTACGCCACCTTCCGCGCCCGCCAAGGAGACATCAACTCGGCCCTCCCCATCCTCGTCTCAATCCTCAGAGCCCGCCGCAGCCTTTCCCCACCCACCACCGCCCCAAACCAACCATCATCCTTCACCGCGCATCCAGCCAATAAGGGCCCATGGGCCCTGATATCCAAAGTCTGGACCCCTCCGCCTTACCCGGCGCCCCCGCCAGACGGCACCTCCCCTCCCGTGCGCGATGCCCAGGGCCTCTGCCAGGAAGCAGCCCTGAGCCTGCATATCGGCGAGATCATGTACACTTCATCGCCCGCCGGCCGGGAGGAAGGGCTGGGCTGGACGCGCGAGGCCGTCGACGTCGCCGAGGAACAGCTCCACCAACTCCCGCAGACGGTTGAGCGGGACAGCCCCGCGCGCGCCGCCTGCCGCGAGTGCCTCGCCACGGGCCTGGGCAACTGGAAGGCCATGGTGGCCAAGCTGGCCAAGGAGGAGCGGGCCAAGGCGGCTGCTGTTGAAGCCGAAAGGAGGAAGAGGAAGGGTTGGTTTGGGAGCCTGTGGGGAGAGGGACCGGCAAAGGTGGAGGATGTGGATCGGTGGGCGGCTGAGGAGAAGGTCATTGAGGAGAGGCAGAGGAGGGTGAAGGATCTGTTGGAGGATTTGAGGCCTCCGCCGAGAGGGATTTTATCCTTTCTGCAAGCTTGAGATGGTTGTTGTATGTTGAAGGATGGGATCAAACAGTGAAACAGCCTGGCGGGAAGCATGGAGGATCGGTTGTATGGATAACAATGTGTCGGCTTCTTATGGCTTCTGCTCTACAAACATGACGTGTGGTGGTTTGGGGCAACACTGTAGGGCGAGGCTGCATCACCTTTGAAGCCGCGGTGTACATCAAGGGACATAATTGCGAATCCAGGCTTCAGATTGTGGAATTTGTGTACTAGCTAGCTCTCAGAGTTTGGGATCATGAACACTGAGGATTGCTACATGCTGAATTGGTGTCATAACCTGGAGAGCATCAAATGGAAGGAAGCTATTGAGAGAACTAACGAGCGATGCGCTCTCTCGCCGATCTAGTTGTCCCTGTTTAGATCCTCAAGCTCCTTCACCAGATCCTTCAAATCTTCGGCCTCCGCGCCGTGACCGATCAAGGAGTGTCCAGCCTTCATATCGTTCTTTTGGACGTCATTGTCCCTGGTAGCACTGCCGGTCTGGTGGGGCTGAGCCGGCTGGGCCGTCTTCCCATCGCCCATGTTTTCATCGTTTTTGGTTTCATCGTCCTTCTGGACGTTCGCATCCTTATGCTTGTCCTCGCTTGCAGATGTGGTCAAGCATCTCGTAGTGGAGAATGCGCCAAAGTTGGGAATGAGCCAGTGTGGTGCTCTGGCAGCGAGTCGGGGTCTCAGATGGGGCGGTATCAAGTCGTCCAGCCGATTTCCATATGTGATCGGCTCCTCATCGGTGTTCTTGGCTGCGTCGTCCTGGACTACGTTGTCCTCGGCAGCGGTGTTCTCGAGTGCGGTATCCTCAAGTGCGAATACGTGCAACCTTGAAGGCATGAAGACTGAAGTTGGTGGGCTGTCTTCACGGTTGTCCTCGACTGCGGTGTCCTCGACTGCGGTGTCCTCGACTGCGGTGTCCTCGACTGCGGTGTCCTTGCCTGGTTCGTCCTGGATTCTGGTCGCCTCCTTCTGGTCCACTGCATTGCTTCCTTCGTCGGGCTCGATCTCCGGCGCAGCCCACGGGGAGTCGATTTTTTCAGTGGTAATGCCGGTGCCCTCCTCACCGAATATCCTGAGCACCACATTCTTGTATGTCTCTCCCTCCAGGGCCACCTGCTGAATCCAGTTGAGCACCGCAGGCTGAGCCTCGATGAGCATCGTCTCGGTGACTTGGGTATCACCTGCGCTAAAGACAGGGCACCCGAACGAGGTGAACCCGGCAGCACCAGGATTTCCTCCGGCGCCGGCGACCGGACTGCCGAGGTGCGTGTGGTGAATGATGTATGCGCGGGCACGCTGCGAACGGTTAGTATTCTCAGATCCCAGGATGAGCTGAGTTGGAACGACATACCTTCTTCATGAACTGCTTGAACGCCTCGCATTTGAAATATTTCGAGCTGTAAGAACCGCCCAAAATCGCCATGCAGTTCAATTTCCCACCGATTCTCTCCCAAACTGTGTCATCATTCAGATAACCTTCCACCTCGGTTGCTACATCCCCAATGACGATGACATCCACCTTCGCCTCCTTGCTGACCATGTCGCCCATAACAACCGTCTCGAACACCCCCTTCACATGCTCAGAAACTGTCCTATTTCCAGGCACTTCATTCACCTTCGGATCGTGATACCGGCCATAGTGCACGGCGCTCGCCATAGGCACCCTATGCCTTTCAATGGGGTTGAGGCCACGCCCTCCCTCGGGCCACCACCACAGCTCCCCCGGGTTGGCGATGACAAGGCCGGGAGGCGCGGGGTCGGTGGCAGAGCTCTGCTGCTTGTTCAAGGCCTCGACAAAGCCGAGGACGGATCCGCGAGTGATGCCGCCCCGTCCGCCGATAACCCGGTGCGCGAGCACGCTGAGGGATTGGCAGGATTCGCCAAAGAGGAGGACCACGCGGGTCTTGGTCGGGAGGTCGGGTGAGGTGAGAATGGGGATGTGAGGTTGAGTGGAAGGCGTGCCCAGGGGAAGCGGGATGGTGTCGAAGCCTCGGGCCTTGAGGCGGGTGAGAATCTCTTTGGCAACCGCTTCTATGGAAGGTTAGTGCATCTGGTGCATGTGCAAAAAATGAAAGTGGGAATCTAACCGTTGAACGCGAAGCGCTGACGATCGTTCCAGCGGTCGTTCTTGGTCAGGAAGTACTTGAAGTAGTAGTCAGGGTTTTCGATGGATCGGATTTCATCGATGTCATTGATGAAGTAGCTATGGACATGCTTTGGTTAGGACACGCAAGAACTCAAGCAGAATCGGTCAGAAAGAAGCAGTTGACGTACCCAAGCTCTTTCAGGTCGGCGGGGAAGACTGGATCGGCCGGGAGGCCCGACCAGCGACGGCGGAACATCGTGGCCGACGTCGGTGAAAAGAGAGACAATGGTTATCGGAAGAGGAAGAAGGATTTGGAAATAAGGTTGCGAGGTCCACGGCAACCAGAAGTGCTTTGAGAGTGTTGATGGCTGCTCCTTGGTAAGGAAGGAACTGCAGAGAAGGAAGGCAGGTTTGAGCAACCGAAAGCGAGACCGCTCCAGGCCACTCAAACCAGCAGGAAACTTGCTAACTGCACTTTGTTTGATTAACGGACCAACAACAGAACAAACTAGGCAGCTATATGCAGACAAGTGTAAGGATAAGTGCGGGGGTCGGTTCGTGAATTTGTAGTTGTCGATTCCATCCCATGTAAGTCCAGCACGGCCGGGTTGTTGTTGAAAAAACTCGACGATCTGGCAACACGATTCACCTTGCAAAGCAAGGCATCGGTTATCGGCATAGACCAGTTCTTAGACGACTCCAGAGTTTCGCAGCTTGAAGCAAACCGTTCATCGTGGCGGAATCCGTCGTATAAGCGAAACTCCGACTACGATAGATTCCCCGAGGCCGGGTGTTTTCTCTGTTTAGACATTCAACCCGGTATCATAGGGTACTAGCAGAGAAAAGTACTTCCCTCAACAGCAAGCAATTCGTTGCCAACGAGACGGCATGTCTGTTTCCCATTTGGATCTCCTCCTAAAGCGCCTGGGCAACGGATGACGTGCCTAAGATATCGTGACCGATGTGTGTCCTTGCTTACCAGTCCCGCCGCTCTGGGAACCGGCGCCGTAGCCATAAGCCATGATGATACCTGCACTGGGATCACATTCATGATCTGAGAGTAGGACCCGCTAGTCGGAGTTGTTCCACTGTTGCCTTCGATCATGATCTCCTCTAAAGGCGACGGGTGGCATGCAGTCGATACGTCGTGTTGACAAGGCCGGTTCCATACGTTGCCTGCGCAATAGGGCAGACTCTTCCTCGCATCCCAAGCAAAGCCCAAATTGCAATGCAAAATTGCGAGGTTTGCGCCGCCCAGAGGCAGCGATGCTGGAGGAAACAATCCTTGGGTGGGGAATTGCATGTGGCAAGCACAGAGGCAACCCAGGATCCGCAATAGCTTCTAAGGACTATAACGAGCTAGAGGGCCAACGCAACCTTTATGTCACGGGATTTCCCGTTCCTGTTCTCATGGTTATGTCATATGCTTGCGGTTATGCATACGTCATGGGGTCTGATCATACGTCTATGGTCATGCTTACGCATAGGGCTTTTGTTCCGTTCTTTAGGTTTTGTTTGCCGGCCCTTTCTGTCATCTAGCTCTTGCTCTCGTTGTAGCAATATCGATCTTGTATGTGCGAGCTGACCAGACCTTGGGTGGTGCCCGTCACACTTTAGCGATAGAGGAGGCTAATAGAGGCTATTGCAGCCTAGAGAACCTAAGGCAAGAACTCTACAGAGGCTCTCAATAAAGCCTAGAAGGTTAGGTGGGTGTGACGAATATCAAAGCCCAAACTTCTGAAAGGGACTCCTGAAGGTTATACTTGACAACGGGGTGAGGTTCGGTGAAGCCAAAGGGTTCACAACAAGCAATGTCCAAGGGTACTGACAATCTTGCACTTGAGTTGCTTACTGGAGAACTCCCAGAGTCCTCCAGAACGGGTGACTATATACTAGATGCATTTGGTTGCTCTCTCGTGCTCTCTAGAGCCTCTTAGAGCGTCCTCTGATTGGCCTTGCACTGTGTTGGGCAGCCAACAATTACTTGCTCAAGTAAGCTTAGATCAACCAAATGGTATTGAACAGATTGAGGTATGAAACGAAGCTTGAATTGGAGTCACGATTCCAGAGTGACCACACA